ACGTGGACTACTTCGACACCGAGCACAACCTCGACGAGCTCTAGCAAGGGGTGGAATGACTGGACTTCTTCAACGTGGACTACTTCGACACCGAGCACAACCTCGACGAGCTCTAGCAAGGGGTGGAATGACTGGACTTCGTCGTCAACCACCAGCTATAGCACTAGCTCAACCAGCTCTACCAAAGGATGGAACGATTGGACCTCGTCTTCGACCACCACAACTACGCCTTACACCAGCCCGACGACTTCTAGCACAGGTTGGAATGACTGGACCAGCACTTATTCCACTAGCCTAAGCACGACTACAACCTCGAGCAAAGGCTGGAACGACTGGACATCGTCATCTTATTCTTCCTCAACAACCACCCCTTACACTAGCTCAACTACTTCTAAGGGCTGGAACGATTGGACTTCTTCCTCTGTCGTGCCGACCTCTTCCTCTCAATCCTGGGGTGAATGGTCCAGCGCGCCTGCTTCGCCTGTGAAGCCGACCACTACCTGGGCTCCCGCTCCCGCTCCGTCTTCTTCTTCGGGATGGAACGACTGGCAATCTAGCTCCGCTCCGGCTCCTGCCCCGGCGCCACAACATTCTTCATCTGCCGGATGGAATGACTGGCAGTCTTCGAGCAGCTGCACTCCCAGCACAACCACGGCCACCGTGTACGTCACTCAGACGGCGCTCGCCTCTACTGTGTACGTCACGCCGTCAGCCTCTACTGTCTATGTCACTCAGACGGCTCCTGCCTCTACTGTGTACGTCACCGAGACCACTACCGCCACGGTGACAAGCTGCTCTGCTACCGGCACCTCGTGGGCCGGATGGCAAGACTGGCACAGCAAGAGCGTCTACCCGAGCTCGGCCCCAAGCGGGTGGAAAAACTAGATAAACTCTAGTCCTCCGTTCCTTCACTCATCACGGCATGCGTGAAGGAAAAGGAAAATTGGATTAGATGAGAAATTAAATTGAGAAATTAAATTGTCAAAACAGCGACATTGTTGCGGAGGAGGCATGTTATATCTAATGAGAGAGATGAGAAGATTGCATATGAATGTGTTACGGGAATATGATCTGCAGCATCATGGATGGGGATGAGATGGAACTTTGGGATTTTAAATAGTTTTGCCGTGTCGCTATGTCGCTCCTTCATACTGATTTGATAATGTTTAAGACGTATTATTATTGACTTGTTCTGTTACATTCGAAACTATCTCTATACACACACAAGGGTACCTACCTACCTATCTAGGTAGCTTAATTCGATGTAATGCAAAGAATGGTACAGGGCTTTGCTATATCATGGATCACGGTACTCCTGATCGCTAATCTTTGTTTCATTCCTTCTCGGCGTGCCATTGCCATTGCCATTTATCTGATAGTGGATCAGCAGGGGTGGCGGTCTCGTCTAGCGAACGTTTTGTGGACTTTATGGTCTGGTCTTGCGGCAATAGGCAGATATCAGTCAGCTATTCAGACATTGCAAATCGTTTGTTGCTGCCGTCGCGCCCTTCTTAATGGCTGACCGACAGATGGATAAGACACGCAATAATGAAGATATGAGGAACAATTGCCTAGGCAAAATCATACATTCACTATATAATCTCCCAGTTCCCAGCTTGCCAATGCGCCACAACAGCCGCCAAGTCATCCAGGCCAGGAAATGCAATGTCGCCGATCCGGTCAAAGGCCCTCGCCTGTCTCCCTTCAATTGGGAACGCCTAGGACTCATACAAGACGTTCGGAGTTCGTCCATCCAGACCGATCCATTGGAGCAAACCATGATTTCCAGAAAACATTGCCACCTGATTGCCGCATGTTCACCCAGATTCCTTGACTGGCTTCGTTGGCAGCGTTTCAGGCTCCAAACATCCTGCACAGCTTCCCCCTCGGAAACCGGCGACGGACGAGCGCAAACCCCGTATCCAATTGACGTCTAGCTCCGGCCAGCCCGATTGCGCATATTTCCCATCGATCCTTGTATTGGCACAGCGACGACCTATTCCATCCAACTCACCTGGTGAGAGTCAAACCAGCCTTCCCTCGGTTGCAACGTAGATTGCGCTGAAACGCTCACTGACAGAACATAACACATCCTGTGGGTCGAGCCCGACGCCGCTGAGAAACAAACCAGTACATCTGACACTCGGAAACACAAGAAACCATCCGTTGCAGTAACCGCCACTCAAATATCCACCCATTTTAAATCACCAGTGTAGAACCCTGAGAAGTCGTTGGCTCCGTGATTATGGAGCTCCTCTATCATTCATGCCCAAATTTCGATTTGTGCGGCACCTCGTGCATAATCGAGACGACGTACTTGCTGAGCCAGGCTCTTCCACCGGAAAAGAGATCCTGATCTGATTCTTTCCTGGTCAGCTTCCCTCATTGACACCATCAGCTCTCCCGGCCGTATTGAAATCGCTCTTTTCCATTGCAAAAGGCAAAAGATCGTCATCGTCGAAGCGGTTTTCGGGTCGACTCCCACTACTTCTACCTCGCCACGGTACGCTGCCACTGCTGCCTCCGGGGTCAATGCTAGCTCGTGTTCCACCCATACTTGACGTAGATCCTTGAGGCGGTGTGACTCGTCGTCCGAGCCCATTTCTGCTGGCCATCTGATGACGGGAAATATTAGCAGAGGACCGTCCCGAGGCAGAATCAGAAGCGCCGTCATCGTTTGTCATGGCCGTTGCAAGGGCAGAATGCCGGTGAACTTGGGACGATCGTCGAGGTGAACCGATGGACGTTGGTCGTAATGATCCCTGTCCGCCGCCGACAGCTCCATCAGCATGATCCTGAGCAGACTCCCGGCGATGACCCCGACGATCAGCTCCCATGCTGGCACTTCGCATCCCATAGAGATCACCAATATCCTCGTCTGAGCTCAATGGTCTACGCTGAGCAGAACTTGAACGCTGGTATGACGTAAAAGGTCTGGGAGAGTTGGGAATATCAATGGCAGGTACATTGGAGGTTGACTGAGCGTGTGCAGTCTCCTCTGTTGCAGCTTCAGAGGGTGAAGGTGGTTCTTCGGGGGCCAGACGATGGGGCTCGTCAGTGTCATCGTGACTGTAAGCAGCACTAAGTCGAGACGGAGCGAACGGCGTGTGCGGCGTATGAGGAGATATTGGCTTTCCAGGAGAGGACGAGGTTGAGATCGAAGTTCCCGCCACCATAGGAGGCACTCCAGACATTTGTCGACTGGAAGAAGCGGATGATCTCTGCAACATTAATGATGAAGACATAGAATCCGACAGCGCAGTATTGGAATCTCGCATTCTGTGATATCGATTCAGAGCAGCAGCGGTTCTCCTCGTGTTTGCTTCGGCAGCAGTGGGGGTTGTCGGTGTAAGGAGATCTTTTTGCAGCTCCAGCATCTTCAAGAAACTGGAGATGTTCTCACCGTCGTCATCTGCCATCGAGCCTGAGCTCCCACCTCCTGTAGCTCCCTCTGTCATCAATCCCGAACCAGGCTGTGCAGACGACGTCGCACTTCCTCTTCCACTGCTTGTCTGATCTTCGTCTGTTCGTATGGTTGTACCTCCTGAGGAAAGCCGTGCTCGCCTGTGGCTGAAACTACTGCTGTATCGCGTAACTGGAGCAGGTTTGGGAGAACTCGAGGTCGAGGAGGCAATGGCATTGTCCGAGGCGAGAGATCCAGCTCGTCGCCCGGCCAAAGTAACAGGAGCCGCTGCGGGTGGAGGAATGCCTTCTTCCGTCAAGGAGCCTAGGACGGGGAGCCGAGCAGAATGAGTTCTCGGCGAACTGGCCATAGGAGAGACGCCAAGAGGAGATGCTGACAAAGTGGGTGTCTTGAATGGTTGGACAGGAAATGAGGTTGAACTGCGTCGATTAGCTGCTACAGCTCTGAGAGAGTTTCGCGAGCTCTGGCCAGCTGAATGTGAGGGCACAGCTGGCCTGGCTGGTTCTGTAGTAGGAGGAGAGCTTGCATTGAAATCTTGAGCGTTTCGCAAAGCCGAGATAGGATCGGTCCCTGTAGCAATACCTGCTTGGTGGAAGCTTGTTAGGCTCCCATATGCGTGACCTAACTCTGCCTGTTCCAATAACCTCTGTCGTCGATCTGCAGGTAGAGATCCGATCTCTGCCCTCGGCGCTTTCTCACTAGGTAATGATGGCCGGAATAACTCGTCGTCCGCCCCCAAGAATCGAGAGCTTAACAGCTCCTCGGAGTCGTCTATCCGGAAATCACAATTCTGGCGATAATCAACCTTGACTGAAAACGGCCCAGCAGGTGAATCTGTGACGCCAAAATCGTAGGACAACAAGACGCCCGAGTTGCTGTCGAAGAGTCGCGTGCCTAGATTGTCGGAGCGAGACAAGCTCCGCATTCGAGAGCCGTCGATCAATCTATAGCCCAGCTTCAAGGCCATATGGGAGCGTCCTTTGCCAATCTTTCTTGACAGTTTCCAAGCGGGCAGGAAATTGCTGTAGGTGTAGAGAGATCTGAAGAAAACGATGCTCTTTTTGTAGACCAGTGGCAGCACCATGGCTAGGTCCGGAGGAATGGGAGCTGCCGGTTCGCCGAGTTCGATGGTCCATCGCTCGAGGATCACTTCGTCAATGTCTGCCATTCGACGCTGACTTCCACGCGAAGCACTGCCGGCCGACATCAACGTGTTCATGACATCCCACCTCTTCCCATCGTCGTCCACAATGACTAACCGCTGACCTTGCTGCAAGGACTCGGTGCTCAAGAAAACCTCTATGACCAACGGAGGAGGTCTGTTGTATTCGACATCACAAGTCTTCCACCTCTTGATGTCATCTTTGTACTCATCCGTCTCCTCGATGTCAATGTTGAACCACCGGTTCACCCTCTTGTCGTTTGTCTTCTGAGAGTACGCCGGAGCCAATTCGACCCGAGACTGCAGGATGATCAAGGCAGACTTGGTGTGGAAGTTCTGGATGACTTGGTTGAGCCTCTGCATTTGGACGCCGGGGTTGTCCGCAGGTTGATCTTGACGGGTAGAAGCAAAGTCCTCCGAAGAACCGGAGCCTTGGGTGAGAGGAGAGGTCGTTCTGAGAGCCTGAACGTCTCGATCTCTTGGGTTATTTGTGCGGCTGGGGTTCGTTTGCTCAGAGGTTGCGGGGGAGGCTGTGAGAGGTGGCGGTCGAGGGTATTGATGCATATTGGGTCAAACTAGATGTTGCACGTAAAGGATTGCTGTATAGTTCACTTCTGGGTGCCTGTCTTAACGTTGTTGTAGGGGTGAATTGGGACTGATCCGTATTCGGTAGCCATCCATTGCTTTTCATTGATGTGACATCCACAAACGTATTCAACAGTCCTGGCGCAGGTGTGGGTAGCGGTCAAGGCATCGGGGATTTTGACGTGCAAGGCTGATAGACGGGATAAAAGAGCAGACTAGGTCGACGAAGGGGCCATTGTGGCGTCGGATCAAAAAGAGGAACGAGTCGGAGGGAAATGGTCAGCGGAGGGTTGTGGATTGAAGGTGAAAGTGCTCCCGTTCACGATGGTCTCGAGTCGTGGGCATATGACGGAAGCCGCATGTGATTGGAGGTCGCGCGGGCTGGCGGCGTGAGGTACTTTCGGCCAGGGTCAGATTGGAGTCAGGCGATGAAGGATAGGATGGAGGTAAACAGGCAACAATGAGGAAGACTCAGGTAGAGGTGGAGAAGGATTGCAGACGAGAAGGAGATGGGAGAGGGCAAGAAGGGGAAGAGATAAGTACTGGAAGAGTCATCGAATGTCGGGAAAAATGTATATCGAGGGCGGATGGCAGCAGGAGAAGCAGCAGAAGCAGCAAGCAGCAAGCAGCAGCACCAGCGCAGGCGTAGGTAGCTAGCAGCAGGTTTCACGCATCATGCGGTTCTGGGGGTGCTGGGGGGGCTCGGTGGGTGGGCACTGGGCAGCATGGGCAGAGACTCCAGAGAGGGTGGGAGCTGTTGAACCAAACGAGTTTAGTACCTGACTAACTGCACTAACCGTGGCTAACTGTACGATCTCTTGGCTCTACGGCGGCCTGCGGTGCCTGCGGTGACTTGACGGGTGGTGCCTGTGGTGGGCTCACCTTGGCTCACCTTGGCTCACCTAGGGCTGGCCGGTGAACGAAAAAACGTCTATCAAACGGCTGCGTGGGAGCGGAAGACAACAGCAAACCTACCTAAGTAACTGAGAGAAACAGCCATTCACTTCTCCCTTCAACTCTCTCTTCCTCACCTCTTCTTACCTACCTAGTAGGTACCTACATCTACATGCCTTTCCATCACCGCTTCTGTTACTCGCCAGCTCTCATACGTCCCCCATGTGCATGACCCTGGTGCTACGGCCTGCATCGCCTGCATCGTACCTTAATCCCTGTGGATGGAACCCCCAACTAAATGCGCCCCATAGGCTGCTTTATTTTGACTGACATGCATCTTCTGTCGTGCCGCCGCCGTGCCGTCATGCCCGTCTGGCGATTGAAATTCTCCCACGCACACACCCACATGTCGAACATGTCGACATTTCGGCGCCCACATGTCGGTTGAGGTGCTCGTCGGAACCCTTCAATCTACCACAGACCTTTTTCTTCCAGGTCCATGCAGAAGCCATTCCTTTTTTCTTCATACAAATGGTCTGCTGGTGACAGCTCAACCCAACCGATTTACGAACCACCTTTAACCCACCACGACCCGAATCCGCCCGTGGCTACGCCAACTTCTCCTTCCCCGTGCCACTAGGCTGATTCAAAAGGTCCTCATTTGCGCAAGGGCGAAAAAATATATCAAAGTTATTCCTTGAATAATGGGTCCCTTTGGAGTCATTATTGTTTGTCTCGAGTAAAATCATCAGGCTGACTGGATGGATCCCATTCAATCCAGGCTTCCTCTCCACGACACGATCGAGGATCAAATTGGAACAGCCGGGAAAGAATTTCCCTCTTTGTCCTCGTTTTCTCTGCCTATTCATGGCCCCCAATCTTTCTCGAAGGCATCAGCGGTAAGGTTGTCGTTCTATGCACATAGCATAGATCTTCACCTGCTATTTTCCCGTTTCAATTTCCAGGCAAACACACTTGTCTTTTTGTGCGGCCAGCGGCAGAGCGCTAAGTATTAACGACTGGCAGCCTGCTGGAGCTTTACCCTGTCAAGGATGGTACGACGTCCCCGTTGACGCAGGACCTGGTTACGCGAGGATCCAACATGACTACACGGGTTCATCTCTCCTCTCGTATGGCGGGAGGAAGAATGTTGTCAACGGGGAACCATTCCTATGCTGGCTAGAGGTCAATGCCGCTGCCGGGATCAAAAGGCTCCTAGTTGATTGGTTCCAAGGCAGAAAAAGCAGCATTTCCTGGTTCAGCGGTTCTTACTGTGTTTCGGTACAGCTGTTGATTCCCCCCCACGTCCTTACAAAAGCAAATCCTTCTAACATGATGTACAAAAGACTTTCTCCGGATTTCCCTCCTTTCCTGGCCCTCTATGACTCTTTCAAAATTGATGCCTTGCCCCCTCGAGGAGGATGCTGTGACTTTCCTTGACCACCTCGGGCTCTGCTGGCACTGCCCCGGGGCACATTACCACGCCCAATTCCTCGTACTGATTCGGATTCCTGTCTCACCGTCGCCGAATCCAGCGAAGATTGCTTCTGCTGGCCACTGATTTCAACATCCGACATTCCTTTCCCCCGCCCTCCTCCCCCCCGACGAGGTCCGCCTCGTCCACGGCCGCCTTTCCCGCGACGAGGAGCAGCAGCAACCGCATTGGCCTGCGCCTCTTGTTCTTGCACTCGCCTGCTCTCATTGTCCCACCATTCCTGAAACTCCTGTTCTTGCTGAATCTCTTGTAATGACTTCTTCGCCACCGCTTCCTTGATCGCAATCTTCTCGGTTTGCTGCTGGGCCAAGATCTCGGCCATTGATGTGCGTGCGTCAACCGTCGAGACCCTCGTTGGCAGCGGCGTATGCCGGATCGATTGGATTTGTGGAGCGGCCGGCTTTGAAGGAGCTGTAAGACCGATTGCAGGTCCCGCGCCAGCTGATGGACCCTTGGGGGACGGACCGCCGGCAGTTGAGGTGCCTCTGGCGATGGTCTGGCGCATTGTCATTGGCTGCTTCGCAGAAATCTGTTTGACCGCCTCGATTGGTGCAATTGCAGTCGGTGAGGAGTTGGGTTTGGGTGTCTTCGCAATCGCCTGCCACGGCGAAGAAGAACTGCTTGTTGTTGCGGGTTTCGCGGACGAAGGAAGAGCCGAGGGCCTGGCACCTTGCTCTTTGATTTGTTGTTGCTGGCGCTTGCGCTCCTTCTGCGAAACTTTGACAGTTGCCTTGGATCCCGTCGAGACTGTCCGCATTGCCTGAGTCAAATTCGACACCCGGGCAGCTGAAGCTTGCTCCATAATGTCCTTGAGACCATCTTTTTTGACACCTTGACCAAGAACCCCCCATGGAGTTCTTTGTGCAGCAAATCCGCTGGTCGGTGTTTCAGTCACAGTGGAATCTAGCAAGTCTTCATCATTGGACCTCAGTGAACTGGAGAACCCTCCACGCGACCTGCTCATCGACGGAGGCGAATCATTTAGGGGAAGTTTTGGTGTCGAAGACGGAGCCAAACCATCGAGCGATGGTCGTTTTGTCGCAGGACGAGGGAGCGAACTTTCGCCGTGGACAGCAGCGAGTAGCTCTGGGTCATCCCCGTCCATGTCGAAAGGGAGGTCATCTTCAGTATCGTTGGCCTTCATCGCCGGACTCTGGCTTGGAGTGCTAGGCGGTGATGAGTCCACGGGGGTTGGTAACAAGCTCTTGTTCTGGGGCGAATAGGTCGAGCGTTCCAGGCTCCCGTACCGCGTCTTCAACGATGCCGCAAAACGTCCCTCGTCTTCGACCAACCTTGATCTTAACTTCATAGAATCTATCCTTGTCTGTCGGCCAGCCTCAATCTGATCCAACAAGCCGGGATACTTCTCCCATAGTTCCGCCTCAGCTCGATTGCTGCGAGCAAAAGGCTGGAAGGCTCTCTGGTTGGCTTGGACGACCATATCTAGTTCAACAAGCAGATCTTTATCCAGGTCGTCGAGTAATTTCAGCTCCAACATGCTCTCTAAGTTCAAGCAAATGTACTCGAGGGCGATTTTCACGAACGTGCCAACTGTACACTCTGCAGCTATGTTGACTAGAGGACACACGTTTCTGATATTGACGTACCTGCCGAGAGTCTTTTGACATATTACCGCGAGGCGATCAAGCATGAGCTCGTTGGCTACTGACATTAGCTCAATGATAATGTCGATAAATTCGTCCAAACTATTGGTGAGAATGTCGTCAAAGAGCTCTTCTCCAGTATCAGCGTAAAGATGTCGGAGCACCATGACGAAAATCTTCTCGTCGATATGCTTTAAATCCACGCGTACAGCTTCGGACCGTTCTTCAGCTGTATTTCGTCGCGAAGTCATCCACATCCCGCCGGCTCGTCCGTTAAAAAGACCGTCAAAGAAGGGGCAACGGGAGCACAACAGGACGCTATGCGCAGGTAACTCGGCATCGTCTGCGAGTTCCACAACCACATCGGCATCGGAGAAGAAGTCGGGATCCACAACTGCAAGCTCCATGTCGTTCGCCAGACTTCGGGCGGGGTCGACCATCACTCTTACAGCGCGTTCAAGGCTTCGCATTTCGAGGTGGCTTGCGATCTTCATAAGCTCAACACGCACTGACCTGTAACGAGCAGCAGATTGTAAAGCCCTCGACGTATGATGCCACACGTCGACTAAATTGTCGGTGTACAGGTACAACACAAGATTAACGAGAGTTAGGAAGTCCGCGCCATGGAAGGAGACTTGGATCTGGCCGTCTTGTCCGTATTCGATCGACATGATATCAGGAATGGAGTAATAGTATGTCTCTTGAACTTCGGTCAGAGCGTTGCGCATCACCCGGCTCCGTCCCTTGAGTATAAACGAATGGACGGGTATTCGTACATCCGTGACGGTGGAAGTAATCCATAAGTCATATTGACTCTGGGAAAGAGGTTCGTACCGCTGACACATGTGGAGGAGATCCGTTTCCGCCGAGCTTCTGCTGGTTATCGCATGAGCAACCTCAAGCGCTGTGACCACTGACTCAGGATCCGTCTGCGACACTCCGTATTCTCGGATAGGTAGTAGGCGAAAAGCGTCTCTCCACAAACTTGGTGGCACAGGTATGATCTGGTCCCGTGGTGCACCAACGTCCTTGCGCACCGCGGTAAAGGCTCCGAATGCGTTACTCCTGACCGCGATGACCCCAGTTAGATTGGGAATACGGACAAATTTGTAGTCTTTCGGACGTCCGGAACTTAACTTCGTATCTCGTACGGTCTTGATGTTTGCCCGTTTTTCCTTGCGCCAGGCCGAGCCTGATGCTGTACAGAGAATGATGGAGCCATCCTGACCCACGGCAACGTCGATGGCCGACATGTGAGCTTTGCGAAGGGACCAGAGTCGCGAAGGCGCAGGCAGAGCGTTGCGTGCCTTAGTAGGGTTAGTCGTTGACATATTCGATGGTACAGTTTCCGGAACCTTGGGGACATCGATCGAGTATACTTCTCCAAAGGAGGACATTGCGCAGATTGTGTTGCCACCGCTGGTTATATGTTTGATGTAATTGGAATCCATATACGACCTTGTCGAAAGGTTATCAGTCATGTAGTAGTTGGTGAAGGTTTCCAAGGGGAATATAAGCTTAGTCCATCCATAGTGTGTGAAGACGAATACGTCGTGATTCTCGAGCAAAACAATGGTAGCTCGGTCGATTGCGCTCACCGATTGAATTGGAGACTGCAAGACTGATACACCAACTCGACGTGGTAGAACCTGCATTTCTAAAGAGCGTGCCTCTGCATCGGTCAGGCCCAGTTGACCCTCGTTCTTGCCGAACGTGTACATCGCAGAGGCAGTGTAAACCACGGAATGGATAGCGGATGCTGCGGCGCCAATGATGACTTCCTTTTTGATGTAGCCGAAAAGCTGACGAGGGATTAACTGAGTTGGAACCTCATTCTTGGCCACTTCAGGAAGAGCATATCCTAACTGCCCAAACCGGTTGCTGCCCCACGTATAGACCTCACCCTGGGAGCACACAGCGACAGAATGGTCCTGACCAAGGGCTATCGACGAGATCCGCCGTTTAGCTAGACCGCCAGCTTGGATGCAGCGATATGTGAAACTAGTGTTTTCGTCGCCAGTGCCAAGTCGGCCACCAGGACCATACCCACAAATGTATAAGTTGGAGATCGGGTCGTTTGTCAGGATGGCCGTATGTAGCTTCGACATGACCACGTCTTGTACTGTGATGGGCTGATAACGAATGATGGCCGGCAAATCCGGACGTGACTGGAGATCTCCAACACTGTCCGCCAGGTCTTCGTGAACCCATGCCTTTCGTCTTTCAGCAAGATGATCATCGAGGAGACGGCGTAATAAGTGGTCGGGGCGTTCAAAGTGAAGCCGCTCAGGGAAATGCCTATCGTCCCCATCGCCCAGACCAAGCGATAGATTTTTGTTGCTTCCAAACGCGTAGACCTCATCGCCAGCGAGATCTGTCAGAGGTGTCACATGACGCCTCGATCGTTCATGATCTTGGTGGTCACCACTATCATCCACACCATTGATGCTATCATCATCATGGATCCCAGATGAGAGGGTGGAGAAATCTCTCTGCTGAAGAGACCGGGGCGCAATGGTCAATCCAAACACCTCGAAAGGGCTGTTGCCCTCGTGATCTTTGATTTTGACCAGTCCACCAGCGTGGGAATGCTGAGCATTGGTTGTGTAGTCTGTGGCGTCTTGTATGTCCCGGGCCATGAGAGCATGCGCAACCGAAATGTTGCCAAAGTATAGCGCACGGTGGAGGGGTGTCCACCCACTTTCCAAATCCTGGACGTAGAGATCCAAGAAGGGCGTTTCCAACAAGGCCTTGACAAACGCCAGAGCATCTTCAGACTGCGATGACGCAGCATGATGGAGGATGGTCCGGCCGAAACTGTCCTTGGTGTTCACTTCCGCCCTCGTGAGCACCACCCCGGCATTTTTCCCGGGGGTCGCATTGGTAGGTGTGGTTCCCGAACTCTTTCGAAACTTGAAAGGTGTCTTCGGAGAGACTGCCAAATTCCCGGGACTGCCAGTCTTCAACGTTGCACCGCCAACTTGTCCGGCGCCAGGGGTTCTCGGCGTAACGGAGGAGAAAGTGGCATTGGCCAGGTATTGTCGAAAGGAATCGACATCATCTTCGAAGAAAGCGCGCCAGAGATTGTAGCTCATGTGTCAGACAGAATCAGCGATGTCTCCGGTGACCTTGGACGCGCCTCGCTGTAATCTCGACGGATCACGGCGTATTTAAAGGCGCAAAGAGGTCGATCGGAGACGAGGAAAATGGGATGAGTGAGAATGACTCAAGTCGAGATCATCGTGGGGGGTAGTCGAGTGTCTTTGGTATCGCGGATCGATTTATACGTAGTCAGGAAGATGAGTCTGTAGAAGATCGCGACTGGAAGCCGGGAAGCTGAACGGGGAGAAGTGATTGTTTCTAGGTATGGAGGGGTATATGAGAAGTCATGTTGTAGCTGTGGTCGCGGTTGCGATAACTATGCGGAGCAGCGCAGATGCTTGGGATGATGCTGGGGAGGGCCTTGCCACCAATCACATGCCCTCGTGCCAATACGAGCCGCGTCTGGCGGAAAACCCATCTTGTCTAGTGACGCCTCTGATGGCAATGTACGGAATAGGTGTTGTTAGTCTGCAAGAGTGTGGAAATTGAGGAATGGATACCGTGTTCGATAGCATGGCGCTTTACGAAGACGGCGGAAGGAGGGGTAACCTGTCTGTTGACCGACGCGACTCACGACGGGACACGCGAGATGAGAGCACGGGCTGTGGGCTTCTGAAAGAGCGGTGTACCTAGCTTGTAGGAATATCTGGGGTAGTCGTAACCTCTTTCTACTCGGTACATGCGGGGTGAAATGATGCTCGAAGAATTATAAATGCTTGCTCTCTGTGCGTGATTCATTCTCTGTTCCCCTTCTCAATGGCATGTGCTCGACAACTACGCAGCTGCACTTTCACAGTCCCATCACACCTGCTGCAAGTCCCAGCCCCAACAGAGCCGCGGTCGGCACAGCCGCATTGTTTGCTGCTCCTGACGAAGACGAGGCTCCTGCTCCTGCCGCTGTTGATGTTGCTGCTGAGGAGGACGTAACCAAGCTGAATGTTGGCGTCCCTGGAAGAAGAGTGGTGCCTTGGACACTGGCTGTCGGGACACCTGTTTCATCGGCGACTTGACTGAGTTGAGTGCCTGTTGCAGTGGCAGTCGCTGTCGCACTCGGTATGGTTGTTCCTGTCGGGATAACAACGATGCTACTCGTGCTTGCTTCGTTTTCAACGGCTTGAGCAAGCGCTGCAACTTTGTTGTCGATATCAAAGACTGCATAAGCACTTCTCAAGAAACTGTCTCCCATGATACTGAATCCGCCACTATCGGATGGAGTACCGAAAGCCAGAACACAGCCTCCTGATGGATCATCAAAGAGCGATGATGGGTACGCCAGACCCCCGACCACCTCCGAGACGGGAACTTGTACCGTCACGCCATCGTCGCCGCCAAACGAATAGTTGATGGTGCCGTTGGCTGAGGCAAGACTACATGGGACTAGATAGGCGTCTTGAGAAGGATCGAAGACTGCTCCGAATCCGAGGGCCAAGCCAGTAAAGACGTCGTTGGTCAGAAGGGTGTTGGTAGTGCCCGAATCAAGCAACGTAGCCTGCGCATATCCTTGGGGCGACAATTGCGTGGTTTGACCCGTCGAATCAGTGAAAGAGACACTGGTCAGGGCGACATAGTATTCTGAGACGATTCCCTCCGGGCCGGGCTGTAGGGGTAGCGCAACAAGATCTCCCGAATATTTCGTTGTGTCGATCCCACCAAAGATAACTGCGCCAGTATTGGCTTCCAGGTCATTCAAGTACAAGCTGAAGGCTTTGCGGTTGATGATCCCGGACGACTTGAGATTGTCCATGACGGAGGGATAGACGCCATTCGGGCTGTCGTTGTTGGCTTCATTGGTGTCAAATCCAATTCCCATCACACCATGCTGGTCGAACAGCTCAGTTGCTACTCCGAGCTGTTGATTTTTAATGGAAGGAGATCCACCAACTGTGATGGTGTCGGAACTCCAATCGCCAGCGTCGCTGTCTCCCTGTTGCGCGTAGGTCTGAGACAATACATATTAGTCACATCACTCTTTCACGCTCCGTGCCCGTCTTGACCGATTTTGTAGGCACATTGGGCACAGGGACTTACAATGTTGAATCCACCTTGCTCGATGATTTTGTAAGTGCTTGATGAGCTCGGATTAAAGTCGCCCAAATCGCATTGGCCCTTCTGGCAGAGTTTGGCCGAGGATGCGGGGACCCAAAGGTCAGAGGAGCCAGTGTCCAAGGTAACGCCGAGATGCTGGGGAGGTGTGCCCACGGTGACATTCACCAAGTATTCGAGTTTGTCGGGGTTTTGTGTCAAGACTGTGTCCAAGCTCCCATCTGAATTTTGTCTGCGGACTAATCTGCCTTCAGAGGCAGTCCTTCTCTGTAGGTCTAGCCTAAGATATCCTGTTGAGGCGACACACGAGGTCGCAAGAGCCGCGATGGCTGTTGCGCAAAGGAGATACATCGTGGATATTCTGAGGTAGAGCCGATGTAGAAGCCAGGCTCAGGGAGGTGGTCAAGGGTCGAGGTGAGGCCAAATACCTAGGTAGGAAGAAACGAACGGCGGCGGTGTTATGTACACATGAGTGAGGACAGTCAAGGGCCAGATTCGTTGGTTGATTCTGTCACACAGCCACAATGGAGTGGCACGAACTGAAGGATGGTGTAACACTGCACTGGCAGCTCGGAGTCAGAGGGCTGGATTGAGAGAAAAGGTTACGAGAAGCAACGATGACTGGATGGAGTTTGTTGAAACTTGACTTGATGCCCTTTTTTCCCCTGTAAGGCCAGCTGAAGCTGCAGACTGCGACTGCGAGCAGCCGAGCTGCACACGAGTGGCAGCCCAAAAACCCACGTCATCGCCATACCTAGCTTCCCGTGCAAGACGACTTTTTGTGTTTCTAGGATGCCGCGTGCCTTGGTTTCAAGCGTCCCATCAACCGGGCCAGCAGGGAAAGTGAAGTTTCCCGACTTGCCCAAGCATGGAGTTTTTGGATCTAGACCTTACCTTCCAAGGCTCGCTTGGCCCCGCCGGGTCAGCACACTAATCCCATCACTAAACTCTGAGATCCATTGCAGGCCAGCGTTGCAGAATGCCATCCCGAGAGGCCTAACGAAACCTGCTCTGCCCCTGCCCCCTACGGACACTCGAGAGTCGGTGGAGAGTGATGGCCCAGCCCTACGGGAGGCTGAACAGGCTTACAGGTTAGTGAAAGGCCCCGGGCTCACCTAAACTCTACACCCAATGCTTAAAGGGCGCCCGTCTTGGTCACTAACACTCTTCGGTACTCACACATAGCACGGCTTTCCGAGCCCCCAGAATAGATGGAAAGGCAAAACATTGCTAATTTCTACTACATTCCTTCGCACAATGGTCGCCCAAAGCACGCTGATGCTTTTGGCCCACCACTCCTGCTACCATGGATCTTTGCGCAAATTTTCTCAAATCTCCCGCCTCCTCTTTCCCCCCTCGCAATTAATACGTTAGCTCCTTATCCAATAATGGTCCTCCAATGCATGGAATGCTCGAACAAAAAGCCAATTGAGAGCCAAAGAAGACGTATGTGAATGAACGGCCGTCCGTGGGGATATCGTGTTCCTCTGTGTTTGGTACACAGTCCCAGCGTTGGAGAATGCCCGCAGTTTTCGGTTTCAGGTCCTTTTGTCTTTCTTGCCCTCAGCATTGGATCGCCCCAAGACGAGTTCATCACGTGTCCAGATGGCTACAGCAGCAGCACCACACGGACCGAGCAACCCTGCCAAAAGAATGGCTTTGACCACTCCGAGCAAGGTCTGACCGATGGTGGCCTTCCCGTGTTTGCTCGCATCTCGCACTGTCAAACCCCACAGAAGCGAGGCGGAGACCCCGACGACAATGTCCCATTGAAGAAACCACAATGCTCCGTCGGCCAGAGTCTTGACCTGTGGCTGTCCAAATGGGACGACAGGAACAAAAATCCTGGCGGGCTGAAGCTGCGGGAGGTAGGTGGAGCTAAACAGGACGGGAAACAGATAAGCCAGTGTGGACAAGCTCAGCGCCGCTAGGTGGGATCCAGCCGATGACATGATTGCAAACGCGTATGCCAGTCGGAGATACTGGGCGCTCTTCAAACGCTTATCGTTCTCGGTCAAGATAGAGGCCCGTTGATCAATACGCTGGGCCAGCGTGGTCAAGATAAGTTGGGTCAGCCCAATCCAGATGGACCAGCCTTGCTGAATACCGGTCCACGTCTGCTTCGTCTCAAATGAAACCACAGTAGGGGCTGGGAGGCACATCAGCAGGGATGGAAGCCCAAATCCGACAAGGATGCTGATGGGTGCAATGGCGATTTGGATTGGGACATCGACATCAAGCTGATAGTCCTTGGGGTTCACTATTGTAGGTGACGTCCACAGGTGCAGAGCAAACCACAAGGGTGCGACGCAGGCATAGCCTACAATGGCGACACCAATGCCAAGCAATGTGGTCCTGCCAATGGTCAGATCCAGCAAGGAAGTCATACCATTAGCCTCGATACTTACGCGGTGAGCAGGAATTTGCCTTGATTGCCATTTCTAAGTCCCTCCACCATAATCAAGACCCAAGAGGCAAGGACCTGGCCTCCAAGGTAGAGGAAAGACAGGGACACGTCTGCTCGATTGCCATCAATGGCTGTGTAGAAGAAGCTGACCAGGGTCGTCAATTGCTTATCGATCGGACCAATGCCCGTGTAAGTCTGCTTCATCGGAGCTGAAGTTGGACCAGGGATGACGGCGCCGGGCTGTGATTGCTGGCCCAGGATCTTGAGCAGTCCATTTTGATACGGAAAGCCCCAAAGCGTCCAGAAGCCGGCTAGGGACAGCAAGATCAGTAAGGTTTTAGGGACGGTAAGCGCCATACTAAACAAACGGCTCGTATGAGGATGAGCTGGAATTAGTTGGAAAATCTAGAGAGAAACAACGTCTCCCAGAGGTCATGGAAGATCAGAGAGAAGAGATGGAGATGGATGGCCTAGTCATGAGAAGAAGGAGAAGAAGAGATGGCAGCCTGGGTGAGTCGAGAGTGCGACTGGGAGAGGAGGTGGTTTGGCAGAACACGGGGGATTTTCAGCTTGTTGCGTCTCAGCCTCAAGCCCCCCCAAGCTAAAAAATCAGCTTGCATTGATTGGTGGTCAGAGTCGGACGCCTTTGTGGCCTGACTTATGGGTGGAAACAGGACAGCTTGCTGCCTTCTTCTGACATTGGGCACGGCTTGCACAGCCCAACGTGAAGTAAGATACGAATGGAGTTTGCCTTTTTGTGGTTTACGAGTAGTTCTTCTTTTCCTGCCTGTCGCCTCTTCGCGCCTGCCTCGGTGCCGGTGTCTCTTGAGCTGCCGGCAGCTGCCGGCGCTAATGATGCAGCTAGCACCGATAAGATTTAGTGGCTACTAGCCACGCTCAACCCCTCTTGATTATCTAAGCGGAACGGCCACCAAGCCTTTTTCGTCATTTGAAAATAATTTGATGCCTCTTGTCAAATTCCGCAACCACTGGCTGTTAGCATCGCTGATGCATGAGTTCCTGGATACACGTCGACCCCGGGCAATCACAATGCTGAAGCGAAAGCGTGATGATCACGACTCCGAGGAACCTGAAAAGGAGCGACAGTACCTCGGGTTAAAGGTGTCTGGGCTGAGGGCCAGAGTCACTCGGAGCGTCAAGACCCTCCACGACGCCCTAAAGCTTGCTCGAGGCTTCGAGAGACAGAAACTGGGCCGCCGTCAGAAGAATGCAAGCGACAATCCTCAAACATTGCTTCGACTGCGGGAAGAAGTCGTCGTCCTCAAACAACTGCAGCTCGAACAAACGGCGAAGAACCAACTTCTGAAGCACTTGGTCAAGACAAAACGTATCAAAGAGCATCCTGTCTTTATCAAGGCTTATGGTTCAGATCCCGAGTTGGAACATGTGAAGTCAAGCGCCGAGGCAAATGTGATTGGAAGATTGTTCAATTCGAATCCTGTCAAACAGGCACTACCCGAGATTATGAAAACAATCTACACCGCGCTTGAGATTCCCCAAGCCACGCAGCCTGCTTCCAAAGAGACAAAACAAGCATCCGAGAAAGTTGCCAACTCGAGGGCGAACTCAGGAGATGAGGATGAGTTCGAGGGTTTTCCCACCGACGGCTCCGAAGACCTGGGTTCTGGACGATTAAAGCAGTCACCAGGACCAGAGCTCGAGGATGACGATATATTCGAACTGGCAAACGGTCGCCTGGCATCTCCCGAAGGGGAGTCTGAGGAGGAGTCCGATGAAGAAGGCGCCGAGGACCGGATGCTCCTACGGCAAAAGGGCGCCAAAAGAGCGGTTGACACTAGCAGATATGCTAGAGATGAGGATCTCTCCATATCGCCATCTCCCAGCGAAGTGTCCGAGCTCGATGGCGAGATCTCTCAAATGCCACACTCAAATACGGCCACGAGCAAGACTGCATTTTTACCGTCTCTAAGCATGGCAGGCTACTATTCCGGATCAGAATCTGAAGACGATGCGAACGGCTACCGAGGCCCAGCACAGCCCAAACCCCGAAAGAATCGACGTGGGCAACGTGCCCGACAGCAAATAGCGGAGCGCAAGTTCGGAAAAAATGCCAAACACCTGGAGAAGCAAAAGGACCAGGACGGAAGGAACACAGGATGGGATCCGAAGAGAGGTGCGGTGGGGCGCGTTGATCGCCCTGGAGACCGGTTCCATGAGAGGAAAGTCAATCAGAAGCCGACAGGAGGAGTCCATGCCGTCGCCCACTCAGCTCACCCACCGAAGACCAGGCTGAATGTGCGTGATGACCAGGGCCCGCTTCATCCCTCTTGGGAAGCCGCAAAGAGGCGAAAGATGCAGGATCAAGGCCCGGCCACATTTCAGGGCAAGCGCATAACCTTTGATTGATTGACGGCCGCTGCTCGACGGGCTGAGACTTGCTTGTGGCGCCAATCTTCTCTCACGGCTGTCACTGGACAAAAGATGCAAAGGCATCATCCATGCATTATCCTCTGATGATAATGGCGACGTCTCTGTTGCACCGGGATGAATTTTGTCACACCCGATTGCTGGCATGAGAAAAAGAACGAAGGGACGGTCCCGGGCCACTTCTGGCCAATGTCTCAAATACATTTAATACATATTGTACAATACCTACATGAAACCCACTGGCTACATAGTCACTTGAGTACGTCGCATGCTGAATGGGAAGAAACTCGGTTTCTCTGTCCAGCAGGAGTACATAGACTCTTTAGGTGACTGCATCCGCGGCCTCTGTGCGGTTGTTTTTGCGCCTATGTCGCGATGACATCGAGATTGCTTTCTTCATCATGGGGAAGGGGAGAACTCGTGCGTCGCAAGATTCCACCTGGCAATCATCCGCACAATGTGCATGCATCCCTCACGCAGGAGCAGCCCGCCGCCGTCGGCTCATCATTGCCAACCCAACCCGATCTTCCGGGCAACCTTCTCGGCAATACGCTCATAGTACCCGGAATTTATTTTGACACCGCTGGCCTCTTCGGCGACGACGGTGGGCATGCCCCTGTCTGCGTCGGCGCAGATCCTCGCGTCGAGGGGGACGTCGCCGAGAAAATCAACGCCCAAGTCCGCCGCTTTGGCCTCAGCCCCGCTCAGGCCGTTGTGAGAGTGGGAGTCTTGCGAGTGACTGTTGGCGGCAAAAATCCTGGTCTCCTGGTGACAGTGCGGGCAGACGAAGACGCTCATATTCTGCACCATGCCCAGCACCTCGATGTTCATCTTGCGGAACATTTCGACGCCCTTGACGGCGTCCTTCAGCGCAATGTCCTGCGGAGTCGAGACGATCACGGCCCCGGACATCTCTACTTGCTGTCCAATCGTCAACTGCACATCACCCGTGCCGGGCGGGAGGTCGAGGACAAGCACATCCAGACCCGGAGACCAGTCGACTTCATGCAGAAGTTGTTGTAGGGCCTTCATCACCATGAGTCCGCGCCATGCCACCGGTGCCGACTCGCTCGGTAACAAATAGCCCATGGACATGCTCTTGAGCCCGTAGCTCGTCAGCGGCACCAGCATGTTTTGCTGCGTGAGGCTTGGTTCGCCTGCGTCCGATAGTCCCAGCAACGTGGGCACCGACGGGCCGAAGATGTCCGTGTCCAGAATCCCCGTCCGCAGACCATGTCGCGAGAAGGACAGCGCGAGGTTCACAGCTAGCGTGGACTTGCCGACGCCGCCTTTGGCGGAGGAGACGGCGATGGTGTGTCTGACATTGCGGAGTGGGCGCTTTTGAGGGAGGCCGCGTTGCGCGCGTGGGATGCTCGGTGGTAGTCCTTTGCCGCCTGGTGCAGGGGACCGAGGGAGACCCTAGTCAAAGCAACAGAGGGAAGGTGTCAGCCAGGACTTCAGCATACAGTAGTGGGAGGAAAGAGACGAGGATGTCATGCTGGTTCCTTTGCCATCAACGAGCCGGTATACAGTTGACATTGGGGATGGGAGGCAACGTACTAAGGGGTTTTCATGACTGAGAACTCTCGCGCATGTGCTGAAGCACTTGCGCATAGTTCTTTGGCAGATATGCTCTTCAGAGTCAGGGAAGAGGACGACGCATGAAGGGTGACCATTGCAAGTTGATCGTGAGAAATGATTGAAAGCTGCGGGCATTTGGAGAAAATAGAGATGCGGAGAATGGTCGATGATGGTGCTCGGGTTATCTTTGTTCCGAGCATCTATCAATCCCTTCTTGCTCATTACATGGCAGATGCCTTCAGAGAACATGGTCTCGGTATCAAATTGCCATTTCTTATGTTCACCTTCCCCTCTTCCATCTCACATTTTCCAAATACAATGATGACGAGGCGCCACAATCACCAAATGCAAAGAACCCTGCACCTGAGATCTATCCAGACTTGTGAAAGCAAGGATGAATATAGCAGGGTGATGAAATGCAAGATGGTATTGTCAAACCCTTCCAACCGGCTTCAAGAAGGGCTCTCCAGCGCAGTTTGGAACTTCGTTTCCGTCCTCTCATACATCTTGGGCCGCTCAGTCGCATCCCCGTCAACCTGTCTTGCCTCTGATTCTTCCTGCGTGTTCGCTTCCTCCTCATTGACCAATCCGTTCATATCCTTCTCTTTCTCTATCAAGCCTTCTTTGCTCTCATGGTCTTCGACTCCTTCCTTTTCAGCATGCTCTGTATTATCAACCACGCCAACGACGCCCTCTGCCTTGACAATGGCAGTGGAACTTGGACTTCGCAGTGGCGCCAGTCGACCCATTCCCTCGTCACGTTGGTGGCCATGTAACCGCTCCAGACTGCGGTGGCTTCGAGGTGTATCATTACCGTAAGCTGCAGCGTGAGATCTCCCCCTGGTAATGGCACCCAGCTCAGACCCTAGATTTATGCTTGCCACACCTTCGTTGAAATCTTCACTCCCCGACACAAAGCTCCCTGCCTCATTTACCAAGGGGCTTCCCGGTCTGGTGTTCGTGGCTGGACTTGATGACCTGGCCTTCTCCACCTCCTGTGAGTCGACGGTCTTCGAAATACCTGGCACGGCGAACACCGCACGAGTACTAGCATCATCGGCCATTATCCCGCTACGCCCAGTCATCGCGCTAGCGGCGTCGGACATCACGGGCGTGTGTTGTCCGCCACTGTCATCACGAAGATGTGCCGCCGTCTTGAACTTCGGGATAAAGCCTGCTGAAAGCAGGGACGATTCAGGCGAAGCCATGTGTCCGTCTTGAGCCGATTGTTGGTCCCTCGCCGCATCCTGTAGCTCTGTGGATCTCGCAGGCTCTGATGGAATCACAACCGGGGGTACACTGCGACCTTCAGCTTGACCTCTGTCCGTGACCGAGATGGTGCGTTTCCTGCCTCGAGTCTTCGATTGGCTTGCCGGACGTTTTGCGCTCATGCTCCGCCTCGCACTGTGGCTTCGACGCCAACGTGTCGAGGATTGCTCGCCTTCGACCGCAGCGGGCGTCGCACCATCCTCGCGCTCTCCTAAGCGCTTCTCTTCCGTCTCCTCCATCTCAACTGCCTCCTCCTCCCTCTTCAGTGCCGACTCATCATGTTTGCTTCCCCACATACTCCACATCGCAAGACCGTAACTCTTCCTCTTCTTCTTGACCAAAAGGTCTTTGTCTGTCCGCCGGCCCGCGAGAGCGCACGGCGGAGGATGCTCGCCGGCCTCAAAGCCCTTTATTTTTCCACTGGATAAAGCTTTTACCCTTTCTTTCTGCACCCTGTTCCTCGTTCCGGCATATTTTGTGTCCCAGACCTTTTTGGCCGCAAGCCATTTTCTTACGGGACCGGGTTTGACTACTCCTACCTGGTCTGGATCCATTTGCAACGCTGGCAGTTCGTGTGGCTCAGCAAGAGGGTAGATCCTCCCGTGACGGTCAACCCGTTGACGAATCATGTTGTTCTCGAAAGGGGGAATTGGGTCTCCTGCTCGACCCACACTTCCCGTTGCCTTGTTCAGGTCCAACTTCGCCTTTGCTGCGCTATTAGTCGATGAGTCGACGTCGGTATCGGGGGCAGAATTATTATCTGATTGTGAGGAGATAATCGAGATATTGTCGTCATCCATGATCTCGATCGCTCGCTTCTGAGCCTTAGCCAGCACCCAGGCCCCGAACTGTGCAACTGAACGATACATGAATTTGGCCGGGCGCGTAAACGACAAGGTTGGAGCAACGTGACACAGATCTTCCCATACTTGTAATTGGACTGGAGTTGGTTTGTATTTTGTGAGTATGGTACCATCTGGATCATATCTTGCCTTGTAAATAGAGCCTAGGGGATATTGAGACGGATTTGCCATCTTGTGAGCAAGATAGATCTGTTCATCGCGCAGAATCTCTCCGCCGCCGGTCAGAATCAGGATTGGAGGAAGGCCTCCAAGAGAGGGTTGCAAGACCGGGGACACTAGGGGATGAGCCAATAACTGGTTGGTGGTATACATCTGGATCTGATCTCTTAAGACGACTCGCTTTCCATCCAGCTCCATAGACAGAGGCAACTGGTGACCAGGCTCAACATCACCATCGTCTTTAATAGGTACTGACGTGCTTGGATCGTCTGCCTTGTTTTTCGGGGATGCATCTTTGCCTTTGGCCAATTTGCCGATGGTCGCTAGCTCCGTGTCGTTGGGAGGGGGCCATGAGGTTGAAGGTTTCTGCATGAAGCCACAGGGTGGTATATAGTCAAATTCTGCACTGCCACTCAGGCTTGGGAAAGAATGCGTGAGGTCCACCCATGGAGAGATGAGGACCGCACCAGCAGGTAAGGGGAGTCCCTGGTCACGTAGAATGCAGAGCATTGAGACCACCATGCCTCCGCCGGCGGAGTCACCCGCCAGAATGATCTCAGAAGGGTCATGTATACTAAGCAGATAGAAATACGCGGCAAGGCAGTCCTGCAGCCCGCAGGGAAAAGGAAACTGCGGTGCCAACCTGTACCTTGGGGCGAATACGCGGGCCTTGAGCTTTCGAGCATGTCTCTGGAGCTGGTACCGGTGGACATCGACACTGCCGAAAAAGTATGCTCCTCCGTGGACGTAGAGCATGATCCTCCTACTTTTTGTGCCTTGTCTTTTGTGCTCGTTGTAGTGTGCACGCATCTCAACCCACTCCGCTTTCAGTTCGGCTCCCCTGGGTCTCCATTGCCACCACTGCGTCCCGCCGACTTCTTCAACTCCCGTTGGGCCCAGTTGGGCCGTGATCGTCTTCGCAGCCTTGGAGACATGGTCGGTCGTGATCGTGACGCTCTCGGTCCTTACCCAAGACGGACTAGGGACCCATTGAGCAGTAAAGGACTGTATGTCTTCCACTGTATGATGTGAGGCAAACAGGAGAAAGGTTCGCATTAAATGCAGGCCTTCATCGTAGGAGATGTGCGCAGTTGGTTTCTGGCGACGGGGCTTCCGGTTGGCATACTATGTTTTCAGTTAGGAGAGAATTCTGTCACAGGCAGTATCCTTACATGAGATATGCATGTCTTTATGACAGTGGGAGTGACGGCGACACCGGCAGTAAGCGTGTTAATGGTCATGTTTTGAGTCCGCAGCTCCCGCGTCAGGCAGGCTTCATGATGTTGCAGGAAAAGGAGGATAAGAGAATGCAGAAAGCAAAATCCGACAAAATAAGGATTGCGGAGCTAAGGACAAAGAACAGCCAGCGCGGCAGCAATCATTTGTGACCAGACACCCTGTAGAGAACTCAGGAGAGCGAGGCGGCGAGGCGGATGGGGAGTTCGATGCGAGGAGCAGTGTTGGGGCAAATAAATGACCGTCATGTATGTCACATTCAAGGCCTGTTTATTTCCGTGTCTTGTACGGAACGGTTCTAAGGTTTCCAGGAGCCAAGGAGCTAATTTATTAGCGTTTTCCTAGTAAAATAGCTCGTCGTTGCCCTTCAGGAGGTGGGCAATTTAGATGAATTCATGCCTGACTACCTTAAGGCACCTTGCCAATATAGCCCTATTTGAGGGCCTATCTGCGTGCCAATCTGAGCGTTTATCTGCGTGCTAACTTGGCCGTTAATTTGCGTGCCAATTAGCGCGCTAGTTGGCACACCAGTTGGCGTCATTTGCGGCAATTGTAACTGTGCCTGTAGCCCTGGCAGCAATGGCGGTAGAGGCACACTGGCAGTAGGATTGGTAGTGCTTTGTATAGAAGCTTGCTGGTCAGCGACCTCCTCTTCCATGAACGACGACGCAATGAGATCCTCGGCCGCAACGATCTCCTGGTTGTATATATCCTCCTATTCCTCCTGTTCCTGCGTGATCTGTCTATTACGCTGTTCTGTTATAGCCTATTTGTTGATCTCGCGCCGTCGGAGGACTCTCTCGTTAATGCGTATATAGAGGAGTATGTTTGCGTTCTTGTCATTTAAGCGATTGCGGAGCTTCGTCTGTACCAGATTCATCTGTGAGAACGCTCGCTCAGATGGACACTGGTTAGCGATTGAATGGAGGACTCTTTTAGCTATCGCCGAAAGAGGAGGATAAACGTCGTTCTGCCACAGCTAGAATTCTATAGGTGATAGATCTAGTTACCAGCATTCAAGACTAGTGTGAAAGCCCTCCTCTTGTGCTGTATACTAGAGAAAGCCTATACGCGCTTAACGAGCCTGTTTAGGTGGAACGAGCTTAAGCAACTCCTATATATAGAGGCCCTTTTCATAAGTCTCCTATGGTAAGTTGGCGTTGCCAGGTATGAGACGGAATGTAAGGTCATGAATCCTAGATAGTTGTATCCGTTTGCGCTCTGTAAATAGCCGCCAGATTAACGGCCAATTGACGCCCTCGGATGATCGTTTAACTGCCTTAAGTTATTGCTGGATTGTTATCCATCTCTACTTAACTAGGCCAACGTGAGCGCGCTCACCTTGTGCCTTAATAATCGCCTCGTTAATTGGCTGTAGAACGCGCTGAAGTCGAGCAAGATCGGCCTAGAATTGCGTGCTATATATGATAGATTTGATATATCGCGAGGCGTTAGAACTCTACAAAGCTAAGTCCCATTGAGTGCTGAATTTATATAGGTTAGATCTATTCGATAACAGCGCCGTGACAGTGTTATATTGAGAGCCCTAGCGAGTCTCTCCGGCTAATGTTAACGGCGAGGTTCTATTGTCTCGTTGTAACTAAATCTCTCGTAGTCCTACTAGTTGTTTAGGTGCGTATTTGAAGTGCCTACCGATTAGGTTACCGTCCTTGATTGCCTTAGCAAATTCGCGGACCTTTGTACAGATATCCTTAGCTAGGAGGTTAAGGCTATGAGCGTCATAAGGGATTGTTAATATATAAGATAGCTGATCGGTCTCTTTAAGCCGTGTCTAAACGTTACGTATTGTAGTATAGGTATCGGAGCAAATAGCTGAAATTCGCTTAGGCCGTTGATTCGCGATAGCTAGGAACTGCGGGACGAGATCTCGAGCGACTCTCTCAGTAGAGAGCTTCTCGCTACCGTGCTTGAAATTGCCGATATAGAATGTGCCTCTTGAGGTCTTAACCGAGAGATTGGTCGTGCGCTTATTATTGATATCCGTGGAGTTATCGAACGTGATAGTTAGGTACTTTTCTACGTTGATTACTGCCTCAACTTTAGCCTTGGTTTCTTGATAAATCGTAGGTAAAAAGGTCTCTGTAATAAGCCTTCGACAAGGCGTTTTCTAGTCAGGAATAGCAAGGCGAAAGAGCGTATCTACGGTAGGATTCTCAAAGGTTAAGAGAGGTAGGTTCGATTCGAATATTGCGCGCGCTGTAAGACGAGATATTCGATCGCTAGTTTCCTTGGAAAGCGTCATATTAAGGATCGTTTACGATAGAGAGGATGATATAGAAGAGGGTATAGGACTCGGCCGTCGTTAATCAGGTCGATTAAAGCGATTTTGAAGCCTTAATGGACGTTGAGATAGGACCTCCTGGAAACGCTCGCAGTCATCTTTAAGGTGTCTACGTTGGCGCGAGGTATTCGCTACTATTGTGACATCGCAATACCTATACTGAACGCGTTGAGATCGCTCATTTGGAAGCCTTTCTAGGTCGCGAAACTCGTTGCGAATAATAAGGTCTGGTGCGCGAGGCATTCTACAATGTCTATAAGGATAGAGAGATCGTTGAGATAGCGATTTGAGCTCCTGGAGTTGCGTAGGTAGGTGTTGTAAAGCATTCGTAGATACGCTTTTAGGGGCGATTTTGCGCGATAAAATAGCGTAATAATCTCGCGTTGTATGAAGAAAATAAGGTCAATTAAAGTGTATTTTAGCGCTATAGTCCGCTATAAACTAGCCACTTTTCCCATATAAAATGCTAGACGCTAGTATTTTAGTGTAGTTTAGTTATGTCTTGGCATGCGGTATTGTTTCGTATACTATCGTTCAATTCCGTCTACTAACGTTTAATATTTCGGCCGATAATAAAAGTCCGGTCTTTTACCAACCCTGGCGAGGAGGACAAAGTACCGAGTACGGAGTAATGGAGTCTATTCTCCACAATCATGCCATACGTCATGCCCAGGATATTCAGCCTCGCCGCCAAGGGTCCAGCCTTGTGGGAAGTGCTGAAGCGTATTGATACCAAGTGCTAGTGCTACTCCTACTCTCTCAGACCTCTACCTGATCGCTGTTGATATCATAGGTTACTTGATGCCCAGCAAGCTAATCACCGTAATCACCCTTAGCCACCACGTCGTCCACCCCGCCATCCCGGATCCTGCTTCTTTTCCCTGCTCTCTCAGAACAACCAGATCCCAACACCAGCGATCGAGGTCAGCAGGGCGAAGAATGAACCGGAGATTGAAGTCTTCGCAGATGGGCCAGCATCGCTCTTTGAAGCAGTCCCATCATCAGTCCCGCTTCCAGAAATGCCATCAACATTACCATTCCTACCACTACTGCCGTTTCCACTTTGACCTTGACCCTCGCTCGCAGTAACCTCTCCTTCCAACTTCGCCATCCGGACTTCATTGGCTCCAAAGTCAAAGACGGTAAGCACGTTCTTGAGAAAGGCTGCGCCAATGATGTTCAACGTAATCTCCCCGTATGCTCCCCCGCTAAAGTCCGAACTCAAGAGGTTGGAAACGCATTGCGCCTCACCGCTGCTTGGTTGAGCGGTCTGATAGATCAGGTCACGCCCGTCGAGGAAAAATGTCTGATTACCGATCTCAAGGCCCAATTGAGGTGCGGTGGCGGCACAGTCGACGTACCATAAACCAGTCGTTGCATCGAAGACAGCGGGAGGCGAGAACAGGGAGTTTATACTGGTGACCACTGTGTCAGGAAGGTAGGAGAAGAAATTGCCGCTGTCGATGAATGCTTGGAATGAGGTGCCATTTCTGAGTGTGGAAGAGGTCGTGATGTTGTTAGGTTGAGGGGCAGAATGGGATGTGGTGCCGTTACCAGGCCCGTAGACAATAGAAGAGACGGTAACCGTCCAGTAGGCGCGGACGCGCTCGTTGGATGTGACTTGGATGGGGACGGAATTATCAATCTCAACCGAAACGCTGGTGAATGCGTCGCTGTGCGGAACGGGTGGAAGGCCGCCGAGAGACAAGTACCCCCCGAAACCTGAGGTACTGTTCTGTGGTGTTCGTGCTAGTGCCAGGCTGAAGTATGGCTCTATTAAACCTTGTTGGTGCATGACGAACAGCAAGGGATTGTATGTGAGGCGGTTATAAAAGTATGTCGTGTTGTCCGTGACATTGGCCGGATGACCCGATGTCAAAGCGGGATACGCAAGGCCTAGAATGCCGGAGTTGACGCCGTCGCCCTGGGGACTTGAACTATTAGCCACTGCGATGGTTGCATTCTTGACTGTGATGCCAGCAAGAGTGACCTCTTCATGGGCTAAGACACCGGAGGCAATGCCGGCGCCATATTGAACTCCGAAAATCTCGTTCGGGATTTGAGAATATGTAGCGGACGGAGTATAGGTCGCACTGCCGTACAAACAGGCAGATTGCGGGAGCTCGGTACCGTTGGTCTTGTCGAAGCACCGATACCCCTTCTTCATCACGTAAGTGTCGCTGCTTCCAGTGTCGACAAGGAGAGGGAATGTTTCCCCGCCGATGGTGACATTGACATCGAAATTTGTGCCGAACGTTGTGGACAACAGACCTGAAGTGGCATTGCTGGAGGCCGGTGAGCCCCGACGATTGAGAACAAGATGCTGAGCAGAACTAGAGCATAAAGCCAGAGCAATGATTTGGAACAAGCGCAGAGTAAGAAAGAGTGCGGACAGATTTCCCATGGTGAGTAGTTTGACAAGTAAAGCACAAGTCTTGAAAACGATTGCAACTGAGGATGTATCCTTTGATCGACAGGTTCGAGCACCTACCGCAGCGTTCTTATACCTCGAGGGCTGATATAGCCCGCTGATTGATTCATACCTTCATTCTACCACTCACTTCCCAGACTATGCTCGTTGGTACGGTGACAGGGCACGTAAATTTGCGAGCTATCTTCTGGTGAAACCTTGACAAAGCAAAGACCTTTAATAGATGGGCGGCCCTACATGAGTCGATACCGTTTGGTGGTATATAGACCGTGGTCACTGAATACCTACCTAGGTAGTGATAGAGAGGAATGAGAAAGCGGATTCTCGCTTGTCCGTACGCTTCAACCTCGGGGGGAAAGGCGTGAAGGATTGGCTGGCGAGGCTGTGGCAGGCCCCGCAAGGCTGAGCGCAATCTGCAACAAGCCTCAGAAAGGGGTTGAGGCTCTTTGTTCTTCAACTCGGTCCTTTTGTTCTCGGTGCGCCAGCCCCAGAATCGCATTTACGGACCCTGGGGACCAATTCAGCAGCCCGCCTTCAAATCTGCACCTCTTGACTTTGCAATAATGTCTGGGTTCATTCATCCCGCCTACGTGTGCACTCCCTGCTACCATGGACAAATTGTCCGCCAGGAAGCCGCGAAAGAGCGCACCAAAGTCTCGATCAGGATGTTTCACCTGCAAGTATGTGGTACGCTATGTGCGCCGACAGATCCAGTGCTAACGAAAATTCTCACAGAACCCGCCATATCAGATGCGATCAGAAGAGGCCGGAGTGCGAGAACTGCACTTCGTCAAATAGGAAATGCCAGGGGTATCCCACGCCTCCACCCAACACTGCTTCAGGAGCACATGGTTCTCCTCACAATTCCATGTCCATTGCATCGTACAGCATCCCTTTTAAAATTCCCGGAAGCCAAGTGGATCGGCAGCTCTTACACTATTACTGCTCTCAAGCAGCATGGAATCTCTCCAGCTACGGCGATCCGACCTTGTGGACCGAACTGATCCTCCAACGATGTCAAGATCAACTCGTCATCCGCAGTTGCCTCGTCGCTTTAAGCTCTTTGCACAAGGACTTTGTTTCTGGGTCGTTTGCGGCCGGTGGAAAGGCAAAGCCGAATTCGAACGTCGAGACCATGACCATGGTCAGCAAATGCTACGGGCAATTGAAAAATTACCTCGCACGGTCTGATGCCCTACCAGATGTAGCGTTGGTTTGCAGCGTCATCTTTTACTCCTTGGAGTCACTTCTCGGTGATAGTCGACAGGCGCTATCGCACCTCGATAGCGGGTTGAGGCTGCTGAAGCGCACTCAATCCGAGGCAAAATGGGCTGATGACCCGTTACTTCTGCATCTGACACATCTCTTTGAACACCTGGACGTCCAGGCAAGTTGCTATGATGACCTTCGACTTCCGGTGCTGGAACTCGTTTCTCCTCAAGAGACTCGAGGAGCATTGTCGGTTGTGCCTGATTCGTTCCGAAATCTTGGCCATGCTGAACGCGTTCTTGTGAGACTTCAGAATTGGACCCTTCGTCAATTGATTAGCCACGTTCAGCACAAAGGCAAAACCTCGACGGAGTTTCCTCAGGATTTATGGGACGAAAGAGTGGTATTACGCCAGCAATATGAGAAATACCGCCGGACACTGAGCCTCCTCGATAGCAACCCAGGGAACTCACCCGTGAGTACCCCAGGGACTGACAGCCAAAAAAACACAAGGAAGCTTCAGCTACAACAGTTCCTGCTCTTGCAGATAAGCTTCCACATCTTCTACAATCTTATCGAGGAGAATGTTCCAATTGCAGCCGATGCTGCAGGGTACGCCATCAATGACGAGGATATGCTCAGCACCGCTCTTTCCGAAGTGCTAGACCTCCTCTCACTGGCAAGCAATTCAGTGTCGCACTCCGCAAGTGCTTCATTCCCACTAGCCTCGCCCTCGCAGCGCACTTATACACTATACACATTCCTCATCGGGACATTATACTTTCTATGTCTCAAAACCACCAACCAGGAAATACTAACCACGGCTTACCGGCTATTCTCCCACCCTCTGCTCCAGAACTCGCGTGATGGTCTCTGGGACTCCAGCCTGGTGGAGATGGTGGTCAAGAATGTGATGAAGATCCGCGACAGGGACTCGGGTATGGACGTGCCTGATATTCTCGTAGAAGACACGTCGCAGGGAGCGGGACCATGGACTTTCAACATTGAGGATTTCAGCTCGGGCGAAGAGACCGACTATCTCAACACGGATTTCTCCTCGCTGGTCACCGGAGGATCGGATCTGCTTTCTGATGCAGCTGCATACTTCTTTGCCGACGACTCTTTCCTGCTCTCAACTGATATGGTAGCGCAGTGCACGTCCATGTCAGCTTCGGGAACGAATTCGCCGTCTCTCTCAGAAGATTTGTCCCCGAGAAATAACAGCGAACGAAGTCTACCAAACGCAGACCGTCAGCGAACCGAGCCTTTAACCCAGAATTTCAGGTATGGTGGTTCGCCTGCTGGTTTTGCTGCAGAAAGTCATCCGGGACCTGAGCAACTCCAAACACAATCTTTGGGAGGCAAGCTGCCGGCTTCAAGTTTCGGCCAGCACACACAGGTTCAGTCCACAAGTCTACCTGGGTCAGGCCACCAGAGTCGCAATGTCACCCAGCAATTCACTATTCCGGCGGCTAAGTTGCCCCGGAGTAGCAGATTGGAAGACTTCGCGCTGGGTATTGTGGACGCGGACGGCGGAGTCGAAGTAGCTGCCAAGAGAATTGCAGAGATGTCTATATAGATAAATTGAGTGCAACGAGGTCGGAAAATGCCCTTCAGCTCTCTGACAGGGTCTAGGACACGTAATCTAGCCATCAGGAGAAAAACACTTCCCAAAGCGTTGGCGCTGGCTGCAAACTGCTGCGGGAGAAATCCTTACAACTTCCGTTGAACTATATTCTGAATATGGAGATCGCTGGCTTTTGCTTGCTAACCCCGGGGTTACTCTCGTCAGCCCGTGATATGGAATGGCTTCCGATAGCAATCTCAGACTTGAGCATCCCAGCCAACCCAGTCCACAAAAGCGTTGTCGAAGAAATCATTCGTCCATGCGGTCAAGTCGTTCGGCTCAGTATTGTGATTCTCGGCCTGCGGATGATCTGGGATTGGTGCCGCAACGGTATGGTTGAAGAATGAATCCCAATCCAACATATTTGTGGTTGCTGGCCAGTGATTAGGAAAGGTCTCTGCGAGAGTTAAGCCGGGCTCCGTGTTAGGAGGAGGGCGACCTTCTGGACAATAACGATCCCGGTCAGCTCATACATCTTGTCCGGGGGGTCAGACTTGCTCAGAGCAGCACATATTACCTTCATGGTTAACCACAGATCTGGCGTGCTGCACCAACACCACAGCGACACTTTTCAGCTTGGCCGCGAGCGAGTTCCTCGAGCTCATCTTCTCCAGAAAGACTGGCAGCTGCTCCATGGCCGCGAGGACTTCCTTGTTCTCCTCCGACCCGCCCTTGTCATTCGACAAGAGATCTCCGAAAAGGTCCAGGAACGGGGTGAAGGGGGCGCACAAAAGGTGCCATACCATGCCGTTGGCTGGTACCTCGGACTCCGATACCATGTCGGCGAGTAATTGGAGCATCCGTTTCGATGAGTCGGTGCACTGAGCCCTCATGCGAGTGGAGGATCGAGCGAGGAGGATATAAAGATATTCGTACTGGAAGTTGACGCTACCCAGAGCCTGGTCAAAGGAAGCGGCGTCGTGAGCGTTGAGAAAGGGTTTCTCGGCCAGGGCAGCAGCTTCAAGAATCTGTGTGGCATGTCAGCTCTTAAAGAGTCGTGCTCGCGAGGATCAATACGCACCTTTTGCGCCTGGAGGTACCACGACTCAAGATCTTTGCTGATTGATTCGATACTGTCGTCGTTGGGCGTCAATTCTTCGTGAAGACAGTACCAAATGTCAGCCATTATGCGTGATAGGATAAACATCTGGTGAATATAATCTGAAGATCATGTCAGACTTATTATCTCGTTTGAGGTCGGCTACCTCAGTTAGGTTTGGCTTGAGAGCTGACTTACGCACTCCGAACAGCGCCAGTGCGCCAGGCGAGCCAATGTGAGGCTGAAATGGTAAGAGCTGCTTGACCGTTGGCATGGGAATCTGTCTTGTCATTCCACGGTGGAATGTGGGCGATCTGCCAAAGATAAGAGCCAGTCCGATGTCCACGAGGTTCAGATGCCAAAACATCGCAACGCGCCGGTCACGGGTCTGAGAGTCGAAACGGCGGTCGCTCACCCCCAACGCCTGCAGCATCCTGCATGCATTTGTGACCATCATCCAACAGAGTGAAGGACTGGTAAACTCCTCTACATCGAGGGCGAGCAGAAGCAAAGCCTGGATGTTGAGCTCGGTGGGTTCGAGGAGGAGTCTCGCGTCGTTTAGGGCGAGCCAGAGATTATGTCGAAGCTTTGCTTTTGTGGATTCGTCCCGAGGATCAGCAGCGGAAACGAGGTTGAGGGTGATGCCGTAATACATGACGAGCCAGGCCCTATCTTGCACTTGTTGCGGGCGAGATTCCTTCAGGTGGCCCAACACTTCTGGAGGCGGAGTGACAGAGAAGGGACGATCTCGTTTCAATTCGGCCTCGAATGCTGTTGCATGTTGGTTTCAGCTGTATCCTGCAGAGACACGTTGCGGATCTCACCATTTACCCAGAGAACTGCCCGATCCTCTAACAAGTAAAAGTTGTTACAGGTCTTGTCGAATTCCAGGCCGTCGTGCCAGACAGCAGCAGAGGCTTCAGCTAGGGATGAGAGGGCTCCCATTGAGTTGTGTGGCGGCGTACCGAGTCCACGCAGACGATCTCGTGTGAATTCTATGTCAGGAGCGAGGCTGGAATGCAGACTGCTAGAGGTCGCTTCGGAGCCGTGGCTACGAGCGACACCAGCAGCGTTAGGCTGATCAGCGAGAGCTCTATCATGTTTCCGCTTCCTTTTGCGGCGAATGACGCCCGATCGCGAATAGGTGCAGTCAACGCCTTCATCTTCGCAGCGTTGACATCCAGGGCGTCCCCGTGAGCAAGCTACCTACAGACTTGTCAAAGCTGTCCTCCGGCTCACCAATTAGGTGGAATTGACATACCTTGCGGGATCGGCACTCATCGCACTCCAGTCACCATTCTAGTCAGTCTATAGACTTCAATCTACAGTGAATGAGAGGTACTTACAGCATATGGGGCAGGTGGCTCGGACATGATCACGGTGGCCGGTGGTTGTGAGATTGGAAAGTGTTCAACTTCCGGATGTCACTCATGAAGTATTCCAGACGACAAGACAGCTTAAGTCCCGAATATCCTCCGTCGGAGCTTACGGAACTTAACACATGACGGCAGCAGTGCCTCCCACTACATTGCATCGAGTGCAATGCAATCTTCGACCTGCTATAAAACGTGGTATTGTCGTCAGATAATTTACAAATGGATCTCCTCTTTACCCTCGACATTCCAAAGTGCTTCCGCTATGGCACCGCCCATCGCGATCCTCGGCGCCGGTCCCAGTGGCTTGACGCTCGCCCGCATGCTAGAGCTCGCCAACATCGACTATGTCATCTTCGAGCGAGACGTATCGGGCTCTGAGACATCTTCACGCGCCGGGACCCTCGACATCCACGCCGACTCTGGTCAGATGGCTCTGCGAGAAGCCGGCTTATTGGACCAATTCAAGAAACTCGCCCGTGCCGACGCACATACGGTCCTGGCCGACGGGCGGGGCAAAGTATACGTCAGGACGGGCGAGAGCGACGACATCAATGAGAACAGACCGGAGATCGACCGTAAGGACTTGCGAGCCTTGCTCCTCAACTCGGTCCCAGCGAGGAAGGTCCGTTGGGGCATGAAGGTTCAACAGGTGCAGCGAAACGCCGACGGGTCGATGTCTGTGTGTTTCACGGACGGCAGTGTCGAGTCAGGATTCCGACTCGTCGTAGGCGCGGATGGAGCATGGTCCAAAGCCAGAAATCTTGTAACTCACCCTGTCTCGATAATCATCGGTGGTGGGTGACTGACGGTGGACAGGTCACGACCGCCAAACCACAGTATTCTGGGTTGCACTATTTGACCACCACCATCAGTCCGGGGAATCCGTTTTACTCATCTGCCGCTGCGCTAGCCGGACAGGGCAACTATATAGCCTTTGGTCAGGGGAAGCAGATCGTTGCTCTCATGCTGGGCGACGGCTCCTACTACGTCGGCGTCGGACTGCATCTTCCCGAGCACTGGAGCTCAGAGAACGCTGTTGCTCTTGAGAGCCCGTCGGCGCTGTGTCGATTACTCCAGAATGACTACTTGGCGGACTGGCCTGCCCTGCACACGGACCTGATCAGACACAGCGATGGGAAGTTCTATGCCTGGCCGCTGTACGCCATGCCGATCGATTCGCTGCCATGGAAGACGGTGGCTGGCATTACTCTGGTAGGGGACGCCGCGCATCTCAGGTAAGACGCGAATACCATATAACCTGTTCTACGACCGCCGGTGCGAGCAGCCAAACTGACGATGCAACTAGCACACCTTTCGTTGGCGAAGGCGTCAACTGCGCCATGACGGACAGTCTCCAGCTAGCCCAGCAAATTATCAAGTATGGATTGAATGACCTCGATCGCGCCGTGGTAGAGTACGAGAAGTTGATGGTCCCTCGGGCCATTGATCTCATCGCCAGAAGCACCAAGAGCGGCGAGCTGTTTTTTGCCCCGGACGCCCCTCGAGGCTGGCTCAAGTCTTATGCTGGTGTTGACATTGATCAACAGTGTTCTGCGGGTGGGGAAGAGGTGTAATGGAGGGCGGAGAATGTATGTACCTAAGACAACTCCCTGGGTACGTATGAATAAGACAATGCGCTCCCACATGATGTTGATGGCTTAGCCAGCCTCGTTGAGCGTCTACCCGGACACCATGTGGGGCTAGTGGGTCCCCATGCCTCAGCCTGCTGAATCCTTCCTCGCAGCCTGCTCTTGTTCTAATGTAGCACCTTCGGGAAGACTGGGTGAGAAAGGTTTTTTTGTGCTCAAGGGTTGATCTGAAGGTACAGGGATGATGTGGCATACACCGACAAGGAAGATAGCGACGGCGAATGGCTTTACCAGCACTCTTTTCTACGCTACTACAGGCTTTTTGTTACCCCAGACTTGTACACGGTAGGCTCTGATAGATGGTATTCAAGAATTCGTGATGAGGCTTTCTGTCGCGACCACACCCTTAACCCACGCATCGAGACGTCATATCTCTGTTTATAGACTTGCAGGCAACTGCCCTATCAGAGTCCCGCTGTCACTACCCCCGGCGGCTTTATTTTCTTTTATACCATACGCCTGCGTCCGCCGGATCTCGAAGCCCCGTCCGCGGAGCCGCTTCGGCCACACGCCGCTCTTCCCCGGCGCGAGGATGCCGTTCGGGTCCAGACTGTCCTTGAGCTGCTCGTTGAATCTAAGCGAGGCCCCGTTGTTCCAGTTGTAGACGCTCGCAATCTGGTCCATGTAGCACAGGTGTGTCCTGTACTCACCGTAGCCCTGGGAGGAAGTCTTAGCCACGATTTCTTCGCATCTGACGTGCAGGCTGGGTTGAAGGGGGTTGGGTTCAAGTGGTCAGAAATAGGGCAAAGGTTTCGATCCAGGCTTACCTCAGCGGCTGCGTCGTCGATCAAGAGTTCAATGCATCGGTGTGCCCTTTTCCGAGAACCAGGGTCTGACTTGTCAAACGTCAAGCACACTATGGGCGGAAATCGTTAGTCAGGATCAGGAAACGGTTAAAGGAAGTCTTTATGCGACAGAAGGAGGCACAAAAACGAACCGATATGATGAAGCTCGCGCCATCCCACGACGAACGTGCCAAGGTAATCGAACCCGAACTCGCCGAGTCGCCGCTTCACCATTTCATACTGCTTATTGGCATCTATGCCTGTGGCGGGCGAGATGGGCGAGAATCCCAGCAGTGAGCCTCGCTTGCAGGTCCAGTCCAGCCATCCCAGTTCGTAGGTGTTGGGTATGCCCTTGAGAGTTTCCTCGCGCATGTGAAGAACGGTCTCTTGGGCACCATCTGTCAGGGGCTCTGGGAATTCATATCTTGCCTGTCAAGGGCACTACTGGTCAGAAAATCAAGCAAAGCCCAGTGAAGAAAACCGGTGATGGCCACTGCAGGCAATTCGACTCACTCCAGGAATTTGCATAAACGTGTTCTTCAGAACCTCCCACTGCAGCTCACGCATTGCCTTCGGGCCGTACATGGCACCGTAAATGTTCCAGCGGCCAACCCCGATCTTTCTGGCGATGGCATCAATCTCTTGATCTGTCAGGACTTCTTTGGAGTCTGTATATTGAGACTTCTGGGCGTAAACAGCAGCGTCGAGGAGTGTCGATCTGATTGTCGGCGCATTCTGGATAACCATGCCAATCCGGAGAACACGAATGGCTTCCACAATCGCCGGAAGATCAGTGTCATTCTGGAAAGAGAACAGGTATGATTGATAACCCTGAGCAGGATAATTAGTGTCGACGAACAACTCTACTACAGGGTAGGATAAGGCCTTACACCAGGGTCAGGCATGAGCCAAAATCCCATCTTGGTGACAACGCCATAATTCGACTGTGTAAAGATTCCGTCCGGATAGGGGCCGAACCCGTACTGGAACGTCTGCCAGGTGTTGTTGTTTGGCAACGCACCCATCCCCGTGCGCATCACTTCTCCGGTGGGCAGGACGACTTCCATCCCACAATGCATCGAAAAGTGCTCCCCATACGGAGTGTAACCGGCACCTCGATCCAGAGCATTGCCGACCACGGACCCACCTCCCAGGTCAGGGTTGTCGATCCAAAGATGCTGGAATCCATTCTTCTGAAGATAATCGTAGAGCGCAAAGTACGAAACACCAGGCTCGAGAAGGCAGGTGCAGTCTCGGTCATTGACTTGCAGCACTTTGTTCATGCGGGCACCCACGTCGAGAACAATGCTGCCACGAAGACGCGGTGCCGAGCCTCCATACCCTGCATTGGCTTAGCTGTGCCTAGGAGATGTGAGCACACCCGAGACGGATATCGTGCTTACCGAGGTTTCGACCCATGGAGACTGGCCATAATGGTGTCAAAAATTCGTTGGCCAGTTTCACAATGGCAGAGACGTCTTCAGTTGAGCCTGGCCGGACCACAGCACTAGCGAGGAAAACGTCCTTTTCCAAGACGTAGAACAAGTCATGCTCTTTGGGAAGGTTGTAGTAGTGTCCATCCTTATCGGGCTTCATGGTCTCCCTGGTGCACACCTCAACATTCTCAGGCCCAACCACCAAACTCATGTCTTTCAAAGCCTGCCTCAGGGTGCTTGCAGAGACATCTGGTGGAGTTATCAAATCAGCATCCGGGAGCGAATCAAGCAGAGAAATGGAGGTCATGGCTGTTCATTTAACCAATTGACCGTGAAAACGGGTCAGACCAAATGCAGAATTATTGTTTACTCACAGCTGCAGATGAAATGCATAGAGCCTGTCTGTATGCCATGCCTGTATATTTATGCCTCAAAGACACACGGAAGTATTGTGACCAGGGTGGGACGTGACACTCCACATCCCCACGGGGAACCCCAGTCGTAGCCAGCATTGTTTAGCATCGTGCTGGGGCGTCGTCCCACATGGAAGTTTTCAGCAGGAAGTGGTGAGAATACCACTCCTACTCAACGGCGTATTCGACCACAATCGTATCTGGGTGCAGCCGACCGCGGAATGTCACTACCATGGCTCACGTGTCCACGATCCCTTCCTCTGTCAAATGCTCCGCAGTGCTTTGTCCCAGCTCTTCTCGCAGCGTTCGGCCATACCCGAGATAAGCAAATCTGTTGCGTCGCACGTAATTTAGATTGTAGTCCTCAAACCGGGGCTTTGCCAGTGCCTCGTTGAAGTGCCAGGACGAGCCGGGCCACGGCCCTATGACGGGGCCTTCCAGTTTTCCATTTTTGTACCTGCAGCAAAAGCACAAGCTGTTGTCAGATGAAGTCGCGTAGACATCCGAATTGCTGTACGCAGCACTTACCAGCTCCGGCATTCGCCGCTCCAGACGTACGCCTTCATCGACTCGTTCCGGTGCTCGATGAAATCCTGCATCGCTTCCTCTTTGACTTCCATCGAAAGGATGTTCTCGGTCTGCATCTTCTCAACACAGCTGTAAGCGTAGTCGATCTCCACCTCGAGTCCGGAGATCAGGGATCCACTTGCAATGGGACTGTTGGGGCCTCCGACAACTGCGTATCGTTAGATGGATTTGACCCGTAAGGTTGTCGGAACAGCTTGACTTACTAAAGTAGTTGGGGAAGCCTGGGACTGCAATCGACATGTAGTGCAGAGGCTCCTCACTCCAGTATTCTGCGAGATCTCGGCCCTGCCGTCCGATGACTGGAAATGCTGGTCTGAAAGAGGTGTCGAAGCCCGTGGCGCAGATGATGGTGTCAACGGTATGATGGCTACCGTCCTTCGTGACAAGTCCCTCGGAATCAATGTGATCGATTTCGTCCATAACCACCTGGGCATTATTGGCCACGAGAGACTCCAGATACCCGCTTCCAGGCGTATACCTTGTTTCAACGTTAGTATAGTGACGGTCCTCGTGGCCTCCCAATCCTAAAACATACCTACGGCACCCCACCGGAAACTTTGGAATGAACTGGGCAGCCAGAGCTTCGTCGTCGTTGAGTCTTTTCTTCATCATTGCGGAGAAGTTCTTGAAAGCTTCGAGCTGGCGGGGTGAGCCCTTGTAGAATGTCCCAAAATTGGAACTGCCAGTGTTTTGGACAAGTTTCCGGTATTGGAGAAAGTGTTTTTTGTCATTTTTGAAACGCTCAATTTGCTCCGCTGAGAATTTAGTGTCCCGGCCTTCTGTAGCCAGGGATTGGCTAAACTCGGGTGTTATCCAGGTTGGAGATCGAATAAAGTTGATCATCCTGCGGACCTCTTTCAAAGAAGGGCAAGTTAGCATACGTTCTCTGACATCTCGAGAGCTGCGTCGTACTTGGAGTAAGAGTTGGTACAATCTGAATAGCAGAGGAACCGGCACCAATGACTGCAACAGTTTTATCCTTGAAATCATATGAATCATCCCACCGAGCAGAATGGAGCAGTTTGCCTTTGAAGTCGTGGAGGCCGTCTATCGCAGGCCATTTCCAGTTGCTGGAAACAGGTGGTTAGCCATCCGCTCTCGCCTTTGCGGTCGGTCGTGAAATACTTTAGAACTCCCGTGGCACTGAGCAGCACATCGCAGCGATCGCGGATTGTAGCACCAGTCTCGAGAACTTCAGCAGTAACCTCCCAGACGGAATCAGAGGAAGACCACTCTGCTCGAATGACTCTGTGGCCCAATTTGATGTACTTCATACAGTCCCATTTGACTGCACATCCTTTGAAATAGGCGTGAATCTCGGGAGCTTCTGCATAGCTGGAGAGGAAGTTAGAGAATAAAATCATATCAACTTGATAATGAAAGGGCTTGCGGCGAAGGACAAACAATCGTGACCACTCGGGATTTCCTTCCCAAGAATACGTGTATCCGTGTGCAGGTATGTCGCACGCACATCCAGGGTATCGATTCTCCAGCCAAGTCCCGCCAACATCGTGGTTCTTCTCGTAAATGGTGAATGCAACCTCCTTGAGTCGTCGCTGATACTTATATGCGGCCGCAATTCCTGCGATACCGGCGCCAATACAGATAATGCGGAGTGGGCGTTTCTTGTGGATGTGGTCCTGAGAGACGACGTATTGACTCTTAGCGCGTTTCCGTGACTCGAGGCTTCCATTTACGCCATCCTTCTGGTCCACTGACAAGGTCAGTGTATTGAAATCTGCAGTGGGCTCAGTCATGATGAGCTCCAGTAGATTTTCTAGGCCAGACGGGAGGTATCGGCCAAGTGATTGACAGATATCGGTCAAGACGCGGGTCAATGGTACACTGGATCGCGGGGTTTCAAATAGCAACAAACACCTCCTGTCCACTCTGCCAAATACATGAGTCTCTGCGATATAGCGAGTCTCGCGGCACAAGTGCTAGGGACTGTTTCTTTCCGCCAAAAAGCGCGTCTCCAGCATAAATGAGATGATGCCCATGTCTTACCCCCCTTCATGGTCCGCAAAATGCTACAAATCGTTCCGGGCACCGATGCCCAGAAAGAAAAAGCCAATTGGACGCGACAGGTCATTCCAGTGCCGGGGCTTCGAGGGCTTGTTCGTTTCCGCGGCCAGCGGCCGCTGAGAATAAGGTGTCAGCCTCGCATCACCCAGCCTTGTTCTGTAACAGCTGGCTCCTACAAAGGAACACGGAGTACAACCAGCTTGGACCAATCTTGCGCCAGGCACCATCCATTTCGCCCATCTCCGTGCCGCAGGGAAATAGATATCACCCAGATATATCGTTCAAAGTGCAACATGTACCGCTCAGGGAAACCAAACCTCGGCTCACTTCCGAATGCCGGACCATGATACTTGGAGTGAGCCGAAGGCTGTACCGTGATATTGCGAGTCAAGACACATTCCGACTAGCAGTTCGTCAGCTTATCGTGGAGCCTTTCATAGGCTTGGAATTCATGCTGCAGAGCCGTAACAATAGATATCAATATCCTAACCAAGGAGGGATTCGGAGCCCCTCCAGGCAGCGTCTGACAAGCTTACAATACCCCAAATCCGGAATTCGAACCAGGTCTCCCTTGATGGTGATTGTCCAACTTTGGAAGACACAGCACTGTACAAGGAAACATCTCTGACAGGCTGCTTTGGTTCGACACCGGTACTTGAAAACCAGGAGACTCAATTGTATTCGAATCGAATCTTGGTCGACGATCACGAGCAGCGCCAACATGTCTTCCCTCGACAAAGAATACCTTCTCTCGCTTGCGACCATAGATCCAGAGCTCAAGGCGGTACGCTATACTCAGTGAGACGTAGTGGATTTCATTCACCTGACACGAATCCAGTTTCTTGACAACGCTCAACTTCCGCCTCCTCCCAGTTACGATGACTTGGATGCCTTTAAAAAGATGTCGGCCCTTCGCAGTATCGAAACCCTGAAGGCGCTTGGTGACCCGCCGCCCGAGATCAGACAATCGGAACTCCAATACCCGACCAGAGACGGCAGCAAGGTACGGGCGAAGCTATACCAGCCATCGAACCCAGGATCAGACCTTCATCGGCCGCTCATTGTCATGTTCCACGGCGGGGGATTCTGCATCGGCACGCCAGAAAGCGAAGAGCAAAGCTGCCGGAACTTCGTGCAAGCCTTTGGCGCCGTATGTATTTCGGCAACGTACAGGCTAGCTCCGGAATTCCCATTTCCGTACGCGGTCAACGACGCCTGGGACGCTATGAGGTGGGCAGCGGAAAAGGCGACCTCTTGGGGCGCAGACCCATCTGCTGGGTTCGTGGTCGGAGGCACTTCGGCCGGCGGCAATCTCTCAGCTATAATGGCACACCTGGCCCGCGACGAAGGACTCTCGCCTCCACTCACGGGCCAATATCTAGCAATCCCCACCGTTCTCCCGCCCGCAGTCGTCCCGGAGAAGTACAAAGAGTACTACTTGTCGTACGAGCAGAATCGACATAGCCCGGTCCTTCCTGTCGCCGCAATGGACATGTTCCTCTCGGGCTATAAGCCCCAGGATAACGATGGCGTGCAGTGGGCAGTCTTCAACCACCCCAATGGCCATCGTGGACTACCGCCAGCGCTGTTTCAGATTGACGGAATGGATCCCCTGAGGGATGAGGCTTTGATCTACGAACGGGTCCTCAGAGACGAGTGTGGTGTCAAGACGAGGAGTTACGTCTACCCAGGGATGCCCCATGGCCACTGGGCTTTCTTTCCGTTCTTGAAGAGCAGCGACAAGTTTCGCGTCGAGCAGATTGAAGGCATGGGCTGGCTCCTGGGCAAGAAGCCGGACTTCTCCACAGTGGTCACCAATGCAAAGCCTGCGAGTGCCTAATCTCTCACCGCTGGACTCTCGTGCTCCTGTACATATGATGACAAGACCAAGCTTGACAGAGATCCACAGCAGTCCCAGCCTGCAGGGTGCTGAATACAGTGACACGACACACTATTTTACATGTTGCATAACCCGCTCCATAGGACGAGATCTAACGGTCGAGGCTGTCCGGCAACAGAGGAGGAAAGAAGTTCACAGCCATCCTGAAGTGTGACTCAAGCCAGTGGTGTCTGTCGTGACGGCCACTGCCCCCTTTTCGTCTCGCTTCAGCTACCGGGCTCTTCATCATTTTTGGGGAGAAGGAGAGGAAGTCGATCCAGGTCATTCTTGCGCGCATTGACCAACTCGGTAATTGACCGACGAGCCTCCAGCAGTTGTACAAGTTCTTGAGAGGTATTTAGTCAGAAAAATAGAGAATCTTGTGGGCGAACTTGTAGGAAGCTCTCTCACCTAGTACAGACGCCCCAATCTGCCAAAACGAGCCTATCGCCCCAAGTACCAGCTTCAGCATCTCGAGGTATATGGGTCTGCTCTCGTCTGGGTTTGCCGCGAGCTCGCAAGCTGTTTTGGCGTTGATGGCTGCGGGGCCGAGCAGGGTCGTGGTGACTAGGGGACAGGTTCGCGGGATGTAATTCGGATCCCATTCCCGAATGACGCGACAGACTAACTTCTCATCTTCCAAGGCTGATGTTTCGAGGGAGACGTCTAGATGCTGCGGGAACTTCCGATGGCAAAGCAGTCGAAGGGATGAACGACTACTATTTCCTCCAGTCAGCATCCATCCGGGATCTTGAAATTTTCTACAGCTTGAAAGAACGGGACTTACGAATGGAGGATTAAGTGAGTGCAAACGATCCAATTGTTTGCCGCGAAATTGGACTCGTCGTAGCTGAGAGTGTTCGCGGACAGGTGAAATCGTTGAGGGAGGATCAGAGAAAAGCAAGTGATGGAGGACTGAAAGTCGAGGATGGTCTGGGCGGTCGTGTGTCGTCTGTGGATTATATCGTGAGCGAACGCCCTGAGGAAAGACGCTATCAGGAACCAAGCCCTGTCGTCGTCATTCGGCGAGTCCTTGAGCGTCTTCCACACGTGAAGTGGGTCGGGTATCGCTGCGACCGATGCCACTCGCGTGTCCGAAAACCATGCCTCGTCCGATACCGGTAGTAGTACATTGATGTGAGTCTTGTCAATCGTGTGCGGCCGCTTGAGGATGGTTCCCGAGAACATGTCGAGCTCCCAAGCCAACCACCAGGCTCGACGAAGCTCTTCTTTTTTGCTCCATTCTTCTGTCGACGTCCATTGAGCTGTGGCTTTCGATTCCAGAATGTCATGGTCGATGTTGTTGAGTCCAAGGTCGTATGCCAATCGGCAGGAGACACCAATGAGGTTACCGCAGCGCCCACTGGAGCCACAGACCTGGTGATACCAACCCAGAAGAAGCAATCCTTGGAGCAACGACAGATTGGCTTGGATGGCCGCATCTAGCTTCATAGCGTCCTGAAACAGTTGCGTCGCCTGACTGAGGAATGGTTCAGCCCGTCCTTTCGGAGGTAGATGGGCAAAGTACGAGGATGTGGAAAAGCGGGCGGCTAGGGCGCAAATGGTGTCGAGGATCAAGCAGTCTTCCAGCGAGAGACTCTGATATTTGTCGGGGTCTTGGCCATGCACGTTGTACTTTGCGTAAAACCGCGGTTTGTGGAAAAGAGGCACCCAGCCAGCCACATACTTGAAGAATGCTTCGATCCTGAGCATGGTAAGTCTTGAGTACGCACAGAGCGTGAACGTCGCATTACTCACGTATCATCCACGACCATAGCAGGAAAAGGCATGGAGTATCTGTTCGGCCTTGTGTTTCCTTGACTTGTCGAGTTTGTATTGGTTGCGGGAAAGAAGCCGAACTGGAAGTTGTAATTCATCTCCAGTGCTCCAGTGGGATCTTGCGCTCGCAAAAGAGGTATGTCCAGCATCTCTCCTGTATTCGCCTGGAGGGCCAGGGCCTCCAAGTCCTGGGCATTCGAGAAGCCGTCGGTAAGCCAAGACCCCAAGGTGGGATCGAAGACATCAGCGAAGAATCGAGTTTCACCCTGTCCAGATAGAAGACTGGGATTCATGTCATTCGTACAAAATCCATTTTCCACGTCGGTTGTTGTTATTTGCCCTACGTGGTTAGGGGAGAATCCGGGCGTTGGAGGGACCTGTGGAGACTGGGAGGTGGAATTGGAAAGACTGTCTTGCCTCTCTCTGCGTCGTAACAGGGCATTTTCCAGCGTACTGGGATCCAGAAGATCGAGGATGCGGTCTGGAACAAGGACACTTAGCTCGTCACCTTTTTGTTCCGAATCGTTCAATGCGCTCACTTAATCCTTCTTCTCCTTCCAACTCCAGAAGACGCCGAGGTGATGCGCTCAATTGCCAGGGGCGGGTTGCCGGCCGTCTTTTCTTCGGGTAATAACAGTCTTGCCCAGTTCGAGCGCACAAAGAACATCTCGGAGTTCGTTTGTCACCTTCTTATCGTTATTCGCACGCTTTGAACATGAGTGTCCAGCAACCGCATACATTTAATTTTCTTCCTTCTAAGGTGTTAGAGACGGCGCAAAATGCTTCATGATCGGGAGGAATATACCTATTACATTCGCCACATGCTCGAGCTTGCCCGCCTCTTTTTGGCTTTTCTGCTGTGGTGGGCTCATAAGTAGAATCGGCGCTATTATTCTCGTGGTTTGAAACATCCGAGCCCTCTCCTGTGAACATATCATCCATGGTGGCATCCATGGAGGAATCCATGACGGTGTGAACGAAGTGATAGATACTTGGGAGAGCTTGCTGCTCCGAAGGTAGGGCGTCAGATTTGTGGGGAGACTGTAATTATACATCCCGGGGCGGATGGGGGGCCCAGACGGGGTGATGGTGGCCCGCTGCAAACAAAACACCTACAAAGAAGGTTACGGGCCAGGGAGGGGGTGGCGTCCCTGGCACCAGCCCAATGGCCATTTCTACAGCTTACCTCTTGCCTGGGCGCAGAGAGGTAGCTAGCATCGCTGGTCACAACTGAGTGAAGCTCTTAAAGATCCCGGATTTCCAACCCCAATAACAGCAGGTATGTAGTACTCGGTATCCCTCGCAGACATCCCTGGCAGCACGACCTTACAGCTTTGGTCTAGGGATAGCGCTATCATTCCGAAGTTGGAAGCTTACTGAGTAATTAGTATTCGGCTGTGGGCTATGCAGGGTCAGAACAAGTAGCCAGTGGCTCTAGGCCTTCTAGAATCAGAGGTTGCTTCGTGTGACATGGCTTCTACACGCTAAGAATGCCCCTTAGTAGGAGGTGTGCTTCTTGAGATGAGAATATTTCTTCATGTTCAACCTGACTGCTGACTTTATCACCACCGGTTGATATTCCGTATGACTCAATGGCAGTGGGCAGAGAGGAGAAATTTACTTTCTTTCATCCGAGCACACACCAGATGGTCTGAGCCACCTTGGCGAACCGGTGTTGACCAAGAACGCCGTCTTTATGCAAGGCTGAGGATGGCTGCGACCTGGGGAAGCAATCGCCACGAGAAAGGAACTTCTTAGGAGCTGCCCGAGCAATTCCCCTCGATCGACCCAAAAACCTGGGCACAGCGCAGAACAGAATGCGGGGACGAAGATTTCTCAGCACGGCATTCAGAAGACCGGATCACACATGGCGATGCTCAAAACTGGTAGGCGCTAAACTCAACGCATGGGACGGCGGCGGCTATGGCGCCGGGTAGGGAGCATCTCCACACGACTTTGCAGGGTGGTGTACCCAAGAATATGGGCTGACTCTACCACGAACGGGCTTTTTTGAGCCCGGCGATAAAACTATCATGGCACAAATGCATCAGACATCGGAGCTCTGCACTCCCTACCTACCATCGATGGAGCCTCCAAGGCTCCACCGGTGTTCGCGCTCCCTGTGGCTTCTACCTCAGGTTTGTGAACGAAGACTTCAAATACGCCTTCGAAGCCACTCACGAATGTCTGTCAATAGCTCCAGTAAGCCAAGGTCGCTGATCGCTTGTTAGTGGTGTCTTCGACCACCAAAGCCAAAAATGCCAATCGACAAATCCTGGCCCGGTTACAATAAAGGGACCGTTCCCGACGATGGATTCGAATGGATATGGCAAGAAGCGATCCCTGGAGATGAGCCAAATAGGCCGGTAAAAGTGGTGACTATCCCTTTTGGCTACGAGAAGCGCGTCCTGCCTCGAGGATGGCAGAAAACACCCGAGAACATGCCCCTGGAGCTGGACATTATCTTCGAGAAAGACGTCGAGATCGTCCTGCGAGATGGGGTCAAGGTAAGCCCCTGTCGCACATGATAGCAACTGGACAGCGGGACTATTCGCTGACCTGCCCATTAGATATATGCCGACATCTACCGGCCTGCCGACACGGGCGGCAAGAAAATCCCAATCATTATGCCTTATTCTCCGTATGGGAAAGGAGGAGGTGGCGCGAACCTCATGGACGTTGTGCCCTATCGGGTTGGAGTGCCAAAGAGTCGACAAAGCGGGCTTGAGAAGTTTGAAGGGTTGGTGGCCTTCCTCAGCGCCGAGAGAAGTAGAACTGTGCTGACCGACCCAAAGGCCCGATCCCAACGAGTGGTGTCGTCGGGGCTACGCCATTCTCGACCCTAATGCCCGTGGATCATTCGACAGCGAGGGGAACTTGCATTACTTTGGGCGCAAGGAGGGTGAGTTGGTTTCTCAGCTGGCCGTCAATGTAAACGACTTTCTCACTGTTTCTCTCTCTTCAGGCGAGGACTGTTACGACATCATCGAGTTTGCTGCCAAGTACGAGTGGTGTAACGGTGCCGTCGGCATGGCTGGTAACTCCTGGCTCGGTGTCGTGCAATACTGGGCCGCCATGGAGCAACCGCCTCACCTCAAAGCCATTGCCCCGTGGGAAGGCCTCAGCGACGTTTACCGCGACCTCAGTCGCCGAGGGGGCATCGCGTGGGCGCCATTTTTGAAATGGGTCCTTATGGGTATCCCAGGTGAGTAGTCATCATCATCATCATCATCCTGCCCGAAATCGTGGCTCTCGTCCCGGCTGTTAAGTCTGCATTTCTCAGGTCGCGGTCTCCAAGAGGCTGTCACGGAGATGGGTGACCAGCATGAGTTTTACGACGCGTATTGGGAGTCGAAAAAGGTGGATTTCAGCAGAATCAAAATTCCGTCCTATATCCTGGCCTCGTACTCGACCATGTTGCACACCATGGGCTCGGTGAGAGCATGGAAGTACACCAACACAGACCAGAAATGGCTGCGCTTCCATCCCCACCAAGAGTGGTACGAGGACTACTTCTACCGCTCGGTCGACGATTTGGACCGCTTTTTCGCGAAGTATCTCAAGGGAGAAGACAACGGCTGGGAGAACACGCCCAAAGTTCGTGTCTCAATGTATCGATTCGGAGAAAAGGTATTCATTGAGCCACCCCGTAAAAATCGCCAGAGGTATTCCTCCATCGCTAATGTCATCCATCTAGTACCCTCTCGAAGACCAGGTCGAAGCGGACTATCCGATCCCTCGCACCAAATACACAAAACTATACCTGACAGCGAATAAAAAGCTGCAAGAATCACCCAGCAGCGAAGAAGCCGTCCACTCTTACGACTCCACCAACGGTGACATGATCACATACGACTACATTTTCCCCGAGCGAACCAAGCTCGCCGGCTTTTCGAAGCTCAAGGTTTTCGTGTCTTGTCAAGAGCACAACGACCTCGACATCTACGTCATGTTACGGAAGTTGTCCGTGGACGGCGAGCTGATGGAACAGTCCAACGTCCCTCTCCACGAGCTGCCCGTGAAATCAGTCAAGGAGGTCGCTAACGTGAACCCGACAAAGTATCTCGGTCCTACCGGCATTCTTCGCGCCTCGCACAGAGAACTCGACCCGGAGAAGTCTACAGAGTATTGGCCTGTCCATCCGCACTTGCGCGCCGACTATGTCGAGCCTGGAAATGTTGTCGAGATGGATATTGGCATTTGGCCCATGGGTATCGTGTACGAGAAGGGCGAGGGTTTGCGTCTGCAGATATCGGGCAAGACCATGGTGTTGCCGGAATGGGACAACCCTCATGTTAAACATATGGAACCGCAGTTCAACAAAGGACATCACCGGGTGCATCTGGGTGGCAAGCATGCGGAGAGTTTCCTGCTGGTGCCCAAGTTGTAGACTTGCGGGATAGAGAGTGCTAGCGAATACAGCGGATGACTTCGTTGACAAGTGGCGACGACCGTCACCGAGAAGTCAGCGCAAGTGCCAACTTGTTCTTTTATCCCTTTCTTCTTTAGTAAACAAAGCCGACAAAGCGATCTCCTTGCTTTGTAAGTCATCCTCTTAAGAAATTTACGAGCCGGGAATCAGAACGCCGACTTGGACTTTACAGCAGCTCATCGGCATTCCGTGGGAGTGGGCTCTTTCTTCCAACTAGGTATCCATCAGATGAGTAGCACACGCCCTTGTGATCGGACAGGCGCCGACACCGGAACAATGGCTCTGCGCGCTCGGGATCCATGAAGCGATCGGAGGGTGCACATCAAGGGCCAAGAGATCGATTCTCGTATTTATCAGCTTCAAGTTCCAAATTGCAAGGCCTTATGGGGTCATCGTCTGATGTGTCGGCACTCGTGCAAGGAAGCAGGAACCTTTTGTGCATTTTCTCATGGCTCAATCAAGAGACTCGCGACTGCAAGGTAAAGTGGCTATTGTCACAGGTCAGCACAAGTCTCAACAGTCTCTCACGTCCGTGACCTTGAAGAGCTAATTGTCAATTAGGAGGCGCATCTGGATTTGGAGAAGCCACGGCCAAAAGATTCGCTGAAGCTGGAGCCAAAGTCGTTATATCCGACATTAATCGTGATGGCGGAGTACGCGTTGCCGAGACCTCACCCTCAATAAAATTCTTTCCAGGCGATGTCACGAAGCTGGAAGACTGGCGAAGTCTGCTTGATTTCACGCTTAAGGAGTTTGGAAAGGTTTCGATCCTTGTCAACAACGCCGGCACAACGTACCGGAACAAACCCACCCTGGAAGTCACCGAGCAGGAGTTTGACCGCGTTGTGAGCGTCAATTTGAAATCGATCTTCCAGGCCACACGCGTTATTGTGCCACATATGATTGAGAAGGGTGAAGGAGGCTCAATCATCAACGTGGCGTCCATCGGTGCACTGAGACCGCGTCCTGGGCTCGTCTGGTACAACGCCTCGAAGGGGGCGGTCTTCAATGCCACGAAGGGCCTCGCCGCTGAATTCGCCCCTCACGGAATCCGATTCAATGGGATCTGTCCTCTTTTGTCCGGTACTGGGCTTTTTTCCTCGTTCGTGGGCGTTGAAGATACACCAGAAAACAGGACAAAGTTCATATCAAATGTGCCGATGGGAAGGCTCACGGATGTGTTTGACGTGGCCAATGCAGCATTGTACTTTGCAAGTAACGAGTCCAGCTTTGTAACTGGGACTAATCTGGAGGTGGACGGAGGACGCGCTATTGGCTAGACGATCAGACAGTTAACTCGTGCATGTGTATCTGTGTGTCTGTATGTGCAGAGTACCTGGCGGGTTGAGTTCTAAGTACCTAGGTAGACACCAGGTCGAAATGAGATTCCGCCGGGTTGAGCTCCGGCCGTGTTTTGTGGGCCCAGTCACAAAGGGCAACTGAGCCGATGAGTCCGCGCTGAGACGAGGATTGATTGGGCGACGAAGGCACCACCAAGACGCCAAGCCGCCAAGCCGCCAAGAGGGGTCTTGCAAACTACCTAGCGCGGCGAGCCAGGTCGATCTGAGCCAGTCTGCTCGCTTCTGGGCCTCTTTAGGACTTCTACGACGACAGCTTGAATACCGCTGAAAACTGACTTTGCGGATGCCGAGAAATTCGAGTAGATTTTCCGCAATGGTCTTTGCAGTGGAAGCAAGACAAGCCGTACACCATCGCAAACTTAGGCCTTGAGTTGAAACGAAGGTATCTTGAAATACATGTTAGCGCCGAGTAATGTTTGATGGGTTTTGTACTGCTGCGAAAAGGGATCCGACTACCCCATTTTCGTTTGTCCTTACAATCCTCTGGACAAGGACGACAACAGGCTAGGAGACTCATGGGCACGAGGAGCGTGGAATGTCGAGGAGACTCTCTTTCAAAATTCTCGTTGGATTCGATCTGGGACTTGTACAGACAAGGAAGTCTTGAGTTCAAATGCGAGGCCATGTTGCTCTCGCTCTGAATTAAACAGACAGGAAACCCGCCAAGTTATGTCTTGGGAAAGGGAGACCGTCGGAAATTGCTTCGAATAATACTATTATATCAGACTGTCCCAACAACCTTCGCGTCTCACAAATACAGCTGTCATTGAAATGAGGGCACGCTGTCTTTCAAAAGCACGCCTGACATCGAGCCCTTGACCATGACTTCAGCAGCTATAAATCGGAACGTTATATTAGCGGGAGTTGCTTAGATATGGCGTGCATCATCAGGACATCCAGGCAGCAAGGGAACACGCTTTGTTATCTGTAAACGTTTTTATCGCGAACTCGCCCATCCATCTGTGGTGTCCAGAGCATAATCGTGCCGATCTCCACAACAATATTCTTCCCTTTGAGGGCATTCGCGCTCGACACTAAGAAGGGTGCAAAGTATATACCCGGAGGTTGAGGCTACTCTCCAAGGCTGGTTCAATGGCACAGAATAATTGACGTATCTGTCAGTGGTTCGGTAGTCCTCGACCCTTGGAGAGATTGTCATGATCATATCTCAGACGTAAAAACAGCTATATCGACCGCGATCATAGTCGTTGTCGTCTTGACCCGACGAATGTTTCAATTTGGAAAACGAGTTATTTCATTAACGATACTATGACACCATTTCTCTGTTCATAAAAGCCGCCTCCTCTTCCAAAGACTAGACGTCCTCATGGTCTGGGTCCCGTAATCACCTCAGAGCTGGTACTTGAATCCGGGAGACCGATCCGTCCATTCTCCTTCAGGGACAACGACACCCTCGGCCACCATTCTTGCCTTCTTGGCCTCTCTGTGCCTGTAGATGAAGAAGAGGATCCACCACAAGATGAAGCCAAGCCCGATGGAAGCCAAGCTCCAGCCGTGACCGAGGAGGTATCTGGGCGCTGAGGTCGACCTGTAGATCTGACCGGCGATGATGCCACCAATGTTGGCAAGTCCCAGGTGGACACCCATGGCGGCAGCACGCTTGCCGTCTGGCGCGATGTTCATGCCGTGCCAGGCAATGCTCGTGCCGGTGATGATGTAGCAGCACGCCGCGATCATGTACGTTGCGCCGTACCAGACACCGGCGTGTTGCTTCGTGAGCAGGATTGCATAGCCGGCTATACCGACTGGGGCCGAAACCACCATAGCCAAGAAGTAGGCCTTGTATCTCTCGGAGATTGTGGCGGCGACGAAGTAGCAGACCGCACCGACGATTTGAACTGTGAAGAAGCGATGAGTTTCTGAGGGATCAACGAATGTGCGGGGTTTGCATACCTGGGATAACATAATACTGTGCTTGCTTGGTGGTATAATCGAAACCGTCCTTGAGGATGATGGGGAGGAAAGTCCCAAAGCCTGTCAGGGCGAGGTTAGCATCAAATAGCCATTCAGGCACTCGTATGGATTGATTTACCGTAAATGATGGTCGACATGAGGATCTGGTTGAAGCCGTGCAGCCAAGTCTTGATGTCGAGCACAGCATTCTTGACGTCTTTCTTGGTATATTTGCCGTCGCCACCGCTGTATGATTCCATGAGCTCCAGTCGCTGCTTCTGCACGGCCTTGTCCTCGTCGCTGAAGAAATAGGCTGTCGCGTAGGATCGAGGAATCAAGAAGTAGCACGCAAAGGCGAATACGATTGTGATGAGTCCTTCGATGATGTAGAGCCTATAGACCTGGTCAGAAGAAAGGCCTCGCTCTGGAGTTGGGCACAGTTTCGCTCACCAGCGCCATCCGGGATACCCGGCCGTGCCATCCATGTATAGAATGCCAAATGCGATCAGCCCGCCAAAAGCTCCAGACAAGGCCGAACCAACTGCGTAGAATCAGTCAGCATGTGAACATGGAGAAGGTGAGAGTAGACATACTGTATAAGTAGCAAACGCGTGTGCCAACTTCTTCACGCTTATACCAGTTCAACAAGAACATGGTCATCGACGGGAACAAGCACCCTTCAAAAGTGCCGAGAAGCAGTCGCATAACAATCAGGCCAGCATAGTTCTGAATGAAGCCCGTGCACATGCAAATAAGCCCCCAGCAGAAGACGAGGACAGGGATGACTCGATAGAATTGAAGGCGCTTGACAAACATGGTGCTCGGGAACTAGTCTATGTTAGCCAGGGCGTACTTTCTATCAGCAGGATTCCCTCGTACCTCTGATAAGATATATGTGAGATAGAAGATGGACACGGCGGTCTAGTATCGTCAGAGACTGGCACTGCCCAAGGCTTTTTGTCAACTCACATTCAGCTGATTGCCGGTGAGCCCGATGTCTTTTGTCATGCCCTGAGTTGCGGCAAAACCAATATTACCACGGTCGAGGTAGCTGATCAGCATGAGAAGAAGCATGACAGGCGTGATGTACAAGTCAAGCTTTCTGACGACTCGCTTTTGCTTCCTGATGAACTCCTTTTGCTCTGAGGTGAGCGCATGCTCGCCACTCTCAGAGAACTCCTCAAGGTGCACATTGCCCTTCAACTCTTCAAGGTTCTGCACTGCAGAGCTCATTTTGAATGATCCACTCGCTGAAGATATCACGATCAGTCAAGATCAGAACAGGATGCTTAACACGAAAGCTTCGCTATGGGGAGGAATGGATCTCGAGAGAGAGTCTGGGACAGATAAGGAGACCGGGCTCAGGGGATGATATGTCGCTTCGAACCCAAGACACAAACCCCGTGGGGATACAGTTTACTTGACCCGGGGCTTTGGGAAGCGGCACAGAGGAGTCCAGAACTTTGGAGATCGGGTAGTACTGATGGAAAGTACTGCAGTTGGGGAACGCCACCCTCAGACCTAAGCTGGAGCACCGCAGGCTCAGACCATACTCGGATACCTCGTTATCTCTTAAGGTTTGACGCATTGTGCCTTGTCCCGCTTAGCCAAAACGGGCGTGTTGAACAACTGTAGACTGGCGCGGAAAGATCGGGAGCTGGCTCTTGGTGTAAGGCTCTCTTGGGCGTCTCTATTCCAGACTACTCCAACGTTGAGTACCAGATATGGAGAATATTGGGGGAGGGGAGGAGGGTCTCCTCTACAAAGTGCAAGCTTTGTGTTGGAGCACAGTGCACGCTCCTGAGGCTCCGTCCCAGGCCGCAGTCAAGGTCCCGAATACCCGGTACAGCCACCGGGACTGCTGGCCGGCCTCCAAAGCAGTCATCTGACAGGGGTCGCTTGATGTACATAGCTGAAAAGGTTGCAGGACTAGGCCAAGGATGGTTTGCCCCTGCACAATGCCATGTGGTTGAGGTGGCTCGGCTCTCGGCTCACGAGGCTGTCCCAACCTCTCTTATCACGTGAAAGTCTGACAACCACAGGCAAGCTCTCAGTGTAGGGGCATTCGTGGGCATTCAAGAATGTACTTTGTAGTCCGGGGGAAGAGGAGGCCGAGGTGGAGATATCGAGGCGGAATTCCTGCGGAGGTGGATCAGACATCAAACTAAGAACGCTAATCAAAGTATATGTGACACCAGGCCGGAGAGTCTCCGGAGACCTCAGTCCTCCTCGTCGTCCTTCCCCCTCGATGGAAAGATCGACTTCCAGCGTGGGCGTTAGCTTCATCAACTACTTTTGGCCGGGCTGTTGGAGAAGCAGTCTCTTCTGTGGCAAACATTGTTGGCTGAGGTCGCCAGCAACGTTGGAGTAGCTCAGCATCGATCGTTGCAAGTCGGATTGGTCTCCATATGGTCTTGGTGCCTTAGCTGTGCGTGACCATTTCGGAGATCAACAAACAGCTCGTCGACGCGCATTTTGCTCGGGTTAAAAAAATCTCAATGCTCAATCTCAGGCATAGCAATTGTGCATTTAGGAATATTTGACAAAGAACGCATAGAACAGACAATGTCGCCGCCCGCCCGCCTCTCTCCCAACGACGCTCCCAACCTGCAAAATGGAGCTGCTTCTCCCAAAGCAGGCTGGGGATCTGATTATATCGCAAAACAGCTCGCGAAGGTCCATATCCCGTACTTTGTGTTGGTCCCCGGATCATCTTATCGTGGGCTCCATGACAGTCTGGTCAATCTAAACGGCAACGCCTCGCCCGAGATGGTGGTCTGCCTCCACGAGGAACATTCCATCGCAATCGCCCATGGCTACGCCAAGGTGACAGAGAAGCCACTCGCGTGTGGCCTGCACGCCAACGTTGGCCTGATGCACGCTTCCATGGCGATTTTTAATGCTTTTATCGATCGAGTCCCCATGGTGATATTCGGCGCGGCTGGCCCGTTTGACACGACCAAGCGGAGGCCCTGGATCGACTCGACACACACTGCCATTGATCAAGCCGCTCTGGTCAGAAACTACACAAAATGGGACGATCAGCCCTCGAGTGTAAACTCTGCCATCCGCAGCGTCATCAAAGCAACCGCGGTTGCGTCCGTCAAGCCATGTGCTCCAACATATGTTGTTCTTGATGTTGGTCTTCAGGAAGCGGAATATGACGAAAAGGATGTTCGATATCCTGATACGGAGAGATATCTGACACAGCAATCAGCCGGCGCTAGCCAAGCTGATGTTAAGAAAGTGGCGGATGCCTTGGAGCAGTCAACAAAAGCTTTGATAATGTTTGGCAGGATGAATAGGACTCAGAAAAGCTGGGACGAGAGGATTAAACTGGCCGAGACGTTCGACGCGAAGGTCGTTAGTACGTATCAGCCAAAGTTCTGTTAGAGCTGGCCAGAAAATACTAACTCTTTGCTTACAGCTGATATTAAACAACCCGTCGCTTTCCCAACAACACACCGATTACATCCCGCACCTCCTGCACTTTTCTTGGCTCCTGATGCCGCCAATCTGATAAGAGAGGCAGACCTGATCATTTCATTCGACTGGGTAGACCTAGCAGGGTTTTTTACCATGGCTCAGGGCGAGTTGATTGAACCTAAGGCGAAGGTCATCGAGATTTCCGTCGATAGCCAGCTCCATAATGGCTGGTCCAAGGACCATTTCGAGACACCACCGGCAGACATCAGCATTTTCGCTGACCCGGACAAATTCATCACCGACCTTGTTGCCGAACTCGAGTCCAGGAAACTCTCTGGCTTCCCGAAGTCCGCGTGGCCCGTAACACAACCATCATCCTCGCAGAAGCCGCAAAACCTGGACGGCGAAGACATATTCCAAGCAGACCTTGCGTCCGCTCTCTACGCCGCGATCAGCCCCGAAGATATGTGCATCATCCGCCTCCCACTCAGTTTCCGTGGTATTGACCTTCTAGCGACTCATCCCCTGGCGTACCTGGGCATGGATGGTGGCGCAGGCATAGGTTCAGGTCCTGGTCAAGCGGTGGGTTCGGCTCTGGCGCTGAAGGGAACGAAATACGTGCCCGTCGCTATTCTGGGTGATGGCGACTTCTTGATGGGTAACTCTGCTATCTGGACCGCAGCCCGGTACCGCATCCCCGTGTTGATCATTGTCTCGAACAATGGCAGTTTCTACAACGACGAGGTCCATCAGGAGCGCGTTGCGAACACGAGAAGCAGACCCGTTGAGAACAAGTGGATTGGCATGAGACTGGACGATCCACTCCCCGATATTGGGAAGATGTCGGAATCTTTCGGCCTCAAGACGCTTGGTGGCCAGATCTCGAAGCGAAGTGAGCTGAAGGGCAAGTTTGACGAAGCGGTCAGGCTGGTGAGAGACGAACAGCAAGCGGTGGTCTTGGATGTCAGGGTCAGACCCGATGATTACCTGAAAAACTGGGGGGCAAGCAACATCGTAAAGAAGTGAAAGGCAGCAATATAGAGAAACCAAATCGGCTCTTGATTTGAACTGCATTATAACGGTAGAAAGGAGGTTTGATGAGATAGACATGGTCGCGCTAGAATGGCATGAGGATAAGCTGCGACACAGAATAAATACTTTGCATCATTGTTCGTTCCTTCACAAATTTACACGCTCGATAGTCTGTGGTCAGAAGGATAGATGAGGCATGGAGAGGGATATCGTCGAGCGTTCAAGATATGTAAGGGCGCTGAACATGGTACTATTACAGCTTGAATGTTTGTCCATGTCAGACAAGTAGTCCAGAGTACTGATGGGCCAAGTCCTTGGGAAATAGATGTACATCAAGTTTATTACTATGCTGTCCTGGATACACAATTTCACGGCAATCCAACTCTCATGCTCGTTTTCTCGTTCAGGCCCCACGCATAGCTGGAATCGTCATGCACCGTAGTCCTTCTCATATCCCTCCGATAGTTGCCTTCGTACTTGCCGCCATGCGCCCGATGCATGACGGACGTATTGTCCCATAAGATCAAGTCACCATTATTCTGCCACTCCACCGACAGGACGTACTTGTCTTGACAAGCATGCTCCAGCAATCTGTTGATCAGCTCCGTGCTTTCCTTCTCCGGCAGGCCTTCGACGTGATGCATATGGTTGCCTATATACAAGGTCTTGCGCCCCGAGCGTTCATGGGTCTGAAGAACCTTATGACGAGAGTAGTAGCCTTTATCGGGATTAACGTCCCCGAAATATTCAGGGGCAGCTTTTCTGCGTGAGTGCAGAAGAGAATGACAGACAACGTAGTCGTTCTCCTCCAGCTGCTTTTTAAGATCTTCAGGGAGGTCGTCGTAGGCGGCGCGGCAGTCAGCGAAGTCAGTATTGCCCCCTAGTCCCTGGCCAGGTGGGGGGATTTCGTGAGCACGTAACAGAGACAGCCCAGCCCTCCGCGGATTGAACGAGGAATCATGATGGAAAAGATTGTTGCCCTGGTGCTGTGGTTAAAGAACGTTACCGAACCTCGAGGTCTGGTTAGGCATACCTTGCCATAATACCATCTGTGGCTTCCCGGCTTCACTAAGCTATTATCTTCCTCAATGTTTCCCACATCAAACAATTCCTTGTGCTTGAAGCGAAACGGACGGCCCGCTTGGATGTGAGGAAGAACATCATCCAGCTCACCAAGCCTCTCAGAGAACTGAATGTGCAGCTCATCATTCAATTTGGCATGGCGAAAGACTAAAACGCCATACTGTCGTGCATTAGCGTTGTATATTGGCCAGGATAGTGTTACTCACTTGGTTCACGGCTTTCCAGATTTCTTGAAAGACATCTTCCGGCACGGGTTTGGAGAAGTCCACGCCGGACACCTCGGCGCCAAAGGTAGGATGAAGTTCTTTGACTTTAATGAGATTGTAATCGACAGCGTGTGGCATTTTGTGCTGATCGATAACACGAATATCTATGTTCTGATGATTTACACCGCAATGAAGTTGCACGAGATAGCTTTGTCATTCGGTGAGGTGCATTCAACGCGCTTGCGTTATATCCATTCACGAAATCCGAGGTCAGCCCACCTAGTCTCATCTCCAACGTTGTCGAGAATAGCAAAGTCGGTCGACCATTGCCTCTTTTCGCATTATCGGGGATTGTAGCAGCCTCGGTGGAGAAGTTCGTAGGCGTCCCCAACATTATCTCCCCGGCTCAAGCAGCCTCGAGGGTTGGAGAAGACAAGGACTGCGATAGAGGTTGGGGAAGCATCACGGAACATTCCTAGGTAGACATTCCTCGCCTGATGCAACTGTGAAACAAGGCTGCAAGCCCCCATTAACCGCTCTCTAAATCAACTTCTGCTTCAGTGCAGGTACTCTTCCATATGCCGTTACTCCTCGATCGATCGCCAATCCATGTCTCCCAGCAACAAATTCGCCGTTCCAGATGGCGCCGTCGCCCGGCTACGGATTATCGACACAACCACTAAAATCAAAGGTCTTCCCATGGACTACCTTATGACACCGCCAATGCCTGGAATGGAAGTGCTGCCGGAAGCTCCGACCTGGTCATTCCTCATCGAGAGTGACACGGGCCACAAAACACTGTTTGATTTGGGTGTCCCACCGAATTGGAGAGATTTTTCACCCATTGTGGCAAAACCTCTCCAGACTCGAGGCTGGGGTGAGCCTCATGGAGAGAAGCATGTGGCTGACATTCTAGCTGACGAGGGCATTGACATTTCAAGCATCAATAGCATTGTTTGGAGGTGAGTCGACCAGGTCACCCGGCACGTCCATCTAGTTATTGACTTTGATGGCGTGTACGCAAAAGTCACTGGCATTATGACCACATAGGGGATCCTTCCACCTTCCCTTCATCCACTGAGTTGGTTGTTGGCCCAGGATTTAAAGCTGCCTTCTTTCCAGGCTGGCCGGCCAGATCGGACTCTCCTGTCCGGGAGACCGACTTCAAGTAAGTCGTTTCGTACTACGGGCGGTGCTCAGAACTCAGTCTTTTTACCTGTAGGGGCCGGGAAGTACGGGAGGTCAGCTTTCAAGAGCCGAACACTCTCCAAATCGGGCAATTCAGAGCCTTTGATTTCTTTGGAGACGGCTCTTTCTACTTGCTTGATACACCTGGCCATGCAATCGGGCATTTAGCAGGCTTGGTGCGGACTACGCCCGACACCTTTGTCATGATGGGCGGTGACCTCTGCCACCACGGTGGCGAGCTGCGTCCATCCAAGAGCTTGCCGCTTCCTGCAGAAATCTATTTGCCTACCCTAATCCAGTATCGTGGGTGTATGTGCCCTGGTGCCGAGTTCGAGGCTATTCAAAAGAGACGTTCACGAGCACCAGACGAGCCTTTCTTCGATCCAGCTATAGGATTTGACATTCCCGAAACTATTCGTACCATTAAGAAGGTTCAAGAAGCAGATGCTGTGGATAATGTCTTCTTCATATATGCGCACGACAGCACCATCGAAGGCATAATCGACCTGTTTCCCGCGCCCGCAAATGACTGGAAAGCAAAAGGGTGGCGCGAAAAGGCCTACTGGAGATTTCTGGAAGACTTTCAAGGAGCATTGAAGGGAAGCTAGAGCCAGTAGCCGATTCAACAGGTTGCAAAGCTTAGCAACAAACATTTGATTGCTGGATCGCTAAGAGGCTTCGTTCCTAATGGCCTGATTGGAACCTTTAATAATAAGTAACTTCTCGACGAAATATCCGACTGTGGAGACTTACCAACACTAGATAACAGTCTCTTGCATGTCTGCTGGTGGGAAATTTTTGGTCCAGGACATGTTCCGCGCTCTCTTCGAATTTGATACAACCAACAGCGCCGGTACTATCTCTCTTTCCCTAGACTCCGCCCTAATTCTGGTCGCTGCGTCGTCATCTCCATGACGGCGCCTTGATATCTGGCAATGCAGCGTTGGAGCTAGTCAGACCCTTCGCAGCCACTCCTCGTGACCGCACTCTCACGCGGGTTCGGACAGCGACCAGTCCTCTGGAGCACCGGGAGCAGAGATCATGGCCATTGAAGGAGACGGCGCGACAAGACCTGCGATCGGAGGTGGCCAGGGACAGATTCCAGAAGCTTTCGGATGTTGCTCTTCACGTGGACAAATGAGAGTTCTCGACACCGGATGGTTCTTGCCTAAGCCAAACGTCTCCAGAATGCCGAGCTGCGGAGTTCGCAAGATCCGGGGTTCTGACTTCTGGAGAAGCTTGCACTTCAGGAACATAACAACCACGGCATTTCCACGCCCGAGCATGGGAGCCATCTTCCAGGCTCAGGGGGTCTCGAAAACCAGGTACGTGTGTCTTCTTGAGACCGCGCTAGAAAGTTGCCATGGAGCTCGACCTTCATAATCCAGCCATTTCACTCCTCGACTGCAACAGAGGTCTATTCAACACCAGATCAGTACCATCTCCTTCTCCTCCCTTTCTGAAAACTACTCTCCCCTGGTACCAGAAGATCGCTGAAAACAAGATGGCGGTTGAGACTGGAATCATCATCACAAGCAGCAAGCAAGCCTTCAGTCTACTCAACTTCTCCACCTGCTTTGTCCTCGCGCTTGGTTCCTTGGTCTACGGGTATTTCGCTGGGATCATCGGCACTACCCTCACAAAGGCCTCGTTCCTGTCATACATGGGTCTCATTGATGCCGATGGCAAGCCTACGTCAGATTCAGCTGGCTTGATTGGAGCGACGACCGGTGTATTCCAGGTAAGTTGTAATATCATCTTTTTCAGCACTCTGTGATGCTGATATGGATGAAACTCCAGGCTGGCGGTGTCTTCGGTATCGTCATCGCGGGCCATCTTGCGGACAAAATCGGACGTAAACGGACATCTATCTACATTGGAATCCTCGGCATCATCAGCTCGGCAATAATATCCGCATCTCAGAATGTGGGAATGTTCATCGCACTCCGTTTCTTCACAGGCGCAACCGGTTTCGCATTCATGACCGTCATGACCGTGTACTGCGCTGAGCTTGCCCCCGCCGCTCTTCGCGGACTCTACGTGGGATTGAACGGAGCATTGTGTGCACTGGGCTTCGCCATCTCGTCTTATTTTGGTGTTGCATTCTATAATGTCTCCCACGAAGTCCAGTGGCGTGTTCCAATCGCCCTCGGCACGGTATTCCCCGTGGTGCTCACCATCTGTTACCTCTTCGTCCCCGAGTCGCCCCGACACCTCCTTATGGAAGGCCGGAAGGAAGCCTCGCTAAAAGTCATGTTGACGCAGCACGGCCACGGAGACCGGGAGGATTTCGCTCGAGCGGAGTTCTTCCAGATGGAGAAGCAGGCGGAGCTCGACATGAATAGTGACGCTTCTTGGAAGCAGTTCTACAGCAAGCCCTCTGTGCGGCGGCGGGTGATGATTGCCGCCACCCTCGCGTTTCTGTCTCAGAGCACAGGGAACTTGGTCATCAACAATTATGTGAGCCTTAGCCCTATATCCATGATCACTGAGTATACTGATGCATGAAACCAGGGCTCAACCCTCTGGGGCAGTCTCGGCTACGATGCCTACACTCAACTTTGTTTCCAGGCTGGATACATCACTGTCTCCCCTATATTCAATGTCATTGGATCCGCTTTTGCCGACTACGTTGGACGGAGAACTTTGCTATTTGTTGGCTTCAGCATGTGTCTCTTTTGCGTGACGGTTGAGACCTGCATGATTTCTCTGTACGGTGCAGCAGGCACGAACAAGGCCGGCCTGGCGACCGGTGCTGCCATGCTGTTCCTGTTCCAGGCCAGCTACGCCATCTGCGGCGATGTGTGTGTCTTTATCATTGTCAGCGAAATCTTCCCGAACCATCTGCGGTCGAAGGGCGCCATCGTCGCTTATACTGCCAATGCCTTGACCAACTTGGTTTATCTCCAGGTCGCCCCGACCGCCTTCGCCCACATCCACTGGAGGTTTTTCCTGGTAAGCCTTTTTCAAGCGAACAGTTGTCATTTTTTCCCAGAATGTCGTGTATCTAACGCAGTTCTTCTTTCAGCTTTTCATCTCGGTCACCACGTGCGGCCTGGTGTGGATCTACTTCTTCGTGCCCGAAACGAAAGGCGTCGCGCTGGAGGAGCTAGCCGAGATCTTCGGCGATGCGGTTGCCGTCCATGCAGCAGATATTACTGTTGACCACGACGCTCACGAGGTGCATTTGGGTGGCAAGCACATCGAGGAGGACGAGATCACTTCCACGTATGTTACGGAAACGAACGAACCAAAGAATAAAGCTGCTATGCATATGGAAAAGTCCCAAGTTTAGATCGTCACAAGGAGCGATGGAGGTGCCAGGTGATTTCTGGGAGGTTGTTAAAGAGGTGGCCTCCTCTTTCGGTAATAAGTTCCCATCCTTCTTGCAAGAATCTCTCGGTTGAGCTCCGGCAGCAAGAGGCATCGTTTCTGGTTAGGCTGAGCAAGGCTGAGGAAAAGGGGTGGTAAAGACGAAGGATGGCACGTAAAGTGGGTAATTTGGCCATTTCCGGCTAGATCTCAATTTGAAATGTCTCCACCACAAATATGCAGTATGTGATTGCTGTGCCTGAAGCACGGGATACCACTAGCACAAAAGTCGTAGCAATGAGGAGTTTTCATCTGGCCAATCGTGGGGTCATGATTCATCTTTCGAGGTTGAATCGAGTACTCGGACTCTCTTGCCTCCAGGTGTGGTTCCCTTCCCCCGTCCCTTATTTCCCCTCCTGCTCCTCCGCCTCCGTGAACGGCCCCGGTCCGGAGCCTTAAGGTATAAGTCCATGCGGAGTTCAGTTCGCCGACCGGAAAGGGGCCTCCTAATGGCCAGACAGCAAAGTCTCACAATTTGTGGGGTCGGGATTCTGTACACCGAAGGTCCCGACTCTCCCTACGGTTGCACGATAGGAAGAAGCAAGGTAAGGGAAGCCTTGCATCGGAAGGTGTCATAGCGGAGTTAGGAAGAGGAGGCATGTTTACAGCCGTGTGGCTTGACCTAGCAAAGTAACGTACTCTGGCGAGTTTGGGTATTAACGGTGCAACAACAGCAGCAGCAGCCGCCTATATTGGGCCTCCTTTTCGCCGGTTCGCAGACCCACGACTACAAACATGGGGGCTAAAGTTGAAGGTCTCCTCTCGCTGTTCGATTCATTTCTCACGTGGCTCGTCCGCTAACGCCGTTAGGATCCTGGCCCGTCATCCACGCACAGTACAGGTCAATCTTCCAGATAGCCCACCTGCCGTCCGGTTCGCGGCGAATTGTCCAGCGGTAGACAGCGCCAGCGTCGAAGTGCCTGTCCAGCTCGTCGCGCTTGTACAGCCAGTGGGTGATGCCGTTGGACCGCACATAAGCGATTTGTCGGTCCTTGCTGAAGCTGATGTCAAAGTTGCTGCTCTGCAGGTGGCACTGGTCGTACTGGGCCACCTCGGGGCCCCAGGCCCATGCCCCCAGCCCCTTGCGGCCAAAGTGCTCGCCAAACGCGTATTTCACGTGTGCGTCTTCCGTGAACAGGTCCTCCCACTGTTGCAGCGCCTTGGGGTCCTGAAAGGCCAGGTCGTGCAGTGCCGTGTAGTGGTCGATCAGGCGCCGGACGGCTTCGACGTCCTCCTGTTCTTGCAACCGGCGCTCCAGTTGTGCCACTTTTTCGGTCAGAGAGGCAATCTGGGAGGCGTAGCTTGTTTCAATAGCCATTCTGGTGGTCTGATATTTTCTTTTCTTTTCTTCTCGAACAAGGTAGTGGTTTTCCGGTCGGTAAGTGCTTACAGGCGTATATACTTTGTTTCCTTGCTGAGGAGTCGTGGGTTTACAGGGGGGTCTTTAAGGCGCGAATCCTCTACGCTCAGCACGGTCTTTATGGATCCCGCCTCCAATGCCCATAGAAGCCAAGTCTGAGGCGCTGCCTTTATTTGTCGCTCTTGCAAATCATTTCAAGTCCCCTTCCAATGCATTGAGCTTCTGCACCACGTACTACATAACATTTGGTGGTATTATTAATGACGGCATTTCCCAGTCCCTCCGCTTTGAACTGTGCCGATGCTTGCCGCAAATCAGAAGATGGCGTATGAGCATGGTGCTTCCTTTTCCTTGACTGTGCACTCTACTGGGGGAGGCTTGCTCAAAAGGGTATTCAATGCTGATTCGACGTTAATTTGACAGGCATACGGTTACAAGTCGATTGCGAAGTGCGACTGCCATGCAGAGACGGAGCGGATTTCAGCTATCTGAGATGAATTGAGAAGACAATTGATTCCAAAATAAGGCTCTGAGAGGCAGATCTGGAGAGAAAAATGAGTCCAGAGGGTCCTTGTGACTATTTTTACGGACGACAGCTATAAACACCATAGCACGGACAAATTCTGCGTCATCGATTCTCTTCCCACCTCTCTAAACCATACACCTTCCACCCCTTACTCAAATCTTCGACCCCAGCTGCGGAGCTCCATTCTCCGTGGCTAAGAAAGGATAGTCGGTATATCCCCTAGCTTGGTCTCCGGGGGGATACTGCGCAAAGTACTGGCCCTCTTTGTCAGCACCATCTCAGTCGTTGCCATTGGGAGGGAGGGGACTCACGTCAAAGTTATAGTCGAAGGTGAGTTCTTTCTCTTTACCAGCCATGGCTGCGTTGGCAAAGTCTGGATTGACAAGCCACGGGCGACCAAAGATAATCACGTCCCCGGTATAGTCTTTGAGAAGCTCTTCGGCTTCGACCAAAGAGATGGCGCCGTTCAAGAACACCTTTGCGTTTTTGATCAAATAGCGATAAGTCGCCCACACCGGATGTACGGGGCCACGCATCTTTCCGTCGACTTCCATGTCCATCCATTCTTTTGGCTAGTTAGTTACGTTCAAGCCAATATCGGGGTGCTTTTGCACGTACCAAGGTATCTGACCAGGTTGATATAAGCCAAAGGACGTTTGTCGAGCTCCTTGATAAGGTAGGTGAATTGTTCAATCTGTCTCTCCACCGGAAACATGCCCAGGTCACCTCGACCGACAGCTGGAGACAGCTTGATGCCTACGCGGTGGGGTCCCCACACCTCAACCAGAGCATCAATGCACTCCAGAGCGAATCTTGCTCGCTAGAGACATAAGTTCGAGTTCATATTACACTAGCAGGAGGTTTCTCAGGACTCACATTTTCGACCGAACCACCATATTGGTCTGTCCGGATATTGGCACTGTCGTCAAGGAACTAGACGAAGGCGTGAGCAGAGAAGTCTTGGGCACCGTGGAGCTTGGTGGGAGCATACCTGTGACACAAGGTAGCCGTTTGCGCCGTGCAGCTCAACCCCATCGAATCCAGCTTCTTTGGCAAAGATGGCGGATTGACGGAATTGCTCTACCACCGTTTTTGGGTCCTCGATGGCTGTCGGCACCGAGTAGCCGTGTTCCATTCCTGGCTCTATGTCGTACACTCCGTCATTGTCGGGTGCGATGCCCATGCGAGCCTGAACTGCGCTGGGCGCAATTGTTGGCTTGCCATATGCCTTTTGGATTGTGGAGTCTGCATAAGTCATTCGCCCACCTTGTCAGAAAGTCAGCATTGATGTAGAGATCCGTCAGTGCATCTTCCAGCACTTACAATGCCAGAGTTGACAGAAAAAAACCGACCCAGGCACGGTATGCACTTTATCGACGACCTTCTTCCACGCAAGCATGTGCTCACGCGTGTTGATCTGAGGGGTTTCTCGCATCGGAGTTCCCTGGGGCTCAATAAGGGCACCTCCTGCACAGATGAAGCCGGCGCCTCCCAGCGCTCGCTGGTAGAAGTATTCCCCATTGAGCTCGTTGGGATATGTGTTGTCGGACCTGGTGAATATGAGAAATCAGATTTTGATTCTAGAACGGAAATTGAACTGGCAATAGCGTGGCACACCTATTCCGAGAGATCGAGGACATTCCAAACCGGTTACGAAGCTTCAGGGGCCCTATCTGCAGGGGTTCCTTCAGCTTATTGATTGGCGTAAGTAGTTGCTCCATTTTGGCAATGCTGCTTTCACAAGTGAAGATGTCTTTTTTGTTTCCAGCCACGAATACTTGTTGAGCCTTAACTGACGGCAAATAAATCTAACTTCAGGTTTATATTCTCTCCTTGATATCGTCGACACTGACTTTGGGTCTTCCTGGAGCTCGGGGAATCGCGTGACTTTCGCAATACTTGTAAAGCTAAAGTTATCGAACGGCATTTTCAACACCGTCTGGGTCAGTGCACCGACAATACCGTTCTGGAATGATTATGTCGGATTACTCATTGTATCTGGGCGAATCTGCTTTTCAATATGCATGCCTCTTGCAGCAGAGCTCTTTGCACACCACCTTCTACAGGTTGATCGGGATTGCCACTTGTCGCGACACGTTTGCGGTTATCTAAGCAGAAGCTCTGGACTTGGGCCCGGCCCTTGGGGCTCGGCTGTACATTTGCTCTACTTCTGCTTGGCGACCGGACTCATTGAAGTGCGCTCCTGGCTTTTGTGGAAAGCAACTTGCAAAGATATTCAAATTACTTTGGCCTTATCTATCCAGGATTTCAGCAAGGTAATTTCGCGAAGTCTCCAACAAAATAGGTGCAATAATATCCCGGAAAATCGCAGTGTCCAACATCAAGCATGGGTTCGACAATCAAACCGCTACTTCTTCACGCCCACCACAACGGACCCAACCCCCTCAAGATTGCCATTGCCCTGGAATTCCTTCAGGTGCCGTACACAATCCGCCTGTGGGAAGGCGGCGACGATCCGGAGAAGGGCGTCAAGGGTACCGCGTTCCTCAAGATCAACGAAAATGGTCGCGTGCCAGCCCTGGAGGACCCAAATACAGGGGTAACCTCGTGGGAGTCTGGAGCGGTCATGAACTACCTCCGTCGCGTCTATGACAGGGACAACAAGATCGGCCCGAGGGGCGACACGGAGCAAGACCTGGTGGACTTGGAGAAGTGGGAGTACCTGCTATTGACGACCTTGGGTCCCATGAGTGGGCAATGCAATTGGTTCAGGTGAGGCTGCTGTCCAGGTATCCCATCCCTGAGATGTGCCATTCTAACTAGAGTCACCCTCGACAGGTTTCACAACAAGACGAAAAATGAAGATGCACTGGAACGATACCAAGGGCAGACACTGCGTTGTTATGATATCCTTGAAGGACAGCTGAAGAAGACTAACGGCGCGACCATCATCCCCGGCGGTTACACCTCTGCCGACTGCCATTATGAGCCATGGATTCGTCTGCACGGCTTTGCTGGGTTGACGCTGGACAACCATCCGCTGATTGCGAAGTGGTTCCAAGCGTTCGGGGAGACTAAGGAGGTCAAGGCGGCATATGGTAGGATCAAGGAGGCTGCAGAACAGCAGGCATAGTGGATAGTCGAGGTAGGCTCAATCAACAGCAGTTCTCATGGTAAGATGCTTCGTGAAGGTTGCAAGGCAGGTTTTGCAGTGTGTGAATTTCTCCAATCTGTTGTCTTCGGCCGTCGACATCCATCGTTCCAGTGCGTCGATCTAGTGGGCATTCCCCGCAAAGCCCCCGGCGCGGGTCTTACAGCTGGGGAAGCAACGGCATTCACCAACACCGTCTGGGGGTCTCGCTTACATATCAAGTCGCCTTTAGACTTTTGCACGCCGCTCCACGGACAGAGGAACGGACGTTCGTCGCATAGGTGAGGGGTGTCTGTGGACGCAGCCTCGTCGCGATTCGGTCGATGCATACTAACACAATGGTCCATACAAAAGAACCCCGGCTGGTATCTGCGTCGCATTGTGTGATTGTGTTGTGCCTATTTCACTTTGCTACTTAGGACAGAAAACCAAAATAAATCTTTTGACCCAACATCTCTAACTCGAGTCTCATGGCTACCAAGCAAAAGGTCATGCGAGTGTGCATGTACCTCAAACGAAAACCGGGCCTGACTGAAGAGGAATTCAATCACTACTGGTCGCACGTCCACGGACCTTTGGTCAGGCCGCTAGTGGAGAAATATGGCATTTTGAAATATACCCAAGTCGGTAACATATCCTTTCCTCTCCCTTGGCCTGACTGTTGCGCTCGAGCGTTGAGTTTTGGACGAGACCCCTTCTTTTAGGCAGAGAGCTCTCGATAGCTAACCATCGCTTCTGTAGTATCACACCTCATCGAACGTCCAGCAATCGACGATGGAGGCATGGCCAGAACTCAAGGCTCTGGATGTGACGCCGTATGACGGCGTGGCGGAATTCCTTGTTAAGGACATTGAAGGGATCAAAAAGTCGCGGGACGATCCGCTTTTCCATGAGAAAATCAGGCCCGACGAGGAGAATTTCTTCGACGTGAAGGGCATGGCTTGGACGATTGGCTGGGAGGAAGTTTATGTTCTTGATGGCAAGATTGTGCCGGACAGTGAGGCATGGAAAAATACTCCATAAAAGGGCCAGGAATCGAACGTAGCCTTGGCTGAGCCCAAATAATATGAATTCATGCATGCATCCAAACGTGTTTTGCGCTCAAAATTTTGTTTTCCCTGTGGCTATATAAATTCACCTTCTAGCTCTATACATTCATCTCTGGGGCTCTATACATCCACCCTCTTTGGCTCGTACTCAAGCCTCGAGAAATGGCTAGAAAAGGCCTGTGCCTAGGATCCCGTGAACCTCCCCAGTGTTCCATGGTTGCTTCGCACTCGAAAGCGGGTGAAATACCGTTTGTCAGCAAATGCGATCAAGCCAAAAGCCAAGCCCGCCCACGGCCTTGGACTCCTGGAGACAACTTGACGGGATAGCAGAAAGGTTGGAGATTGGGAGCCGCTGTTGGTAAAGGCCGGTTTTCTCCGCGCAAAGTCAAGCACTCCAGAAATTCTGGTGCGGGAGAGGTATGGTCTGTGTGTCCCGTCAAAGGAGTGAGTCGTGATTAATTATAATGATGCTGGCTGCTCAGGTCAATCAATGGCTGCTGAGTTTGAAGTGGTCTCATGAGATTTGTTTGCCTTCATAGTGGGCTAAATTGTTGTAACCCATCGAAAATATGGCAGCGACAGAACAGCCTCTCCTGCCACAATTCACCGCTCAACATCACCATGAACCTTACGCGGCCATCTCGCCGTCGCGACCAGAGCTTTCGACAGCTGGAAAGGTCGTAGTCATCACCGGCGCCGCTGGAGGGATCGGATCAGCCATGAGTCGGGCGTTCGTCGAGGCGGGGGCGAAAGACGTGGTGCTGCTCGATCTCAACCAGACAGGACTCCTCAAGCTCAAGGCCGAGCTGGAGGATCTGGGTAGCAAGTCCAAGATCCACCCGATGGTGTTGGACATCACCAATCCACTGGCAGTCCGAGATGCCTTCAACACGATCGAAGCCGTGGTCGGCCGCAAGATCGACGTCCTGGTCAACAACGCTGGCTACCAGAACATCAACAAGCCCGTGCTGGACTTCGACATTGACGAGTGGTGGAAGTGCTTCGAAATCAACGTCAAGGGCAGTTTCCTAGTGGCGGTCGAGTTCCTACGGCACTGCAGCCCCGACAACAACTCCGTCTTGATCAACGTTTCGAGCATCCTGGCGCATTACGGCGTGCGGCAGGGCTACTGCACGGGCCATAGCGCCTACTGCGCTTCCAAGCTGGCAATTACAAAGGCCATGGACGTTCTACAGGAAGAGCTGCCCATGGTACGAATCGTCAATCTACACCCAGGCCTGGTCCCGACGGCCATGTCGGCGAAGATAGGAAATACAGCTTATTCTTTGGATTCTGGTAAGACCCTCCTCTTCAAACTCAGGCATCACTACATGTTTGAGAGGTAGAAGCTAACCGTCAGTGTGGATGAAAAGTCAATCTGCCCGCTCATTTCTCGGTTTGGCTTGCGAGTCCCGAGGCTGATTTTCTGAAGGGTCGCTTGGTGTGGTCGAACTGGGACGTGGAGGAGATGAAGTCGAGGAAAGACGAGATCTTGGAGAAGGATCTTTTGCGCATCGAGCTGACAGGTATATGAGAGCATGCAGTAGATAAGTTGAAGGTAACCCTCTGTGTTGAGTATGGGAACCCGGTCAGGGGGCAGCTTCCTTCAGTCCGTTGCCAGCTATAGTCAGCCCATGCCAGGCCTTACTCTCACCAAACATCCTGCTTCTTCTTCTCTCCGCCTAGACATAGCAAGCCCATGAAAAAAGAGCTCCGGATCTCACGCATAGCTCTAATAATACAAGTTCTCAAGAACTATGATGCAGTTTCCAGCTGAGATCCACTGATTGGTGATTCCGAGTATACCTTCCATGCCTATTTTCAAACCCCGGAAAAAACAAAGACGGGCTTCCAAATGCCGCCAGCGGATCACCTACTAACCTGAGTGAGTACCATAGCCGTAGCAGTACAGGAACGGACGATGAACGGACGACAGCTCATAAGCCAGTGGTGAATGGATAAGCAACAAATTCGAAAGTCGTATGCTGGATGCGAAAACGTATATCAGCTGCATCTCTTTAAAGGCTTCCTGGAAAGCTACTGTTTTCGCACGACCCAGGAACCTTTCAACGAGGGGCCGACAGAGTAACCTTCGCAGCGTATTTCTTATAGAGGGTGTTTGCCAAACGGATCCTCCAGCTCGAGAAAGAAAGAAAAAAGATGTCTGCTGCAACTCCAGCGCCGGATCCGAACAAGCGGCTCATGTTCCATGTGACCTTTTACATTGCCGACTCCGACGCCGAAGAGTTTCTCAAGCACCTACGCACGACCTTTGAGGCAGTCACCGCGGAGCCAGAGTGTCTGTTCGTGGACACCTACTGGGATCCGAATCACCACGGAACAATCAGAATCGTCGAGGAGTGGGCATGCGACAGAGATTGGTTCGTGAATGTACGTTTGGCCCCTCCCGTCCGCTCAAACCCCTCAAATTCCGTGAGCCGGAAATTCTGCTTTCAAGGAGAAGCTGAGAGAAAGCTATGTGGCCCCGCGGCTGTATACCTTGGGGAGCAGCGAAAGTGTTGAGTTGACAATGCTTCTAGGTGCAAATGCCAAAGAAATACTATGATCCGTACCGTGCAGCCACGGAGAAGATGTACATCAAGGAACGTGAGTCGAAGCTGCTTTGTCTCCCAATAATGTACCTATCCCTCTGACAATGTCGTTTGACTCATAGGCACGGTCGAGGATTGGGAACGTATACCAGGCTGGTGGAGACAGAAGCCGGATTATAAGCCCGAGTAGGGAAACGGAGGAGCGAAGGAGGGGTGTGTGGCTGCTATACGATCACTGGAAGTACGTAGCAGTGGCGGGTCCAGCTGTGGAAACCAGGTGTAGTACGAGGGACAAAAGATTGCATGCTTCATCGCAGACGACGACGAGGCACAAAATCTCGGTCTACTGGTCATAGCCTGATTTTCCTGGCACCACCCCGTAAGTCGCACTAGACCTGCCAAACATGGTCCGCAAGTCCTGAACCAAAACCTCTGGCAGCTCCCAAGCAGCAAAGTGGCCACCCTTTTCATGTTCCTTGAGGAACACTATCGGCCCCATAGCCTTCGTCCATATATTAGGCAACAGAACAATCTCCTTGGGAAACCGCGAGTAACCAAGAGGTACATCGACATAACGCTGGACTTCGAGATAGGCCTCTTTCAGAGGGAACCCTTTCCTCGGCGTACGGTGAGTTTTTTCGTAATAGATGCGTTGCGACGCCGCAGGCCCCGCCGTGGAGAAGTAGTAGATGCTGATCCACGTGAGGGCTTCGTCGTCGGTCCAAGGGTAGCCATCGGTCCAGTCGTGGAGTTTTTCGTAGATCCAGGCTAGAAGAGACACGGGGTTCGCGGTGATGGCGTACCCAGCGGTCTGGGGCCGGGTGCTGTGGAGAAGATTGTAGCCAAACCCTTCCTCGCGAAACCAGCGCGACCGAGCGATCCCAGCCTTCTCGTACTCGGTCAAGGGAGTCGCCTGGAATTGAGCCCAGAGAGCAGGATGCGAAGTCGCGCTGATCTCGGGCGGATGACACATGTTGATGTGCTGGGCCTTGCATGACCCTGGGTACATCATGGCCAGAAAGCGGACCACAAAGTAGCCCAAATCCCCTCCTTGAGCAACTATGGCCGTGTTAACGCGTGGGCAGTTTTCTACTTCACGAGCTTACCATATTCCGAGTAGCCCAACTTTGTCATCAGTTTATGCGCCACCTCGGCATGCTGCTCGAATTGAAAATTCGCCTAGTCGCAAGTATCAGTGTATGACTCGTTCATGTACATATGACATATCTATCACACAGGCTATATTGGTGACCAACCTTCTTCGCCCCCGAGGAGAAGCCGTAGTCGACCATACTGGGAGCCACAACGTGAAAGGAAGGCGCTTCACTCCCTCCGTTGAGCAGCATGGGGAGGATCTTAGTGACCTCCGCAAAACTTCCAGGCCATCCATGACAGAACAACAGTGGGATGGCATTCTTGACTGGACTTTGCTGGTGCACAAAGTGGATGTCGTAGGTGCCAAAGCCGTCCACATCGATCTGAGTCATGAACTGAGGAAGTTGGTTCAATTTTGCTTCCTGCTTGCGCCAGTCAAAGCCATCTTGCCAATACGCAGCAAGCCGCTTGAGATCAGCCAGTGGTGTACCCCTGCTCCAAGGTTCGACGTCGGGGAGTTCATCTGGGAAGTCGGCAAGGGCGATCTGTTGTTTCAGGCGCTGAATCTTTTCCTCGGGTACATTGATCTTGTATGGCGTGATTGACGACATTGTGTCTTTGTTGTCCGAGCATCCTGTTCAATGACACTCCCTCTTTTAAAGGGGAATCATGAAACTCGTCAGTCTGCAGGCAATATCCAAATTGTGATCGTTGGATTGACTTTCAGCAGAGTGCCAACCTATACGCTGCGTCCAATAGGTCGTCGGTGAGTTTAGAACATCCTTGGCCTCGCGCATCGTGTTGGCTTACTGGTGCGTAGCCATAGCCGCGGGCTTCGGCATTCGCAAGACCGTGTCTTGTCAGGGACACAACGTAGAGATACGGGCTTGTTCTGTCACGATATGGGGTATGGAGCAGTCCATCAACCTAGAAGGATTTGTTTTGATTTCAAATGCGAAGATGGGGTCCATCACGCGAATGATCAGCCCCGAGGCACTGCATCCAAAATTGTTTATTGCAAAGTGGGATGGATGGGCCAGCGGTTACCCCCTCCCCCAAGAGGCGACACTACAAGCCCAGGGGCCAAATCTTGCGAGAAATATTTCGCTACAGCTTGCTTTAAGCTGTATACCAACAGTGAAGGACGCAGCAAAAAATGGCTTCGACGTGCCCCCAGATCATCTTTGGGGCGGGCTTCATAGGGAATGCAGAGCCTTTCATCAGCGAAAAAGATATCGAGGCCACCTATGAGCTGATCTCGAAATATGGTGTCAAGCGTCTCGATTCGGCGCAGCTGTATGGCGAAAGCGAGAAGCGGCTGGGAGAGACCAAGGCGGGGGACAGGTTCTCAATCGACACGAAATGGTTGATGGGATGGAGTCCAGGATTGGCGACCAAGGACGGCATCATCGCGAGTGCGAAGGAGAGTGTGAAGAAGATCGGCTGTGCGGTAGGCGACGTCTTAGACACTCCCTTATCTCTGTCTCTCTTCACAAACAGGAGGAGATCCTACCGCTTGAAGCCTGAGAAACTGACATCGCATCGCATGTGTCCTCCCCAGGCGGACGTGTTCTACCTGCATTGCCCGGACGTGAGCGTCCCCGTGGAAGAGACGCTCGCCGGCGTGAACGAAGCCCACCGGCTCGGTCTATTCCAGCACTTCGGACTATCCAACTACCCGACCGAGGACGTGCTCAAGATTTACGACTATTGCAAAGCCCACGACTACATCCTGCCCTCCGTCTTCCAGGGCAATTACGCCCCCGTGGCCCGCAAACTCGAGACCCTCTTGTTCCCCACGCTCCGTAAGCTGGGCATCGCCTTCTACGGCTACTCGCCGCTCGCGGGCGGGTTTCTGACCAAGACGAAGCAACAGATCGTTGAAGGCGCGGGGCGCTTCAATACCGATTTCATGAACGGTATGTATGACCAGATGTACCTGAAGGAGTCGTACTTGCAGGCGCTGGCCCTCTGGGAGGACATTGCCACGGAGCAAGGCTGTTCGCGCGCCGAGCTGGCCTACCGCTGGGTCGCGTACCACAGTGCACTGCGGAGCGAGTACGGCGATGGCATCATCATTGGGGCCAGCAAGTTCGAGCAGATTGAGCCGACGCTGCAGGGTTTGCAGAAGGGGAGACTAAATGACAGCGTTGTAAAGCGGATCGATGAGGTCTGGGAGACGGTGAAACACGATGCTCCCATGGATGCGTTTGCCAAGTAGGAAAATGACAAGTCAAATGCAAACCACCATACGATATCAGGACTGTAGGATATCGATTTCATAGTGCAAACAAGAGTTTGAGCCAACTTCATCTATCTGATTGTACCATTGGCCTTCGCCACGTTCTCCTTGCGCGATAGGATTGTCCGTAGTACCTGCAAAATGGCCTCTTCCGGGTGATCAACGGGTCCCATACTCCTCCACGCAATGAATCTGTCGGGCCGGACAAGAATGCAGCCGTCTTCCTCGATCTCCCTGACCCTCTCCCACTCAAGGTACATGTCTTCATAGTCCTGCCTGAATCCGATGGAATACGCAGCAATTGTGATTCCAAGTGCATCGCTCGCTTTAGCTGCGGCCTCCTTCCACGGCTCTCCTCCAATGCCAGTCAGGACAGTAAATCGCCCTTTGCCAGCCAAGTCAAGCACCGGGATGGGCTGTTCGGGAATTGCCTTGTTTAGCCAGACGTGAGGCAGACGCGAGCCGGGGTACGTCGACTTTGTGTGATCAAGAACGGGATCTCCCGGGAACGACGGCATCGGTCCTTGGTCTGCTTGGTAGACCGCCGATGATTGATAGCGTTGGTTCATCTCGATGCCCAGCCCCTGGAATTCGAAGCGCGTTCCCTGAACTGCCTTGAAAAATGCTTTTCGACGCTCTCTACCAGTTGGTGTGGCGGCAGTAAGCTGTCCGAATTCTGCTACCCGTGTAGCGGCGTCGGGAGCCAGAATGCCAGCGGCTTGCCATAGAGGGAGATGATCAAGGTATCCTTGAAATGCCCTTTATCTCGTCAGAAAGATATATTTAGGAGTTGGAATCGATATATACCGTTCAACAATAGCTTCGCCAACAGGTTGTCGTTCCTGTTCATACGACTCCAGCAACTCCGGCCCGGCAAGACCTGGAGGGAGGTTAGTCCTGGAAAAGAGTGGGGAAACGCAAGAACGCACCTTTCAGAACGTAGGCGATCTTCCAAGCAAGGTTATATGCATCTTGGATGCAGGTGTTAGAACCAAGACCATTGGAAGGCGGATGCCGATGAACAGCATCGCCGAGGCAGAAGACATTCCCCTTCGAGTACTTCTCGGCGACAATGTCATTGATCATCCACTTGCTGATGTTGAGGATTTGGACGTCGACGGAATCGTCGCCGATAATTTGTTTGATTCGTTTCATCCACTGCTCTTCGGTTGGCGGGGGATTGGGCTGATAACCTTGGACAGGAAACATAATGAAGACCCATTCATTCCACGGTTTCACCATACGAGGAAATCCAATCCATGCAAAGTCAGGATGCTCAATATCGTGCTGGTAGCACCAGTGCAAGTTCCCCTTCTTGTATTGGATGTGCTTGGTCAAGTCTGCCTTCACGAGGACGTTCCACGCGAGCCCTCCACCAGGCTTTTGCTTGAGAGGCAGCCCGAGCTGCGTGAGGATCTTACTCCGCGCACCATCTGCACCAAACAGGTATTTGCATCGTATCGTAAAGAAGGTGTTAAAGATGAGATCCTTTACCACGACGTCGACGAAGCCGTCTTGCGCGTGGTCCTCGAAACTGACAAATTCTGTGTTGAAGCGACACATGAATCCGCTGGTCGTTGCCTTGCGGATGAGGATAGGTTCGAGTACGGTTTGGGGGAGATCTACGGGGTCGCAAGGGCTGGCTTCCTTGTATTTGCCTTCAATGATGGGACCATTCCCCCAAGAGTAGAGCCGTGCGTACTCCTCGCCCGCCATGCTGTATCCCCATCTCGTGTGCATCAGGGAGTCTTTTGGGCTGGCCACTTTGCGACATTCGGCTTCCAGATCAATGTCGCGCAGGCACTCTAGATCGACACTGTTAGGTTCAATGGATGATTTTGCCTTGGAGATGGGGTGCCTCTACCAGACGCTGCCATATTCGTGATATGCGCTCGCGGGGTCTCCGCTGTCGTGGATGTCGCGCCGATAATGATTCCCTTGACTCCTGGTTGGCGTCAGCTTGGAATTATTCAAGACTTCTTCCGGAGTTTACTATGTGATCCGAGAAAGGAGGCGATGGAGCCTCCAGAAGGCCCAGTGCCTACGACGACGACATCGGTCTCAAAGTCGGGGGAAGACGCGCCCCTTTCGACGGCTACTGGGTTTGCCATGGCTGTAGCGAAAACGCGAATCTCAAAGCAGCTGGGACTTGTGAGGCCGGTAGAAAGAGTGCCTGGGACATAGTTGATTTATTCGTCTCAAATATGCGACGATATCTTCTTTCCCAGATGCCGTGTCTTCAGTACAATGAGTATGTTCCTAAAAGACTGACAGGTGACATCGTGACGCGCTTTCGGCCACGGCGTTGGCGATTGCCGTAGATGATTTCGTTGGGTAAGCATGAAAGTCAAAGTGAGGATCTTTTTCCGTCATCTTGGCTGGTGGGTATTGTGACTTGTCCCGCGAAGACGGTCAAGAAGACGGGGAAAAGGGAGAACCTTTATGGCTGCTGCCAGTACACAAGTTCCCCGGGGCCGTGTCCTCGGTCAAGGCAGTTCCTGAGCACTAGCCTCGTAAATGCGAGGAAATGAAAAAGAATAGTCTCCATGATTGATCTAGAACAGTGTCAAGCGGCTTTACTTCGGGTCCCAGGACAAGAGACGAACATCGTCGCTGCTGGGTTCCATTTTTGTATTCTATATGGTTTTGACTGTTGACCAGTGCTATCGAAGTCCCTGCCTTTCAGCAACAGGTCTTCGCAACAGGTCTTCAGGACTGCTAAAGCCATCTCTTAGTGCCTAGGTGGGAGATAAATGCCCCTGCGTCCCCGTTCTCGATGCTCTTCTCGCTCAACACCTTCAGGAGATACTCGACAGATTCTTGAGTATTTAACGGCGTTGTATAAGTCGGTTCGTATTGTTGAAACTTCATACCCTGTTCTTTGCGCTTCTGGAGCTCTGGAGCACTTGCTGTAACAATGGGAAAATCTCATGTCAGCTTCTGGTGTCCGGCTGGAGATATGGCAGGGACTTCCTGCTCCATCAGAATACATACCTTCCTTATGCCATGGCCGCACAGGATAGAGTTTCTGCGATAGATCTCCCTCAACGTCCTGGACTGGAGCATAGGATCCGCGGCCGTCATCTTCCGAGTCCACGGCCCCTGGGCTGACGGCCATGAACAAGATGCCTTCTTTCTTGTACGAGGCGCTGAACTTGGCCATCACCATATTCATGGCAGCCTTGCTTATTGAGTAAGGCACCGCCATATCCATATCCAACTCGTTAGTGAATTCAAGCTCGCCCATGCCACTGCTCAATGCAACAACTTTTTTGACAGTTCCTTTTCGTATTAGAGGAATAAAAGCTGCAGTTGCGTTCATAGTCCCAATGGCATTGATACTGAAGCATTCATGCATGTCCTTGTCAAATACCTCCGGCATATCGAGGCTGTTGTCGACGAGTGTAATGTCAACACTTCTCCCTGTAACAAATGCGGCTTGCTTCTTCGGGAGGATCAAACATACTAGTCTTCTAAGGTTCGAAAGGCTGTGGGCTTTGCGATCAAGCCAGCATTGTTTATGAAATAATCCACGCCTTTCCCGCCAGTGATCTTCTCGGTGTCCTCAGCCGCTTTCTGGTACACTTCGTTAGCCCTGTGATACCCATGTTCGTGTATAGTAGCGGAACTATAAACAGCGCATAAGTAGGATCACACACCAGTAAAGCGCTCCGATCAGTGACATCGGCTTCTAGCACATGAACGTTCTTAATGCCATGTTTCGCAATTTTCTCATCTGTGGCTTTCTTCGATAGCACCAAAGCAACGACGATGTTATCCGGGTCTGGTGAAAGCTTGCGGACAAACTCATACTGGCGCGGATGTCGGTGGTCAGTTCATCGGGTTGAGCCGAATATTTTGACAGCAACTCGTACCCCTATACCCCGATCTGCGCCCGTGATCACCCAACAAGGCATCGTGTTCTTGTGATGCTGTTGCACCAATGCTGTAGGATGTGGTGAGCAACTTCGTGGACTGAGCAGAAGATCCGAAGACGGTGAACGTGGCTACTTAGGCCTGTATGTAGCTGCGCTCTAGAGAGATGGTATCACGTAATCCAGTTCTCACTCAAACAACCGGCATATAACACTGACTAGTGATCGTCGAGAGGTGAAGTGGCCGGGACGAAGGAACGAGTGCTTCAGCTGTGCCGGTACAGAGAGAAACCGTTAACGGCATTTGGAGGCCGAAGTATAATTATATCGCCACGACTCGGGGTTGCTCGAGACACGTTCTAGATTCCTCTGGGAATTATCCTAAGCCCGTCCCCGCTGGTAGATTATTTGACACAGCTGTCTATCACTTCGTGCTCCTTGTGATCCTCTCATAGCTGACCAAGTATGAATGACTGAATACGACCAAAGATCTCGATAGGCATGCAGAGAGCCCGCAGAGGTTGATGCACCGCTGACAAATTCGTCGCGAAGCTGTCACTCTACACGCAGGAAGAAAATGTACATATGCCACCAGCAACAGTTCGTATTCTCGAAGCCATCCATACCTCCAGGCACAAGCAGATCCACAATCCAGCAAAATGCCGTCGTATGTTGTGACTGGAGCTAGTCGGGGAATTGGAGTAAGGAAGTCGATCCAGTTACAATTCAAAGTTCATGTGCTGACCACAGAATCAGTATGGCTTCATTCAGTTTCTGTCCAAGGATCCAGACAATGTTGTAGTTGGGCTAGTCCGAGACAAGGTCGCGACAGACCGAAAGATCCAACAAGAGGGCATCAAAAATGTCACAATCCTTCAAGCCGATATTACCGACCGTCAAGCTCTCCTCGCTGCTCGGGATGTTGTCAAAACCCTGACGGGTGGCTCACTCGACTACCTGATCAACAATGCAGCATATGTTTCCCACCTTACAACGGGGAGATTTCTCGACGAGTTCGAGAGTGAACCGACGCTGCTGGACGATGATATAAACACGGCCTTCAACACCAATGTCGTTGGGGTCATCAACACCATTAATGTTTTCCTGCCCCTGATCAAAAAGGGTCGTGTGAAGAAGGTAGCGACTTTAACTTCTGGCATGGGCGATCTGGATTTCATCAATGAGCTTGGGATCTGGGAATCAGCCCCATATAGTATAAGCAAAGCGGCAGTCAACGTTGTCGTGGCCAAGTACAGTGCCCGATACAAGGACGAGGGGATCTTGTTCCTCTCCATTTCCCCCGGGGTGGTGGACACGGCAGCAGCTGCAGGTAAGCCCATCTCCCAACTTCAGTGATGACTTCTGCTTATTCGTGCCAGCGCCTGGAATAGAAGGACTCGTTCAAAAGTTTCTGAAAGCTGCGCCAAACTTTCCCGGTCCAATGACACCACTTGAGTCAGTCGAACAAGTGCTAAGCGTCGTGAACTCGAAAAGCGTTGAGAACGGTGACGGAGGCCTTCTTATGTCCCACCACGGAGATAAGAACTGGTTTTGAAGCACATCGGCATTTGTGTACGAACGAAGGCAAATCAACCAGAACGCCGGCCAGATCTTGATAGCGCCTTCTGCATAACCACTTCAAATCCTTCATTACGAATCTGGTAGTGAACTCTACCTTGTCGTAGTCGTGGAGCGTAGCAGTTCATTGCTCCTTTTGCACTGAATCAACAGACGTCGTGTGCTTCATCTTGGCTAGTATCCGACATTCAGGTGTTGCAATCGTATCGTAAAGGAATTCGAAAAGGGCAGATACTCGCAGACGCCAGACGAGCATGACTGCTCAGTCTTCATCGTCAGTCCTCATCGTCAGTCTCTGAACATCATTTCCAAGCCAAAATGCGACACCCAATGAAGTTCCTGAGACCTGCAAGATTTTTGAGATCTCCCTCATCGAATGCTGACTCGACCTTGGAGTGTGCCAGCTGATCATATGGAGTCTGGACTGGGTGTGGGTGGAGCATGGCTTTGAAGGGTGATGGCCGAGTAAAATCGGGGCTCCGCAACACCGCATACGGTGTTTTTCGCAACTCCGGATTTCAAGACGGCTGCCGCGAACACCGCCCTATAACCCCAAAAACAAATGCATTGTATATGTAGCGACAGTTTATCGTTGACCTTTCCAAACGGACTAGCTGCGATATTTCAACATCTTTTGAACCTAGTTGCGTCAGTCTCGGCGACATAGATCTTTCGAAGCGCAGGCAACCATGGCGAAAGGACTCGGGCACCCTGAGTTTCAAGCGTTCAGACCGTATGATTTCAAAGCCGCAAATGAGGACTATATGGAAAATGTCTTCTCGAAGCCAAATATGATAGTGGGAGCGAAATCTCGTGTTGGTATCATCACATGTTGCGATGCCCGATGCAGTCCAGATCAGTTTTTCAAGATGGGCGAGAATGAGGCCTTTGTCATTCGGAATGGAGGTGGCAGAACTGCGACCATGGACGTTCTTCGGACAATTGCCAGTATTGAAGTCTTGAGTGACATCAAAGAGTTGAAGGTTATTCATCACACGGGTATGCGTCCCTCTGAATGCACTTGAGAGAGACATGTCACTGACGTCGACACAGATTGCGGTGCTTTAGCATGCTCCGACGACTTTATCCGATCCATGATAACGAACAACGACCCAACCATGAAAGATGGACCATTCCTGCAGGGATCCAAACAATGGGCCGAGGCTTTGACCTACTATGCATTTTCGTGGAAAGAGGGTGAGACAGAAAGAGAAGTGTTGGAGAGAAGTGTCGTCGAGGATGTCCAGTTTTTGAGAAGCCACCCCTTGATCAAGCCGTCAATTCCGATCACCGGTTGGATCTTCAACCAAGACAACGGGGCTGTGGAAGAGGTGGACTGCGGGCTGCAAGGTGGGCGAGATCCTCGCCAGATTGAATTGCTCAAGGAGCAGCTTTCCAAGACTTTGAACGGAGAGATGAAGGGGATCATTGAGAAGATCGGCAAGACTGCCCACTGATAGATGGTGTAAGATGCAGGAGTCTCTGGTGAAGACCTGGTTGTCTGCCGCTTAGCCCAGTGGGCACTCATGAAATCCGGGAGCTGCTCTGGCTCGCAACGAGGAACAACGCCGTCATGGTCCGTACTTCCTAAAACAGAACATGTTCACGGCACCTGCAGACCTTTTCTTTCACCTCGCTTCCCCTCTCGCACACAATCCTGCTTGTCTTTGGATAGTTGTCGGAAGTCCACACGTGATGCTGGAACATTCAGTTGAATGAATCCCGTACGGCCCTATCGTCGTCATCGGCAATGGCAACGGGAAGGAATATTTAGGGGATTGAGGCATAGGGCAGATCCATAACCGACAGCATGGATGCGAACCTGGAATCAATGGACACGGTGCCTCAAAACATGAGCTCGGTCCATCATACCTGTTCAGACGAATTTTGGCCTAGATTCTGCTTCTGAACTCGGAAACGGAGTCGACAACATATTGTAAAGCCACGCCTTTCCTGCATCAATCAGAGACACCATTCGGGAGGAAGGAGATTCAGTTTTGCAGAGCCGTTCTTCTGGATGGCTGGATGTTCGCACCCTCTGATCTCGGGCCTCAACTCTTTGCAGCCTTCGAAGGGGCGTACTTTTGCACAAGAAAAGGCACAACGACATATTTCCCAATGGTCCTTCTCTTACCATCAACGACGCGTCTCGAGTGGTCACGCTTCCTAGCGCGAAGTGAGTGCAGGAGAATGGGTTGAGGGGCAGAGGGATGAGACTGTTGAAGGTTGTTCTTGGGGAAGGAAGGGCTGTTGATGAACGTCCTGGACTATGCAAAAGCAAGGAGGATCTTGCGGCGTTGAGCGTTCAAGCTCGGCCTGAGCGCGATCAACGACAGGATCCATGGTGTTGATACCGCAGTTACTGCTACTAGTTAGTAGCAAAATGGAATCCGGTCAGACAACAGGAAACTCAACGGCCGCCAAGATTGAATTTAAAAGCAGCAACGGATCTTCTTCCCAAAAGGATCCAACGCGTTCTCTATTAATAATTACCTACCTACCTGGTAGGTAGGTATGTCCTTTGACTTCCATCGCACTTTAGGTTGAGGAAGGACTTCTGTGGTGCCTGCTGTTCCATTATTAGAACCTTATCCTGCTTGGAGAGGAATGCTACTCCCCCCGAATATCCTTTCATATATATAAAGCACGCTGCAGATGCTCGATGTTGTTCGGCGACGGGCTCAGGCACGAGATTGATCACTCTCAAAAGACTCAGACTTCGGAACGGCGAGCTCCATTATGGAATTATGCCTTCATCATCACGAACTCAAAGAGGATGTCTCGAAGCCAGGATGGATGCTCCGAGTTTCCAAGTAGACGTGACCCAGGTTCAACGGTAAAAGATACAGTACTGGTGGAGGTGCAGCTCGCGTTGTCCACACCGAAGGTGACAACCCAAGTGATAAACAGAATATTCCAGCTTCGTCCTTTGATTTGGCCATACAGCGACCTTGGATTCTGCCCTTCTTTTGAGAGCGGTGAGTTTGAACATCTTTGGTGACATCTCAGACAGTCAACACTTTCTTTAGAGATTCTGTTCAGGCTGCACACTCCTTTATGGAACAAACATCTTGTCTTTCTTTCACCAGTCCAGGTCGACAGAGACCTCCTTGTCCTGTGTGTGTTGACCGTCCGGCACCAAGGATAAACACCTGCTTGCTCTCAGCTGTCCAGAAACCCCTGATAGCCAGCCGATCTTCATTCAGATCCAGCTCATTTTAGCTTTCCCAAAAAAGAAGGTCATGGATCATCGCAACGAACAAGAAGCTGGTCGGCAGCGGATGAGAGATCTGTTTCAGCAGAGGGAGATGGAGCGCGGAAGCCTCCGCCACAAACGGATCTTCAAGACTCCCGAAGAAGAAGCCAAGCAGGCTGTGAGAATCACGCCCAACTGGCAGGCGAGAAACATGCGACAGCTGACTGCAACTCGGGGACCACCCCCAGTGTTTGATGAGAACATCTGGGACGCCGAGAGACAGAGATCAGCCTTGGGCGAAATACGTTCAGTCAGTCCCCGGACTCGTATCGGCAAGGATGATGACGGACGTGCTACGGGCGGGGCGAATGGTGACGGGAAGAAGAGCTCTGTCGGCGACGATACAAAGTCGAAGGCTTCTCACAACGACAACAAGAAATCTCACAGCTCCGCCTCAGCCGACAAAAAGAAGTCTTCTTGAACCCCTTTATCTGCTAGTACAGTAAGTTGACCCATTTATTCGTGATCTTGTGGGCGACCCAGCTCTAACTTTAGCCCTCAGCACCTTGAGTTTTCCTGCGTTATTGGCCTTCTTTGGTCATATCTGAACTTTGAAGCCAATAGCAAGCGGTTCTTGGAGAGAAACGAAAAGATCAAAGATCTGAGTCCTTCGGCCATTAGATTTCCTTCTCGAGCTTCCATCGACGCCCTTTTGGTTTTCTTAAGGGGCATTCAGCCTTGCCCACCAGCGACTTGTGCACAGATCGACTGAGACTCCTCGAGGATTTCAAGCTGGTCGCAAAAAAGCCGGACTTTCGCATGGCTACCGCCTGCAAGCATACATTTGACCTTGGGGAATAGTTATGAACAGATCCGATAGAGGAAGAAAAGAGGTGCCTCATCGTTCCAGAAAAAGAGTTGGCAGTTTCGGGGGCATTTTTGAAATAGAAAAGTGGACAATGCAAATTCTTGATTCTTGATTCTTGCACAATCAGCTATCCTATCTTCTCTCATCAAGCTCTCGTCTGTTTGTTTGTGTTTGTGTTTTGCCTTTTCTCTGCCAGCTCCGTTCTCAGCTCCGTCCTTTGCCTCCCCCGAGAAGTAGACGACACTTTCCAGCCGGCTATGGAACAGACTCCTTCCTGCCTTTGCCTGAAACCTTGCCGAGGCTCCAAGGATGACTGCTACCATCTAGCTCCAAAAAAGAAAGGAAAAAGGCCTTGAAACCCCCAGCAATTGCGTTGCCACTCTTACAAGGTACCCAGCCATCCGCACGCCAACCGAAGACCATGTCCATTTGACTCTTCATAACCCGCCAGGTCGCGCCAAACCGCTCTCATCGTGGGTGGAAAATGTACAACGCGAAATCGACATGACCTTCCCGTATCAGCCTTTCTCTATTCTCCATGTTCATTCTCATCGTCGCGCTCCCTCTTCAGCCCCCTCTTGTCCTCTTTCTCACCATCCTTAATGATGACAATGAGGTCATTGACATAGTCGCGCAATGTCCGGCTTACACTCAACACATGAAAGAGACCATACCTATGAGCTCGAAACAACCTCTCGTTCAGGGTGACTCCGTCCTGCTCAAAGCGTTGGCCATGCTTATTGCCATATCGGGCCAAATTCCGTAGAATCATAATGCTCATCCAGGGCACGCCGCAGGGATGGCCGTTTTCATCTACCGCTGTGTAGTGCCACTCATGCTTGATCTGGACGGGGTCCTCATCCTTGATGTCTCCCGCCAATGCGTGGATGGTTTTGGACTGTTCACTGGCTGCCAAGGGGATGTGCACTTTGTAATGAGGAGAGAACTCGTTGGACTTCACCAGTGGAGTTTCCCGTGTGCAAGTTACCCAGCGACATGTAAACTCTTCACCAGCTTTCGGCAGGAAACGCCACGTCGATCCTTCAGGCTTTCTCTCGATTTTCAGATGGTCCGTCATAACATGATTGAAGAGAGTTTCACGTTTTGTATGCCAGACAGGACATAGATTCCGTGGATGCACCCGACCGCTCGGGTCCTGCGTATCCGGGCGAGATGTTTCCCACAGACATTTGAAGAGAGGTCGGCCTTGAAGATCAACCAGAATCCTCCGCGGCTTGATCCCCTTGATGATGAATCTCGGGGTTGGGCCATTAATGACTTGGGCCTGAGCAGAGACGAATGTATTTGACACATTCTTGATAAAGTCAGCCGCGGGAACGGGATTGTTCTGTGCGAATTTGCCTTGGTATGCTTGCCAAATAGCAATTTGTGTGATGTCCTCGGTCGGGGACTCCTCAAAGCAACACCGGAGCCATCTTGATGAACGTTCGGGCTCGACAAACTGCAAGAGATGCGCATGCACTTCAGGGGGGATGGTGGGAATCGGGGCGGGAATCGGTGCCGGCCTAGGTTTCGGCCTCTCCACGATGCTTTCTTCATGGACGATTGATTGGTAAAGCAGAAGACTTGTGAGGCGAGAAATGGTGTTTGGTAGAAGATGGAATGCGTTTGAGAGGAGTTCCGTATTATTCTCTGGGATTGCTGTGTATTTGTAGAGAAAATCGAGCGAGCTTTCCAGGAGCTCGTTGTCATCGAGGAGGAGCAGCGAAAACATTCGTTCTACAGTCGACAATGGAACGTCAGTGAGACGATGCGCATCAGGCTTTTCGAGTCCGATTCTGTTGATTGACCGCAAGGCTGAAATTATCATACTCCTGTCATCGCATTCGAGGTATGGCAAGAGCGACATGTAGAGCGGGTCTTTGGGTTTCATTTCCCAGTATCTCGTGACTTGCTCCGTAATTTCGAGAGCCGACTGTTTGTATTCGACGATTTTGGGTTGATGCGGGAGTGAATGAGCAATTGTGAGGAAGTCCCTGAACAAGGGAAATTTGGAGATGAAGACAGCATTCTCTTCGAGAATCACCATATTGCGGAGGACGAGGACTGCTTCCTTCAACTTCTCCAATCTCTCTGAGAATTCGGCAGATTCCAAATCCTGATCCACGACCTTTGGCGTGACGGCTTGTATGCGTTCGAGCAAGTTTGATGTGCCGAAGGCCGCATTCAGAGTGTTGAGGGGTCGGGTTTCATCGTCTTCCTCGTAGGTGATCTCCCATTTGACACCACAGATCAGTTGTGTGATCTCCAGCGCCTTTTCTAGCAGAGACTCGGCAAGTAAGGGAAATCCTTCGAATTTGTACTTGTCGCCACGTTCATATGACACCTTGACCAGATGGTGGAGGGCAAAGTCCTGCTCTTCTTGGATACCCGATCGCAGACCATAGAGACACCTCAGGTAGATGTTGGGGCCATTCATGGCCGCCGGAATGGATGACTTGAGGAATTGCTGTGGTTCGGGTGGCAGTCGTGGCGCGGTCACGGCTTTGGCATGCGCCTTGCGAGCATAATACAAAGGATCATTCCCAGGAGTGTGAACTTGTCGCAGTGTCAACGCGACAGGTTGTCGAGGCTCATACTTATCAAACCAGTCGAAACCTGAATTGCGAGGATCATTCGAGGTGTTTGTGTAAGGCTGCTGTTGGGGTGGCGGTGCCGAAGGAGAGTCTGTCGCGCGGACGGTGCGACTGCGTGTCGGTGCAGTGTCTGGCTGGAACATCTGGGTGCGCTTGGGATCTTGTCTCAACTGGCCTGTAGAAAGCGTGTTAATGAAGGTAGAATGATGTTGGTGTCAGCGCCAGAACATACGAGTGGGATATCTGCTTGCGCTTCCTTGCTCTTCGGGCTCTGTCTTCTCCCGCTTGGGCGTGACCTGGATCTCATCTTCGCCAGAGTCTACATTTGCTCCTCCTCCGTCCGCCATGGCAGGGTCGATTGCAGCGCGGTAGTTGGGCGCAGAGTAGTTTTCAAGGGTCCGTGTTCGTAGATCACCTCCTTTCGCACTGATGTCTTCGAGGATTTCCCGTGGCGGCGGTTCTTCTCCCCAAAATGTAGCGATCTCGTAGGCACTTTGAAAGTGTGAGAATGTGTCAGTGAAGAGAACGTATATATGTACCTAGATACCGCACCCGCGCAAAAAGCACACTCGGGAAAAGAAAGGCAGTGTGAAGTGTCACTCACGCGAGATTCTTGTAATACACTGTTTTCAGTTGAAATGTCATCACTGCCTCATGGGTTTTGCCAAAGCCAAACTCTTTGACAAGGGTTCTCCATTGCATCCGCCCAGCAGACAAAGCATCATACCCGCCTCTTTCCATGACCAATTTGTACAGCTTGTGCAGGGAGATGGGCCGGCCACTGACCTTGCCCTCGCGGTCGAAGGGAGTTCTGTCGCAACGGAACACGCAGTCAGCTTTGTGTACTGTTTGTGTTCGCAAAGGGTCGGCCGGGTACTCACCCTCGCTTCTCATGGAAGGCGGCAACGTCCTTGAGGAACTCCTCCTCATCCTCAATCATCTTTCGAGGAGGGGCTGCCATTTTGGTCTTCGCTGCTCAAGCACACACAGGATCGAGATGTCACCGCGCGATATGTGCAGGGTCGGAGGGGGTCATCGCGGTTGGGAGTGTTGACGAGGAGGGACAAAGACGGTGGTCAGGGATTGTGAGGCCCAGATAGATATGAAACTGGCGTCTCGGCGCGTTCGTCGTGTTTGCAAAGAATGAAGTGTCGCAATGCTCGCGCATTTGGGCTTTGCGCTCTGCAGTTGAAGCGACGGTCACTTTTTCTCGGCTGCGCCCGCTCGGATGGGCATTTCCGACTGGCGACTTGTCCGCCACGTCGCCAAAGGCCAATAAAGCGGTACCTGGCGAGCTGGATTCGCTTTCGAATCCCAGCCCTCATCGTCGTCTCAAGGTATATTCAACAGTACTGGCACACTGCCCAAGCCATGTTCCAGGCGGCCTTGACATTATCTGTCCAAGCTACGTCTTCTCGAATATCTCCATGGTAATGTCCTGCTGTACTTCTGCTGACTTTACGCCACAATGCCTTCTCAAGGATGTCAAAACCTCTCCCAGTCATCTCCTTTGTGTCTCCCTTTGCTCAAATTTTCCTATGCTACTGTATCTAATGAAAGCATCGCTCCCATCCCATGGATCCATCTCTCCAGCAAGGATGCCCTCTTTGCCATCTTTGAAACCAGCCCTGTTCAATTGGAACATGGTCGAATTGAGGAGAGGCAAAAGTTCAAAGTCTTGCAAGATCCTGAAGTCATGGTATAGAGAAAACCGCTTCAGATTCGACCTCTTTCCCGGTAGGTAGAGAGGCTCATAAGCTTACAGGAAGAGCTCGACCTCAATGCGTTGTCGGTCGAGGCCCATCGTGCTCTGATTCAGACCCCAAACGCTACCACTGCCGGTGTCGCTCACGTCGCCATCATCGTCAAAGTGCCTATTATAGCCATCAAATACCCCATGCCCAATGGACAGGTGACAAAACCCCGTATGCCAGCCTTCATTGCTCACCAACCCTCCAGATCCGGCGTTTTCAGATTCGCTTCTCCAAGAACGAAGACTACTATGAGGCTATGAAAATGCTTTCGCGGGCGAATGTGCCTACCGTTGAAGCCGGCACCTTTCCAGCCCACAAACCACAAGCCGCAGCAAGACCGGTCGCGCCGAACCTGGTAGCTCCCAGCGATTCCGCTTCTCAAATTGGTCTGTCAATGCCCAGTCCGAGGAAATACGCTGCAAACGATGACATGTCTGCTCTCTCGCTGTCTCGGCCAGCAACCTCAGGTCACTCCGCTATGCCTCCTCCACAGATGTTTCTGGCGCCTGCACAATCGGCACAGTATCCTTTGAATGTACGGCCACCACCTGATCGGGACTTGCGCACAGCCCAGGCGCCGGACCTTGGGCCTGCATATCCCAAATCTAATATTTCACTCAGCACCGCCACTACTCTTGTCCCCGACAAACAGCAGCTCAGACTCCGTGCTATGCAAAATCAATCAGAGTTTGAAGATGTCGGAAATATACGCAGCCGGCAATCGACCAGAACGTCTCCTTATTTCCCCGGACTTGAGACCTCAAGGGGGAACATCAGCCTAGGTCTTAGAGGAGGGCAGTTAGCATCGCCGGTCACAAGATCCGAAGTCAACAATCACAGCTACTCATTGCATGCAGGTGGAACCGGTGGTCCCGTCCTTGAAGAAGGACAAAGTGATAGTCACCTCAGGGGTGGGGAAGCAGACTCGGTGCTTTCTAAGACCACAACCGCAAAAGGTAGAGCAAAGCGAAGCGCAGCATCGAACAAGGCCGCAAAGACCCCAGCAGCCAAAAAGCCCCGAACTACCACAACACGTAAACGGACTACAGCACAAAAGGGCCAAGAAGACAAGCGCGTGCCGACCGTTGATGAATTGCTTCAACAACCGGGATACAGCTTGCTGCCGGACACCACGACCGTTGAGTCACGAAGCATTATTCCATGTGTGGAAAATAATCTGACCGAACCCGACCAGACAAAGAGCATGGAAATTGCCGAAACAGAGGACGACGCAGACCAGGCCCTCGCAGCTCAGGGAAGTCCATTCCTCGACGGCACAACGACGACCAGGCGCATGACCCGCTCTGCATCGCAAGCTCTTTCGCGTGTTCCATTACAACAAAATGTCAAGGAGAGCAACGGACTCGTCAAAACAGCTGCCCTTCCACCATGTACGCCGGCAGACCAGATCATCAGCAATCCTGCAACACCAGCATCACCAGTCGCTCAGGCCCATACCACAGCGCCCCCTCAACCGACGACCTCTCTTCCACACCGTCGCGAACCACAATCTTCAACCCTTCCCGTTCCCGCAACTGACACCTTCCTCCTCGGCCTCCACACCGCACAGCAATGCCTCTCCGACGATCCAGCCTTCGACCTCTCCTCGGCCCAATCTCGCCTTGCCGCGTGGCTCAAGCTCCCCGAGTCAACGCAGACGACGACCCTAAGGGCTTATTTCTGCGAATTGATCATGACAGAAGGGTTCAGCCAGTTGTGCAAGACCGTGGACATGTTTTGGGAAGGCGCAATTCTGGAGGGGAGGATGACGATGATGATGATGATGATGATGATGACGACGAGGCCGAACACCTCGGATCCTGGTTCGACGAATCAACGCGGTGAAGAAGAGGGGGTAGAAGTTACAAAAGTCCGTGGACGGGAGGGAGAATGAGACGAGAAGGGGAAAGGGGTAGGATCTGGGAAAGTGGACTGAATGCGATCGAGGGAAAGAGGGATTCAAGAGCTCGAGAAAAAGAAGGGGAGAGATTGTTCTGCTGGTTGTCGATATGAGTGAGTGTGGTTCTGAGTTTGTACGGGTGACGGGGTGAGAAGAGCAATATGTACAATGCTGTGCTTCCTCCGAGCTTCAAAAGTGGTTGTTCGAACTTGTTGAGATCACAGCAATTATAAGGAACACAGGAAGGATCATGCATCTCTTGTGAGCTTAAAAGTAATTGTCACAGGAGAAGCACGTCAAGTCAGTGGACAACAGTGTATTCATGTTGGTCTCAATTCGTTCCAAGCTATCTGTCTGTGTCGTAAGAAGTGCTTCTCTACCTTGATCTATCGCTTTGCTAAGGCAGATGCTCGTAGTGAGACAGCTTGCTTACGTGAGGCACAATGAAGACGCAAATGTCATCACCCTCTCCCACGCTAGGTTGTGCCTATGGATGGGTAGGAGTCAGGGTCGCGACTCGCGAAGACCAAGTGCCACTCCTGTTTCTTCTGATGCTTTCACCATTCCGCCCCAACGCCTGTGACGGCCACAAATAGCCTGCCCCAGTATCCGAACAGTGAAAAAAGAAGACCCAATATACACAACACAGATGTGCTAGGTCGGACAAAGAGCACAGCAACCAAGAAATACATTGCTTGAGAGCTGATGCGAGAAGAACGAGAGCTTGCTGAAGCGAGAGATCAACAATTGTGAAAAAGTCGGAGGTTTGAGTTGGTCTGGATTTTGTTCCATTTAGCTGTCGGACGGGTACTCTGCTCGTGAAGAGTTCCCGTCTCTGCGACGTGAAAAGTACACGTAGAGCGTGTTTTGGAAAGTCGGAAAGAAAAGGCGGTCAGCCGTCTGGACCAAACCGCCAGGGTAGTGTCGTCGTCTCCAAGCTCAAGGCTGAAGACCGTCTTAAAACAGTAAAGGAAAATGTCATGTGCCAGGTTCCTCCAGCCAACACTCTGCTACCAAAGCAATGCCCAGTCGCTGGTATAGCACAATAATGGACACACAAAGAACAGGTAGGAATTTCCGGAGTCTAGCTCGAAAGAGCCCAAGAAGTGAACATCGCTAGCAGGTCGCGTCCAAGGCTCAGCTCATCCATCACCCAAAGTGACCCCTGAAAGACAATGTGACACCGATCCTAACGCCGGGCTAAAACGCGAGTGAAGTTGAAAAAGAAAGAACACCGCTAATATGACAGCATTCGATGGTTGCGAGCGCGCAGGGCGTCTACCCCAGGTCTTGGCCCAGCAACAGGGGTATACTGGAGACCCATGTCAATGTCCATGTCGCTGTCCAGATCCCTTCGGCCCATGGCAGTAGGACTGGAGTCAAGAGAAGGTGAATGTTGGCCAAAGGCAAAGGTCTGGGCCCGGAGAAGCTTCGATCGTTGTTTCACTTTCCCGAGACCACGCTCGCAATCAAGAATATGTTCCTTTGCATCCATTTCGACATAGTTCTGGGGGTAACATCGTGCTCGGTAATCCTTGAAAAACGTGCTATAGCCCCCATCTAATATGTAGGCTTCAGGGTATGTGAGGGCCGGGTAGCGATCAGCATTAACAGCCCGGTCTTTGTTGCGGATGAATTTCGCCATGAGAGGTGCTCGATGAGCAGAATATTCACAGTGGAAGATGAGAAGGGCTCTTGGAGTTGGCTCGACGTCGAAGAGCTGAGCCGACAACCTTTCTTTGTCGTTGAAGTTTACAGCACCCTCAATGTGGCCGCCATCATACTCGTACTCAAATCGGCAATCGATGATCACCCGCTTCTCGTACAGATGATCGAAGTGGCCGTCTAGGACTGAGACCATTGTCTCCTTTGTTATTCTGGGCAGACAACCTGTTTCACCTTCTGGGTTGAAGTGGGGTAGTTGAAGCACATGCGGTGCTTCGACGTCCATAATTGAAGGCAACAATGGTGGAGGGCTAAGTCGCTCTTTTTCTTGCTTCATTATGTCTTCCGGGTGTTCAAACATGCTCAGTGATCGTCGGAATTGCTTTCGAGGTCTGACAAGAGGATTGGAAGATTTTCTCATATGGTTTCCGACAGGAGATCCATTGCGAGACGAATGTCCAGAACCAGCCAGAGTCGGGCGAGATCGTGGGGGAACAAAAGCCGGCGCACCCAATCTCGGGACCACTTTCTCCTGACCTGGCGAGTCTGCAAATATCTCGGACAGAGAGAGTGAGGACGATGTTGCAGGTTTGCTCGAATAGTTGCCATTACCGAATTTGAACGGTGGCAATTGACTTTCGGGCGCAGGCCTCTGAGGAAGGTTGCCGGTACTGTGGCCCTTAGCTCTGGTTAATGTAGGTCGTAAGCATCCTTGTTTCCGTCTATCTTGAGGGAGGTTGATCTGGAATGGCTCGCTGGGCGAAGCACAAGGCGGTGAGGGTATCGACAAGGATGAAGTCTCGGAGGGTGTCAGGTCTGGTGTTGGTGACTGGAGTTGTATTGCTACTGTACAGAAGGGCATCTTGTGCGGTAGAGGTGAGATGTCCAGGTCCATATCCATTGTATCAATTGGTGCGGGAGAGGAAGACGGTATAGGAGGTGTGGTCAAGTTTCCTTTTTGCAACGTCAATTGAGAGATTTGTTCACCAACAGCAATCCTTTACTCACTCTGGCCATCCTGTGCAAACAAGCTGTTGGGAAAGAGTGACCTCCGTGGAGTTGGCACTTGCGGACTGACCTCTCGTTAGTACTGAGATCAACAGCTTCTTTCTATTGCAGGCTGGAGACGAACCTCTGGTCAATGTGGAAATTTTGTGAAAGATCGGCAGCCAGGCTGGCCGTGGGCGAAGAACCCCGAACCGACTTGAGGCTGAAGTAGTCCGACTTTGGCTTCTTCATGGATAGATCTTTGAAGTTGAAGTTGTTCGTGGCAAAGGATTTGGCAGCCGCGAACGACGCAAAGGATGTAGGAGCGTCCGCTCTGTAACCACCGCAGTGGCCCAAGAACGCTGGAGGCTGCATGGCCGCCAATGGTGATGAAGCCTCAATCATCCTATCGAATAACAAGACCTTGACCCAAATGCTACCTCTTATATTTCCATTGACAAGCCACCCTTCCAGAAGGTCGTCGGTGGGCGGTGTCAGAGAAGGCGCTGTTCGTTTGGATCTCGTCCGAAGAGTTCGGGTAACACAAGGCCGTCGAGGTCGAAATCTCGGTGGAGGTGGAGAGAATCCTGGCCGGTTGGAGGTACCTGAGGCTTGGACAGGGTTGATACCGGTCGCCTCTAAGCAATCATACTACTCAGAGATCAGGGGGCTCGAGGTTATGTGGTCGACTGTCTGTCTGCTAGTGAAGTTCAAGGTGGAGGTGGTAGAGAGCCCGATACAGGATGGAGAGAGGCACACCACCGAGCAGGAGCCCCTTCTCGCACTGACAGGAGACAGAAGACTGAGAAGAAGCGTCCGACCTGCAGCTCGGCGGCTTGAAGCAGAAGGAGGGGAGAAGGAGAGTTTTAAGGCCGGTGCAAAGTCAGGTCTGTGTTGTTGCTGGGCAGCATTGAAGTTGGAGAAGTGGGCGGACGACGGTGGGAGCAGAATCAGCTTGAATCAGCTTAGCCGGCCTCGCTGGAAGCACTGCAGTCTGCAAGGTACAGAGACCAAGCTTAAAAGAGCCCCAAAAGGCCTGGAGGCTAGAGACGCACTGCGGGCACCACGGCCCCGCCTTTGGTAGTTGCTGTGAATCCAGAAGTCTGGTTGGCACCGAACAACGCCTTGGCTCTGGCACTGGCACTGGCACTGACAGCCGCTGGAGGCACTGGATGATCCTTCTATCTATGGGTCGAATAATCAAGTATGATTGCCACTAGGGAGTTACCGTTCGAGACGCACGCACGCACATGTTGCCTCTACACACAGACCAAAAGACTGGGTGGACGACGGTCCAGAGCACAGTTCAACAATAAAGTATGAGTTGACTTTACGGGGTACCTAGGTAGGTAACCGCCCAGGAAACTCGCATACCTTACCTGGGAGGCCTCAGCTGCGCCCGCCCCGACGCCCGTGGAGTACGAGGTATTGCCCATTCCTGCATAACCTGCTCGGCTGCTAGACTTCCTGTACGAGTAAGCCCACCACTGCCACCAGAGTGCCTACCTAGGTAAGACTCCACCTCCACAGCCCAGAACTTAGAAGCGCCCCGGTCTAACAGGTCAAGTTTCTGTACCTGGAGCCTCGCGGTGGGCGACCTGCCTTAAGGCCTGCCTATAGTCACCTAAAGACTTTAACAAACTTTTGTCCTCGTCAGGACTTTCTCCACCTTGGCTGCAACACCATGTTTGTTCCAAGTTCCTCGTTTTATCACACAACCACTCAGCGCCGTCCTCTCGATCAGCTCGCTATTCAAGCTGTCCTGCAGACGATGTCATAGCCTCGCTACCTCCTTCTGATCGGCTGATCGCCGTCCGAGAATCAGGTCCATTGCCAGGTCGCAATATCCTCGACCCCATATTCGGATCTCGATTGAAAATCTTTTCCCGGCTTCATCTCCATAGCCGCTTCGCGAGGCCGTCCTAACCAATGCCTAACCAATGCCTCCTGCTCATTTTGATCACAGGATGGAGACCTTCCCATCTGGGCGCGAGAGTTCCTCTCCCCAAGCTAACGCTCTGTTAGGAAGGCTAAAGAACCTTCAGCGCATCCTGCAAGCCTCCAGACCTCCATCCTTGATCAAGACCGACAAGGTTCATGCGCCATGACGCGAGGTTGCCCCGTGCAATAACCGACCACTATCGGCCTATCAGATCTGGGAGAGCTGCACGTCAGAGAAGCTGTGCTCTGTTTTTGTTCTCTAGTCCGGTTACTCCATGTCATCTTGGTCAAGCCAACTGACCTCCATACCGATAAGCCCGACCTGTCCGGGCAGTGGGTTATTGCTCTGGAGAACGGGCGCGTGCGGAAATCAGGTTGTCATACTTGAGGATGAGAATGACCTGCACGGTGTGGAAAAGCACGGATCAATACGAGCTGAGCGGTAAGCCTGGACTCTTCGACCTTCCAAGCTGCCTTCTCATGCCTTCCGAAGACTACCTGCCGAACCTTACGTTGATACTATGCGTATTCACGGGACATTTGAATGAAAATCATTTGCTCCATTATTGCGGCACAGTATTCACGTGGGCGCCAGCAGAAAGACATTCCCTCCGGTTGTCAGTCAATGTATTGCGCCATCCTCCTTATCACGGTTGGTCATCAGCGTCGCTCGTACTTTGTCCATTTCAAGCATGGCTTCAGGCCCTAGGGTGCTTCAACTTCTCGGTTGTGGCTGTTGTCCCCGGAGACACCGTGCGAATGAGCCATGTCTTTACGCAAAGCTCGCATTGTCCAAGCGACCTTTCCGCCGCCTCAATTGGAACGGAGTCCCTCGCACCATGAACCATCGTCACCTAACAAGGGCAGAGCTGAAGCACATCTTGTCAAGCTACATAGGTCCTTGTTTTCGGCAAACTTGTTTCACACTAATCAAGATTGTTATCGGCTAGTGCCTTCAACCACTGATCCCCCACACTGTCCATTCGAGGATGGATCTCAATCAACAGTGCGACAGAGTGCAAATTCGCCGACCTGCCGACCGTCAGACTCATTCCTACGTCATCAATTGATGTTTTGTCTTTGTGATTTCTTGCTTTTCATATCAATTCCGGATGTCTGAACCGCAAAGACTGCATTGCATCGAGATTGGTTTCTCAATGGTCCCAACAAACACGGTTTCCGACCGCGTTTTGGTGACGCAGCCATGCGGCCCGTTTAAGGCTGGCGGAGGGGCACCAGTTGCAATTCTTGGACGAGTCGTCGAGATGACAGGAAGTTCCCCGCCAAGTGCGACACTGCCATGCGCGGAGAATTTCCTGGTGTGACTTGTTGTGCAAGCTCCATTGATGTTTTCTGCAACCGAGCCCGCGCAAACAGCACGCCGCGATCCCCGATCAGCACCATAACCTGAGTTATTCGTGGAGCTCGAACAATTGCTTCAATAGTTGTCTCAGTCGAATGTCATTTCGGTCACAATGCTGCGAGAGTGACATTGGATACTCTGCGAGCTCCGCGATGATCGCATTTATCGAATCAAGTCTTCCTGACTGAACCGAACATCCCACGAGAGACGTGTCTGCCAAGAATAAATATCAACAATGAGCGCGTTCGAGTCGCCAGTCCACGTGATTGACCAATTCACACATTGTCTCGATCAAAACGTCGACGGCAGCATCTTGTCTACAGAATGAACACAATATAGCTGCCACAGCATTGTAAGCCCGCCGTTGACCGGCGAGTTTCCGGTCCAACACAAGTCACCAGACTCTCTGATGGCTGCCATATCGTGGCGTTTTGTGCAGCGTTACAGCCTTGCGGTGGGCAGCAACGTTTTCCGTAAATATCCTCGAGAAGCTTCCTGCCCCAAGAACATTGCAACTTCAACACGTGGGTGTGTGTCTTTGACATTGGGCTATAGAGTTTGAGATTTCTTCGCCACCAGCGTCATACATTCCAGAAGAAACGTCTGCGACGTCTACCAGGATGTCCAATTGGTAACCTTATGGGAGAGTTAGAGTTACATATTTGAAAGAACGCATGATGATTGATCACACGGTTTGACGCGACATCAGCGCCCTCATTCTGCAAATTGCCGCCTGGAGCCAGGGTCTGAAGAATGCCATGCCAATTTCCGAAAACAGAGTCTATCTGCGAAGGTTCGAGCACCGAAGCAGCTTCCAGGCTCGAGTAATATAGGCTACTAGCCAAAACAATGCTTGCAAGCTATTTAGTGTGTGCCGTGAGCTTACTCCCTGGTTATACTTGTGACACTCCTATGGTCACAGTCGCCTTGAATTGTGAAGTTGTTTCATTGCTGGCTCTGACGTTGAAGTCGGGCCTTGGAAAGGTCCATTGTACCTTTCGCTCTCTATTCTGTCTGCCGGGGGCGTGAATTGACAGTTCTAGTGTGCTAATCTCTATTCAGTGTCTGTTGAATTCAGCGTTTCATCGTGCTGCGCAGCGTTCGGATTTCCAATGCTGAGAAAACTCATCAAGGTTCTGGACTGACAGCATCATTTCCCATCTCAACAAACTCCTCTGCACCACAGAGTTCTCCGTCTCAGAAATAGCCCTCGAATAACCACCTCAATTTCTCCAGTGCCTTCTCTCCACGTCCTTCGGGGTATGTACTGACGCCAAACTTCCTTCCCTCGGCAAGATGCGTGGCTCGGACAAGGTCATCGTGTTCTTCTTTGGAGAGCTCATCCAGAACGGCAGCGATGAAGCGGCGGGCGTTGACGGCGTTGGCCCGCATGTGGCCCATGACCATCTCGACCGAAACGTCGCCATGGACGTCGTGCCAGCACTGTCATACATTAGACAAATGGAGGCACCGTGGAGTGCAGGCATGACAGAGATGTAATTCCAGCAGGGAGGATGTTTCCATGTCAACGCGAACAAGGATTGCGGAAAGGGTACGTACATCGTAGTCCGTGCTCATTAGGATGACCTGATAGGCAATCTCAGCTTCGGCAGCGAGCTTGGCCTCTGGCAAGGTCGACATATTGATAACGGTACCGCCCCATTGGCGGTACAAGTTCGACTCGGCGCGAGTGCTGAATTGTGGTCCCTCTGTCGGAGTTGAGAGGAGAGACGGTTAGCAATGCCAATTAAACCTCGTCACTGAGGTTATAGCTTGAGGTTTCTGACTTTTCACATCGAGCACAATTGACTTTGTCAAGCGCAGAAAATTCATGCAGAGGTGAATACAAAAAATGGACTACACCAATGCCCTCACCTCAGGGAGCGCAATTCGTTAGACACTGCATTGGCAGAATCTCGCTCGAGGGAAACGCAAGTTGCAGAGACATGCCCACGCAAACCTCAGAGATGGCGACTGCCGATGCAAAGAGAGAAGGTAAAAAGAAATAATAATAAAAAAATGAAACTTACCCATAACAACCAAAGTTCCCGAATCGTGCAAGACCACCCCTTCTCCCTCCAAACTATGACCGCACCGTCTCACCACGTTTCCTACCTTTGCATCAAACGGGTCCGCAAAGGGGACATGACAAACGACGCCGTCCTCGAAGAAAGTCCACGGCCTGACCCCCTTTGTTCGATCAATGACCTGGTCCGGGACGACAAAATCCCTCGGCTTGACCTCCTCGGCCAAACTGCCCGCGGCGGAGAAGGCGATGATGCACCTCACGCCGATGTGGCGCAAGGCGGCGATGTTCGCACGGGAGGGGACTTCATGGGGCGCGAGGGCGTGGTGTGGGCCGTGGCGGGCGAGGAAGGCGATGGGGATCGGGTGGCCCGTGGTCGGGGAGGGGTGTTCCAGGATGGTGATGGGCGACGACGGCGAGCCCCAGGGCGTGTCGACGGTCAGAACGGCGGCTTTGTGGAAGTCCGGCAGGTGTTCCAGCCCAGTGCCACCTATCACGGCGATGTGGACGGGACCTGGGGAAAGGAAAAATATATATACCACGGTCAGTCAACCCGTGCTTTAGGAGTATGTAAGTGGGGGATGGGTATCAAAGTAGAAAGCAGACCTGGATATGTCGTCGATATGTGTTCTGGCTCGACTTTGACCTCCATTGATACCGACCGCGAAACCCGTCTGCTAAGGGATTTCGTCGTAGAAAAGCGATGATAACAAGAAAGAGTAAAGAACTTCTCACAGAAGCTCCTGGCAAATTCCTGGCGTGAGATACGCAGAGAGAGAGAGACAGACCCGTGTAAGGCTCCAACCCAAGAAAAGATGCCGGGGCGAACAGCGACGTAGGTGGTCTGTGTTCAAAACACCCAAAATCTCTAATGTGAGTAAAATACCTATGAAGGCAAGCCCCAAGATGATAGTTTCAGAGAGTGGCTAGAAGTTCTATGGGAGTGGAATGGTATATACCTAGGTGTTGTTCTTACCGCTGGAGGCTGTTTTACTGTGAAAAAAGCTGTATGCACGTTGGTAGACGGCGAGACGGCTCCGGATCAATATTCGACCGAGAAAGATACATTATCTTCCTTGGGCCACCGACCGACAAATTGCGCCATCCGTCTCTTTCCTCTGCCTCTGCATGTGCGGACAAGAGTGCAGCAATGATGCTTGAACTTAGCCTGACTCTTGTGACATGGCCGATTCAGTAACCTTGCTGTTGCTGCTGCTGTCGAGCTGACGTCCCCAAAGTGTGAAAGGCGCCAGGGCATTCAATCTGCTACTTGAAAACACCAAATAATAATAAATTCTATCCTCCCCCGCGCTCCTTCAAGGCTGGACAATTCTTCTACCACAATTCATTCAAGAACCCAGTGTGGCATTGTTCCGGCCACTTCGAGCAGCAAATATGTTCGAGGTCCCGGATGCAAAAAGGTAGCTGTCCCTTAAAAGGATATAATTCACCAGTTTACTGACCCAAGAAGGGTCAAAAGATCGGACCTTTTCCGAGACGACGGCTCCGGCTCGCCAGGCTCTCGAGGGTCGAGCAGATCTCCATCGCCAGCAAGATCCTTGGACAACGACGAAGAGAGTATTTTGAGATCCAGCTACGGATTCGAATACGACTTTGTGGCACCTAACCCACCGTCACGGAAACCGACTCTACTAGCGCCAGGCAAATCTCAACCGGACGTCAACCCCCAGGACGAAGAAGAAGATCAAGAATTCCAGTTCCGCCTATTCACGTCGAACTCGAGATCGATCGACCGGCCTTCTCAGCCCGATGCGCCCACCGCAGACGCCAGGATCAGGCTCTCGCGGACCCCCGAGCCCGCGGCGCTCGCCGACTCACTGTCCCTGGAGAAAGCACACTTCCTTCGTCCTAACCGGCCCGACTCGTACTATTTCACCTCGGCGCTGCCAGGGGAGACCATTGAGGCGTTGAGATCACAGTATGCGGACGTCGCGCTGTCAACCGCCGACGTCCTGGCCAGGGCCAAATCCACCAAATGGCCCGGATCTGCGCTCCCTTGGCGTCTCATTCACGTTGAACTACTCGGCAAAGGCCGCCGCCGCGGCGCCCGTAGGCTTGAGGACGTGGCTCAATCAGCCGCTTCGTCCGCAGTAAGTACCATTGACACCAGCACCCAAAGGTCCAAGCCCAGCCCAAAGAGACCGTCGAAGAAACGTCGCATCCTCCTCCGTCGCCGGCTCGCGCTGCGGCAGGAGCTCGCCGCGCAGGCAACAGCGACGGAGGAGACGGAGAGGGAAAAGCGCACGCGACGGAACCGGGAGAAGAAAGTGAAGCGGAAGGAGAGGGAGAAAAGGAAGAAATTGGAGGAAGCGCCGGAAGGCGAAGAAGGGAAGCCTGCTGGTGGTGGTGTTGGTGATGAGGAAGAACAGAAAGTTATTCCCACCGAGGAACGAAATCTCGCAACGGAAGGTGATGTGAGGGCGGCGCACAGCGGTCAGGAGGGAGGGATGCGATCCGACCACAAGGACTCGGCAGCCAAAGCACCAGATTTGGCGACTACCGCCAAAGATGCCGCCGCCGCTGCTGCTGCTGCTGCTGTCCTGCCGACAAACATGTCTACATCCTCAGCGCCAACACGACGAGCTCCTACATCCAGGGCTCCAACCACGGCCGCCACAGTGAATCCGAGAGTCTCGAGATCATTGCATCCCACGCGGCCACGAGCTTGACCTGCTACGGGGCCGCCGTGATGGTTACAGGAAAGGCGTACAAGGCAGCAATTGGAATTTGGACAAACCAGTGCTTGACCGGGGACAATGCTAACCAAACTCATTTCATTCTGGACAGGAACGTGTCTGGACAGGGACATGCTATAGAGCGTTGCGATTGATCGCATACATTATATTGCTTGTGTCGCTGACTGCCGGTGCCGGTGCCGGTACTGTGCCCGGTCTCTCACACAATCTTTGCTTTTGTCTTCCTCTTGTTTCCCACCCTCGCTCCAGCCAGGATCATGTACCCCATACCCGTCCTTCCCGAGTTTCTGATTGCCTTTTATACCGCAAAAGCAGACAACATGGCAACTTCATTCCCGTGCAGTATTTCAGTCACTGGAAGCCCCTCAAACGTCTTGAAGACCCCTTTAGACCAGACCTTTCACAATGCCCGTTCTTAATCACTGGCCGTTGGCAATCGCACTCGCAAGCCTTTTGCTCATAAAGTCAAAAAACGCAAACTGACTGGGCGTCGCGCCATACTCGTACACAAACCGGCTGGCCAGGAAACTGCCAAAGATGGACTTGAGGTAGTTGTCCGGCACACGGCTCAGGATCTTGTCCAGGCCGACCTTCTCCTGCAGCGTCTGGGGCAGCGCCTCCTTGAAGACCTGGTGCCTCAGCTTCTTGTTGTCCCACAGATCGTTGAAGTTTTGAAGATCTTCGTCCAGCTTGGTGATTGCCAGGGACAACTGGTCAGAGAGGGTCGAGCGAGCGACACCAGTAGCTTCGTGTTCCCGCCAGATGGCTTCGAACTCGAGCCGGGCATTGCGCTTGATAGTCTCTTGGACTTCCTTGACGTACGTCTTGTAGAACTCGGGAACGGTCCCATCGCTGTGAACACACATGTTCTCGATAAAGCCCTTGTCGTCAAAGGACAAGCTTGCCAAGACCTCCAGCGACGACGAAGTCACACCGCCCTTGTTGGCCGAGGCGTCTTTGTAGATGATGCAGCCGGCCTTTTCAAGCCGAAGCTTGGCGTCTTGCGTGATGAACAGGTTGGCACCCTCAACAATGTATGGGATCCTGCACTTGCCGTCCACGATCAGCTTGCCCGCACTGGACAGATCAATGGACTCCGGCCGACCACCGCAAGGGACGAAGAGGTCGTATTGCGAAACATCGCGGAGGTGGAACGTATTTCGGAACGTCATGCCATTGTGAACCTTTTCGCCGGAGGGCAGTGTGACGTTGTTTTCTTCCACCAACACGCGGTATCCCTGTGGTGAGAGTTTTGAGATGTCGTACTGCGAAATCATCACCCTCTTCTTCGCCAGACGTACAAGCTCTGCGTGATCCAGTCCTGCCGGGTCAACAAGGACACCAGAACCATCAACGATGGCGGTGTACTTCTCGTTGCTGAGGAGGATCTCGTTGGACCCCAAGTCTCCGTCCGGACCACCGGTCTGCAACTTTCTGATTTTGCTGGGATCCAGATTCAACTTGCGATAGATGCCCAGAACATACTCGCGGACGGATAAAGTCGTCATTCCATATGAATCGTGGGGAATACCTCCCAGTTTGGGACTCTTGCCGGTGAAGAAGGATTTCCACCACGGGGCACCTCTGGCACGGGCATGCTCCGTGGCCCAGTCCACAAGGTCGGCAGTGTTCTCATCAGGCCCCATAAACAGGATCTCCTCCTGCCCGTGCAGATCAACAATAGGGTCCTTGATACCAGGGCTCGTGGGAGGTAAGAGAAGGTCCATGATGCTGTCGATGTATTTCTCAAAAGCAACGCGAGCCTTATCTTGATGCTGGTAATCAAGAAGGATGACACCTTTGGATCCACCTTCTGGAATGTCCTTGTTCTTTCTCTGTTGAGTGTTTGCCAGGTTGTAGTTCTCGTCGAATTGAGTTCGGGCATTGATTGCGTAAAGTTCCTTGTTACGAGACTTGACGATTCGAATGCCACCACGTGCAATGTCGCGGAACCGAAGATGGAATCCCCTGAATTCTGACCCAATGACCAAGAACATCCCATACAGGGCTTGTGGATATTCATGCTCGGGCAGGAATTCAGTGCTGGGCTTAAGCCGGAAACTGAGTGCCACCTTGGTCGGGGTGTAGAAGTTGGTCTTCAGGACTGCTCTGTTGAAGGTTAAGAAGTATTGCATCACCATCTCATCGTGCTGGTTCTGGGTGGTCGTGGAGACCATCTCAGCCAAAGTGTCATCATCGAGAACGTTTTGCACATCCAACCGCAGATAACTAAGCGTCGGAATGAAATCATCCTGCTCCCCTCGGGTTTGCACATAGTGAGTGCTTGCAAAAGAGAGGTACAAATTGCGAATGAGCTGAGGGTACTTGTTGATGATTTCGAGGATGTAGTCCGAGGTAAACGTCTCTGTCCGCAGCCGCTTCTTGATCTTTGAGAGCAATTCCGCATTGGCGTTGGTGTCTCCTTTCAATGCCGCGACCAACGAGGTGTACTCGGAGCCGAGCCGGTTGAGGAACTGCTGGACAAAGACATGCACGCAATGGGCGTAGATGCTTTCCTGCAAGCTCAAATTGCCGCTGGCGAATTGTCCCTGGAGCTTGTTCTGAGGGATACAGAACAGCAACGAGACCTCTTTGATGATCTGATGGATTGATGCCTCAATGGGAGGATATCTCGACTTGGCGATCTCATTGCTGGCCGGTTTCAAATAGAGAGAGACCACTGTAATGCCGTTGGAAAACTGCTCGACGTACTTTCGAGAGCTCGTGACCCCGTAGTAGTGGTAGAGATCTGACAGCGCACTGAATATACCCATGGCTGACCCTTGACGGTAGGCAATGACCAGTCTCTTTTCTCGGGTGCCCTCCATCTCGAACATCTCGATGACCGGGCCAGTGCGTGAAACAGCATAGGTGATGATCTCCTGGTAGATCTCTTTGGTTTTCTGTGTCGCCTTCTGCAGAAACCGCTTCTCACCAATGACCTCGACATCAGTCTCGTCGGGCCCAGGATTCGGGTTCTTGAACTGACACTCGTAAATGAAATAGCAGCGCAGTGACTCGTCCGGATTTTCCGGCAGGGCATTGCTCGATCGGAAGGACTCGACTCGGAAGCTCCTTGTCGGAGTCGAGCCGTCAATGTACTTCTCGTCGATCCTCTGCTCGTATCTCGGCCCGTCAATGATGCTGATTCCAGGCTTGCTTGTGTCAATGTAGACCGCATGGTCGGACGCCTCCTTGGCCAACCTGATCTCCAGCTTCTTGTCATCGCGCGCATACGCAGCGAGCTTGGCCGCATACAACGAGAGGATGTTGCTTGCCACGGCCTCGACGGTTTCGGTGGAGAAGTACATGTCGTCGATTCCCAGGGAGTTGTAGAACCATTCGGTCTCGGAGGCGATGAATTCGGTTGGCAGGAAGCCCTTCTCTTCGATGAGGTCCATAACTGCGATTGTGTCAGCTTCTCTTGATTGTGACCAAGGGCCTGCAAACGCACCCTCTTCCATCTGCGCTCTCTTGCCCTCGAATTGAGGAGCCACATAGCCGGGACTATGATCCGATAGAATACGGTGTAACGATTGATTGGATTGGGAGGCACCGGGCACTCCTAGCAACGTCGGTTGGGGTGAGGGTTGTCTTCCCGGTGTCCTGATCACTTGTTCGACCAACCTGTGTTTTGCCGGATTAAGCGGCTGGTCGCCGTTGGGCGTGAGATGATCCATGGTCGCTCTGAAAAGGAGTGTGGTGAAGAATAGCAGAGGATACTCGATGTGAAGAGGTACTCGAACAGTGAGCGACAGAAATCAATGGGGTGTAAGATGGAAGAGAACGAGACAAAGGCAGAGGTTGACCTCAGGAGCTCTTTGAAAAGGTTATACGCAGGTTCAGCTAATGGTGTCTGTCTCGAAAGGTGAGCATGTCAGCCGCACCCAGCGCCCCTGAGGAGGTTTCTGATATCGCCGTTGAGGTGGGAATTGGGCCGATTATGAGAACAGACAAGGCTAATGAGGCTGTCTGCAGGGCACTGTTCTGCAAAGTAACCGCTCCAGCCAGGTCAGCGTCCAATTCGGGCACCTTGTCAGTCAGCCCCTCGTGATCGCCAATGATGCGGGTTCGATAAGAGAAATAACAAGATATCGGATGGCAACAGGTCTCACTGCAGCTGAAACACCTTTTTGGGGCGGAAGTTGCGCGCAGACTGCTCTATGCCTACTAAGTATGCGGGCTGTGGATTGGGGGAATCCCGTGAGCGCAGCAAGGGCGGATCCTTGAGCCTTTTTAATACAATGGAATCTTTGAAGACGTACGCGCCCCCCTGAGACCAGAGAAAAAGAATTTTCAAGCCTGCATCACATGGTTACTGGAATGAGAGAATTCCAGGAACTTGTTACGAGACAGCATCGCCCAGATTCCCCCGCAATTGGATAGCCACATTCCGAGCGAAGGGCCTTTCAGGCACAGATGGAGCCACTGTGGGCGATACTTTTCCAGATCCATCGCTGCGCAGGGGCACTGCCCTATCAGCTGCCCTCTTCATTACCCAACTTGTGCCGCCTTGTGCCGCTTAGCATCGGAGCGAATAAGAAAGGAAGCAGATGCTGAACCGTTGAGCGCAGGGGAAGGTCACGGTCACATAAAGACTTTTTGCGAGCAAAACATCCCCAGAATCGCGATGCGGAGTAACATCAGACGTAATCAAAATCCAGAGATTGATCATAACAACTCAGGCCGGTCCGCTTGTGGCGGTGTGGTATTCCATGCGTGTATTCCTCATGCCGATATCCAAATATATACGATCCCGTGAGCGCCGTCGCGGTTACTCTCCCATTTCCGGTATACCATCCAAAGCAATGCAGACAAATCCATTTCATATCCGAGGCCGATCTTCCAAACCTTCTTCCGCTGCGTGAGCTGTCAGGCTACTGCTTTCGCCCGGTTGTTCGCTCACAACAACTTCTCCGTCCTTGTCGGGGTCGTATGAAATGATCCTCTCGAGCTGGCTGGATGACGAGCTTTTGGCTTTGCAGACTTCATCCTCGTTCAATGAGCAGCCATGGTCAGGACCCGGCTCTGGCAGCAAAGAGCCATTTTCTTCACTTCTTTCACCCTCTGCCTCTTCTTCTCCGTCGATGTGTGGCCCCTTCTTCTGTTTGATGAATGTGTCGATGATATAGTACTGTGCCGCGTTCATGATCAAGGGAAATATAAACATGACAAATGCAATCTGAACCGCCTCGTTGCCCTCCGTCCAGCGAAGCGCCCAATCACCGACACGTCCTAGCCAAGGGCAAAGTTGGAAAATGGCAAACACACAGATCTTCATGCCAATTAACCCTAAAAAGTAGAGGAGGCATTGCTTGGCCCACCAGGTGGCCTTCGGTGGCGTGTCATAGTGCCCAGACTCAATCGATTCCGGAGGGTTCGCGAGAGGTGTATATCGTGCTCCGACGGTGAGAATCTTGAGTATGCCAATGAGGATGGGTATCCCGATGGTCGTGTCAATGGCCAAATTGAGCAGGTAAAATGAGCACGGATTTGGTGTGTACTCCGCGGTTGCGTCGGACCCGAGTGTACTTGCTGCTGCATTCACGACACTCTCTCCTATCTGGCCTGAAGAGAACATGGACATGAGGAGGTTCAGCAGATGGAGCAGGATCGACCCGACGACTTGTTTCGACACGTCAAAAGACCAGACCTTGAGAGGTCGCTGCGGCCTTTCTCTCCATCTCTTGAAAACCAAGGATAACAGAGCCAGAGCGCCCAGTGCTCCTTGCACCAGTATAGCGAAAGGGCCTAGTAGTTTGCATTCGCCACTGTTCTCGTCGTCCGACATGCTTGCCGAAGGCGAGGGAGCCGGCGCAGAGCTGGCGGTCGAAAGAGGAGAAGCAGCTGCTGTCGGTATACTGAAGAGTATAGATGTCGCTGTTATAGTAAGGCTGTCGGAAGACTGAGACGACTGAAACGCCGAAACGAGACCATGGTGCAACTCTGCAGCGGAGGAGGGGGAGAGATCAGGAGGGTGCATGTGCGGAGGCGGGAACAATGCGCTGCTGTGATTGCTATTGTCCCATGTACTCGTCTCAACGGCAAAGTTCTTTGTCGACTTGCTCAGAGAGACTGCGGCTGAAGATGTTGCAAATTTCGCTCAACGGTCGGAGGCGCAGCCTGTTGGGAAGGATCAAGGACCAAGCACCGTTGCATGCGGGCGGGGCTGTGAGGTCACGACCCTGCCAAGACAATTCTCAGCCTTGTCACCCAACCGGCCAGGCTGAGGCGGAGCCCTGCCGGCCAGAACATACCTGATGGTCTTCTTCATGTGAACATCATGTATTGGTCAGTGCAAGACCCCGACTTTAGTTGAGGCTGCGGCATCTTTATAGGAGCACTTGACCATATCATCGGTCGACCTCCAAGCTTGAGCTCTGCCTCTTCTGCCGGCCTCTCTGAAAACACTATTTGGTTCTATCCTTACAGGTAGAGGAGACTGCCCAGACACATAGCTTGAGGATACCACTGGAGCATGTATAACATTGAGTTGGCACGATGGCAGTGGAGAGCGGAACCTTGAGAATGCAGATTGATTGAGACTCGACACGGTGCGAAGGCCGTCGGGGGAAACGGGGAGGCAAGTCCTGGCCTGAGAACCAAGGTCATGGATAAGTACTCAGGTAAAGGACGTCTGTACATTGCATTGCATGGAAACAGGTTCATTGAACTTTGTCCAACCCCTGACCTCTCCTCATCTTTTCCGCGACAGTCGCATCTCCGTCAGATAGTCCCGGCCAGGCTGCAGATGGCCTCGTCAGAACGGGGGCGAGCTCATAACTCAACCACGGAGACTGACTCCATGAGGTGGTGTGTCCTCCACACAGGGAGATCGCGTCATTGTCATCTTTGCTACCCCCACATACATACACATTCGTACCTATGTGACCATGTATGTGCCTTGGTTAGTCAGAGGTTCCGAGACGCCCGATGCGTAGCGATGCGTGGTGATGTGTGGAGTGGTTTCGTAGTCCCCAACATCACCATCGTCACCTGTGATTTCTGCCTCGTACATGTACATCATCATTCACCAACGTCACCACTCACCACTCAACCTTCATCATCTGAATAAACATGGACATCCGGAGGATACCGCTTGTCCCACCGCAGTGTACGCGTAGCTGCCGGGCTGCTGGAAACCCACAAAGCAGAGGGTTTCGGCTATTCGTTTGGCCATGCCCAATCAAAAGCGCGCCGAACAAGGGAGACACGGCGTGAATCTATAGGGGAGGGGGGATGAATTAGGAGGGTGTATATACTTGCCTACCGGGGAAGTGGGTGGGTATACATATGAGTAAGAGGGGAAGGGAGGGAGGTGGTAGCTCCAGTGAGGATGTAGTGAGTGATGAGCCGGAGACAGAGGACTGCTGAGAATCTGTGACTAGGTATATATTTAGATGCCGAGAGATCGATAACCTAGATATATAGGCAGGCAAGATGGATACCTAGGTAGGTATGCGGACTCGAGCTAGATCGTGAATTATGCCACCCTCGGAGGAGCCTAGGTACCTAGGTAGGTACCTGGTAGGTTGGATAGAAATAGTAATATCTGTAGAAAGGGTGCTGACCTGACAGCACCTCGTCAGACCGTAAAATATAGAGTCAGCCACGCCAGGACATGATACGAGTGCCAGATGGTTGGGCCGAAAGGCTTCACGCACAAGGTGTATCAGGATCGGGGTACAAAGTTATGCAAAGCATAGCCTGGCTGCTTTTAGCAGAGTCCGCTCCAGAATATCTCATCGCTTGCCCATCCTATCCTCATCATGGGTACTAATGGTGACTAGGCGCATATCCCCGCACTGGAGTTGACACTGACAAGCTGCATTGGACGTTAGAGGAGGTTGGGAACGGACGAAAATAAGGATTCGGGCGCGAGCGAGGGCGAGATAGACGGAGACTTTGCAGATCTCACCAACGAGCTGCGGAGGCGCGGAAGATAGCTATGTACCGAGGACGAGTAACTCCATACATAGCATGTAGCTACTCTGTACACAGATACAAGTGCGTACGACGATACAGATTTAGACAATCCTCGCAGGTAAGAAGTACATTCTAGATCCCGCAAGCGCTGGAACTACTCCGTGCTAGTACTGTAGCTAGTCATGGACCCGGAGATATGAGTACTTCGGCAGAGTCTTCAGTCCCGGATGCTACCTACCTACCTACCTAGGTAGGTACCTATGGATCCATTTGGACTTCTAGGTACATACCACAGCGGTGTGGTCGATATGTGGTCCGGATGTACATTGTACACCCGTCCTTCAAACTTGTGCACACTGCTATTTGTAATTAGGTGCGTTGCGGAAAATAGGAAACGAAAAGCATCCGTTATATTGTAGTCAAGGACAGTCTTGTTGAATTTTCTCATTCTAAGTAAGTGACTGCTCACTCACTCACTGTTCTTGTATGCAGCCGTTAGTACAGTAGGTGGTTGTAGATATCCAATCAAGTCTATGGCAGGAGGGTATCAAGTGATGATCAAACAAAGATCCCGTCCATATCCCCAGAACGCCGTCCACCAATGCCCATGCCGGTCTCGGCAAAAAATACTTGTATCGCAAAGGGTATCATGATGCTGGTCATCAAAGGACTGTAAACAAATGATAAAAGACATCGCAAGAGTCATATCCGTATCCCGTATCTCGTCTGCACATCCTCGCTCTCTCATCTATAGGTCGTTGTCTCCTTCCTCATTTTCAAGTGTGGACAGGTGTAGATGGCCAATCTTGTCTCCACTGCCCAACCAGTTCTTGACCACACAAGGGGCCGATTCTGGCCCTTGACAGATCTTCTTCCTCCCCAGATTCTTGAACTTCGGGCCAAGTGGTCCGTTGACATAATGGTATTGGCCGGCGAATCGGTACTGTCGTTTATCACTCAGAGGGTAAAATTTATCCCCCCAACGTCCAGCGAAGTGGAACCACTCGGTTGGGGCATTCGGAGTGTGGTTCGACGACCGCAGGGTCTCGTTCTTGTAATCATATGTGTAGGCGTGGGAGTTCAGAGCCGGATCCCATAGAGGACCGCGGTCAGTCATGTCGTGAAGAATTCCCCATGGCAGGATGTAAGGGTGCGTGCCAGGAGTGGCGTACATGGCATGAGTTCCATAAGCGGAATAGATGACAGGGCGCTTCCCGACCTTCTCCACAGCGTCATAGCTGTAGGCGGATCCGAAATTGTGCTCGCTGAAGAAAACAGCTTTGGGCTTGCCATGTTGGAATCGAATGGCGGTGTGCTCCCAGTCGCCCACGTGGTTGCCGAACCGGACATTGAGCACCACGTTCCCCAAGTTGAAGCTGTAGAAGAAGAACCAAAAGGCGTCGACAATGCCATGGCCCTTGTTGACAGTGACAAGAACTGCAGGCGCATCACTCCGACCCCCTCGAAGCCTGTCCGGCTGCGCGTGATCCGAACTGGTTGAGCGTCTCAATTCATGATGAATTCGGCGTGCGGCTTTGGTCTGCTCTGATTGGCCCGAGGCTGTCATTTGAAAATCGTCGCTATCCTCAAACCCATCCAAGTCCGGTGCAAACCATTCTTTCACGTCGTCCAATGCATCCTTCACACCTTGAAGATATGTTCTTCCTGGTTTGTGGACCCAGCCCTCATTGTCTTCGAATGGGTCATCTGGCCTCGACGGTGCTGTTGGGATGTTCTTCTCCCCCTCCAACCAGTCTGGCCGTTCTTCCACGTTGTCGTTGCTAGTCAGAAACACCCACCGGCCATTGTTCCACTGGTTCAGTTCGTCCAAGTTCTGGAGTGATGGGTGCTGCTGCTCGGACTGCACCGGCGTGTAGTTCAAGGTCGGGGTGATGTGGTAGAGGTGCTCAGCAATGTCGCACGGCCAGAACTGTTCTCCCGAGTAGAGGTGGACAAGAGGAGCATATTCATACACGTAGTCTGGGATCTCTCTCAGGACCCGTTCGTCGTGAGTCCAGTCTTCAGGCCGGTCATTGCCCTCGGTCCAGGCATGCTGCCAGTCCCAGTCGGGCGTGGGAACCACCAACCGATCTCGGTGGTCTATCGCAGGACGATGGCCAAACTTGGCGTGCTCCGAGATGTAGTGCATGTGGAATGCACCACAGACGCCCAGCCAGCGACAGCATTTCCTGTCGAGCCAATACCGCGAGGTAGCAATCCAGCTGGATTCCTCTCGGTCTTCATCTTGCCAAATGAATACCTCTGGACGTGTGGCCCGCAGTATGCTGTTGGCGCACATGTACAATATTATGGTCGACAGCACACCAATGGTGGCCTTTGTCTGAATGGGACCCATCTGCTCTTCTCCCTCCAAGGCCTTCCCGGTCACCGTTTCATATGGAGGATGGTATTGAGTAGTATTGGGGTCGACAGGGACGATGACCGTCGAAGGTTCTGCGTCGAGTTTGGTGTCTGAGAACGGCTGCGCGGTGAGGAGGAGCTGGTCGTGTGCTGGAGCGACCCAAGCCGTGGGGGAGGAAGTGATGGGAAATATAGATGGTTCCGCCGAGACGGTATATAATGATCGGGTAAGCGGTGGTTGGCTGGCATGATGGGACTCCAAGGCTAAGGCCACTGTACATCAGAGCGAACCCCAAAGGATTAGCCAGAACATCACGAGGGAGGCAAGCTGACAACAGGGAAGGAATGTGATTTGGTCACAGCCTCATCCACCCACGCGGATGTTACGGCGAGAGCGGAAACGCGGCCTAGCAAGGCGCCCCGGGAGGAGGCCAGCGCGGTGACTGCATTGAGAGAAATATGTCTTAGGTCCCCAAAGCGGCAATACAGCGTTGCAACGGCAAGAGTAATGCAATTGACTTTCATCATCATCGCATTACTCTCCGCCGCCGTAAGCGACCGAACAGCTTCCTGGGGTGTTTCCTGCTGGGAGTCCCGCTGCGAGGGGGGATGAATAATACTGTGGGAAACAGGCCATTCCGCCAACATCCGCGCTCCGAATGTGTAATACAGGTATCAGAACCACGAAGAGGAAAGCATTGACGTACTCTTTGCTATGATTGGCGACTGGGACGCAGGCTGACCGAAAGTCCGAGTTCCGGGGGTACTGCTTTTGAGGGGGGTGTTTTCTGTTTTCGTTGGTACCTTATCTGCGTCTGACGAGTGATTGGTGGGGGCGGCTACTTTAGTCAGTCGACTGGCAGGTCAGTAGTCATACCAGGTGGTTTGGATGAATGATAGTCAGAGGAGCGAGATGAAAAGCACATGCAAGAGATGGCTTCATGTGAGGAGTGTGAGGGTGAGTGAAAAGAAAGTTGGAATGCAGGGGATGGACGAGGGAGAAGCTGAGAGGGGTCGGAGAAGAGGGAGTCATGGCCGCAACTGACTGGCACCCAGCTGTCCACTCCGCTCCCTCTTCCTCTCCCACGATTATTGTCTCGGATGCTCTTTGGTGGTGTTTGCTCGGCCTGACTTGTCACCCGCTGTCATTTACCGAATTGTTGTCAATGACTTCACCTCTTCTTCGTCAGAACCCGGGCGCTAGTCCGGCGTCAAACCTGCAGTGGTTAAACGTAGGAACGGCCCCATGCCAACCGCCCCAGCAAGATGGACGAGAAGAGCCTGATCCGGATTTCAGTCGGTCAACCAATCCATGTGCCTTGATCTGGCATCTTGTCCAGCCGCTGATCTTGACTTGTTTCATCGCTTGCACCTGGCGGTTTCAGCCATGCATTGAGTTTCTTTTTCCTGGCTAGGATGGAAATAGAAGGGCGTGGTGGTGGTGGGTAAGACTTCCAATGAACCCGAGAATTTATAGCACGTTGGATGAGACGGAGGAGGAGATATAGCGATCAGCCTGTAAGGGTGGGATGGCATCGTCGAAGGGCTAGGCACATGCTGAATTGGGATATTCTCTCTGGACCAAGCGGACGGATGAGACTGCCATGGGGCGACAAGGCCTTGTTGAGGGCTCGAGTGCAGGTGGAGGTGCAGGGCAGCCGCTGGCGTGTCATTTGAAACACTTGTTTTCGATCCACGTGACCGATGAAAATCTCGGATTGGGAGGGCGTGAGTGAAGGCACGGAGACGGTGAGGTGGGAGATGACTTCTTTCCATCCCATCTGTCGCGTTCTGTCCGCATCTCGACGTCAAGACTTGACGAGTCAATGACCATTGGCGTAATAATGAGCCGCCATGGACCTGCCCAAACACCCAGTAGACGACGATTCTGAATATGAATACGATGAGACCGAGACAGAGGTAGGGGTCATTTGCAGTGGACAGAAAATCCACGCCGCCCTGTTTTTGCCATTCCCAACCTCACAAAGCTGTTCGTTCCTTGACATTTTCTTCTGCGGCAGACCTTCTTCGTGGATATTGATCTCTCGTCCTTGAACTCTAACATCAAGTCCAACCCCTCCGCACCTCCCAAGCCCGTGACACCGGCCAAAAGAAAAAGACCCAATTCCAGTCCTCCCACGCCTGGCCCTGGTCCGGATGAGCCCGGTGCTGGTGCTGAAGCTGCAGATTCTGCTGCAGCAGGCGAAGGCCGTGGCTCGACGCAGGAACCGCAGGAACTGCACGAGACACCTTCCCAGAATGGAGAGGACATTGGCGAGGATGCAGACGCACATCTGCCCTCCCCCTCACGTGTGCAGATTCTTGATTTGGCCACGGTCAACCCCATCATCTCCTATCAAGGCCAGGTGTACAGCTGCATGTGGGCCGATATGGTGGGTACAAATATGTTCTTCACTCACCCAGGCATGTTGGATGCCGCCGAAGTTCTACGTTCAACCGACGACTACGATCTGATAGGCGTGTCACGCATAAAGCTGGTCGGTCACACGGCCAAAATGTTGAAGAAAGAGAAACCAACGAAAGAAGCGCGGACGGATGATCAACTTGTCAGTAATGGCCAAGCGGGGGTGAGCGGCGAGGTCTCAGAAGCCCGACATGGCCAAGACCAGACGAAGAAACAGGCCTCGTTCCTGGAGAAGCTGATACAAGTCAAGCGGCAGCGCGGTGAATCAGATATCGTCCGCACATTCGTGGATGAAAAGACTGCGGCGCTCAACGTTGCACGGGTGCATGAATCACATCGTGACGAAATTCAAGACCTGAATGTTCAAGTGCTTGGGGGAAATCCAGACGCTCTCGTAAGGTTGCAACAAATCTATTCTCAATCTGATGGCAAGGCCTCTCAGATGCAAGAGTCTTCTGAGAGACCTGTGGAGGCCCACGATGAGGCCGACATAACTATATAACAGGAGCAAAATACCCATGCTCGCTCGCAAGACGTTGTCGCCATTAGTCCAATTTTCCAAGACACAAAGTGCAAACAACAAGCTTTATGAATAACAGTGCGGAAGCCAGTCCACGAATGAAGAACGCTCTATTCACCAGCAAAACTCAAGGGAACCCGAAACGCCGTGCTAGAACCTGGAAACAGAGACTCAGCGGCTCTGCTTCTCACGGGTCCAGTGGACTGGTGATGGAGGAGGTGGAGGTGGATGATGCTCGGGATATTGTCGTCGATCGGAATAGGAGACAAACTTGGGACGTGGAGATGCCTCGAGAGCTTTGTGCATATCTCGGCTCGAGGTTTCCGATGAGAGCACTGTAGAGCGGTAGGAGATGCGTTGCATGGTGCCGGATGTGAGAGGATTCGAAGGTCCGGATCGGTTCAGAAGATGTAGATTGACAGAGATGTGCTGAAGCTGTCGAAAGCCGGTCAGTGCTAATCCTTGTAGACCCAGTATTGTCAAGGTGATGATCAACTTACGATGTGCTGGTGCTCGGCACTTGGTACTTTTATTAGCCGCGTCGATCGGCAGTTGCTGCAGGTACAAATGTACAAGGTCCCAAGGCTGGTGTGGAGGATGGAACACGATACTGGTTGACAATGGTTGATGACCTGGATCAACGATGAAACGGAAGGCTGATTATTTCCCGAGGACTGAGTGATGGACGAAGGAAGCAGAGAGCGATGGAGGTTTTTCGAGGGAGCCTGGATCAAATATACCCCTTCGCAAGCCAGAGTGGGAGTGGGAGTGCTCAGCAAATGTTCGGGTCCCCCCAAAATCTAGCGGTCAAGGCGACGTGGGATTGTCGCATTTCAAACGAATCCGGCTGGACCTTGCAAGCTCCCCCAAAAGCCACCAGAGGTTTCCCCGGAGCGCCACGAGGCGCGCCGGGCCAGGGAGCAAGGGGGGTGGAATGGACCCGAACCAAAGGACCACAGGGCTAGGCCGTAAAAGTCGAGCCGATGGCCATTCAATTACGCCCATTCGGTCATTGACTGGAGGAGCTCAGGACCATCCAACTCCTTGGTGTTTGTTCTGTACACGGGGGCCCGACCGTGAGTTTCCTCCCTTGCGGGTTTTTGGCTCTTTGTGGTTTGTTATTCTGGGCTCTGACTGAGACAATTGATCGCCCTTTCCTGGTATGCGTCGGTGGAATCCGTGAGGCGATTGATCGCGATTGATCGCCCCCCTTTTCTGCTGCAAGCTGCAGTCGCAAGGGTGACGTGCGCTCGATCGATTCGAAAGAGGATCCGAAGCAAGCAAACTTGTCGCCCTCCCGTATTTCGGCTAGGCAGAGTGGGCAAATTCAATCCCGATGTTTTGGGAACTTACCTGTGCAATCATGTATTTCAGAAGCAAAGCATCTTACTCGTTGGTATGGACTCGTAGTCCTGATCCACCGGTCGGTGACTGGAGACACACAAAAAGCTGCACCATCGTTTTGAGGCTTGCAGAGCTGCCAAGTCACAAACAGCTTACTCGATATGAAATTCCCTTCTCCCATCCATCCCACGCTCGTATCATGCCGGCTTAGAGGAGTTTATCACCGAATCCCGATAGCAGGCTTTTGTGATTTTCCAGGTTTTCCCCCTTGCAATCGTTTCGTATTCCCCCAGTCGGCCTGGGATTCTTGGGGGGACCCGGGTTGATCATTGGAAAAGGGAGAAAGCCTGCCCCCATTCTCCTCGGCCGCCGTGCGGGAGACGCGTGGAATGGGCAACCGGGAAACCAAAAGCGCAAGGGGGCCTTGGGTTCTTGGAGAGAATGCAGGTGGATGCCACCCGTGCCACCGCAGAACGGGGGGATGACGGCTGGCGCCGGATGTGACCAGCGCCCCAGCGCCCCATTTCCTTCTCTTACTCTTCCTCCTTCCTTCTGGCTATAAGCGAAATGTGGGCAGCGAAAGGCTCGTTTAGCTGGATACGAGTATGTTGAAGTTGTGCTTGTGTGCCGTGCTCCTTTATCTGCTGTGGAGCTCCAACTATGCCCTGCATCCGCATCGCACACAATGTGGGCGAGTGTAAGTCTAAATTCATTGATGCCCAATACACCAACCGAGAGGGCAGAAGCGGGAAGAGGACGCCTAGGAGATGTGTAACCGTGTTGAAAGGGGTAGAATGAGTGAGTGGACGAGTGAGTGAGGCCTCGATGCGTTTGACCGATGCACGGTGGACACACAGCATTGACTGATTGCACAGGCTGCTGGGGAATGCAAGCTTCTCCGCAAAACAAAATGACACAAACAGGCGAAACAAGTAAGGCCTCGCGACAAAAAGCCTGAGGCAGGAAGTGATTGACGGTTCGAGGCTCCTTGGGGGCCGGGATGAGGAATGAGAAAGGTGAGGAGGGAGGAATGCAGGACTGGAGAAACGAGGTCGAGCACAAGGGATCGCCGCTTGTATCACCTTGCTATCTGCATCACCAGCATAGACCGAATCAACTGATGAACTGTTCGTCTATCCACCCCGACCACAATTCCCCCGTGGGCGCTGGGCTGGAACTCTGGAATTCTGTGAAGCCAGTCTCATGGTGGTGTTCTGACCTCTCGACCCTTCCATCCTGTAATAATGGGCAACAATCACCGCAGCGCCGTCTTCGCCGAATCATCTAGTTCAAGCTCACCTAGAATTACCACACACTCTCAGTAGGTATACACGCTCTTTACGAACATCTCTCACTATCCTCACTCCACAGCCCAACGCTTCCATTGCTTTCCAGTAGGCTTATTTCAATTCAACCTTTATCAACCCAACGGAGCTATACATGCACGATATGTAGGCAGGAGCGCTAAGGCTCCGAGGCTCCGAGTGATGACCTAACCAGGGCTTGGCCAACATCCACTGACGGCTAACGACCAACAAGTACGTACCTGGTACTATGTACACAGCGCCTCTGGTAGCCCAACCCACCGACGAACAACGCGACACGACTCGACTCGACTGTTCATACCTTAGGATGAAAATCTATGTCACTCACTATCCTTCGTCGTTCTGGCCTTGCGGCTCTTCACAGGATGGCTATGCAATGAGGCAAGGCTTCTCAACAGGAGAATCAAGCCACCATACCCCGGGTTTGTCTTCTCGTCTGGGATCAGAACAGTGGGACACAAGACACAGGCTGAGAAATGCAATCATTCCGAATCACTCGGAAGGTCCCGACCAAAAGAAAGGTATTAACTAAGTAGTCCACAAAATCTGGAGATGTCGCTATATAACATTACCAAGCCGGAGGCGAAAACGTCCCATCTATGGCATGCCATCAAGAATTCGATAACCACAGACTATCTGGACCTATCAAGCTACTCGATCTGATGGCGGAGACCAAATCATTTAAAAATGATGTTGCTCGTCTTTTTGAGCTTTGGACTATTGCTATCGCAGTATATATCAGTGCTGTTGTCTCGAATTCCTCCTCTACATCTGCTATACTAAACTCTCCCACACTATATCATACCAAACAGACCTTCTAGCATCCGGACTTAATCTGCAATCCACTCAACCAACCTAGATCCCAGTCTTGAACCAAGAAGAACACGATGGGATCAATCTCTCCGGATGTTGGTGCGGCCCCTTCACGGCTCTTCTCATCTTTCAAAATCGGCAACCTAGATTTAAAACACCGCATCGTCATGGCTCCCTTGACCCGCTTCCGCAACGACGAGAACCACGTCCCACTGCCCTTTGTGGCAGATTATTATGCTGAACGGGCCTCTGTTCCGGGCACATTCATCATCGCCGAATCGACAGTCGTCTCCCCCCGTGCTGCAGGATACTCCAATCTCCCTGGAATTTGGAGTGAAGACCAAATCGCGTCATGGAAACGAGTGACCGCCGCCGTGCACGCCAAGGGAAGCTACATATTCCTACAACTCTGGGCTCTGGGCCGCGTGGCGGACATAGAAACCGCCGAGAAGGAAGGGATGAAGATCGTTTCATCGAGCAACATCCCTCTGGACAGCGACCACGCGGAACCCGAGGCTTTGAGTTATGAAGAGATCCAGAATTTCGTGGCGGATTTCGGCCAGGCGGCCAAAAACGCCATTGAAGCTGGATTCGACGGCATCGAGATTCACGGTGCAAACGGCTATCTGGTCGACCAGTTCACGCAGGACATTGCGAACCAAAGGACTGATGAGTACGGTGGCTCCATTGATAAGAGGAACAGGTTTGCTCTGGAGGTTGCAAAGGCGGCGGCCGATGCCATCGGTGCCGACAAGGTCGGATTTCGAATCAGTCCCTTCTCGACCTTCCAGGGTATGAAGATGGCCGATCCGTATGCCCAGTTCTCTGCGCTGGTCAAAGGTCTCAAACGCCTCAATTTGGCGTATCTCCACGTCGTCGAGTCGCGGATTAAAGGTGATGACGATGCCAATGGTGGCCAAGGAGGCACCGAGAAGGTCGATTTCATGCTGGACATCTGGGGAGATGATGCTCCCTTTTTGATCGCTGGTGGTTGGAAGCCCGATGCCGCTCAGGCAGCCATGGATGGTCAATACAAGGACAAGAATGTCGCAATTGTCTTTGGTCGGTACTTCCTGGCCACCCCCGACTTGCCCTTCAGGATTAGACGGGGGCTCGCGCCGAACAAGTATAACCGCGATCTGTTCTACGCAATCAAAACAAAGCAAGGGTACCTGGACTACAAATTCAGCAAGGAATGGGAAGAGGCCACCAGTAAGTATGGCCTGGATAACATTTTGGCATGAAAAGAATTGTACAGCTGCCCAGACTTTACATGACGAGCGAGCGCTATGTTTGAACGGAATGTCATACATAAAACCAGATATAGATATAGATATAGATGCAAGGGAGGACATAGTACGATGCGACGGTAAATGGAAAGCTAAGCGCTCCATAGCTTCCCGTAACCCACGAGGCGCTGAACCCGTCCTTCTCGTCGACCATTTTATACAGTCCTATTATAGCTTTACATCCTACCAAGCTTGCCTCCGAGTCGGTTTTCTTCTAGTAAATATTCCAACCATTGTCCAGGATAAGGGCTCGCATGTAATACTGGCTCGCCACCGATTCCCCAGGCTCCATCGCCAGACCTCGATATCTAGGTATGTATTCAGATCAAACCGGCCATTCCTGATTGGCAAGTTGACTTGCCCTTGGGCGCATTGCTTCGGCCCAAATATGGAATTTCCCGCCCCTTGGTCGGCTCTTTCGCCGCTACTTACTCCCTTCGGACCATACTTGTCAGCCTCGAACCAGGCACTCAGGTACTAGTCAATGCGGTCTGATGAGGAAGTGTTGGTGCGAGTAAGCAGTGACATCGATTGCCGCTGATAGTTTTGAAACGCTGTGCCTCTTTGTATATACCTAGTGAATACACGGTACCTAGGTTAGGCTAGGTTTATTTACAATTTTTGGTCGCAGACGCGTTCCCAGCTACAGCCTACCTATGTAGGTAACACCAGACATAGCCTGTAGTGCCCTGTGTTCAAAGCAGTCATCATGTTAGACCTGTGCGGCATGGCCACTTGGGGGTTTCCAACTCCGGACCCAATCTCAACCATCAACCATGGGTGACCGTGGATGTTCCCCATCCTGGAAAGTTACACAGCCGATGATGCTGTGACTTTCTTGTTCAAAGTTGTCTGCCGCATACTTGGACGCTGTCGTGTAACAAACCCATGGGCCGGCCTTCCCCGGAAGCAACGCTCCGGGAAATCTTTGGGATTACGAGTATTACTGGGGCTGTTATTTCCTGTTTCCCCTTGAACGACATGGTAAACTTGGAAGGGCAAAAAGTGTTCGTGGCTGGTTACAGGGTTCCCAAGGTTCCAGGGGGAGATTATGTGTGACACGGCTGAAGTTCTTGTTCGATGCCCTACCATGACTACTTCTGCAGCAACTGGCAGGGGGGGATTGAGCTTCGTCGGCAGTGTCGCGAACTCAAAAATGAATCCCTCAAGCAAGATCTTGCGCCCAACATCCGATCCCCCATGAAAGAATCGACAACGTCAAACCCTCCCAAGCCATGGTGCCACTCACCCGTCCAATTTCTTGTAGATCTTCCAGCCTTCTCCCTGCAATCGATGCTCTTTCTCCATGTTCTCGTCGTCCATCTTCTGCAGGTGCTCAGCTACCCACCTCCGTGCCTTCTCGTCGCTTGATCCCACAATCCTGGCCGCCAGGATCGCCGCATTGACCGAGTTCCCAATCCCCACCGTCGCCACAGGAATGCCCCTGGGCATCTGCACAATACTCAATAGACTATCCAGCCCGTCTAGCGAGCTGGCTTTCACGGGCACGCCGATGACGGGTACAGTGGTTTCCGAGGCCATCATGCCAGGTAAGTGTGCTGCTCCGCCGGCCGCGGCGATGATGGCCTTAAACCCACGACCAGCCGCAGCTTTGCCAAAGTCGAGCATGTACTGCGGCGTCCGGTGTGCCGAGGTGATGTGCACTTCGTAAGGAATGCCCATAGTGTCAAGGAGGGTTAGACCTGGGCGAAGAGTAGCCAAGTCGGTGTCAGATCCCATCACCACGGCTATGACAGCTCGAGGAGACGGTGCAGGCCTCGAATCAAGAAGCTCTGCCTGCGTATTCAAAATTGAGGCAGCAGATGGCTGATCAGATCTGTCTTTGCGATGCGCTCGTACCGCGTCCACCATCTGAATCAAAGGATGCATTTTGCTCTCGCATTCCGACAAGCTTGACCCGGTGATTGTGATGTGTCCCATCTTCCGTCCCGGTCGACCCTCACCCTTCCCGTAGAGATGAATTTTTGCTCCTGGCACGTCAAGTGCAGCTTTGGCGACTAGCAAATGCGAATCAGGCTGGGGTCCCCCTAGGATATTCAACATGATTGCTGCATTCACCGTTAAATCCGTCGCCCCGGCAGGTATCCTTGCAGCTAGATCAGGTAGAATCGCACGAATCTGTGCTTCAAACTGGGACATGTGGCATGCTTCGATAGTGTAATGGCCTGAGTTGTGAGGTCGGGGGGCGATTTCGTTGACGACGAGGCTGTTGTCAGGAAGGAGGAACAATTCAACCCCGAAGACGCCAGTTCCCCGAAAGGTTGAAACAGCACGTCGAGCTAGGTCTTGGGCCGCGCGTGCCACTTGCTGCGAGACATCCCGAGGCGGAACATAGACAAGCTTGCAAATGCTGTCTTCATGAACGGTTTCAACGGTAGGGTACGCCAAGGTGTTCTTTTCCCACGCGTCCAAATCGTCCTCCTGGGCTGTTTTCACCACCATGACTGCCAATTCCAGTTTGAAGTGAGCCCATTTCTCCGCATACAAAGGTCTTTCTGCCAGAGCTGAGATGGCAGGTTCTATATCAGACACCGACTTGACCGGGAAGTTACCTCTCCCGTCGTAGGCTTGGGTTCGAGATTTCAGCATGAAAGGGTATTCAAGCGTCTCACCGGCGTCTTTCAGTCCTTGCTGTGACGGGCTGACCGCAATGGATTTAGCTGTGGGGATTGCATATTTCGCAAAATGCTGTTTCTGAGTGAATTTGTCTTGAATTGTCCTGACCGTTTGCCAACTGGGTTGAAACCTCGACCATTTGGTACCCTCGACATAGGGTCTCTCTGAATCTAGCTCTTCAAGAATCTGGGTGTCAACATGCTCGATCTCATAGGTCAGCACATCACATCTAGAAGCGAGTGCCTTGACATCCGACGCGTTTGCGAAGGATCCGGTAACATGCTTATCAGAGTTTGCAAGATATTTTGCCGGAGCGCCGTCGGCATCAAGGACTCCAACCTGAATATTGAGTCGATTCGCTGCCTCCACCAACATACGCCCTAGTTGACCGCCACCGAGGACACCCACGATGTGATCGTCCATGGTTGTGGTTTGGCTGTGATTATACCAGGAGTGGTGCAACGAGGAATAGATAGGGAATTTTCAGTCGTGCTTGTGACTTTGATGGTGAACGAAAAATGACCCACTCATGAATCTGCTGGGGATCCAGCAAGTTTCTCGGAGCCCGTGAGGGTCTTCTGACTTTGCAATATCCTGGGTCGACTGAAGAGCCCAACGCCTTGATGTCTGGACATTTTGTTGTGTGAAGAGTCGGCCGTCGACCAAAAATTTATTTGGCGGCATAACTTCGGTCCACTCCACTTGCGCCCTCCGCCCTCAGCACTCTTGGGTGACTCTGGCTGCGTACTATCAGCCTGCGCGCTGCCAGTCCTTTACTCAATCCCATGCTCCTTCTTCATCCTCTCCAAGTTTGCCTGCCTCGCCACGATATCTTCCTTGGCCTCCATCTTCATTTTCTCCGGCTGATGGTACAGCACGACCAAATACCGGTTGCGGAAGTTGAAGCCGTTCAGCTTGTCGCACGCTTGTTTTGCGTCCAAGACGTCTTCATAGACCACGAAGGCCGTGCCCTTTGTAGTATTCGATGTGCCTAGTCGGATTTGCCGTATGGGTCCGAATTTGCCAAAGAGATCGAAGAGGGCAGGGGTATCGATGTCGTAGGCAAGGTTTTTGACAAAAAGGATCCGATTTGCTTCGGGTGCAAGCTTGTTGCTGCGTGACATTGCGGGAGACTAGAACAAGAAGATCGTGGCTCCTTGGAAGAGAGGGAGTTGTCGAGGAGAAGGTGAATGGGAAGTGGCGTGCCTTGTGCGTTGAAGGATGTTGGAAAGATGCAAGAGGAGAATTTACGGCAGAGTGCGCAGGTGGTAAGTCAGCGTACAAGAGCGTGTATCAATGCCCGGGGGACTTTGACCTGTCCTGCAATCGCCACACACTCGGGATGGGTTTCAACTGTAGTCAAAGGGGATCCAGAGGTATAGCAAACAGAGGAATCACAAGTATAAAGAGAAATGTGATGTTGAGAGGTGCGCGGCGCAGGGAGAAATTGCGATGCTGTAAAATTGCCTGGTAATTCTCGATACGCGCCGTATTGTCACAATCGACTCCCGTCTGTCTGCGTTCTACCTCGACCCTGCTCCGAACAACCACCTCGACCGTGACAACTCCTCGCCGCCCACCCGACGACTCTCAATTCTTTTCTCACTGCGTGCGGCCTCCTGTCGGAGGTCAATCCAGCTTGTTCACCAATGTAGCCATCCTCCTGTCGCCCTCCGTCTCACAGCTAACTCGCCTCTCGACTCGCCAACCCCGCCTCCGCAACCAGTTCAACCTCGACCACGACTGTGACCGTTCACTCCCCTCGACGGTGAGTATGCCTACCTCGACCGTTTGGCGCCGCAGCCGCGATCTGGCAGGCCCCCGGGGTGCGAGCCCTGTACGTCCTTCTGCCGACCTCATCGAGCGCCTTTCCCCTGATCCCACTTTCGAATCCGCTACCCTCGACGCCTCCTCACTACCTCTGCGGTATTCACCCGAAAGCGGCTACTCATTACGAGGACTTGGTCTCTCTGATATTGGAGCACTCGGGAACAATGAATCCACCCTACAACCAGATCACCTATACTACGATCAAGACGGCGCCGCCCACGTTGCGGGCAAGATAAAAGGTGGCGCGAGTACAAATTATGGGCGCTCTAGAGTTGGGTCGCTGGACTGGGCGACTAGAGGAGCCCATCCTACCTCCGGCTTCCTGCAAGGCAATCCACGTCTTCATGGAAAGGGACATACGCGCTCCGGCTCTACGATCGATGACCTTGCGACCGCCGCAATTGCAACGAGCCCCGTTTTGGCTAGCGCAACCATCTCTTCTCTTCCCAAGGGAAGCTCATACAATGCCACCCGCCCTTCCACCTCCTATACCCGTCGCTATAGTCACGAGGGTCCCTCAAATGGTCCACCGGCGAAACGCATCAAATCCGAGCGACTACCCAGCCTCGAGTGGTCACCGCGCGAAGAGAGACCAAAAACCAGCGGTGGCTACAATGGTACACCCGATGTGGCCCATGAAGATGCCCTTCTATTACTTGAGCTGAAGAACGAGGTCAATTTCAAAAATCATACCATTACCCCCAGGCTTGACACGATGCCTGAGTACCCGCTGTCCACGTCCCCCACCTCTCCCCAGTCCCCTTCGAAGCTACGGAACCTGCAACGGAGCCCGGCCGCACAGTTACATCAGAGCTTGAAGAGTCGGTCCAGAGAACAGCACATGTCTGAAGAGGTGTCCAATGCGAGGGATCTTTCAATGGCAGAGGATTCCGAGTCGATACACAACGAAGCGTATAATGGAAACGCTCCGGATCCTCGAACAGGAGGGACTGGAGGACCTCACGTCAGTGTTGATGCTCTACCGCCGGTATCTGAAGAACCACCTGAGCCTCCAGTTGTCGAGGCGGAGCCACCGCCCAAGAAGCAGCGTCGAATCAAGCCAGAGCAACAAGCCGAGGTTTGCGCGGCATGCCAGCGTCTACAACTGGATACAGTAGAAGAAGAACCTACCTCCACATTCTGGATCAGTTGTGACGCTTGCAAACGTTGGTTTCATGCAGAATGCGCTGGGTTCAAAACAAAGGCAGAAGCAAGGAGCGTCGACAAGTATATTTGCAAAGACTGCGAACCTATACATGGGCAAACCACATACGTGCGAAAGTCGTCCCGTCCCAGGACTGCCATTGACTATGCCGGCCTCAACCAGGGTGTGGTAAAGTCATCTGTGGAGACGTCGACACATCACTATATCCAGCCGCTCAAAGAAGGCAAGATGAACATCCTACCAGATGATTTCGCTCGAATCCGGCCAGAATTGCTTACAATGGAGTTCATGGAAAGCTTTGAGGGATTCAAACGACCCTTTGTGGTACCAGCCGACTGGAATCCTCGATTTGGTGTACGGCCTGTACCAGTCGAACGCGACGCGACTCTTCCTGCCAAGGACTCCTCAACCTTCACACTCATCGACAGCGCCGGGGCAGAAGCAGGTTCTGATACCGCGCCTCAGCTGGAGCTTGAGGAAGAGGAGGTCATTGATTGTGACCAGGACTTACTGGATATGGTGATTCCACGCGACTTGACGGTTCGAAAAGTTGCCGAACTCTATGGTCTTGAGGAGTCTGTGCCTGTGATCGATGTCAAGTCTCAAGAGACCAAGGGCTATTTCACGCTCCAACAATGGGCAGACTACTATGAGCTCGAAGGCGAAAAGCCCGTTCGAAATGTTATCAGCCTCGAAGTTTCACACAGTCCACTTGGCAGACTTATCCGGCGGCCCAAAGTAGTTCGAGACCTCGATCTGGACGACCATGTTTGGGAGGCTGATGCTGATACCCGGCTGAAAAAGAGGCCAGTATCGTTCTATTGCCTGATGTCTGTTGCCGATAGCTACACCGACTTCCATATTGATTTCGGAGGCTCTTCTGTGTACTACCACATCTTGCGAGGGACGAAGACATTCTTCTTCATACCGCCGGAAGACAAATACCTGAAGAAGTATGAAGAATGGTGTAACTCAGACTCACAAAATGAGACTTGGCTGGGAGATCTCTGTGGTGGCAACTGTACAAGAGTCGACCTTCACGAGGGAGACACGGCTTTCATTCCTGCGGGTTGGATTCACTCTGTTTGGACCCCAGAAGACAGCTTGGTGATTGGCGGCAACTATTTGACTCGTCTGGACTACGAGATGCAGCTCAAAGTTGTGGGCATTGAGAAGGCGACCAAGGTGGCACCCAAGTTCCGCTATCCGTATTTCCAGAAAGTCATGTGGTATGCTTTGATTAAATACCTCGACGAAGATCCGCTACCGGAAGAGGTGTTGACTGAGTTCCGCGATGACCCTGACTGTGTGTTCCTGCGAGCAAATCCGATTTGGCACGAAGTCGGAGAGTCTGAAAGTCCAGCAGAGCCTGGTGATCCAGCTTACAATTCCAGGTATTACCCGAAGTCCGAGGTGAACGGATGGCCAGCACTACGAGATTTTCTGTATCGGACAGCTCGAATAGATGCAGGTCTGCCAGTGCCAGATATCACCAAGAAGCAAGTTGAAGCTGTGAAGGCGTCTATACCCAAGGGACATGGCGAACCGCTCGAGTTGATCAAGACCTTCGCAGTATGGTGTGCATGGAAGATCGGTAACACCACCGCGCCAGATTGGGTTCATTCGGATGATATTTCAGAGACGGGACAGGCGGAAAAGATGAAGAAGCCCGAGACATTTCGTTTGCCTGGAGAAAGAAGTTCGTCTCGAAGAGTTGCGCAAGCGCAGGCTCAGGCTCAGGCTCAGGCGGCACAGGCACAAGTCCATGCGCAAGCACAGGCTCAAACACGTGCTCAGACGCCAGCTAAGGCGCAAACATCCCCCGCCAAAGGCGGACCCAAAGGGAACGGATTGAGAGTTGCCTGTGAACCTTGCCGGAAACGCCGCATCAAATGTCGACATAAGTCGGGTGGTGAAACGCCTCGCCGAACGCCAGAGATTCGGCCAAGGAGTTTCTCTAGTGCCGATCACCATTCCTTAGCGGGTGCTGCGGCGTTCGCCAATGGCACTTTGGGTGATGCTGTCTCTCCAGAAGCACGGATATCCGACGGTGTTGGATCGGAAGTTACGCAGTCTGACCCTCAGTCATCCTCGAAGAAAAGTCGGAGCAAAGCCTGTGACGACTGCAGGAAGAGCAAGGTAAGCGTTTCTGACATGGCAAACTTGTCTCCTACTGACAAGGCCTAGCGTCGATGTGTACACGATCAATATGGGCGTATCGACCCCGCGAAAGTAGCAGAGCCGTCGAAGCCCCGGGGATCCACGAATGCAAAACGCGCCGCACACGCCAATGAGGAGACTAAACAAACAGAACCGGAGATTGACAACCTGGAAGACTTGATTGACCCTGCGCTGACGAACGGCGACGCCTCTCAGTTGACCAATGATGTTGATGAAGAAGCATTTCAAATTCAGGGACCTTTGAACAATGGGAGCCCTGCTGACGATGACACACACGTCGACGGAGATGTTCTCATGACGAATGGAGTCGGACAAACAACAGGATCTACGGATCCCGCCTTGGAGAGTCTGGAGGAAGAAGCAGCACTCATTAAAAGTGAGCATGACCCAAATGTAGGACCGGCCGATACGAGCTCTTTGAAACAAAACAACAATCTTTCCACCCCGAATACGAGTCAAAATGGTGCACCTGTGAACGGTGATTTTTCTGGCCCTCACGCTTGGACGCCTGGATCGAGACAGTCTTCTCGACAACCCAAGCATGTGGAAAGATACACGCCCGAAGATAAAAGATCGCCCAGCAAACCGTATCCAAAGACGCAAAGGAACGATCGACGCGCATCGAGTGCTGCGAGCGCACACACGATGGTGACGAGTATCAAGAGCGAGCGGTCATCAAGCAACACTTCGGGGACCACACACCAAATGGCGGGCATCATGACCAGCAGACGTAGTGCGTCCCTGGAAGCTTCTGCTCGACCTGTGAGCAGAGGAAGCACAGGCGGAGAAAGCGATGTGAATGCAGACGAAAGGTTTGCCAGAGAACTTCAGGCAGCGGAGAATGGCCTAAGGCGTCGGACGAGTATGAGGGCTTAGAGAGGCCTCAGATGAACCACCTTGGAGACAGCGGCTTATGATGACATGACAAAGAAAGGCGGCGTTAACATGTGACAGAGCTTGGAATCAAATGGGGGTGGGTGCAGAACCCCAATGTGCGATGCTTCAAGACGACAAAGGAGCGAGATTTGGTGGGCTTGGGGAATTCTTCATGTGTGATTTTCGTTCAATAAAATACCCTCAGAGCGCTATGGATAGCTGAGGGCATTATCGTTAGCTTCCAATGTATATTCTTCCCGGTGCTTGGACCTTGTCTGTATATCTTGCTGGTACGGAGTGTGTTGCTGTCAGCCTCGCGGTGTATCAAACTACCCAGCGAGCAGCTACCCAGCCTTACACGTGACAAGGAGTCGGCGTTGGACTGAGAATGGCTGAATGGCTGAATGACTGGATGGCTGGCGATGCGCGACAAAGTGTGGGGTAATACAGAGCCGACATAACATCATTGCTCAATCGCTCACCGAGGGACGATCCCAACATTCCACCTTCATCCATCCAGGGTTCCTAGTGTCTTCTCTCTCTCGTCCTCACATACCGTCAACTAGTTACTCTTCTTCAACGCTATGGTGCAGACGAGTTTTACATGGTGACCATGGCGAACTTTGTGTACAATAGCCAACTCGTATGTCCGCTGGTCACTTCCCCTGCCCAGGCTTCCTCGCTCCCCCTTTTCTCTCTATATGGAGCAAAAGGCTAACCCATGTAATTTCTACTGCAGGACGCCTTTGAACTCTTCCATCTGATCCAAGAAGAAGATGCTGTTCGCTCGTCTGCACGACCACCGAGATCACATGCCCTGGAAGCCCTGGGCCACGCCCTCTCGGGCTCCTTTGGCGCCGCCATCTCCAATGCAGCGCTCTACCCAGTTGACCTCATAATAACGCGGCTCCAGATACAGCGCCAACTCCGCAAAGACCAGTCGCGTCCTGCTCAGGAGGAGTACAAAGGATTCTTCGATGGCCTCCAGAAAATTTACCATAACGAGGGCGGGATCGCAGGATTATACACAGGCCTGCTGCAAGACACGGGCAAGACAATTGCGGATTCATTTTTGTTCTTCTTGTTATATTCGTTCTTGAGAGATCGGCGGATCGCCAAGCATACGAAGTTGAATGGCGGCAAGAAAGTCAGTCTGCCTGCGTTGGAAGAGTTGGCTGTTGGATTCATTGCAGGGAGTTTCACCAAGTTGGCAACAACCCCGATTTCGAACATAGTTACCAGGAAACAAGCTGCGGCGCTGCTGATGGCGTCGGAAGGAGAGGGACAAGAGTCCGCTACGACGACACAGACGCGGACGCCCACAGCCCGACAGATCGCCAAAGACATCCTCTCGGAGAAGGGTCCTTTGGGATTCTGGTCCGGCTATTCTGCGAGTTTGGTCCTCACACTCAATCCGACCATTACTTTCTTTCTGTTCGAAACACTCAAAAAGATTCTCCTCCGCAGAGACAAAAGACACAATCCACCGCCGAGCCTCACATTCCTGCTGTCCGCGATTAGCAAAGCTTGTGCCTCTTCCATCACGTACCCTTTCAGCCTTGCGAAGTCGCGCTTGCAGGCCGGCGGCGCTTCCTCGCAGAAAGAGGATCAGGACGAAAAAGAGACTATCAGCAAAGACTTCAAGCGGGAAGAGACTAGAAAAGCGGCACGAGCAACAATCTTCAGCACTGTCCTCACCATTGCGCAGACCGAGGGTATCAGCGCCCTGTATGAAGGCTTGCATGTTGAGGTATTGAGGGCGTTCTTCTCCCATGGGATCACTATGCTTGTGAAGCAAATCATCCAACGCTTCCTCGTCAAAGCCTACTACCTCGTGTCCATCATTCTCGGACGCTACAAAAAGCGTCGCGAAGCAAGTGCGAAACGCCTTGCAGAAAAAGCAAAAGCCAGTGTCGAATACTACAATCTTGCAATGGCGCGGGCGTCGGAGAAGATTGAGGAGGCGGCCGAAAAAGTGAAGGAAAGTGTGGGAAAGAAAGCAAATGAGACGGCCGAATTTGTGGGAGAGTATGTGGAAGAGGATGACGAGCTAGGGGAGAAGTGGAAGGAGCTGTATGGGACGGTGGGACTGGCCAGATGGTTCGACAAGGTGAGTGATGAGAGGTGAGATGTCGTCTTGCTGGATCATTGCAGAAGGACTCATGGGTGGGTGGATGCGTGTAGGAAGGGCACTTCGGAGCGATATGGAACGGCAGACAACTGGAGGATGGACGGCGCATATTGAGCGGTGGGATTGGAACATGACCGCAGTTTTGGCAGAGGCTGTACCATGGCTGAAAACATTTCTTTTCTTGTTTAGCGATACTTGACTTTTTGCCCTCCTCTTTTCTCCATTTTTGTCTGTCTCTTACTTTGTGCCATGTCATCGCCCTCTGCGCCTCCTCCGGCAAGTCCTCCCATCATCCCCTTCACACCCCTCGCAGCTCCAACAAGGCAATATACAGCATATGCAGGAACGATCAAATAGAGCCACCAGCCGCGATTTCCAAAGATCAGAACTACGACGAGATTAATCCAGGTCCAGTACAGAATGTCCCACATGAACTCGGTCAGGCCTTTCGCATCTAGGTCCTCGCCTGCCTTCTTCAAGTCGCCGTTCGGATGATATGTCGGACGGGCGAGGATGTCTAGATATAGCTCGAGGAGTAAGGCCGGAGCGCTTAGAAGGAGGTAAAGCCATAAGGACAAAGAGCGGCGAAGCGTAAATTTCAGGAAGAGGAACAGGATATGGATTGAGAGGGTCACGAGGTGCGTTTGTCGGAGGCGGGCAGTGTTGCGGGTGGCGAGAGATTTGGCAGCTTTCTATTCAGAAGGCACAGTCAGTGAGATCAAATCATTGACGAGGGACTCCCACTCACCTGGGCCATGGCTGATGAGGTAAATGAGGTATATGAGGCAGGTAGGTGGCAGGTGGTTGGGAGAATGTGCGCGGCTGCAAGGATGTGCTCAATACCGAGTATGTATGGGAAGTGACTGGAGGGCGCAGCGTATAGATTCTCTACTGGCCTGCAGTAGGTCTCACTCGGCAGTACCGAGTAGAGTCAAGGAAACACGAAAGGTGGACAGTTGGTACCTCGTAGAGATGAAGAAATTGTGAAAGTTCCCCGCCGCAGCCACGATGGAGGATGGACGTGGAGTGCAGTGGGTTCCAGCCACAGTTTTGCCGGGCCTACTAGTACCTAGGAAGTGGCAGTGGGTGGCAGTCAGTGGCAGTCAGTGGCCCGGCCCTCGAGAGCATTTGCCATTCACCTGCATCTGCGCTGCATCTGCACTGCAAACAGAACCACAACACCGTGACCAGCATCTCTCACAAGTAACCGCCCGCATTCTAATTCTATTGATACTCACCCACACCAGACATCTTCACTTCACCCTCCTTATACCTGTTTCTGCTGGCATCCAGCACCTTTACCTGCTACTCACTGCCTTCCATGCATTAATAATTGACCACACGCTCTGCACCTACACGGTGGGTGGCGCATTTGTTTTGGGTCACACACCAGCCTCTGGGGGGTCTTGAATCCATGACCTCTCAACCGCGTTCCCTTACAAGCCCCCAGACGTAATTCATCCCCCGACAATATTCTCCAGCTTGTCTCGGTTCGATCGAGTCATCGCCCGGTCTCATCATGGCACCTGCACAACCTCATATTGCCGCTCAGCTCCGCCAACTAATCTACTACCACCTCGACAACAACCTGCTCAGAAACGCCCTCTTTCTCGCTTCCCGCCTCGTCGCCTACGAACCTCGCTCCCCCGAAGCTGCCTACTTGCTCGCATACTGCCAATTTCAATCAGGGTTCCTGAAAGCCGCATGGGACACTTCACGCGCCGCAGCTGTAAAAGGTACCCATTTAGGATGCAGCTACGTTTTCGCCCAGTCGTCCCTCGAACTCGGTCGAATTGTCGAAGGTCTCACTGCGTTGGAAAAGTGCAAAAACCTCTGGCAAAACAGAAACACATGGGGTCAACACAATGAGCTGAGACGCCAGCATCTCCCTGATGCCGCGGCCGTCTTATGCCTCAAAGGGAAGCTCTGGAAGGCAAATAAGAATCTGAACCAGGCTGTCGAGTGTTGGGCCGCCGCTTTGAAACTGAATCCATTCATGTGGGATGCGTTTACGGGGTTATGCGACACTGGAGCGAAAATTAGTGTGCCCAACATTTACAAGTTGAACAATGAGATGGTGGCAGCGACGCATTCTGCGCAACAGCAGAGCGCAAGGATTGAAAACGCACCGACCGAGAAGGGGTCGGGTGCGGTTTCGCAAGCACCATCAGATCCTTTTGTCTCGACGCAAAAGTCAAGCACGCAGCACCCGCCCGGGCACCCTGTACTATGGGAAAAGCTCAATGGCAGCAAAATGAGCGTTAATACGGTCAGCACGATCTTGGACGAGGAAGGTCTCGCCACTCCGTCAACAGAGGCCGAAGGGGAAGAAGGTGTCCTTCACGGCGCTCCACTCAACAACCAAAATCACGAACCGCCGCCGGCACCAATCAGAAAAGCAAAGGGCTTGACGGAAACACATGCAGATCCTCCACCTAGGTGGAAGCCAGGATCGACCAGGATGAGAGCAAAAGCAAAAGGTGCATCGGATGATTCTACCACTGTCTTACAAGATCCTCCTCCGCAGCCACTACCGGCAGCACCTTCTAAGAGAACGGTTTCGGGCCAGCTTGCTCCAACATCGTCTCATGCTGCGTCTTCAAGTATTGCCGAAGGAACGAGAAGAAGTAACCGGTTGCTCAACACAACAAGACCACCTAGTGCGAGTAGCACAGCCGGGAGCAAGATTTCGTCCCTGGCAAACACGCTCGGTTTACGAGAAGGACGAGATATCAAGAAAGCGAAGGCCCCAGTGCCGAAGGGCAGGACAGCAAATGCATCCACCGTCGGAAGAGTCGTGAGTGGCAATAGAACGAGGACCGGGTCGGCAGATCAAATGGACCTGGACGCCAAAGAACAGAAAAATGCTGCCAATGCAATCGCTCCTCCTCCAGTACCACCTATCCCAAACAACAAATCACGAGCACCCTCGACTGCGGATAGGGAACTAGAAGCGCTCCAAACTCTCTTGGATCTTTGTGGGCGAATTGCTTCTGCGCAGCTCTGCCTTGCCAACTATGACTGTCAAACCGCCATTCAGATATACAATGCTCTTCCTTCGTCACAACGTGAAACGCCTTTTGTCTTAAGTCAAATTGCCAAAGCCTACTACGAACAGGCTTCTTACATCGAGGCTGAGAAATTCTTCATTCGCGTACATCAGCTTGCGCCCACTCGCCTCGAGGATATGGAAGTCTACTCGACAGTCCTCTGGCACTTGAAATCAGAGATTGAACTTGCCTACCTGGCGCACGAGCTTATCGAAATTGACCGATTATCACCTCAAGCATGGTGCGCGATCGGAAACTCCTTCTCTCTCCAACGTGAACATGAGCAAGCATTGAAATGCTTCAAGCGCTCCACCCAACTCGACTCACAATTCGCGTACGGGTTCACGCTCCAGGGGCATGAGTACATCGCCAATGAGGAATTCGAGAAAGCACTTGAAGCCTACCGAGCAGCGATTGCCGCAGATGGCAGACATTACAACGCATGGTACGGTTTAGGAAAAGTTTACGAGAAACTGGGCAAGTGGAATATTGCGGAGCAGCATTACCGAACGGCAGCAAAGATTAATCCCACCAACGCAGTGTTGATATGTTGTATCGGCCTCGTCCTTGAAAAACAAGAACATCCAGAAGACGCACTCCTTATGTACACTCGTGCATGCAGCCTCGCGCCTCAATCGGCCTTGAGCCGGTTCAAGAAAGCAAGGTGCCTGATGAGCTTAGGGCGTCCGAGGGAAGCGCTAGCGGAATTGATGATATTGAGGGATGTGGTGCCGGATGAGGCGAATGTGTGGTTTCTCATGGGACGCCTGTACAAGACCTTGAAAGATAAAGGCAATGCTGTGAAAGCCTTCACCATGGCGTTGAACTTGGATCCAAAGGTGTGTCTTTACCAGTTGCTCATGGCTCAAGTGTTGACTAACATGGAATTCAGGCTGCTCAGTTCATCAAAGACGCAATGGAGAGTCTCAACGATGATGAAGACGAATATGATGACGATGTGGATGAAGACATGGAGTGATGATGATCCGGGTACATCTTTCCGTCCCCAGCGAGCTCCACCTGCTTTACGAAGGACGATGAGATGACAGCCTGAAGCAAGGTTCTCTCTGGCTCAGCGGACCCTGCTCGTCGTCAGACTCGCAATGATGTTCTATGGATTTTCAACAGATGTTCCGATCATCATTCAGAGAAACACCTCCCATGTTGCTTCAGTGAGCGCCACCTACATTTGTGTATACCATCTTAATATCTACCGGACGGTCCCCGAATGGATGCATTCAATGGACCAGAAGGGTTTGGATTAAAGATGCCACGACACGTTTGTTGACACGAAAGCAAAGAAAAGGAATGGGCAGGACGCCTTTGTCGGCAGTGAAAAGCGACCCAGCTCTCAGACCGCAGCATTTCCTCTTAGAGAGCATGCGGAGCCTGTTGACCTCTACAGAGAGAGTACTTTTCAGAGCCGGTTCTGAGATTCTTCTTTTGCTTTCGGACGTTCTGGTAGGGGGTTTTTGGTTCACCGAGCAAAGGACGCCCGTCGACGCCTTGTCTGACTTTGTTTCATGGACTGGGAGGCGTGTGTTTGGCTTGCACTTGTGCTCTCTGAACGGGCCGGGCTGAGCAATGTGCATTCCAATGGTTTGAGCGCATTCTTTGGAGTTATGGTTTACGGATATTGATTGCGAGGGATTGGAAGCTCGAGCGTCTTGCTGCATTTTACGGGAGTGAACAATGAAAATGGAGCCCCGGTTGGCCGGCATGGGCATGGCATGCCATGGGTTTGGTTTGGTTTGATATGGTATGGCGGACGACGCATGGATTAGCATAGCGACACACGATATTCACAGTTCCAGTCACAGTTGGCCGTCGGGTCGGAGACACAGATATGGACACCGACACGGACACCAGACGCCAACGCGTAACAGCTCGCAAAGCTCTGCGAGGGGTCTCTGGATGTTATGTACCTACCTACATGGCCCTCTTGTGTACCTTGGGGGCAACCTACAGACCTAAGAGTCCTAGAAACCCTATGTTACTTGATCGAAATCAATCATTAATCATTCTTGATATTAAATAAATGATCAGTCATCAGTCCCAAAAATGGACGGACCATCGACTAATACTCTCGCCATAGTAATATATTACCCCAATACACAAAACAGCAAACGCCTCACATTTGTTCCTAAATACCTAGGGACCTACGAAGCAGGTATGCTAGGTATGGTAGGTGGCAAAGTGGTGAGGCAATGAAGGGGGGCAAGGAAATACCTAGGTATACACGGCAAATGGGAATTTCATGTGAGATACCGTTGGGTACCTACCTAGGTACCTATAGGTACCTATATGTAGGTAGGTAGGTAGGAAACCGGGGTGATTGTGTTTGGTATGATATGATGTATATTCGATCCAGAGACGAAAGATCGGATTGCGCGATGGACAGGGCGGGGAAAAGGTGGTATCATTTCAATACAACAATTGGGGCAAGTATCAAACGCCGAAAAAAAAGACATGCCAGCCATCCATCCATCCACACATCCATACCGACTCCCAAAGAGAGCCACGCAAAGAGAGATCATTACCAGCCTCAATTTACTCGGTAGACGCACGCCTCTCTCCGGCTCCAGCGTAGCCCAACGGCCTCATCATTAGCCTCGAGCGCTCTTCAACACTTGGTCGGATTCGAGTTTTGGGGGGTTTTGGCTTTGTGCCAAAATAGATGGATAGATACCTTTTTGGTCTGGGGTCGAAGGAGGAAACACCATCCTCGTCGTTCTTAACATCGCTTTCATCATGTCGTGTTTCGTCCGTTCCCTCTCCTGCGCTTGTGCCTTGTCCCTGAAACTTGCTCCTATCTCCCTTCGACTTGCTGATTTACTCACAACTCGTCCTTGACGTACTTTGTCGCGCTGCTCGCCGACTCACTCACTGCGCTGGCTATGCTCTCCACGCTTTCACTCACGGCACTCGCCACGCCCGTCGCCCCTTCACCGACTCCACTTGCCATGGCGGCAATCCTGCTATTGGCACTGGCCACAGCTTCGAGGATCTGTGAGTTGATGCTTTCCGTGTAACTCTGTTCGGGTCCATAGATCGCTGTCGAGACCTTGGCGGTAAGGCTCTCGACAGTATCGCTTATTGCAGAAGCCGCCGCCGCGGCGTTCTCGGACACAATGGATGATGCAGACGCGTATGTGTCAGCCGCAGCGCTGGTCAAAGACTCAGCTGTACCTGTGGGCGTTCCGTAGATGGCGACGCTCACAGCATCCTGGGCGCTCTTTGCCAAGTCTGCAAATGAGGACGACGCGGCCTCCACGTAGCCAACGGGAGTGCCATAGATAGCTTCACTCACTGCCGCGCTCGCGGAGGAGTAACTGTCGGCAACAGCAGAAGTTGCCTGCTCGATGGTTCCCTTTGGTGTGCCGTAAATCTGTGCACTGGCTGCGTCGACAGCGGCATTCAGTTGTCCTGTCACTGAATCCAAAATGGAGGAGACCTCGGGGGGAGGGGTGAAATAGGATGCGGCAACGGACGAGGCAGAAGAGGCCATGGATGACGCGGAGTCGTACGCTTCGCTCGCCAAGCTGGAAGCCGAGCTGTAGCCCGTATAGTAGGCGGAGCTGAGGCGACTCATGACTGACTCAGTGAAGTCGGGCTCCTTGCCAACTATGAGCTCTGAGACATAGGATTGGATGACGACATATTGATCGTTCGCAAAGTCCGTCACCTGAGCGGAATATTCTCCAGCTTGGGTAGCAAAATCTTCGTAGAAAGGCTTCGGCGTGCTGTAAATTTGTTCGCTGGCCTTGGCGATGAGAGCTTGCCAGTTTTCAGATGCCACGCTGGAAATTGATTCAACAGAACCCGTTGGAGCACCGTAGACGGCTGTGCTTGCCGAGTAGCTAGCCGCAGAGAGAGATGAAGACGCGGCAGCGATGGCAGCATCATATTGCGAAGAGATAGAATTTAGTATACTCTGCGCCGGGGATGTCTTCTTTTTGCCCACGGCCGAGGAGGCCGAGTCTAGCAACGCGGACATTTGAGAGGCAGCGGCTGAGGATGCCGCACCGTATTGAGATGATGCCGCATCCAAAGCACTTTGGTAGTATGGAGCAGGAGTGCCGTAGATGGCGGTGCTCGCCGCATAGCCGGCTGCGGAAAGGGATGAAGAAGCAGCAGAAATGGCTGCCTCATATTGTGACGAGATGGAATCAAGAACGCTTTGTGCGGGAGAGGTCTCTTTCTTGCCAAGCGCAGAGGAGGCCGACTCGAGCATTTCTGACATTTGGGAAGCAGCTGCCGAGGAAGCAATCTCATACTGTGACGATGCTGCTTCGAGAGCGGTCTGATAGTATGGCGCAGGAGTGCCGTAGACAGCAGTGCTCGCAGCATAGGATGCCGAAGACAGCGAAGACGAGGCGGCGTCAATAGCACTGGAATAAGCTGCCACGGCTTCATCCCATAGGCTCTGAACAGTTGTGCCCGAGGATGAGCTGAACGAGTCCAGGTTGGAAGCGGCTGCCGAAGAGGCTGCCGAATATTGAGAAGCGGCCGCGTCAAGGAGGCTTTGGTATGCAGGCACCGGCGTTCCATAAATTCCAACCGATACGGCGCTTGACATGCTGCTCAATGCAGGAGTTGGTGTCCCATAGATCGCACTCGAAGCCGCTGCTACAAAGTCATCATACTGCTCGTGCGCCATTCCAACCGCAGCATAATAGTTCTTCCTTGCCTCTTGGAGATATCTTGCGTGAGCAGGTGTAGGAGTGGCCCCAACAGCAACCTTCGCCTTCGAGTATTGAGCCGAAGCTGCAGCCAGAGAGTCTTGCAAAATTGACGATGCCATCGACGACACAGATTCGAGAGGATTGGTCTGGGGAAGCGCACTCGAGGTTAAACTTCGAGCAGATTCAAGTCTATCGCTCGCGGCAGCCACAGCACCAGAATAGGCCGACTCAATTGAAGAGAACATTTGCTCATGAACAGGTTTCGGAGTGCCAGATATTTGCTGGGAAGCAATCGACTTTGCGGCGTTGTAATTGTCCTCCGCCCTGCTAACAGCCTCGCTGTAGAGGGAGCTGGCTTGTTGAAGCAATGACTCGGTGACTGGGGTCGGTGTCCCGAAGATGATTGAGCTCGCAGCCGCCACAGCTTGCTCGTACTTTTCAGATGCGGCGCTTGCGACGCTTTCAGCCGTGCCAGTAGGCGTGCCATACAAGACATTGGAAGCTGCAGATAGAGCGCTGGAATACTGCTCACTCGCGACAGATGTGAGGCTTTCCACTGTGCCTTGGGATGTTCCGAACATGGCTTCAGATACCGCGCGAGTAACCTCTGCATAGCGATCGCCAGCTTGGTTGATCACGCTCTGGACATTTTCAGAGAATGTCGACTCCTCGTTGTTGTCAAACATATCGTCCAGGATAGGTATGGAACCCTTCACCTCTGCAGCCATAGCACCTCCAAAGATTTTCGACACTCTAGTGGTTGCTGAATCTGCAGCGGACGAAACTGAGCTGGCAATATCCTCAGCGGCAGTGCTTGCTGAGGAGAGCTCATCTGTTGATGGTGAAGCAATGGATTCGACCCACGATGATGCCGAGCTCGCCGACTCGCTCACACCTTCCGGGAAGCCTGAACCAGTCTCCGCGGCGTCAGAAAGGATGGACTCGGCAGTCCCAGGGGTGCTTCCAATGACAGCCGAAGATGCAGACCCGTACGCTTCTCCAGCCGTGGCGCTGATATCAGACTCGAGTGATTCAACAGGCACCGCTATAGAAGATTCCAAAAGTGATGAGACTGAAGAAAATGCATAACCTGCAGCCTCCTCGGCTTTGGACGTCGCGGACTCCACTGTGCCAGTACTGGTGCCCACCGCCGCAGATGATGCGGACGACACCGCTTCGGTAGCAGCGTCGCTGCCCTGCGCCAGGAGGGAGCTGGCGGATTCCACAGCTGCTGAGGGTGCGCCTTGAAGCTCAGCGACTAGGCTGGAAGCAGCTGAAACGACTTCTGCCGGCAAACTTCGAGTTTCGAAATCATCCGAGGAATCGCGGGCTTTCAACTTCCACTGAGCAACACTCTTGAGCCTAACTAGTTCTTTCGCTGCATCTTCGGTGATTGCCATGCTTTCTTCCAGGATTTGTCGAGCCGTGGCAATTGCTTCTTCCGCCTCTGGACTCTTCATGGCAACGTCTTGGACCTCGATTTTCCATTCATCGAGCGTCTTTCGGACCTCGTGAAACTTCTCCCAGTGTTTGTAGGTGACCCCTTCCATCCAAGCCCAGCGCATTCCGACTTCTTGGAGCCCGATGTCTTTTATCCCGTCCAAGACTTCTAGAGTAGACGCGGAGGCAGCCTCGAGTCTTTGTATCAACCCTTGTTCAAAGTTCTTGGCCCAGTTGCGGACATTCTGGGCACGTTGCTTGATCTCTGCGCCTGAAGATCTGATAGATCCGAGAATGTCTTCTGCTGCCTTTTTAACTGTCTCTGCACTTGCATCGTCAGGAATGGAAGCAACGGTGGACTTTATCTTCGTTTTGACATTCTCCAACTCATTTTCCGCGGTCTTCTCCAAAGCCCTGGCCAGACCTCGACCAACTCCGTCAATGTCGCTCTTGACAAGACTGTTGACGATGGAGGTGACTCGTTCTCGAAGGTCATCGCTACCCTTGTCAGCGGCAACAGCAAATTTCTTTTGCCAGCTCTGAAGATCTTCAGTAATTTGTTCTTCCGTGGCATGTTCAATGGGCCGTTTGGCACGTTCTTGAACAGTCGGTTGAGCTTCGTGGGTCTTGGTCGTAGAGGAGGATTCTGCTTCGTCTTCCGATTCAAACATAGCATACACATCATCCATTATGCCGGTGGTTGCACCGGGAGTGGAAGAGGCAGTGAAGGTCGACTGGGTGCTATCCACCTCGTCCATGGCGGCCTTCAACTGGCGGCTCTCCCGATACTTGGCAATCCTCTCATTGATCATGACGAGCTGAGGCCTGACATTGTCGATGTAAAGACCCTTCACAAAGGGCAAGAAAGTGCCATCCATGAATATGACCAGATCCGCCCAAGCATGTCGCAGAAGAGGATACGCGGTGTTCAACACGAAGTCTTGACAGATATCGTATGCTTTATGGAGATGCGGCCGGGAGTATTCCATTGCTGGAAGAAGATGTTGTTGGTACACTTTGTAGGCCTGATCTCGCGCTGGGGTGTAGTAAGGATCAGCAAATGCGACAGCTTGGTCAACATGAGGGCCTATATTCTTCTCGTAGAATCTGACGGCATTTCCTCGCGCCAGGTTGATCTGAGGCATTACGGTCTTGTCCCATTGCGCTTGAGAGTACGCCTTCGCAGTGTCGATCTGGGGAGCGGCATATTTCTTATAGTTGACCACGGCAATTTTGGACGCAGGCCGCACCACTCGGCTATTCACCAGGTGTGCGTATGGCTCGGCTTTGGCAACGTAAGGAGCTGCATATCCATCGTAATATGGTTGCAGATGAGGATGAATGTATTCCTTCGCGGAAAGGTACGGTCCACATATTCGCGGAGAGGTGTCGGTGAGGGCAGTCCGGGAAGAGGGACAGCTGAACAGGACTGTGAGGAGGCAGTACCATATGGCCAGCCTACATAGGCGTTAGAGATATCTTGGACAACTTAGTTGAGACACATACCTCGCCGAGGAGCTCAATAGCCAGGAGGTCCAGCTCCTGCGATAGCGTTGGTGAGCAGGTCGACGTGCAGGCGGTCCTACAGCGTGCCCATTGGCGTGCCCATTGGGTCTGTCCTTGACACTCTCTATAGGTCTTCCATTCTCAACTACTGCCATCGCAGCTGATGTACCTTCGAGGATTACTCCTCGCTCCCACCAAAGGTGCGGATTGTGCTGCCAACTTTTTCCCGAGCACAGATGATTCGGCCGATGTTGGGTGAAGAAGTGTATCACCCAAATGCCGATGTTCAAAAAGAACAGTGCAGCAGGAAACGGAGAAGCTGACAGGAGATACAGAGAGGGAGGAAGATTCCACAGCGAATCTGGTGGTGTGAGGTGATGGCCGAGGAAGAGCAGTAGATGGGATGAGCAGGTAAGTGGTAGCTAAATTGCCGTCTTTCGAAAAATTGTGGAGGACGTCTGGAGTGAGGAGACCGTGAGGCTTGCACGGGGTTCCAGCGTGTCAAGCTTGCGAGGCACAAGCAGTTGCAGCCACTGCGTCACCCGGCACCAAAATGGCATAAAACCTGCGACGCGGACCGTAGCAGCTCGGTGGCCTGTCGGTGGCAGCCAGTCACCGCCAGGAAGACGCGAAGTAGGGGTGGCCGACCCTAAGAACCGAGGGACCAAGCAGGAGGAGTTCGTGATAAGCCAGAGATTAAGCTGTCAGATCGACAGTTGTATCTTCGATGAGAATGGATTCTTGGTGAATATCTGTCCCAGATCAGAGGCGACAATGATGTCAACTCTGCACATGCTCAATTCAATGACAACCAACGGGACGGGAAGAAGGTGTGGCTCTCACTGGTGGAGGGATGCGCATGTCATACAGGCGTGGGACGGTGGATGGTGGATTGTGGGCAATGTGGCTTTGCCTACGGACTCCATCGCGCGACACAGCATGCCCTGTAGCCCACCGTAGTGTGTCTATAGAGCTACGTTCGCCACCGTACTGCACCCCCTGCTCGCTGCGCACCTGAGAATCTAATAGTAATGGATGTATTGTTGCTGTGAATGTTTTTGGGGTCTATCCTACACGGGAATAACAAAGAGAGATCCTCCCCTTGACCATAAGGCGCGTCTTCGATAACGCATGCGTGGACCTCCTATTTCTATATCGAATCATGAGTCATATCCCCCGAGCCACGTTCTTGTCATGCAAGACCTGGAAAGCCCTGCCGTTCTCCCCAAGCGTGCTCCTTGCCCTGCCCTTTCGACACACCCTCCCTTCTGCCTCTCGGCTTCGGTTCCTGGAAATTATGTAGCCTCTCGCCAATCAAGTACACCTCGTCCCTAATCTTTACCCTCCAATTCTCCAGTTTCCTCCTTGTGTACAAGAAGCCTACATAGTTGACCATCATGGACAAGAAAAGCGGATATGCGAAACGATACATCCGAATCTGCTTTCCGATGTCGGAAATCTGGAAGATGCTGATGATCGCTCTCATGCAGGCGAGAGGTACGACAAGGAGCGTGATAGAGATGATCACAGCCGGGAGAACGAAAGCTCGGGAGGCAAGAGCGACGTCAGCATGGAAAATGCCGTTGCGCACAATCCCGCGAAGAGCCCTGGCAGGGCGCACCGTAGGTGGGAGGACGTGGCCTAGGATGCGGAAGATCAGGCGTAGGAAAACAAGACCAATCGTCCAGGACTGGAGTATGAAGATTGTAGCAGGCGGGAAAGTCTTGTTGGGTGCCGTCCCTGCCGAGGGAGTGGTGGTTGAAGATGAGGAGGGTGAGGAGTCTCCGGTGAGCTTTTGGTGATTGAGGACTTCGAGGAGGTCGAAGATTGGAATATGGATGTACAGCTCCACGATCAGAGACAGAACAAAGGGGAGAATGATGGTGGTGAAAAGCCCAAGGTATGTGAGGCCAAGGAAATGCAGCGCGGAGGTGAGGAACTGCTTTCCCGACCATCTGAATTTCTGTCGTAGGTAGTCTCGAGCCGGCCGGGCGTAGGCGATGGCATATCCCATCGCGGCGAAAATGTGGATGCCAATTGTGAAAGCATACAGATCGTTTGGCGGTTGGCTCGTTTGCGAGAGGAGTCGAGTCAATTTGCGACCGACTATCAAGGGTCCCACAGTGAACGCGACACCAGTCAAGGCCGCGAAGAGCCACAACAGGACCACGAACGCAGTAATCCGAGCTTGGAAGTTCGGAGGAAGGTAGACCTTGGTGAATTGAGGGTTTTTACTGCCATGTGGGGCGAAGAATAACTCGGGTGAGCCATCTACCCTCACGTTGTCTTCTGTTACTTCGAGAAAGACCCTGCGGCCTTTCGCGATGCGCACAGAGTCGGATGCAGGCGCTCGAACATAGCGCCCGTCACGTTTCGGTTCTGCGGCATTGTCTTTGGCGAACAAGCTCCACGGAAACCCGTTTGGATGACTGAACGTTTCTTCTTTGCGCTCTTCCCCGAAGAGAAAGTTGGTCAATCTCAAGAACCTGGCACATCCTCGAAACCACCATTGATACATTGCGGAAATCTTTTTCGATGGCTCGGCCCTGCGCAATGCGAACGGAAGGAGAAAGTTGTAAAAGATAATGTCGACTGGAAACGACAACCTGGGCTCCGGAGTCGACCATTGGATCGGTAGAACGCCGCCAAACCAGTCTATCGACCATACCACGCCCCCCAGGCAAACAATGACCAAGCCACCATAGACCAACGCCGAGAACGCAATTTTGCCCAGTTGTGCCGGTACAGGTCGTTCAAGAACATCGCGCACTGGATGAAACGTCGGATCGTCAGGATCTCGAATAAAATACAGGACGCCTTTTCGCATGATTTTTCGACATATTGATACAAAAAGGGCGAAGTGAAACATGTAACAGGTGCCGATGAACCAATGTATAAAAATTCCGGTCAAAGGAGTTCGCATGAGGAAAGCAATGCGGCTAGCAACGGTGGCGTTGGCAAACAGGGGAAGAAGCGCCATGTCCAGGAGCAGTCCACAGTACAAGGGAAAGACCAGCATTTCAATTCCAATGATGACGATGACTTTCATCACACCACCAGCTTGGCGAAGGGAATCTGCAAAATAGCCTTCGACCCTTTCGCCGTCCCTCAAGCCGAGGACGAGATGAGCAATCTCAAGGAACACGATTCCAGCAATGGCGAAGAAAGCGTATCCGAGCAGAATCGTAAGGATCCGGTCTTCTGTGCCCCACTGAATCAAGGAAGGATCCATACCATCTCCATTGCTAGATGGCGAGGCACCAAGGTCCGTAAATACGGAACGCAGGAGGTTGGTCGCATATCCACCGAGCTGAGGGATATTCCCAAACAATTGAGGAACCGACCTCAGCGTGTACCAGAAGGAAGTCAACAGGGCGCTAGAGCTCTCGCGGTCCATTGTCAACATCGCTTGGCCCTGGATTAGGGCCGAGGCGATCCACTGGACCGCTGTATGTAGGGAAGCTTTGAAAGAGAGGAGTGCTCGATGTGACTGCATCGAAAATGTTGGTAAATCCGGCCTGAGGCTGAGGACGGCGGCCGAGAGTGTCTTTTCCAAGCGGATACCACTCTTTTGGCTCAGGTCGAGGCTAAAGCCTTCCAACATGCCAGTGTCGAGAATGCCTCCAAAACGAGGTATAACTGGAGACACAATAGCTTTCATGATCTTTACAGGCTGGTTGAGGAGGAAACCCGCAAGTCCTGCCACGAAGAAAATGATATCGACCACAATATCCGCAGTCCGTGACAGTACAAATAGCGGAGCCTTGGCCAACATGCTGGTAGGGCTTGAGAGGAATAACAGTGCAATCTTTCCCCATATGTAGGGACACCAGACACTGGCCGACAAGGTCACCGTGATGAGGAAAAGCGAGAAGATGACATTCTGGACCATGCCGAAAATAGGTCCTTCCATACCAAGAAGTTCCAGGATGCCATCAAGATCTTCCGCATCGTCCGGGTTAGGTTCGTTGAGGTCGACTCCAAACAGCATGTTGGGCTCTCTGGCTTCTGCAGGTGCAGCGGCTGGTGCGTCAATGGCAGCGGGAGGCACCAACCCGGGTGCAGCGTCTCGATTTTGGACCGGTACAAATGGAGCTTCTGCGTGAACATCCTCTACAATGCGTTCCTCGTCTTGGTCCTCAGCGCGAGCGGGATCGCCAGTATCCGCATGAGGCTGGCCGTCAGCCTCAAATTCGGTGTGCCAGAGCCACTGTGATGTCTTCCCCCATAATGTTGTATCTTCAAGCGCAGCTTCGTCATTAGATGCAGGGACCTCTTCCGGCTGCACAAGATCTGCACCGTCGAAAAGAACTTCCTGGTCTTCGCCACCAAGTAAGTTGCCCCCTGGTTGAGGAAGTTGATCCGCATCGTTCGATTCGGGTGTGGGTATCACTGGCGCGTCCGAATCAGACCCGGGTCTATCGTTATTCGAGTCCAATAGCCCATGTGTTGCATCATCAATCACATCTGACACCTCTGCGAACGACACTCTGCGACTAAATGTGTCCGCTGATTCAGATCCTTCTTGCCCAACTAGCTGATGCTCCGGATAGTCCATTAGCCCGACCGGGGAGAGTTCAGAGATATCCCCAGAAAACAAGTAATGTTCAAGCTCGTTCGGAGATTCATCACCGCTGATACGATCAACAAACGGATGGCTTGGGGGCACTAGAGGCAGATAATGGTTGGCTTCAGTGTCGTCAGCGCTGTGTCTTCTGAACGATAGACTCCAAGGTTCAGTTGTAGGCACGCCGTTTTCCCCAGAAACTCCCCTGCCAGCCTGAACTGCGCCGGCAACGGCTGATGCACTTTGGGATCTGGTCATCAGGATCGGTCTCTCAAATTCATGTTCCGTCTCAATGCCCATATTATCGTCCGTAAGAGCCCGAAATGGCGATAATGGCGGCGGAGTCGGGTCCTCTGGGGGCATTCGTGCTGCACGACGCTCCAGAGCGGCGATCGCATCTGCGATGTTATCGCCGACAGGGGGAATGCGGTGTTGGTTGAATGGTGGTCTCGGCGGGGCTGTTTCCTCGTGAGGTAACTGTTCTGCGAGTTGCTGCATGGCAGCTAGTTCATCTGCGACGTTATCGCCAACACGAGGAACGCGGGGTAGGTTAGGTGGTAGACGTAGCCTCGCATCATCAGCCTGAGCATTTTCGTCCGGGTCAGGCATGTTCAGGATCGGCTGTTGGTTGATGACCCACTCTCGAATCAGAAACACTAGGATGAATGCAGCGACCAACAAGACACAGATCAACTGGCCTTCGATCACATCAACGGTGATGTGGTTGGCCATAGGAGAAGTAGACCATGTCGCAATAAATTGGACGTCGGATAGCAATGACGGGGGTCTCATGGCTGCGGGGGGCAGTTCCGCCGTGGAATTCTGGCCATGTCCGGGCGTATCAATTTGTCTCAAACGTGGGATGAAGGTGGACAGAATGAAGCGGAGGATCTTGCCGAACATGCTTTGACCAAGAAACAGCCGCGCAATGTCAGCCAAGGAAACCTGCATCGGAGGAAACACCAGTTTTATCTTTTCAAGCTGTTCCGGAACAGTGAAATTCAAGGAAGTGGCAAGCGACGCTTCAGGCCCGGCGACGGTGCCGGTCATGTTTGAAGATGGATTGGACGTGGCTTGCAGGTTCGACTCATCGACCCAGTTCCCATCAGCAAGCCAGAACAAACCTCTCCATATCTGTCGGATGCACCAAGGCAGACAACAGGTCCAGATCATGCCCACCAGCAAGTACCGTGACCAGCGAGCAAACTCGGTCGCCCCATGACGGGCCAGTTTTTGCAGAAAGAGGGGAAACGGAAGCGTAGCGGGCATCGACCGGTCGTAGAGTTTGGTGAATCGAAAAGAAGTCTTGCATAACTCGCAGTATTTTTTCTGGGAATGTGAGAGCCAGTCCATGAGGCATTGTTGATGGACGAATTTGATACTGCCAGAGCACTTGCACGGATAGTAGAGAGGCTGCGTGCTGGTGCCTTCGCCACGGCAAATACGACAGTAGTCCTGGCCGTCTTCATTGCCCGTAGTACCAGCAGAGGTTCTGCGTGTGGCGGTCCGAGCCAGGGGGTTATGACGCCTCTCTTCGAAGGGATTGAGCGGCATCTTGTCTTGCACGGACGGATAGAGGATTTAGAGGGTCAACGATTTGCATATCGGCCAGGTGATGAACTCAGGCCATCGCAGGGTGGAGGTAGGGAAGAGATGGTGATGACAGTTCTGAGGTTGTCCCGTCTCAAAATTCGTATATGATCTAGAGATGAAGAGTCCCTGTCGTTCGATAGGCAAGAAATGGCAGGAAGGTTGCTTGAATGGACAAAGGTATTGGGTGCAGCGCAGTCGGTGGAATATATTAGTAGTCACCCAGAATAGTCCGCAGGTGATGATGTTGGCCTCCAATTGGTGAATTAGGTCACGTGCGTGACCTGGCGCTACAGTGGAGCATTCTACGGCTGCGCGTCACTCCAGCGCTGGTCTGTGCGCCTCACTCTTATTACTCGGTATCTCTCCTTGCTTTCCCCTTGCTTGCTTTGTCGGCCCCAATCAGTATCAACTTCGTTAAGAATAAGCAGAGGTCGTCGAAAGCATAGGTAGGCTTATGAGGCAAGGGGGTCGGTCTTGTTGCTAATGATTGGCCTACTCCTCACCCGCCTGCAATTATTAAGGTGGGCGGCCTTAAATGCTCCCTTGCAGCATAAATACCTAGCAAGGCATGCCACTTCCGCTTTTGCCAGCAATGTATATTTCCTCTCCCGCACAGCTTACTACCTACAGCAAGGGGTGAGAGTCCTGTCTGGGCGCGGATCCTATGACACTACATGCGGTATCAGACAGTTACAGACCCGCGTCAGTTGAAACCTTGGTAGAAACTCCCGATCAAGGCTTGAGCCCCCATCTGCAAACGGCCTCCTCTATCAGCCGATGAGCAAAAGTCACCAGGGTGATGAGCGGTCGAGTCTTGCAAGGGCGGCGGAAAGCGTGGCACTCAAAGGCAAGGACTGGATGCAAGACTTGCAAAGCCCGCCATTTGAAATGTAGCGAGGAGAAACCACAATGTCGACGGTATCGCCAACGACCTCCGTTGGACATGTTCATTCGCTGACCAGACGCGCAGTTGCATCCTTGCTGGTAAGATCTGTGGTGGTTATGCAGACAACCCGAAGCCTTGGATATTTGACCCTTGGGGCGACCATGATGCCGATCGTCGCTGCGGGAATTCAGCTTCGAGTGGCTTTTGCGGAGAGGCTACATCCGCTATGCTGCTGTCTGGCGGCGTGTTCACTTCGCCCTATAAGACACATGAAGCTCAGGTTGCTTTGGAATTCTGGCTCCGGGTGACCACTCCAGAGGAAGACGACTTTCCAGCCGATGTAATACGAAACATCGTCGGATCTTATATTCCACAAGCTGCATGGCATCTGGATGTTGTCAGGCATAGTTTACTCTCTGCTGCTTCGACAACCCTGTTGTTCGAGGCTCGAGCTTCGAACATCAGCCCGGAACTCCAGTCAACTTTGTCCAAACAGTCAGCCATTCAGTTGCACCTGGCCATACAAGCCATCCTCAAAGAGAGAGAACCATCTTTGTCCACGGTCCTCTCCGCGGTGATGATAGCTATTGTATGTCTCTGGACCGGACGCTGGGAGGAATGCATGCGACACATCTATTGCTGCCGTAGCCTAGGACGTGAAATACGCGCAAAGGGCGAGTACCTTGAAGGAGACCTCTTAAATTCCATCGAAGCCATCTTCAATGTTCTACAGCCGTATCCGCCAATCTCGTCCATGACGAAGGAAGCCCGACTGGATTACGCGGTCTCAGTCCTTATCTCAGCCACGGCATGGATCGATGGTCTTCTCCCCCAACTTGAGCAGCCACCTGCATGTGAACCATTGAAGGTTGCATTACGAGCCTACCGCGTGAGGATGAAGTGGACGTTGTGGCAATGGCAGAAGTTCGACGGGCAGGGAAAAGAACAAGCAAGCTTATCAATCAGTGTCGCTGAGTCGCCCTTCGGTCCAGCAGTGGCGCATATGCACCACTATCTAGACGACCATACCGACTTTGACTTGCCCTTGCTCACGACACAGCTAACGCTCGGCTTCAAGATGACGATACTATATGCGGCCGGCGGGGATGCTCAGAGAACGCGGGACGCGGCCATCGCTTGCCACGCTCCGGTGCCGACACTGGCTTCAAATCTGGCTTCAAATTGCGTTTCAAATTGCCCATGAAGTGGACTGTCCGTCACCAGGAAGTGTGGACACGAACGTGCTGCCTTGTTCTAAGAATGGCTGGGGGGAAAAGGTTCTCGAAGTTGGTAGAACTCAGAATGCCACCATGTTCCTAGCAAAAAACCAGGTCGATACTAATAATGAATTCCATTTACGCCCCTCAAAAATGTCCGAACCTTCTGGAGAAGTCGTCGTAACAGTCGTAGTAGCATTCAAAATCCAAGCAGGAGCCGCGGTGCAATGTATCTAAAGACCAGGAGCGCCTTGCTCACATCATTCGTAGCAATCTATATGGGATGCAATTTGTGCCATCTCAAGCAATCCTTCTATGTATCCTCCACATTCCAGCCAGACGAACGAAATTGATCCTTTCCTTGTTTGTTGGAGAACGGAACTCGACGAGCGTGTAGAGACCGGTGCCGGCTTTTGCCTTTGGTTTTGTAAGGAAAAAGGGGAAAGAGATGAAGGTAAAGGTGAAATTCGGCACGTCGATACCTCTTCCTGCTTCGTTCTCTATGTTTGTCTGCGTCTCTCTCGTGCGCTCATATTTCAAGCTTGCTTTTGGCCGACTTCAAGAAAAGTGCGCGAGAGAGAAAAGCCAGAAAGGAATAGGAATTTTTGGGCAAAGACTTAGGCACCCCAACTCCCCCTCCAGGCGGCCTCCAGCTCTGACTCCTCGCCTGCCAACTTTCTTTTCTTCCTCGCAATGCCATCCCTCATGCACTCGGCCACGTCTTCCGGGTTGGTGCCTCTTTTGCGACGCTCGACTCGTTCTTCGCCGAGGATCGTGTCGTTGGCGACCAGGTTGTACACCTCGGCGATGCCTTCAAACACGCCGGACACGTGCTTTCCGTTGCTGGTGGCGATGACCACACTGTTGGGGGATTTATGTTGATGGTCATGCTCGTTACCGTTGCCGTTGCCGGGCGCGTTGGAGGACAGAACGGCGTTGGTGAATCCGCCCTCCTCGGCGAAAGTCTCATTAATCTGGCGCATTTCTTCCACCCAGCGGTACGCCTTGGGCGGCATGCTCACCAAGCCTCCCTGAGCGGCCGCCAGCAGTTGCGGGCTGAACTCTTGTAGGTGGGCCTGGAGTTCCTTGAGCACGCCGCACGTGTGGGCGGTGGTGAATGACAAGATGGACAGCGCCGTCATGCCCTTGGTCAGGGAGGCGAAGCAGGACTTCAAGGCCGAGGCCGTGCCGATCTTGGGGCCGAGAATTCTCATGTTCAACAGATCGATGAACGCGGGAGTCAGGAGTTCGGCGTGCTTGGGCCCGGAAATGACGACTGACGGTTTTTTCCAGGTCTGGTTGTCCTGTTTAAGGGAGGGAGGCCCCCCGATGATGCCGCCGTCGAGGAAGTCAACCGAAATGGGATCCAACTCTGGTTCAGATTCCCTCCTCGGGCTGAACGAGAAGGTGCGTGAGATGGACAGTTTTCGGGGCGATGCAGGAGACATCGGCGTTGCGAACATGGCGGCGATGGACCGGGCGGTTTTGGGACTGATGGCGTTCAAGTCGATGTACGTGAGACTTGGGGCCTGCGACACGGCTGCCGTGCCTCGTCGTTCGCTGCGCCTCTTGATGGCCGTCTGCGAGCGGCAGGCCTCCAGCGCCCGTCGAGCCGTGGCTACGGCGTCGCGAGGAGGCACGATGCTCAGGATGATGTCCGCCTCCGCCACGAGTTGTTCATCCGACTCCAAGGTGGTGATCTGCGAGGACTCGATGCGGTCAAGGGTATGCTGGCTTGAAGGCAACCGCTCAGCAAAGAGTTCAATGTCATCGGGACGGAGATCTGAAGGAACTTGCCTTCTGCCCTGAGCCACCGTATAGACCGTATGATCGTGATGGCGGAGCAGCCGGGCAACCCCCATGCCCATGTCCCCGATGGACAGGATTCCTACAGTGGGGGTAGTGTGCGCGGACGAGGTCGCCATTGTTCTGCGGAGCGGCAAGGGATGACGATGGACACAGGAGAACAGAGTTCGAATTCTACAGTCGAAGAGTCGGCGAACCTCCATGAAGTTGAGGTCACGGTAAGCCCAAGCTGAAACGCGGCGCCTGACTATGCTATTTTACCATTGTGGCTTAGGCGGGTTCCCGCACGGTCGTCCCACCCGACTGCAGCTGCAGACTGCTCCCACCAAAGGGGCCCGAGTCTGAAGGGGGTATTCGGAAGTATCACCAGTTCAAGACTCGGAGTGATTGATTACAAGGAGCGCCGGTAGAAGCTGATGACGTAGGCGGGGAAGAGACCCACTATTATACCCCACCATCCGCACGCACAGACAGAAAAAAAGAAGCAAAAAAGAAAGGTTTTCCTTTGGAATTGAGCCGCTGTAATTCATGTTAGTTGTTTGTCACACCTGTTACAGGTAGGTTTCTACTCACAAGGCGGGACTCGAACCCGCAACCTTGAGGTTTGGTCTTTGCTAAGAGCCACACGCTCTACCGATTCTGAAGCAGTTGTTAGAAGCTGCTCGAGGCTAGATGGCCTAGAAGTAGGAACTTACGAGCTACTGTAGAGGTTGTTAGAAACCCAGTCCTGATGAGGTGGTTGAGTAGGTAGTGACTTACCCCCGGCAGTGCTGGGTGATTGTTGAAGAAAAGTTCTTCAATGTGCAGTATATACTTTCTTCGTCTACACTGTGGGGTGGATTCTGTGGGCTTGAGTCATAGGCCCAAGGTCTTGGTGCCACGGGTCGCTGGATAAAGGGTCCTTGCGGGCTACTACCTACTTCTACTTCTACGGCATTAGCAACAAACTTCCCCTCACAGTCTGCAAACAGCACACGGCTCTCCCCAATGAATGACAAAGGTATGATTGGCAAGCTTTTACTATCGAGAGGATAACCGTTCCTGTGTATTAAGATTCAAAGCTCCTCATTATGAAGCAAGTTATATTCCCCCACCTCAGGTACCTAGGTAGGTATATTTGTGTCTAACAGATGACTCAACCTTGGGCCGTATTCTGGTCACGAATATCCACATATAACGCAAGCAGGACAAACAAATGATGAGGGCAACGGCATTTCCGAGCCGTCGGAAGACGCTTCACCTGATTGATGAATTGCTTTGCTCTCCACCTGGTCGGTGATATTTCTCCCGAGGGCGCAAATGGCCGGCCTTCCTCCGACTCTGCTTGCGCGATGACAATTTCTCCAACAGAGTGCATTGTGATGACCACTTAAAAGGGAATGTTTTCACTCCTATCCGCCCGGTCTCGAGACCCTAAAGTCCACATCTCGAGGATCAAAGAGTGAACGGTTACAAGGAAATTGATAGGTTCTCCTGCGATCATGGCGACTAACCACACGTCAACAACCGTGGCGCAGAATGGGGACACCGGTAGCTCGATATCCAAGGACTATGATCTATCTCAGCCCATCACCTCGACGTCCGGCCTTCGCTCAGGCCTCACTTCATATGGTGACGCTCATTTCTCACTGTTTCTGAGGAAAGTCTTCATCAAAGCACTCGGATATTCGGACTCAGCACTTTCCTCGCCCATCATTGGCGTCATCAACACCTACAGCTCATTCAATCCTTGTCATTCCAATGTGCCCCAACTCATCGAGTCAGTCAAGCGTGGTGTTTTGGCCTCCGGAGGGCTGCCCGTCGATTTTCCGACCATTAGCATCCATGAGAGTTTTGCCAGCCCGACCAGCATGTATCTGAGGAATCTGATGAGTATGGACACGGAAGAGATGATCAAGGCTCAGCCGGTAGATGCTGTGGTCATGATAGGTGGGTGTGACAAAACAGTTCCAGCTCAGTTGATGGGCGGCATCTCCGCAAACAAACCTGTCATTCCTCTCATCACTGGGCCAATGATGCCCGGTTCAGTAGAAGGGGTCAGGGTAGGAGCTTGCACAGACTGCCGAAGCTATTGGGCGCGTTATCGAGCTGGTGGCGTGGACTTGGAGGACATCATGTCCGTCAATGAGGAATTGGCGCCCACAGGAGGCACATGCGGAGTAATGGGCACGGCATCGACCATGGCTTGTATAACTGCAGGCCTGGGACTGCTTGAGCTCAAATCTGGTGCTACTGCCGCAGCCGTGAGCTCGGCTAGACTGAGAGTCGCCGAGCAAGCTGGGCGTAATGCAGTGGCTATGCTCACAAAAGACGGCATGAGACCACAAGACCTCCTCACCCGCGAGAGCTTTCTCAATGCCATTACCGTTCTCCAAGCCATTGGTGGAAGTACGAATGCTGTGGTGCACCTGCTGGCCATCATCAACCGACACCCAAAGGTGGCAGGCACGATTGACCTCAACACCTTTGACGAGATTGGAAGAAAGACTCCGTTGCTCGTTGACTTGAAGCCTAGCGGTGACAATTACATGACTGATTTCCACAATGCAGGCGGCATGTTGGCGCTGATGCATACCTTGAGGCCATTATTACACCTCAGTGCAAAGACTTACTCTGGTCAGACTCTAGGCGAGCTTCTCGACGCCACTCCCTTCAAGCCGTTCCAATACTCCAGACAGATCGTTCGGTCGCTCGAAGATCCTCTATACCCTAGCTCGAGTTTGGTGGTCCTGCATGGCAATATCTGTCCACAAGGCGCAGTTATGAAAGCCTCGGCCTCGAAGGACCGGAAGCTGTTGCACCACCGTGGCTCGGCCTGCGTCTTTGAGAACACTGCAGACATGGCCCAACGCATCGACTCTCCAGACCTGGAAGTTGATGCGAACTCGGTATTGATACTCAAGAGCATTGGTCCAGTGGGCAATCCGGGGATGCCCGAGGCTGGACTGATACCTATACCTCAAAAGCTAGGGAAACAAGGCGTGACCGACATGCTGCGGATCAGTGATGGACGAATGAGTGGCACTGCTGGTGGCACAATCATACTGCATATATCACCAGAGTCTGCGGACCTTGATTCGGTATTTGGTGTGGTGCAGACGGGGGACAAGATTATTTGCGATGTCGAGCAGAGGAAACTGCTCCTAGACGTAGAAGAACAGGAGATCGCCAGACGTATTTTGGAACGCAAAACGCGATCCCAGGCCGCCTCATTTTCTGGAAAGGCTGATGGGCAAATGTCCAACAACTTGGAGCCATGGGTGGAGAGAACTGGTCGGAGAGGTTATCGAGGCCTCTACGAGCGCGAGGTCAATCAGGCACACGTGGGCTGCGACTTTGGCTTCCTTACAGCCCAAGGTCCGTCAGGCAATTGATGTCGCTCTATCACTGCTTCTATATTGGGCTTTTGTACAAGTCCTCGCTACTGGAGCGCGGACAGCTTCTGCGATGACGACCGAGAGCGCCCTAAGGCAGGGAGCTGACATCCGAGGCTTTCCGACTCTTCATGGAGCGCATTATTTGTCGTGCTCACTGCTCAATGACTTATCGGTTCCCTGGCTGGACAGTCCTACGTAAAGTGTTTGGAATCAAACCACCAGGCCTTTTACCTCAACGGGTAATTGCTGGCTCGAATCAGTTGGAACATGCCTGCTACAAAGGGCAGGGGTCGCACAGAATGGTTCCACAGTTGCGCCTTTGACTGGGTGGTCGGGTATCATCTCCTACAGCCTGATGTCCGCTCAACTTCGAGTTCCAAACTCTACACTGAATGCTCTGCGTTCTGGCCAGCGCGTTCTGCATTGCATGACAGTGGCCTTGCCGTGGGTTTCAGATAGAGCAACATGTTGTGCCTGTTCAGGCGTAATAGGTTATCTATGACCTGACACAGTGTCACGAAGGTAGAATGCTTGATCGAAAGAGGAGTATCCTATCGGACACGAGACCGAATATTTCTGATTGGGCTGTATATCCGGGTCCAAGGGACTGAAAGTTGCCACAAACCGTCGCAATAAGCAAACAATTGCCAATGCAGTCAAGGAAGAGGGTCGGATACCTGGCACCAGGTGACTGTGCCATCCCGTCAACATGCGACCGGCTGACATTCTGATCAAACTACTCGAACCAGCAATGTGATTGCCATGTTTGACAATTCCAAGGCCATTTCATGAACCAGCAACTTCGAGCTGTTGCCGCTTCAGGAAGTCTAGCAATGGAAGACCTCGTGAGATGGATAAGAAAGATGGATGCAGGCAATGCTTCGTCCAGGATGCATTTCCAGGACGAAATCCGGGCAGACATCGCCATGGGGTAGCTCGACAGGGGCAAGCCTTGCGAGGTCATGGGCGTCCCTGTTTCCCGGCCGTGGTTTGCAATTATGGGATCTTTGTGATTTGACGAGACTTGGGCACAGTCGGGATGGCCGATGCAGCTCCTAACAGCTTCCCAATCAACATACTGCCATATGAGGAGATTGAAGACCAGCCACCGAAGCTTATTATCTTGTGGGTCGCTCAGCTCCCTACTCTGTCTAGGGGCTAGTCGTCTATCCCGATTTCTACGATGTACGTGCAATACCTCTGTTTCAATACTTCCGACGCGCTCAGGAGAGGAGCCTGTTCAGTACAGCAGATGCCCTCAATCTCGCGGATAGGGAGCCTCGCTCTTTATTTTAACATGCGCAACCCTGAGACGAAGGAAATCCGCACTTCATGAACGAACGCATCGAGTTGTCGGGCTGATCGAATCCAGGAATGGCTCGACGGGTGCACTAGCTAAGGTAGCTTCGTCTTGGGCTTCCAAGCCTTGTATAGCTTGGTCCGCCATGACCTCTACGTGCGGCGGCAGCAGCCAGGCGGTGTGGACCCGGCTTCCGTCATCCGTCTCTACATCCCTAAAGAGGAGACAGCTTCTATCCACTACGAGGCACGCTAAAAGTGCAGCAAGGAAGACAATATGTCGATGCGAGGCTACCATGTCTGGTGACGTTTTCCCTGCATCCTTAACGGCTGGACCACGAGAGTTGAGTCGACTCGAACAGAGTCGAGCAGTTCTTGGGTATCTTTGGTTCTTTGCTACTTCTCCATGGGGAAGTTGAATCATTCAGAGGCCGTGGAGAGCAATGCTATAAACACCGACTTCCCCGATTTCGATCGGGCTCCGACTAACTCGCGAAAGTGGGACTGGTTGACAGAACAAACCTCGATTACGCGCTGGTCGCCGGAGAGGTTTTTCTCCAGGACGGGAAGTAAGTCTGATGCGGAAACTCATCACTGCAAATGGATTGGAAGATTGGGCAACCCGGATTTAGCAATACGAACAAATGACGACGAAATGGAAACTTCCTTTCTGGCTCGTCTACAGGGCTGTTTGCTGCAGTTCGCCAAACGTCTCCAGAACGAGGCTCGCGCCGGGCAAATCCCTCGTCTCTTTCTCCTTCTCTAGGATGAACCTTTCGCGGGGTGGTCGCTTTTTCAGGAATTTGCAAAGAGGGCGCGCATAAGAATCATGTACAAATCAGTGTTAATGCAACCAGCCAACCAGCCAAGCCAGCCCTACCAGAACCGAGCAGAACAAAGAGGGAGACTAAGCCTGCAAGAAGTGCAAGACTAGGCCGAAGATGGTGTTTCCTGCAAGCAAGCTTGTGCATCATGCAGACTGCCGACGGCAAAGAGTAGTCGCACGAGTAGGATCTATGACAAGGAATTGAAAGGGGCGCTAGAAGAAAACAAAGCCAGCAGGACACAGGAGGGGGAATTAGAGCTCATCGCGGGGTGGACGGGGCAGGGCAGGGATGGGATATTGTACATGGGAAAAATAACAGCATGCCTTTTTTTCTCTGCCTGCTCTGCCCTCCTCTTGTGTTCGTGGCTCGCCCACTCCCTGTGTCCCTCCCTACTTACGGATAGGCCATGGCTATGGCGGTATCATCACTACCAGGTATCGTTGAGTGAGCGTACGTCCGTACACAAAACCAGGCCGAGAGATATCACGGCCTCCGAGTTACGACCCGGAGTACTCAGGTAGGTACTCGGTAGTACTTTGTCAAAAGGAGATGGTTCCCCTTCCGTGCTCGACAGGCTCGCTATCGTAGGCTTCACGACTCCTCCTCAAGGATTTCGAGATACTCCGGAACCCCGTCAACAGTCACTTCCGGATACCTGAGATAGGTACCAGAAATAATTACCTCCTCTCCGAGAAGGATCAGCAAGGGGCAATACGGTGAGGGTGGCAAACAAGATTCATCTGCGACCACGCCGAGGCAGATTTGACATCTTGTCAAGGTCGATGCTTCCGGCCGAAAAAGTCTCGCACGCTCAAGGGAGATTGATTTTGTCAAGAGGAGCACCCGCAGAGAGAGAGATCTTGCTTGTGTGCCTCCTCCTAGGTAGCTATAAGGAGGCTTGATGACGCTGAAAGATATTATAAGATGGGGGCTGTTTCCCTGTCTGGATCTGGCTTTGGTCCATGTTTCCATGTTATTCGTAAAAGTATGGCCGGAGAGTCCCTATGTAATTATGCCACTCTCGAGTGCGTATTGCAATCACCAATCTGACGACTTCTTGAGCCGCTCATTCTGGATAATCTCAACCCAGTAGTCATCCGGATCCAACACAAAGGCCACGTTCTTCATCCTGCCGTCCGTGAGCCGCTTCTTCCAGTTGACCCCCTTCTCCTCCATAAACGCACACGCCTTGTCCAGGTCATCCACGCTGATGGCAATGTGTCCGAAACCCTGAGGCTGGTCATTGCCGTTGTGGTATACTTTGCCTTCTTCCTTCTCTGTTCCATAGTTCCAGGTCAATTCGAGCAGGCCTTCTTTGCCCGCGAGTGGGTTCACGCCGTTGGGTGAGTCCTCGGGTTTGGGAATCCCGTAGTCACCCGGGTATCCCAGGAAATACAAAGTGAACCCGCCCGCCTTTTGTTCGGAGGTCCTCATGAGCGACATGCCCATGACTTCCTGGTAGAATTTCAATGATTTCTGCGGATCTTTGACCCGGATCATGCTGTGGTTCATCCTGTAAGTGCTCGTCTCTGTTGTCTTGACATCTTCTGTCTGCTCCACCGGCTTTTGACCGATGACCTCCACCCAATATCCATCAGGGTCGAGCGCGAATGCGATGCTTCGCATGCGCCCGTCCGTCAGTTTCTTCTGAAACTTGTACCCGGCATCTTCAATGCGTTGGCATGCAGCTTGGATATTGTCGACAGAGATGCAGATGTGACCGAAGCCTTTGTGCGGTTCTTTGTTGCCGTTGTTGATGGTGAATTCGGGGTCCGACTCGGAGCCGTAATTGTGGGTGAGTTCAATGACACCTTCGCGGTCGGTCCAGTGGGCATCTTTAGAGGCAGAATGAGGGCCATCATAGGCTATTGCGATGCGTCAGAGATGGGTTTGTGAGAGGAGAGGAAGATTGTCGGAAATTTACCTAGGAAATACAAACAAAACTTGTTGTCGGGGAAGTCCAACTTGTTGATCAGGCTCAAGCCCAGGAGGTTATAGTACTCAATGGACTTCTGGGGGTCTTTGACCCGGAGCATGGTGTGATTGAACTTCCATTTCGAGTGATCCGTCATGGTTGCAGACTGCGAGGTTGAAGTGGTGAATGGTTTCGACGCGACAGTTGTGCTGGGGATTTGGAAGTGTTGCAGGACTTGTTGGAGTCGAGGTAGGCGTGATGTGAGCCGTGATAGCATCGAATGCCAGTAGACAGAGGTATTCAGATACAACGCAAGCTTCGAGAAGCAGTCGAGCAGAACCTGGGAGAGGCTGTAGGCTGCGCTCGACTGCTCATTGAAATTCTGGATGATGCACGGTGTTGCATGGATGACGTGGGGTAATCGATGGGCTTACGAAATGGGCGTCGCACTTCTCCCCCTCCCGGCACTTGCGACACCCAACGGCCGCTCTCCTTTTAGGCGTTGGAACCCCGCCATCTCCTTACGGCGCCCGTCTTTCCACCCACCGCCGGGTGCCCGAGTTTCATCCAACACAACTTTCCGGTGGAATACCTTAGAGCTGCTAGCTGCCGCTGCCCCTCAATCGTGGGCGTCAAATCATCGAGCTCCCACCCAGGAAAGCCCCCAGTCACGGGGCTGGGAGCTTCCTCCACACTTGCCTCGGTCTCGCTCCACAACTTCCCAAGCGATGGGGTATGGGGCACACAGTTATGTCTGCTCTCTCTTATAAGTCGACTTGCTGCTGGCAAGTACATACAGCAAACAGTTAGGCGATCATATAGGTTGCTGTGATCTCTCCTCTCCTGACCTACCTGCTGTCCTGTCGCGTGCACAGAGTTCTGCAACCTCTCTAACCGGTGCCGAAACCCGCCTCGACGCTCGCAGCCATGGTCCTTTCACCCGCGATCCGTGTCGCGAGGACAGCTTCTCAGCGCTCGACGTCTCTGTTGCGAGCAATTCAGTTCGGCCATCCTCCCAGCTGCCCTTGTCATTCGAATCCCAACCATCACCATGCTCCTGCAGCTTTTGGTGAGGCCCGAAGAAGACTAGCGACTCCCATTGACAGCTCGCGATCCAAAGAGTATGCGTTCGAGATGGCCGCCAGCTCGATCCGCTTCGGACCTGGCTGCACAAAAGAGGTGGGCATGGATTTCAAGAATCTAGGCGCCAAGCGGGTCTGCGTTGTCACGGACGGGAATGTGTCCAAGTTGAACGCCATGAAGCAAGTCGTTGAAGGGTTGACCAACGAAGGGATCGAGTTCACCGTCTACGACAAGTGTCGGGTCGAGCCCAAGGACAGCTCGATCAAAGATGCCATTGCTTTTGCCAAACCATATCAGCCAGATGCTTTTCTCGCTGTGGGAGGAGGTTCGGTCATTGACACGGCCAAATTGATGAACTTATACACTTGCTTCCCGGATGCGGACTTCCTGGATTTTGTCAATGCGCCCCTCGGTAAGGGGTTGCCAATCACAGGAAAACTCAAGCCGCTTGTGGCTGTCCCGACTACGGCTGGCACAGGGTCAGAAACGACGGGAACAGCTATCTTCGATCTGGTTGAGAAGCGGGCCAAGACCGGTATTGCCCATCGAAACCTCAAGCCTACACTGGGCGTTGTGGATCCACTCAATACTCGCACTATGCCATCAGCTGTTCATGCTTCTTCTGGCTTGGATGTGCTGTGCCACTCACTGGAATCGTGGACCGCCATCCCTTACCATGAGAGATCACCGAGACCCACAAATCCAATCAATCGCCCAGCCTACCAAGGCGCAAATCCTATTTCGGATATTTTCTCGTTGAATGCCCTGAGATCGACAGTCAAATACTTGCCCCGAGCAGTCAAAGATCCCGAAGATCACGAAGCCCAAAGCGAAATGCTTCTTGCAGCGACGCTGGCGGGTGTCGGCTTTGGCAATGCTGGTGTCCATCTTTGCCACGGCATGAGCTACCCGATCAGTGGTCAGAACCCCGGCTACAAACATGCTGGCTACCAGGTTGAGACACCTATAATCCCCCATGGCGTCAGTGTTGCTGTAACTTCTCCGGCAGTATTCAAATTCACCGGTCCAAGCAATCCGGAGCGGCATCTGGCTGCGGCAGAAGTGTTTGGCAAGGATATCTCTAACGTCAAGAAGGAAAGCGCTGGCGAAGTTCTGAGCGAAGCATTGACAGAATTTCTCATCGGCTTGGGAGACCAACCTCGAGGCTTGAAGCATTTGGGTTTCACGCGTGAGAGCATTGACGATTTGGTGGAGGGAACACTGCCTCAACAGAGAGTCCTCATGTTGGCACCCAAATTGAGCGCGGAAGTGAACGAGGAAAGAGAACAGCTGAGGGGATTGTTTGAAGAGGCACTGGAGTATTGAGAAAGCTTGCTGTGTACATTCTTGTTGTGGTGGAAACAGAGCATGGCCTGGCTATGGCTTGTATTTTTTGGAACAAAATTGTTTGCTCTGTTTGCACGGTTTGTCTTGCCCCCAAACCCCGACCAGAATTCCCCAGATCGCGGGGTTGGGATCAAAATCCTCCCCTTGCGACTTCGGCCCCTTCCTAACCCCCCATTCCTCGACTTCATTGCTTGTCTCGCTAATGTGGGTGACACACAACATCCAGCCAGCGAATGGATTTGGAGCATTGGCCGGCCCACGGAGAAATTGAAAATGTCTCTGCGCATCACAAAACGTGGTTCGGTCACTGGTCTTTTGGACATTAAGGGTAGTCAAAAATACGAGAAAAATATCATACCAAGCTTCCCGTCATTGTCGTTGTCCTCACAGTCTATTCTTTACTCATCTTTGTCTTTTTGTTCTCACATTCTTGAAGGTCCTGAAGGTCTACATTCTCAGCTTGAGCAATCTTTCATCGTCGATTGACACCGTGTGCAAGTGATACGTACACCGCCAGTCTGGCTGTGAGACACAAAACTTATCAGCATTTGCGGAGCAAAAATGGCTACCAACGGTGAAACGGTCCAGGCTCGAGTCCTTTGTCCGGAGAAATTGTCACCGGATGGACTTGCTTTACTTCGAAAAACCCTCATTGTGGACGAAAAGCAAGGTCTTACACCCGAGCAACTCATCTCAATCATCCCGGAATACGATGCTCTTCTTGTGCGCTCTGAGACCAAGGTCACCAATGATCTCCTGCAGGCAGCTCGAAGATTGAAGGTTGTTGCTCGTGCGGGTGTCGGTGTAGATAATGTCGATGTTCCCGCTGCCACGCGGCTAGGCATTGTCGTGGTGAATTCTCCCAGTGGGAATATTCAGGCTGCCGCAGAACACACCATTGCCCTCTTGATGAGCATGGCGCGGAATGTTCCCGATGCTTGTGCGAGCCTCAAGGCCGGGAAGTGGGAGAGGAGCAGGCTTGTCGGTGTGGAAGTCAAGGGGAAGACGTTAGGGGTTGTGGGACTCGGGAAAGGTATATAACAATCTCTCCTATCTTCATTAAAAGTCGAGGCTGCTTCTGACTAATGCTGTCTATCTCAGTCGGCCTGATTGTCGCTCGAATGGCTCGTGGCCTGGGCATGAATGTGGTCGCAGCAGATCCCTATGCTTCTCCATCAGTGGCTGCCGCTGCCAACGTCCACCTTGTCGAGTCCCTGTCAGAGCTCTTGCCCGTCGTCGACTTCTTGACCATTCACACACCAATGCTTGCCGCAACACGCGGCATGCTGTCTACATCTGAACTCAACTCGATGAAACGTGGGGCTCGCATCCTCAACGTGGCACGAGGGGGCATCGTCGACGAAGAAGCTCTTCTTGCTGCATTGGAATCTGGACATATAGCAGGCGCTTCAATCGACGTGTTTACTTCTGAACCACCGCATAAAGACCCGAAGTCGTCTGCGGCCAAACTCGTGCAACATCCCAAATGTATCGCCACCCCACATCTCGGTGCGTCGACGGTTGAAGCACAAGAAAACGTCTCCATCGACGTCTGCGAACAGGTCCTACAGATCCTGGCGGGAGACCTACCCAGGAGCGCTGTGAATGCGCCCATTATCCTGCCGGCCGAGTACAAGACTCTCCAGCCTTTTGTGCGGCTTGTGGAAAAGATGGGATCGTTGTACACGCAACACTTCACGTCCCCGACGCAGCCCCTGCATCAAAGGAACATGAATACCTTTGATCTCATCTACGAGGGTGAGATCGCGAATATGTCAAGCACGAAACCGCTGTTTGCGGCCCTGATCAAGGGTCTCACTCTACCCATTTCTGACGCCGAGGGGTTCAACGTCAACATCGTTAATGCCGAGATGGTGGCCAAAGAGAGGGGGATCTTTGTCAACGAGCAAAAGTCCCGAGATCCGTCCACGCAGGCGTATTCGAGCTTGGTGACACTCATCGCGCGGCCTGCCAGCAGAGCTCCGTCCTTGAGTCGACACTCTAGCGCCCTTGAAGGGCTTTCTATATCATCAAACACTGCGGCGGGTGACCAGCCTGCCAGCAAGCAGCACATCATTTCGGGCTACTGCAGCGATAACTCACCCTTTATCTCCCGACTCGATCGCTTCGCCACGTCCTTTGTGCCCGAAGGCACCCTGCTGATCTGTCACAACTATGATTCCCCAGGCAAGATTGGTGTCGTGGGCAGTATCCTAGGCAGAGAAGGCGTCAATATCAACTTTATGAGTGTGGCTCCTGCGACATTCTCCTCCACTACTGGCTCAGCTTCCGGCTCCGCCAAGGGTCTTTCCCCTGCCAAAGAGACAACTGAGGCGCTCATGATCCTGGGCGTGGACAAAGAGGTAGGCGAAGACGTCAAGAGAGAGCTGGTTGGGGCGAAGGGGGTGTTGAGCGTCAGTAGCGTCACTCTCTAGGGGGCAAACAAGGGATTTAGATGTGCGGGATTGTTCAACCATAAAAAAAGGGGTCATCTTTCAAAAATACCAGATAGGTAGATAAAAATCAGGATAAGACATGGGCGGGGGCCTCTTCATAGCCATGATCCGAGTCATATGTATTGAGGCCATGATCAAAATCATGTTCGTCTCATTTGTCTTAATTGATCTCCAAATCGCTAAAGCGGACCGTAGTTGTCTCGTCTCTTGCACCCACAGCAAAGATACCGATGACAGGTCCCACAAAATCCAGATCCGTCAAGTCCAAGGTATCAACAGTGGCGATGGAGATCCAACCCGCCACCGACGACCGCGTCTCCGGTACTCTGTACGAGAACTGGTACTGTTGCTCGGTGTACGTGAGTCTAAAAGCCAGACGGTCTCGAGGCTCGATGACATGCGTCATGGTCCGGTGGATCTTTTGTGCATTGTTTTGCACTTCGAATTTGACGGCTGTTGTCTCCCCGCGGATGTCGTTATCATAGAAGATCCGTGCGTAGCGGTGTTCGTCTTTGTAGACGGCCAGTCCTGCTTTGACGTCGTCGCTTGCCGAGGGGCAGGTCATGACGACCGAGCTGATACCGTCCAGATGACGTTGGCGCTTACCGATGAACGTTGGAGATTCGGAGGGGCTTTGGAGGTCGACGCGGCCCCGTGCCGTGAGAGCGATGTCTCGGCCGCCGTTTGAGATTTCGTAGTCGTCCAGATTGGCATCGCGGATGTAGACGAAATCGACCATCGGTTTGGCAGTAAGGGCAGTAGTCTGGTACGAGGGGCGAGCAAGTCCTTCCGGATTGGACTTCACAAGCTCCAACGAGGGCCAGCCTCCTGTTGGCCATTTCGCCGGAGTGATGAACGATTCCCTGCCCATGATGAAGCGGCCTGCTCTATCCTTCCGCACCCCGAGACACACCCCCCACCAGTTCCCTGCTCGATCTTGGAACATCTCGCAGTGTCCCGTGAACTGTATATACTCGTCCGTGCCCCGCGCCGTGAGGATCGGATTGCCTTCAAATGCCTCGTAGGGTCCAAAGACAGCTCTAGACCTCGCAACGGTGACCATGTGGCCGGAATGAGTGCCACCCTCGGCGATCACGAGGTAATACCAGCCGTCCTTCTTGTAAAGGTGCGGGCCTTCTGGATTCACGCCGCCGGTGCCGTCCCAAACCATTCTCTCTTCGGATAACTTTTGACCCGTGTTGAGGTCGATTTCGAAAAGGTGGATCTTGGTCATTGGTCCCGGCGGGTTACCTGAAGCCTGGATGAAACTGCGTCCGTCGTCGTCGAAGAATATGCTCGGATCGATCCCACGAAAGTCGAAGCAGACGGGATCGCTCCAATTGTCCGACCAGATGTCTTGCGTTGAGACGATGAAATTCTCGCTGCTAGGTTCCATGGAACCATCTGCCGGAGCAATAATGTTGGTACAAACTGCCCCCCTTCCGACGTTAGCGGTTCAAGGCAATCTTCGAGGGACCATGCAGCTTTGTGACTCTTGTTTTTCTGGATGGGTTGGACCAAGGTTGGCCAAAGTCTTACCAACATATATCGTGCCATCGCGATACCTTATGGTGGGAGCGTAGAGACCCCCTGTGCCCACCAACACGTCTCCGTGTTGACTCAGAGCATAGATGCCCGTAGGAGCCTTGGAAAGACTCAGCTGAGCGCGTCTGTTGATTACATTCCCTGGGTAGTCGTGTCAGTTTCTTCCATCGCAGAGCCCCACGGAAGTTGCGCAACTGACCTATCTGCCTCCACGAGACCAGATCCGGCGATGCGTAGATCGGTAAACCTGGGAATAGGTGAAAGCTTGAGTTGACCAGAAAGAACGTGTCGTCAATCAAAACTATAGATGGATCCGGTGCAAAACCCGGGATGATTGGATTGATGGAACTCATTGAGAAGGGACGCAGTTGCGAAGACCCAGGGTAAATTGGCAAAGAGGAAGGCCAGTGGATTAGATCTGGCCGAGAGAAGGATATTCGATCTCTTGCAATTCGATCTCAGCCCAGATTCTGAAGTTTACAAGGAATCAGGCTGTGTGGGTTAGTGAAGCTACCTGCGACTTCGACAAAGGCCCGCTTGTCAGTCCGCTTTCCTCATGCTTTGATCGAACTCACAGAAAGTACAGGCAGCTGTCTAAAGGAAGACCCTGCTTCGATTCAGCCGAAATCTGGAGCAACGAGTGGCAGTCATCTTCAGCGCGAGGTTGACCTCTCTCAATGATCCGGATGGCCAGTTTCGGGATAGCCTCGACATACACCAGGGACTGGAACCGGAACCGGAACCGGGAACATACACATGGAAGGTAGATCTATATCTTTGGCGCAATTGCATAGCACGCCTTAGTAAAGCGAATGCTGCAGGGTGGACGGCAAAATTCATGGCGTCGGGAATTTGACATATTAACCGGGAAACCTGGAGGCGATGATCTGCGAGGGACCGACCGTGCTGATGTATTGAGTCCCATATGTACAACGGCTTTTTGCTCCACATTTCCTCCCACCAAGTCATACACCTTCCCAGACTTCAACCAGTGTGCCAGGGGTGCCTATTTCTTCTCCTCCTTCTTCTCTTCAGGTTTCGGCGCAGGCAACTTGAACTCTGCTGGTTTCCTGTCCGAGCCAACGCCAACCTGTTCCCATGCACTTGTGCCACCTTCAAAGTTTCGGAACGCTTGTGTCATCTCCAAGGGCTCTACCACAATTCGCTTCTTCTCCTCATCGTATCTGATTTCAGTGTATCCAGTCAGGGGGAAATCTTTGCGCAGCGGATGCCCGTCGAAGCCGTAGTCCGTCATGATTCGGCGCAGATCAGGGTGGCCTGTGAAGAATACACCGAACATGTCATAGACCTCTCTCTCATACCAGTTTGCGCCATCGTAGAGGGAGGTGATTGAAGGTACCGGTGTCGCTTCATCCGCATATGTCTTGACTCGTATTCTGGAGTTATGTCGCACACTGAGCAGATTGTATACCACTTCAAATCGATAATTCTTGGTAGGAAAGTCTACCGCAGTGATGTCCGCCACCATAGTATACTCCGCCGCAGTGTGGTACTTGAGGAACGTGAAGACAGGAATGACGCCGGTCGGACAAATGTAAATGCAAAGTTCGTCTTTCCATACTGAGAATTGCTGGATATATTTGGGTAAGCAGGACATGAGGTATTGGCCGTATTGATGGAGTGGCAGGGCTTTATCTGCATATTTGTCGGCGTCGTTGACGATGGGTGCTGAGAGCTTGCCCATGGCTTCTCCGAAGGTCAGCAACTTGTCGCAGTTCTATGGTATCCCAATACTCACGCGGGCGAGGAGCCTTTCGCAACTCTGACAGGAGATCGGGCCCAGCTGTCCTCAAGTCTGGTGCGGGTTTGTCGGCGGCATAACTCCTCGTCGATTGAGAAAGAGTAGCGCGTTGGGCGCATCCCTTGGCCTGCGAAGCGGCTCCTAGAGGCCTTTTGCTGGCGAGACGCAGTATTGACTTTGTCGACGACATTTTGCAGGTCTCACCCCGTAGAAATGAGTGACTGGATCTGATAGTAACTCATTCAGAGGACGCTGGAGCATGCTACACTGCCCGTGCTCGACTGGTCATGACGGAGCTCTCTGCAATGCCAAGACTGAAGCTTGTCAACTAGACCCTATATGGATTAGTGCAAGGTCCTCGCCGCAGTCGCGAGTCTTTGCATTTGAACGCAACCTTCGCCTTCCCTCCGTGGCTTTCGATGCGTATTTCATTTCGCTTCACCTTTGCACACACCCTTTCGCCTCATTCCAGCCATTCGTCTCGACCAATATCGCTTGTGAGAATCGGTTTAGCAACTGTGCAGTCTTCCATCAGATGAATATTACACGCCAGACTCGATACTAAAACCCATAGTGCATGGAGGACATTCTCGACCTTTATCCACTGGTGCAGGAGTCGAAAGAGGTGGAATACTTCACAATCATATTATCGCCGTTACCGTTATGAGTAGGTCGCAGGATACCGTCATCGATGATGACGAGGAGACTTGGTGAGTTCAGCTACAGTCGGTCTGTCGCAGGGTTGGCTCGAGGCTGATTACGTGACAAACAGCCCTCTCTGCATCGAAGAGTTTGACCTATCCGACAAGAACTTCAGGCCGTGTCCATGTGGCTACCAGGTACGTCTCGACCCCCGTTGTCACTTCCTGAATGTCCTTGAGGACTCCGTTGTCTGCAAGCACAATTTCGCCTGGTCGATGCTAATGCTTAAGGCAGATTTGTCAGTTCTGCTTCAACAGTCTTAAGACAACTTACGAAAAGAGTACCTGTCCGAATTGTCGAAGACCCTACGATGAGAAGACCATTCAGTACAAAATCCCGACAGCTGAAGAATTCAAACTCGATCAGCTGAATAAAAATAAAAAGCAAGCCGCAGCCAAACGAAAGGAGACGGAGAAACGTGAGGTGGAGAATTCCTCTCGTCGCAATCTCGCTGGTGTGCGTGTCAAGCAACAGAATCTTGTCTACGTTATCGGCCTCATTCCGCAGATCAAAGATGAACAAGCGCTGCTCCAGACTCTACGCGGTCCAGAATATTTCGGTCAGTACGGCGAAATAGAGAAGATCGTAGTCAGCAAAGCCAAACCAGGAGCTGCAAACCAGGGGATTGGTGTCTACGTGACGTATGCTCGCAAAGAGGACGCTGCTCTCTGCATCAACACTGTTGATGGTTCTCTCAACGGCGATCGCGTTCTCAGAGCCCAATTTGGCACCACCAAGTACTGCTCGGCCTATTTGCGAGGGGAAACATGCACCAACAAAAACTGCAGCTTCCTCCATGAGACTGGTGAAGATGGTCAGCATAGCTCATTGCAAAACGAACCCCATGGGGCCAGACTACCTATTCGACCTGCTGTGTCGGCCCAGAATTCTTCAATGAACCCTCCACCTCGACCTCTGTCAGCCGCCCAGAACGCAAGCACTCAACCAATGGCAAGGCAAGGTAGCAAGGAAAATGACAACAGCAGGAAGAACTCGCAGGATGGTTCGGCTCTGCCCTCCACTGCCAGCTGGGCGACTGCAAATGCTTCTATCGCACGAACGAGGCGAGCGAGCCAAACCAATAGCAGGGCTACTCCTAGTCCCCAGGCCATTCATGCTTCACTTGCTGCTCAGAAGCCGGATGAGCCCAAAGCCAAGGAACCTCTTGTCGGTCAGCCATCTACCTCGACCGCTCCGAGTCCTCCAAAGACGGCACCTAGACCAGACCAAACAGTCCCCAAACCAAAGCCCAAGCCACTGGACCCGATACAGCAACAATACGAGGAGGTTCTACGATGTGTATCTCGGAATTACCGGTTTGTCTACGACGACTCGTGTCTCAGTCCAGAGGCTCGCGCCGCGGTGGATGACATGCCCTGTTTCATCGACCCTTATGGCGGTGCCAAACGCCGCGCCATGCGTGAGAAAGAGGAAGCCGAGCGGGCAAAGTTAGAGGCCGAAGCAAAAGCCAAACTCGAGGCCCAAGCCACATCTGCGGCGGAAGAAACACTGGACGAGGACAATGTTGTTGCTGGTAGCCTCGCTTTAGGTGGGGAGCCAGAGGATGATCCGAGAGGTTCTTCAGCACGTGGAGCAATCGGACGCCCGCACCAGTCTTTGACCCAGACTTTGACCGACCAATTCTCCTCAATGGTTATGAATAGTCGCAGCCTGACACCTCAACAGCGACAACAACTGGCCCTGCTCAACACCGGCAACTTACCACAAGCGCCAGGTCTCGGTCAACCGAGCTCTCAGAACATCGCTTTCGAGATGTCAGACTTTGACAGAAGAGGACCACAGTACAGCCAAGCCCAGTACGAACAGATCAGCAGTCATCAACGCCACGGTTCCAGATACTTCAATAATGATACCAAAACTACCACCAGCAATCGCTTTCAAGGGCAACAGCAGAGCTTCTATTCCAGCGGGGTTCAAGGACCACCTCCCGGCTTGCCAACAGCCGGGACGCCTCCGGTCAGCGGTGGCGGCATGTTCGCTCATGGCCAAAATTTCACCAACCCTGGTTTTGGAACTTCCAAAGATATCAACGCTGAAGTCTATTCGAGGAATCGCAGTGGAACAAATCAAGGTCATGATCTGTCTAAGCGTGAGTTGCTCCTTTCCTTACAAAATAACCCCCTTCGGTCACCCCCATTGTCAGCCCCTGCCCCTGGCGTCCTCAACCCGCTCTACGCTCAATATCAGACATACCAAGATCCCGGGCTTGTCAAGCAAAGGAAAAAGGGCAAGAAGCACAGACACGCTAACACTTCCTCTTCAGGAGGTGGTGTAGAGCATCTTGCAGACCCGAGCATCGCATCAGCGAGAGTCCACCAGAGCAATACGACAGGGCAGGGGCTGTTTGGGGGTAATCAAGGTGGGTACCAGCAATCAAACCTATACAGCGGCGGCGGCGGGTACAATCGATGGTGATTGACGACATTCCAACCAAACCATTCTATGCCCTTTTTTCTAGTTTCTCTTCTTATGATGGATTCTGTTTGGCGTTGGTGGTACGAGGCCTACCTACTCGGATCAGCGAGCAATGCATAAGTTAGTAGCTGAATGGCGAAAACTTAGTGGAGTAACGGCATGGTCACAGTCATGGTCCCGGGCGAGCGTGGGACGCATCGAAAAATCAATCTATCGGCATCAGGCTTCTTCTTCAGCAGCATCAAGCGTCCCATTTTCACGGCTCTGTTATGTATGTTAGTACCCTTCTCTGACCATGTTACAAAAAGGTCAGGCAGATCAGAAAAACAATTTCTTACAATTCCTTTTAGGTGAATGCTCTAGAGACAGTAAAAAAAGCTTGTGCTGAGGGACCTGATGCAAAAAGCCTGATTGTCTTTGCCTGTACCCTTGAGCCCGTTCAAGTACCCGCCGCCGTGTTGTCTGATGGTTTCTGGCTGTGTCCTTTTTGCTTATATGGTTTGCTTGGATGTTTCGCTGACCTTGTCGTTGCAGTGGATGAGACGAACTTCCCGCCTTTGCCAACCCGGTCAGATACACAGCCTCCACCCTTACATTCTCGTGTCTCGTCCTTCCAGAGTCATTATAGCTCGGGTCTTCGGTCATCAACGCCGAAAATTCCGCCAGGTTTTGAGCTCAGTCATGGACATCCTCCTTCTATCAGGTCGGTGTCTCCTACCCAGCCTGCTCAGGCAGTCGGACAACGAGGCACATCTATCAGTTCTGTACCTATCGCTCCAGCTGTGCCAATCATGCCCATAGCGCGTCATACATCAACTCCAAAGCCAAAAGGTTCCGATCCATCGAAAGAAGACAGCAAGATCATGCCGGTCGACGATGCTCCTACCTCGAGCAAAAAGCCTAGCATTGGAGCTAATGAAATCAGTCTCGGCTCACCCAAACCAAAGTCAAGCCGCCAGAAGTCTGGGACTGAGAAGAAAGCAGATGTAGCGAATAAGGTTGAAGAGAAAATTGAGAAGAAAGATGACTCTCAGACTCTTGCGAAGGCTGAAGACATCAAGGGCAAAGGGAAAGCCCCTGCACTGAGACCTGGGAAGATAGAATTACCTCAAGGTACCGTTTCGGATGCACCTACTGAGTCGCCGCTCCCAGTCGTCAACACTAGTGGTTTGGACAAATCTGCTACACCAATTTTGGATTCTGCCGTCGTTGGCACACCGGCGACAATGAGCCCGCGACCAATCACTCCTGTTACTACAACTCCGCCGGAAACATCCAAGACGTCCATGGCGCGACCGAGAACTCTGCGCGTGACGACCGGAATGCCCACCAAAACGGTAGATCAGACTCCAGCTTCTGCTACGACCGAAAAATCAAGCGCTGTGCCTCCGGTTTCGGCTATGAAGAAAGGCTCGAGGCGGCTATCTCTCTCTTCGGCCCAGCTTAGTAGGCCTTCAACTCCAGCGATGTCTGAGCGCCCTTCTCATGATGCTTCCCGTGCAAGCTCTCCTCCACCGAGTATTGTTGGTTCTGCTCCGGAGCGAAGCAAGAGCAAGGCCCAACTAAAGAAAGAACGGCGGGAGAAGGCTAAGAAGACAAATGAAACCAATGACGCGGTTCCAAGTGCTGCCTCTACTCCTGTGGTGGAAGAGGTTGCACCGGTCATTGCTCGACAAAAGAAACAGAAGAAGCAACGGGTGGAGAATAGCACCCCCGCTAGTGGTGACGAGAAGGCGAAGCCAGAGACGCAGGAGATCGGCACGAAGTTACGGGAAGCGATCGAGAAACAGAACATGGAAACTACTGTGGATGGGGCGGACCAAAAGAAGACATTGGAGAAAGACAAGGCCGCTGTCCTCGCTTCGCAGCAGGCCGAAAAATCTGCAAGTCAAACCCAGAAATCAGGCACTCCTCGAACAGCAACACCGAAGCAAGAGTCTGCCGGTAAAGGTGGAGAAGCCAAGGCCACCTACACGATGCGCGACTTGCACGATGAAGCTGAGAAGATGGTCGCAGCCACTGACGGCCTTTCGACCCACGCGGCTATTCAAAAACTGCTCAACGAGCATATTTCCTCGATGCCCAAGATCTTCTCTTCGCTCATTCAAATGGGGGACCTTTCTAGAGATCACCCGTGGCTCAATCCGCCCTCTTTCAACTCGGCCACGTACAAATTACCGCCGGACTCCCGACGTGGCCAAGAGTACTTGGATGGCAACGGCTACAGTGCCAATGATGCATTTGGCTATATATACCTGCCACTCAAGGAGAAGCAAGCATTGAAGGATGGCAATGCCGTCAGTGTTGCAGATGCGGGAGAGCGAAGAGATGATCTGCTAAAGAGATGTCTGGTGACACCTAATGGATGGGTCCTGAGGCATCTCAGCGCTGAGGAGGGTGAAAAGCTCCTCGAGCTCGAGGAAAAACGACAAATATATCTGGAGGAGTTTGGAGACCTGGGCATCATGGCCGGTTTGGGCGTGCTTGAAGCCGACGATTACACCAATCTTGGCGGTGGGATGGAGAGGCTTGCCAGACAGGGTGAGCGACACGGCGTAGTTTGGATCATGGGTGAAGATGGCGACATCGTTGACGACGACGAATTTGAGCCATTCGACGACGAAGACGGTGAAATTGATGGCGAGATCGGGGACAGCGACGAAGAGGGCGAAGAGGAGGAATATGGCGAGGAAGAAGGCCTGGATGATGAGGGCGAGGCAGGGTTTGCAGCCGACGACTCGGTCAACATGCCAGGCGGCTGGGATCTCCCACCTCGGAATCCTCATCATGCTACCAGACTTGGTTCTGGTGGGCGAATTAACTCTCTTCCTGGCTTGGGTCCACATTCTAGGACGAACGCTCTGCGCTTGCCTTCAAGAGGTCCACCGATTGGCGTGGAAGATCCTACGCCACAGGACAATCGTGTCACCGCTGGTCCAAGCACGGCTCCCCAAAACGCAAGCAAACACCCTCTACCTGCTTCAGCGGCTGCAAATGCAGCAAACGCAACAACGACCGAAAACGTCAACGTGCGTCTTCTTGACGCCGATGCTCTGCAGAAACGTGTCCAAGAAACTCAGAAAGCACTCGACACGGCACGCAAGGAGATGGAGAAGGCTGAGAAGCTTTGGAACAAGAAGGCAAAGGACATTGGCCGGTGGAGAGATGGGCTCATCGGGTCGCTGGGTGTGAAGGGCTAGGAGATCCCTTCAACTTCCCAAGCAGCAGCAACGGCAGGCAGTTCGTCAAGAAGAGCCAAAGGAAAGGCCAAAGCAAAAGAGAAAGGGAAAGGGAAAGCAAAAGCCATGATCGACAAGCAGCAGTCGACCCAGGGAATTGAGATCGAATTACCCCAGGCCGAGCCATTGCCACCGCGCTTTCTTGATGTTTTCGAGACCGATTCAGATGCACCAGCTACGCAACTCTGGATCGAAGGTCTACTTGTGGACGACGACTTTCAGATGAAGAGAGACATCTGCACTACGGTTTCTGAAACGATTAGGCCAAGCTTGAACGATCGAGAGAAGCATATGGTCCAGATCCTGAGGGCCTCTGATACCTTCGACAGACAGGTGATTCGCAGAAAAATCTTCACAGTAGAGGAATGGGATTGGCGCTATCGTGACGATCAAGTTGACGGCAACGGCGCAGGGCCCCGACTGCGTGGACCTGATCGCCTGGTTCCACACGTTGCTGCAGCGGCCGCGGCCCTGGACGGCATCGATCTTGAAGAGATCAGAAGCGATATTGAGCCCAGGAGGAGAATGCGCGAGTGGCTCCTGCTGACCAGGAGAATCCGCGAGCCATGGGAAAACAGGACCAGCCTCCTTGCCTCGCCCGTCCCCACCAGTGTCAAGGTTTGCCTTCCGCCTCCCGAACTCTGGCATCTCTTTGGAGGATCTTTGGTGAATTTTGAGCGCCGGGCCCGGGTGAGGAAGGTGAATCCCAAGGAATGGAAGACCCTGTTGTTTCTGATTGAGCTCATCCGTCACCGTTGGGAGTTGCAGAACAAGGGCCTCTTGTCCCCCGAAGACTTTCAGACCCCGCAACGGAGGGACGACCTTTGGGAGTGGGCGTTGCATTGTTACGACGGGTTGTTGAGGATTTGGCAGTTTCAGAATGGGAAAAGCCCTACGGGGTATCTGAAGAAAAGGTCGCGTTGATGGATGAAAAGAAAATTAGTCAATTGTTGATGGAACGGGGAGAAGTGTGGGTGTTATGAGTGGGCATGAGTATGGGCATGGGTATTGGTATCGCTAGGTACAAATGGTAATGGGACTGGGACTGGGACTGTGATGGGGACCAGGGACGGGTTTGTCTTCTGGGTATCATTATTCTATTCTCGACTTCTTTGCTGTTCTTACAAACTGAGCATGCCGTGGCCTTTGCATTCTGTTTCGGTCCCCTTCCTGCCCCGGGCATCATCCTTCCGCTCGTTGTGCTCGGGTATGCTGTGGTATGGTATGCTACCGAGCATATGAATACCTAGTATTCAACTTGCACGCAATTGATCAATCAAACACTCTTGTACAAAGCTCCTTCGTATCCCTCTGTCCCCAATCTGTCGGAATATGAAGCTCAAGGTCAAGATAGCACTTGGGTGGTTTGTCCGAGACATCGTGTGCCACATATTCATTCAATCCACAGCACAGGATTTCTCGATCCCTCATTGCTAGTCAAATCAGCACATCCACCCATCTGTTCCTGTCTATCTAGGTCGACTTTTGTTTTCCACACAAAATCCCATTCTCCATGGCGGGATGGCACGTCCTGGTCGAGTTTTCTCACAGATTTTGTATTTTGTCTTGTTGCGTCTTACTTTCCTCCGCGTCAGGAAAAGTCAAAGGGTCCCTTGCTCCCAGCAGCTGCTGCCTTCTGGACGTGGCTGGTGGTCGACACGGCGGGCGTGTGCGCTGCGGTCTTCGAAGCCAGGGCAATCGGGTCAAGGATGGCTTTCAGGATCTGGATCTCGTTCCAGTCGGAGTGCTTGATCTTCGAGAAGATGATGTCGTATTTTTCTGCTGGTGCGGCTGAAGTGTTGGTGGCGCTAGGACTTGACGAGGGAATATTAGGAGCACTTGTTCCCACTGCGGTCGGGATGCCAGTGTCGAGGCGAGGAGATATTTGTGCGATGACGCGCACGATAGCTCCGCATGGAAATTTCGGGAAGGAGGCGGATCCCGTGGCGTCCCAGGTTGCTTGCGGGACAATGGTGCCTGTGAGGTAGGGCGGTCGGTCTGGAAAGAACAAATCCGCGAGTGTGACGGTTCGACTGGCTCCATTGTTCTGAGTGGTGTGTACCACAGCATAGATCACGAGGTCCAACGGCTTGGTAGTGCTGGTCCGAAAGCTCGTCCCGGCAGGGACTGGAGTGGGCGGCCGCAAACAGGAGAAGTTGACGAAGATAAAAATGCGAGCATCCATAATACGGAAGCAGATCGGAGGTGGCTGTGAAGCTAACAACGTTGCGAGTGGTCCAGGAGTAAATGTGGCCGTTGGGGGAGCACGAGCACGCATGAGTCCAACGAATGGCTTCATTGGCGCCTTGTGTGGCACTTTCATATTGGTTTCAATCGGTGACGATGCCGTCTTGAGCGTCTTGGAGGTTTCTGATCCGGCTGAGCTTGGAGTTGGACATGCCGCTCTTGCCGCCAGTGCCTTTTCGGCCTCAAGAAAGTTCTCAATGTCATTGTTATCGTCATTGAAGAGGTCTTCCTGGCTATCCTTGTTGGACGCATGCGGAGCGGCAAAGTGGTATTCCTTGTCGGGCTGTAGAAGTCTCATTGGTGCCCCATGCTGTTCCTCCACCACCAAGGCTGTGACGACGGAAACTGTTCCCTTTCCCTCCCCTGTCATAAGTAGCATCTTCTTTGCTGGTAAAGCCTCCGTGTCCGTAAGAAGCGCCTCCGAAGACGTCCGCTTATGTCCAGATGCAGCGATGTTGAGCTTACTTTGGCGGATTGGCAGGAGACTTTCATCAGTCTCAAGTTGACCAGGATTCGAGTCCTCGACAGCCCGATAAGTCTTTGTTGGGGTTTTTTCGTTTCCATACGGCAGTACTGCAGTTTTTAGCTCGTCTTCAGACCTGGCCTTTGCAACTCGCTTTTTGCGTGCTGATGTCGGTGATGTTGAGGGGGCCTTCCACTTCCTTTCCTTTCGGCTTCGCTTAATGCGCAGGGCTGAGTCGAGGATTGCCTCACGAAAAGGGCTTGCGCATGAAGATGGCACTTCTTCATCATCGATGTCCGATTGAGATGACGGGAGAGTGGCAAGAGCGGCAGTGACAGATGTGGGCGGCGGATTGACGGGTGTCCAGTTGTTTTGCCTGCCATGGTTAGACTTGTTCAGTTCATATGATGTATCTGCTCGCAGTAATCCTACCAGACAGGCAGTTTGGCCTGGACGTCGACTGTCGCCTGGAGTTCACTCAGTTCACTGCTGGACATCCAGCTCAAGTCTGATGGGGGTGAGCTCATTGCAAATGACTTGGCCTGGACAGTACTTCTAAGGTCACAACAGCAATCTTGAGAACCACGAAGTCCTAAGAATGAGAATGTTCAAGGAAAGGAATCACGGAGCATGGAGTGAGAGTTGGAAAAGAGCGACTCAGGTTGTGAGAGAAGCCAACAATTTGGGCACAGGATGGATGAGTTTGGCCGTCCGTCTGTCACAGGAGCACTGCCTGGAAGTGAAAAGCTGTGTCCCCATTGTGCAGGAACCATTTTGAGTCATTTAGCCGAGTTTCATTCACGCTCTCGAACCTCAAAACTAAGTAGTTTGCAATGTGCATGTGGATTGAAAGGCTTGGTGACAGCAGGTGAGGCAGTCGTCACTGCGTAGAGCAGGGCGGCAGTAGAAAGCACCGCTTGGCAGCGACCAGTTCGGCAATTGCATGTCTTTCAGTGGTGATCAGAATCACATGAGCCTAGTGCACAGCTCTTCAATCTCTAGGTACCTACCTACATAGTATCCATGACCGTCTTTGTGTGAAAGGACACACGGTTTTCGTCCAGTATCAGCGACCAAGAACGATGCGAGTCGTGTTCGTGGGCCAAAGAAAGTGACTAACCACATTTGGTTAGCGGATGTTTATGAATTCTGAATGTGGAATGCGCAAGGCACAAAGGCACAGAACCTCACAATTTCAGTCCAGAAGTCGTTCAACTGCGCGCCCACTTGCCCTGCTTAGCAGCTCTATTGACAATGTCGTATGCAATTGAGACCAAGAAGCGCAAGTTTGACCGCATCCTCGAGGCCCTAACCGATGGCGCCGCCTCTACTCCTCCCTCGGCTCCCGCCTCGCCCTCGCGCTCTTCGATCAACGCCTCGACCACCTCAATTTCTCTTTATGCTGCCTCTGACTCCTCCAAGCGACGTCGCATAACCCCCACCTCCAAAACCACCGCACCGTCCACCTCCCCGCCGGTCACGCTGAGCGGCCACTATCTCCCATCAAGCCGAGCTGCCTTTCTTCAACGACTGGAGACATTTCGGCATGTGACCCAATGGCATATCCCATCTACCGATCCCATCAACGCTGCAGCATGGGCGAAAAGAGGCTGGACTTGCGTCGACACAGATACAGTAGCATGTGGTGTTTGCAAGGAGAGGCTGTACATTGACCTGGATGTCGACAAGGAGCTACTCAAGTCCTCGGAGAAGGAGGGCGACGAAGGTGCTGATGAGGAAGCAGATGCGGACGACGAAGACAGCTTCGCTATCTCATCCGAGATTTACGACAACATTGTCAAAAGATACCAGGACATGATTGTCACCGCTCATGCAGAAAGTTGTCTCTGGCGAAAGCGAGGGTGTGACGCATCAATTCAGCGCATCGAAGGTCTCTTGAACACCACCTTGGCCCTTTCCGGACTCAGAACTCGCTACGACAGTCTTGCCAGTCACTTAGATGAAATACCCCAAGTGGAGCCTCTGCCTTTGGCCTCCGCTGCGAATCCTCACGAGTTGGATCGATTCCGACTCGGTGGGCAAGAAAGACCTCACGTCGACACGCTTAGACTGGCAGTCTGTGGCTGGGCCAGGAAATGTGACGATGTCATTGAATGCCGTCACTGCTTCCGCTCACTGGGTCTCTGGTTATATCGCGGCGAATCACCTGCGATTGAGAAATTGGATGCCATAGACAACCACTTGGAATATTGCCCCTGGCGGTCCGCCGAGGCTCAAGACACCGAAATACAAACGGGGCACAGCAGGACCACTACGGGCGAGCAAATTGCGCCGAAGAAAGAACGAGTGCCAGGTTGGGTCCTGGTGTATCAAGCGATTGCAAAGGACAACCGACAGAAAAGTGCATCAGCCGGAACGCTGTCAACTGCAGCCTCCGAGACCTTCTTGAGCGAAAATGCCAGCGAATCCACGACGCCCGAACAGCGTGAGAAGAGAATGAAAGACTTACTACGGAGGATCAAGGAGATTAAGAAACCGTTCAACGTCAAAGCCCTCCTAAAGCGCAAGGACAAACCCAAGGCTTAATCAAATCTACCGTGGGCTATGTAGACGCTATCGTCACCATCACCGTCTTCTACATCCGCGTAGAGAGATAAATGGCGCATCCACCCTGCTGGATCCAGGATAGGATCCGAAGGTTGGGATGTCCGGAAAGGTCGCCGGCTAAGAACCACTGATATCTACTTGTTCTGGCACCGAGCAAGGTATCGAGCCATGGCTTCGGGAACGAGGCCGGATCTCGAGCCCTCCTAGGATGGTGGCCGACCGGAAAATGCTCGGAATATTACGGGAAACCGGCGCCCCAGCGCAGGTGCGGAACTTGCACTTGTCCGCCCCCGAGAGGAATTCTCATAGAACACGTTCGTGTAGCGCGACGAGGCTGAGGATGTTGTGGATGTTGTAGGATAATAGGAAAAAGTTTCTCCTACCTTCCAGGTTGGCTTCTGAGTTGGAGTTTGGAGCTGGCGAAAAGAGTGCCCGCAAGCCGTGGTGCAGGCAGCTCCAGTGAGTAGGCTTAACTATTAGCCTTCCCCAGATTTGCATTGGAAGGCCCGCTAAGCCACGGTTACCAGCCTGGAATGTTGAACAAGTGGGGAGCAAACAACAATGACATCAACATCCCAACGCTGCCGAGTCGAGGCTGATGAGTTCCGCAAGCTCATCACCAAATCCACAAATCCACAGAATCCTTAGGCAATGCTTTGGTCAGCCTCGTTGCACGTGCAATCCAGGCCAGCCTTGATGAACCGATTCCCTTACAGTGGGCCATTGAGAACACGGAATAGTCCGAATCTTCCCGGGGAACGAAGCCCATTTCCGATGAGGAGCGATTGAGTCTTTGTTGGGTGCGCCCGCGCTTGGGCGATCTTGCAGTGAGCAAAAGCAATATCCGAGCTGTTTCAGAGGAGAGGGTCAATTTTACGATACGAGTGGGGAGGGGGAAAGCAATTGAGAGAGAGGGTGAGAGGGTGAGAGGTAGAGCAAGGTGTGTAGCATGTGATGAGGGGAAAGGAACAGCTACAGGCGTCCACAGATAGCACCCCTTACGAGTAAGGTATTGGGGAAGGGGAGAAGCTGGCTGGGCGGTGCAATGGGTGGCACGTCAAGGCACATGTTGAACACCTGCAAACAGGCCCACGAGAGACCAACAAGGGCCCTCGGGAAGGGCTGGCACCGCTGGCTTGCTTTCTGGGCGTGAGCTGGTGGTGCATGATGCTTGTTGGCTCACCAAAACGCCTTCCCCGCATCTGGCGCCTCTTCCATCTGATCGCTACCGGGTCCGGAGTATGGCAAAGCCCATCAGCCCGGCCCATCATCCAATCCTCGTGCCTTGAATAATGCCATCACCACCGTCATTTGTGCTAGGAGCAGCAGTTGAACAGGGAGTGGACAGGGTCAGACACCTGGACATTCCGCTCGACAGACACACACACACTCTCTCTCTCTCACGCACAGACACACGGCCAGGCCAACCGCCACGGCTGCCCTCGAAACTCCAAGCTATTCTCTTCTCGACCGAGTTGGCAACCTCTCTTCCGACCGACTTCTTCCTTCTTTCCTAGCAGGGCCGTCCTTGATCTTCATTCTTAATCCAGCACATACCCGTATTTCCCCCATATTCCTATCTTCTCCTCTCCCCTTGTCGGTGCATCATCCTGTACATACTGTCGGTCACCGACATAAAGAGTTGTCACCTGCTGTCGAGTCCTAGCTGCGGTTGTGTGTCTGACAGCTGCTCCAAAGCCTCCGCACCAAAGTCGTCACTTCCCCGCTCCGTTGTATAGGCCATAGACCGCCTTCTCACCGCACGAGACAAGTCGTCAACTGCCACAGAGTTGCTGGAGTTTGTTCCTGCTTTGTAAGTGGTTCCTTCTCTGTCCGCATCCAGACGGCCCTCTGGTCAGAAAAGGTCCCGGTCACTCGAGCTGTTCCTCGAACACCGCGGGCCTAGTAATGCGTAGATGCAAGTGGGGAAATTGCTAACGGAGCATTGCGCCAGCCTAGATACGACCTCTCCTCACTGTATTGCTGTCTGGACCAGCATCAACTTCACCTCACCTGATACCTCCTCTCTCCCTGTAGTACAATGTCTAGCGGCACTGCCAACCGGATCAAGGATGGCGCTCGATCAGCCGCCACGAAGGTCGAAGAAGCAGCGAGCGAGGCAGTGAACAACCCTGTCCAAGCCAAAAATGACTTCCTCCATCTTCCTGTCGTGCGCGCCGCTCTCCCCTTTGTCAATGGAGGTCTTGCAGGCATGTTTGCAACTGCGTGCATTCAACCCATAGACATGGTCAAAGTGCGCCTACAGCTGGCGGGCGAGGGTGTGAAGACAGGTCCCAAGCCCACGGCTCTGGGGGTCACAAGAGACATCATTGCTCAAGGGAAGGTGCTGGACCTTTACAATGGTCTCTCGGCGGGTCTGTTGAGACAAGCAGTCTATACCACCGCAAGACTAGGGTTCTTCGACACCTTCCAGAACACGCTGCAGGCACGGGCTGAGAAGAACGGCACAAAGGTCACATTCGCGGAGCGAGGCGCGGCCGGCCTTGCAGCCGGTGGTCTGGCTGCCATGGTTGGCAACCCTGCTGATTTGGCACTCATTCGAATGCAATCTGATGGGCTGAAACCCAAAGAAGCCCGCGCAAACTATAGATCAGTATTTGACGCCTTAACTCGCATTGCCAAAGCCGAAGGCGTCACGGCTCTCTGGGCCGGAGCCTATCCCACTGTCATCCGCGCCATGGCTCTCAACTTTGGTCAACTCACATTCTTCGCCGAATCCAAGACTCAGCTCAAGCATTACTTCCCCGACATCTCAGAGTCCACGAACCGCTTCGGCGCATCCGCGATTGCTGGGTTTTTCGCCTCCTTCTTCAGCTTGCCGTTTGATTTTGTCAAGACGCGGTTGCAGAAACAACAGAAAGGCCCTGATGGCAAGCTCCCGTACGCTGGCTTCTTCGACTGTGCCAGGAAAGTTGTTCGTGATGAAGGTTGGCTCAGATTTTACCGTGGATTCGGCACCTACTATGTCAGAATCGCACCACATGCGTGAGTAACAAACTTCCCCAGAAAGATTCGCAGGCTGACGTGGAACAGAATGATCACCCTGATCGTTGCCGACTACCTGAAATTGATCACGGCCTGATCCATTCGTTCCAGGGCGGGAATTGGAAAGAGTCCTCGCGGTCGAAGCCATGTTGGATAAGAATAGCACCGGTGGCAGGATTGGAGGAACAAACAGAATGAATGAAAGAAGACATCCACCGTCGCAAGAGGAGAGACAGCAGTCCACGGCACACTGTTCCAGGCTGAAAGGTCCGAATATCGCTCAATCTCAAGGGTCAGGTCAAAGACGTGATTTATGGCAGGTCGAAAATCTGTGGCATATACCCTTGGAACTACGGCGCTCTCGCAGTTGTCATATACAGCACAAATCTAGCATCCTTCCGGCGTTGATAGGTAGCTAATTAGGAAGAGTTGTTCATAGATGTTGCTAAATGTCGAAGCAAAAAAATTGTCTCTAGACTTGCTCCCTCGGCATTTTTAAATTGCCGGTCAGCAGGCAACTCTGGCGACAGCAACATCCCTGAGCGGATCGTCTGCTTCACCGAAAACTGCAAACTGCGGAGTTTCCAAGCCAGATTCCCCGTCAACAAATTGCAAAAAGAAAATTGGCTACACGGTGTTCTGAGAGGTTTAACGACTATGACTGCCAGCTATCAGCATGAGCGCCTCGTTACTCTTACAATTAGTCCTCACTGGCACCCAAACTCACTACGAAAGCCCCGGGTTGATCGATGAGAAGAGATTGGAACACCTGTTGATCGCTGGCAAACAAATTCTCTACAAGTCGCATCAAGAGAGCGACGTCCGGTCGGCGCTGGGGTTCAACCCTCGAATATGGGAGAGCTTGACAGCGGTGCTGAAACATGCCCTTCCGGCGCTCGAACAACAATCCTTTACCTACAAACACCCTCCGCATCTAGGCTTTGGCGGTAGCAGCTCCGAACTCATTGCTGCCCACTACCTTAATCTCGTCAAGGACATTGAACGGCTCAACGATCTCTGTACCATCGCGCGCAACCTCCTCGCCACCACCAAAAAGGCGCAGAACCTCGCAGCGGAGAAAGGGTTCGATCAACAGATCCTCAAACTCATCGATGTCTGTGTTAAGGTCACAGCTCGGGGGTTCGACGGCGAGGCAAACCCTCGGAACGAGGAGAGATGGCAAAAGGTGGTGAATCTGTACAAGAGGCTGTTGATCACTTGTCTGCAGTTCTTGCATAACTTTATCATGCACAATGAGCAGCGAAAATTGGTTCTGTGGCTGGATCTGTTCGGACAGTCCCAAGGGAATGATGTTGACGACGAAGGCAGTCAGCCAGACCAGCAGACTGTTGAAGATGAAGGCAAGGACCACGCTGCGAAGGAGGACAGGATCAGGTCGACCGTCGAGAAACTGCCGCGAAGAGTGGGTCGGCTTCCGATGGATGGAGATGACCCCGGGTACAACATCGACGATGTCCATGCTCTGTTTGACCTCATGAGCACCAACAAGGAGCCGGACGAAAATACTCAAAAGGCGGCAAAAGTGCTCATGGACAAGATCCGTTCAGACATGGAAACTTTGTCGGGTATGAACTCGAATCAACTGGACGATAGCCCGGATGTGCTGTTGAAAGTGGGAGCTGAACTTCGTGCTTGGCTGCAGACAAAGGAGGATGTTACGACCACCGAGACCCATTCTTCACAGGTCAAGCAGGTTGCCGAGAAGATCATGGCTTTAACTCAAGTCAATGGCTACAAACCTGGTGGCAAAATAAAGGATTCTCAATGGAGCGATCTACCCGAGCCGGGTTCGTATGGCGACCTGAACGAATCCGCCCAGGATTTGACAGAAGAAGACTTGAGCATGCCCCGAACCGCTCAGTCTGCAGCGGCGACGTTAAAGGAAGCAAAGGACGAACTCATGGCTCGACTGCATCCACGGCCGACTCCTATGGTGGATTATGACGGGCCGGAATATGATGACGATGTTGACCCAGAAGAATATGAACTTGAAGACGACGAAGACGACCTCATCAGCGTCGGGGATAGTATGGAAGACGACGACTACCGCGGATCAGGGGATCAGGAACGCGGTCTCCTCACCGACGTTCCCCTGGTCCTTGGACCGACCGAGATTGAAGCATTACCCATGATCATTCAAGCAGGCATTGTGGACAATTTCGGCTCCAAGAACGGCACTACCGCTCATCAGCAGGGTCTGAAAAACATGCAAGCGGTTCGCTGTCACATATTACTCGCTCAAGAAGCAGGACGTAACGTTCTGCGGGAGCTGCTGATATTTATCGCCGCGTGGGATTTGCCAGATGATGAGTTTTATTTCAAAATGATGGTGCAGATCATGGAATCCATCCTGAAAAACGGGCTAATGTCCCATGCCTACGCGGACTTTGGCCAACCCAAGGACATCATCTCCCCAGCGCAAGCTGTTGTTATCAAGATTCTGACGCATATCTTCCGCGCGAAATATAGTCCTCCTTCGGCAGCGCAACAGCAGCAGAATGCGGCAGGTGAACAACCACCTACAGCACAGCAGCAGAAACCTCGCCTGAATCCGTCGCCGCTCAGCCGTGTGGACGTTCTCACCGTCCGTTATATTTTTATCGTCTTCCGAGGCAACATCATCCCTGAAACCTGTGCCCTCATCTACCTCCAGGGTCAAATTCGTGCCGGCCTCGCACTCGCCGAGGATTTCCCACTTAACTTGTGGGACATGGAACGTGTGTATGAGGGCGTGTATCAGTTTCTGGAATTCTTTGCCGTCCTCACAGAGAACAACGACTGGAAGAAGTTGCTGGTGCAATGGGAGATTGTGTATGATTTGGTGACGCTGATAAAGGAGCTGGATCAAAGTATTGCAAAGGTTGGGTTGACGCAGACCATGCCTCCTCCAACGGCAAGTGCGAATGGGAGTGTGAAGGTGACGACGAATGGAAGTGAACCACAGAGCACGGCCGGTATCGAACCTCCGGAGCAAGCATCAACACTTCCTGCCCACGTTGCCGTTGAAAGACCGTATGATACTACTGTCCCAGCGGGAGAATCGGCGCAGGAGAATGGCACCTCAACAATCACCGAGTCGCTCCCACAACTGCCAAATGACCTCCCCTCACCGTCACCCCCTGCACAGGCTCCACCCGCAGCAGCAACCGTGACCGAGGAACCAGCAGATTTCGAATGGCGGAACCTCAAGAAACTGATTGTGCTGGTGTTGTCGAGCTTGGTCTGGAAGTCGCCGACAGTGCAAAACCAGATCCGGGAGTATGGCGGAGTTGAGACGATCCTGAGTTGTACAACCTATGATGGTACGTAAATCCACCACCTGTTCCTCTGCTGTGCACATAAGCGTCTTTTTCTGTGGAGTTGTGGTTGTCTTGCCCTACAAACCTCCTCACTCCACACTTCCCTTTCCATGTCTCATTTTCACTGACGGGTTTTTGTGGACATGTAGCATGCAACCCGTACATCAAAGAACACGCCCTAATGTGTCTCAAATTCCTCTTGGAGAACAACCCGGAAAACCAAGCCCTCGTCTCTTCCCTCGAGGCCAGGGAAATTGTCCCCCCGCCTGGTGCTGGTGAAAAGGACGCAGAGATTTTGAGAGAGACGACCGAGAGGTTAGGGTTGGAGGTGCGCTTGGGAGAGGATGGGAGGGCGAGGTTGGTCAGGAGAGAGGGTGGGCAGGGTAACCACCTGGGAGGGGCGAGCTCTAGAAGGGCGATGATGCCGGCGGCGGACAGGAATCTGAATGGAAGGAGTGGGAGTGGGAGGATCGAGGAAGTTGGGGATGATGACGAGTATGATGAGATGGAGGCGTTGGGGTTAGGCGTGAATGGAGACGAGGCTGAAGAAGGCAAGGGGAAGGATAAAGGGAAGGGCAAAGAGAGGGCGGTGGATCTGGATGGCGATGAAGACGATGATCAAGAGATTGAATTCATGTGATGAACGATTCACACTACGAGGTACTTGCGCCGTCGTAGAGGCGGAGGGTCAGATCGGATGAGATGAAATTAGATTAGGAGTATCTGCTGATTAGAGTAGGACGAAGACTAGATGTACAATTTGACAGTGTGGTGGCATGGTCGTATTTGATTCTTGTCGAAGCCAGACGGAGACTGCGCTGGTTCTTGCACGCTCAATCGAGTACGCTTCGCCCAGAACTCCGTTGAGAGATCCCCCAATACTGGACGATGATTATCTCCCTCTCAGATGTGAATCTGACGTTCACTTCCGTGCACGCCCCCATCGACAGCTCCAACGGGTACAAGCGTTAATGCATACATAACTGTATTGTATCAGTTAATGTACTGTAGGTTGCAATAAGTGTGTGTGTATCTGCTTTGTATGAAGATTATTTCAGTTCATAGGGAGAAGAGAGATATCCATCATATAACTAGGCATGAAGAGAGCCTATTTTGCTACATACAAGCAATGGAGTGATTTTGGTTCCTTGTGCAAACGACATCACAGGCCGAAATATGACCGCGGGCAGCCACAGTCCGAACCGATCAGTTCTCGGAAAGAGATAGAGACAACCACCTTCCCCTAGTCAGCCAGTTACCCAGCCGGATAGACGGCCACTGTGGCAAGTCCTGTAGCCCATTTCTTTCGCCCCCTTGGTGCATGCCCTCGAGAGCGAAGGAGGGGGACGGGACGGAGAAAGGAGAAATTCCCCCGTTCTACCGTCGTGGTCCTCTAATGAGCCACCCGCAGATGGGGCATTTGGACCCAGGGATGCCTCTTCCTGGGCAGCCGTGCGTATTGCAGGCAATTTCGGATTCGTCTTTGAAATTGTCGGGGGAGAGAGGAGGAGAATTGGTGGTGGTGGTGGTCATTGTTTCTTGTGGGTGATTGATCGTCTTCTGGAAGGGGATTTTGTATATTCGACGCGAAGCAAGCAAGTGACAGAGAGACCTAGACGATGCCTCTCGCGTAGGGTTGTGTCGAGGCACAAGGGTGAGCCTTTGAATTAGGGTGGGTGGGTTCGGTCTGTTGTGGTTATGTATATTCCGTCCAATTTGAGATAGTGGACAGATGATGTATGGAATGAGCACCTGGAATAGCGCGGATAGATGAAGTGTAGAATGAGCAGCTGGGATAGCGCAGATCGATGAAAGAAAGGATATGGGAAGAAAAGAAGAACAGGTAGCGGACCAGACCATTTATACCCTGCGGAGAGAATGGAGCGTTTGTACAGACAGTTCTGCTCTGTCTTGCTCTGCTTTGCGTTTGAAGCAAGTGTTTCTGTGACCTAGATCAGTGAGGCTCCCTTGAGTAATGCGTCTTTGTCACAGCTTCTCATGGTCTAGAATGATTCACCGACCTTTGGTAACCTCGAGTGTTGGGAAGTTAGGGGAGTCGCGGTTCGGCAAGGATGTGAAGTCTCAACAGGGTTAGGTAGCTAGGCGAAATAGAAGGGAGATTGTCTCCGGGGAAGCTGGCAGCCATGCTGAGGTTAGATCACTTCTAACGCTGAGGTAATGAGTCGATTCATTGCTCTGGACTGTGTGCCGTTGATAACGAGGTGTTCAGGGTGTGAAGACAGACAGCAGCGACGTTGGCGACAAACAAACGGCATCGAAAAAGCCGGTGGAGTACCAGGTGGCCCAACGACCAGTCCTGATGGTTAGTGATGAATGTGATCGATCGAGAGATGCTATCAATGCTGGGGTGACTTGAGATAAAGGTTAAGTCGTGCAAAGAAAACGCGAAGTGTATCAATAGTTAATATTGAATGTCCGTCCACTTGGGTGCGGAAGGGCCGTCGGAGCTGCAAGTGGTCCTGGTTTGGTCCCGCAGTCAGCCTAGAGTCTGGTTGTGTATACATTTTGCTCAGATGTTAGACCGCAGAGAGTTGAGGTTCGAATTGCCTATACTTGGTACAAACAGCGTGATGATTGGACCATGAAGGATCTCAGGCCTAGCAGTTCGATATCTGGTGAGCATACTGCAGATGTGGAGATCCTGGGACTTATGAATATAATCTAGACACCTGATGACAACTGCTTCGTGAACTCCGTTGAAAGGCACGAAGGTATACAAGGGGGAATCCAGGAGGATGACTCGAGGCGCAGTGGGTGGAGGTGGTGTGCTCCGGTGGCTCTCTCCCCACCGATTCAGCCTCGTATGATGCAATTAGCGTTGGATGGTGCCGTTAGTGCCGTGTGGCCGCCAGCAAATGACCAATAATACTGGACATAAGCATGGCACTGCCCCGGTTAGCCCCGGCTAGCCGCATTAGCTTAAACCCTAAAGTTGTCGGCCACATTCTCATCATCCTCACCCCGCGCTGTCCCTGAGTCAAAAAGCCGCTCCCTCCCTCCCAGCCTTGTCGCCTGAACTTCTCGCTCTTCTTTTACCTTGCCAACGGTCTTTTGTTTCCCATGCTTGATTTCCCCAGTCGCCGTCCTAGCTGATCTCGTCCCGCAACTTAGCAGTCCTCTTCTCCCTTACTGTCTTTGTGAATAAGGCATTCTCCTACCCAGATTTCTCCAATCCAGCCTCAATGTCACCTTCCTCCGACGGTCGCCTCTCAATATCACAGAAATTATCCGACCGTATGGCGGAGGCATACGACCTCAAGAAGTGGGGGAAGATGGCTGTTTACGGGTGGGCGTGTGAAATTTTAGACCTCATGTTCAGAATTCCCACCGCTTATGGTGTGTCACTCTGGGTTTCAGAAGCATATCACAATCTTCGAATAACCATAGCTCGAAAACTGGCCGGGATAGCATCACTAACCGTTCCTTTAGTCGATGAAAACGCCTTCGACTACAAAGTATGCACCACAACGAGCTCGACTTCGAGTTTGCTAGAGGAGCCTGAACAATTTTTCTCCGACGATTGGGAGAGAGATCCGCTGATCTTCAAGTGTGTCCTGTCAAATGATGTTGGGGGTAATATTCTCCATCGCCCTTGTGGTAAGTTTGTACCCCGGTGTCCATGGACATTAGGTACTAAGGATGTTCTGTCAGATGATGTCGAGGGTAATAGTGTCCATGGCCATTGTGGTCAGTTGGTACCCCAGTTACCATGGACATTAGGTACCAAGGATGTTCTCTCACACAGTGCCTGGCATTCAAACGTCGATTACCCCATACTTCGCAGAGGTTATCGAAAAGGAAGAGAGAAAAGAGTATTCCCCCTGAAGACCCCGCAATTGCACTACATGGTGCGCCATCGAGCACGCAGTCGCACCGCGGAACCATGGCGCCTCATCATCCCTTTTACATGAACTCTCACCAACCCCAAGGTCATACACACACCGAGACCTGGGAACCGCCTTATAGTTTCTACCTCCAAGGAGCGACGTGTCAGCCCTTGGAGAGCACGTTACCACTACCACAATATCAGGCCCAGCAACAACATCATCTACAACGGGCCCTTGCGGCCCAAAGCCCGACCACGCAATCCACACAATCAACACCTGCTCTATCCTTCGACTCGTCACCCAACCAATATTCCGACATGGAAGGCTTAGGGTTGGACTACGACATTTTGAACAATCTCAGCTACCTAGATGACTTTGACTACGACAGCAACCTGGTTAGCTTTGAGAACGACAGCTACCGCGACTCCGTCTTGTTCCCATCCGAAGAAAGTTTCATCCTACCACCTTTCACGGATGCCAATCTATTCCCAGCACTTGATTCCCAGTCGCCGCCAGACGGTCCTGTCCTTTTACCAACACACAAACACCGCTGCCAGTTCGGAGACTGCACCGAGTCATTCGCACGCCCCTGTGAATTAAAGCGGCATGAATACAAGCACACAAAACCATTCATATGCCCGCAATGCGGCCGCCCTTTCGCCGAGAAGCGACGCTGCATTCAGCACGTCCAGGCAGTGCATGGCCTGGCGACTGACGAGGAGAAGGTTAAGTGTCATTTGTGCAAGTACAGCCACGTCCGGCCGGACGCGGTGAAGAGGCATCTGAAGCTGAAGCACGGAGTTGGAGAGAAGTCGGAAGGCTCGCCTTCTACCGTGGGATCAGGGGAGCAATCTGACGGAGAGTCACGACCGGGGAAGAGGAGGAAAGTGAGCGAGGTCTGAACGAGGTATGGCATTGGTTATTGCAGGGTTTTCTGCGTCTCGTCTTGCTTTACAAAAAAGGATGGTTGGGGGCTGCGGTTTGCGACGGGCTTAATGTATTTTAGACACGAGCAGCAAGCATCTTGAATTTTGATTGCGTTATACCCTCTCTCTCTCTCTCTCTCTCTCTCTCTCTCTCTCTCTCTCTCTGTCATGATGATAGACCCTAACTAAACACTGAACTAGCGATCATTCACCACGGAAGCTGCGTGTCATCGTACCTCCACAAGCGCACCTCATCATTGACCGTAGCTCTATCAATGATCTTCATCATACCCTGAATACTCTCGGCGGGCTCGATGGTCCCCAGTCCAATCCGGGCGGCGAGCGGGGCGACAGTCTCGGTGGCGACGACGCCCGGGTGCATGGGGAAAGCGACAATACCATTCTTCTTCTCCTCGTACGCGACGTGGCGGATGAACATGTTCAGCGCGGCCTTGGAGATGGCGTACGCCGACGACTGGCCGGGCAAATCCTCGACCATGGCCAACGAGCCGTACTGCGTGCTGATGGCCACAAATTTTGGCGTGCCGCCTTGCTTGACCGACTCCAGCATCAGGGGCCGCAAGGCCTTGAAGATGGCGATGTTGTTGAGCAGGTTGACGTCCAGAAAGTCTTGGTATTGGGACATGGGCGCGTCGGCTATGCTGGTCTCGTGCCCGATGATGCCTGCGTTGGCCACCACCACGTCCACTTTACCCGTGATCTTTTTCACGGTTTCGGCCGCCGCGAGAGCTTCCTCGACCGACTCGGGCTGCTTGGTGATTTTGACGATGTGTACGTTCCCTTTGTCCGTTAAGGCCTGTAGCTTCGTCGCCCGCGAAGGGTCGCGCGACGTCGCGAATACGATCGCCCCAGGCCGTTCGCGAAGCTGGCGCACGAATTCGTATCCGATTCCCTACAATTCTCCCCCTCAAAGAATGGGCGCATCAGCGCACATGTCATGTCACGGCTGGATAGAAACCCTGCTGAGAGAAGGGGGGCGGGTTGTTGGCGTGGGAGACTTGCCTGCGTCGTCCCCGTGACGAAATACACCGTCTGATTCGACATTGTTGTCCCCGAGCTTTTGTACGACAAGTCCAATCAGTCAATCGATCTCTGTCTTTATTCTTGCTGTCAGTCAGTGATGGGAGGAAAGGCAGTGAGTGAAAGGAAGAGCGAGCAAAAGGGATGATAGCCTAAGACCCTCCTACCTGATCAATGATCAACAGATAGCCCTTCTTTACCCCAATTCTCTGTTACGAATGCCCTCCTTACGAACCATTCAGAACCCAAGATTTATATATGTCCCTCCTGTGACGCCCTGTTGGAATCTCATACCCCGCTTTCTCGCTGTCACGGATCGCATCCCAATCTCCCCCGCATGTCACCGAGGTGGTGGTGCTGGAGGCGATGGTGGTGGGTGGAGGGAGGCCTATGCGAACGATTTCCCCCGCCCCTAAAAGTGTGGAGGTGCAGAACAAGCCTAGAGGGAGGCATGAGGCTGTGCAATCGCGCCTACAAGCAGTTAATGCTTCTAAAATACTGGACCAGCCAATGAAGAATTTACTGGGAAGAGCTAGTCTTCGTGTACCGAATAGTCAAGACAAGATCTCGGAAGATAAAGGAGAACAGCGTCAGATTTGAACTATCTTCTCCAGATCCTGGTTAACCAAGGATCGCCACGATACAATATGCCAGGAACGCCAGATTTTGCCAGACAGAAAAACACCAAGATGAACGTCTAATGGTGACGTTGCCATCAGCTACCCAAAAACGAATACCCAGATTACAATTTCTCTTCCGATTGTGTCATGCCAATTCTTTTTTTCATAATACCGTCACAATAAGTATTCTCCCTCGTCGAGGTTATATGTATTGCACTTATTGGATTTCAATCAGACCAGGGCCGAACTTGGTCGCGGCGGCAACATCAGCGACGGTGGCGAATGGGCCAGATCCCTCGACAACGGCGGCGATGGTCAGGCCGAACATGTCGTTCTCGGTGAAGGGCAGGTTGGCGGAGAAGGTGACGGTGCTGCCGCTGACCGTGGCTTGGGTGATGGGCTCAACAACAGGCACGTTCTGCTGGTTGATGTACACCAAGCTCAGTCCCTGGTAGTTGCTGGCATACTGGGAGTAGGAGCCAGTGGCCTCGAAGGAGAATTGCAAGGTCTGGTCTTGGGGTTGGATGTTCTGGGTCAAGACGTTCAGGACACCGAAGATGGGGAGGTCAATGGTGTTGCTGTTGGGGCAGGAGCCTGGGACGACAAAGTCTTGGTTCAAGGCGGAGAAGGCGAACTCGCGGGTGGAGGCGGTCAAGAAAGGAGCACCGCTGGGGATGAGACCAAGGAGGTTGCGGTAGAAGCCATTCTGCTCACCCTCCTGACCAATGACGGCAGCGACACCACGGATGAGGCCGTTGTCGCCATTGTCGCCGAAGTGTGTTTGGACATCACCCAAAGTACCCAAGACCACGTCAGTGAAGGTCTTGGCCAGGTTGATGGCGCTCTTGAAGTCAGACACCGGGGCGACGTATTTGCAGGGTTGGATGGGGCCAGCATTGAAGTGGCCGAGCGCGCCGTTGGCGTTCAAGGCGTGCAGCTCCTCTTGGGCTTGGACGGCAGTGATGGCGTCAATGACGGTTTGCTTCTGGGATTCGTCCTGGAACTGGTATCCCTGAACGTTGTGGGTCACGTTGAAGAGGAGTTCGGTGAAGAAGGCCACCTCCCAAAGCTCGTTGAAGGCGATGAGTCTCAGCGACGTGAGATCGTCGGCGGCAGGAGCAGTTGGGGGCGGGGGGCCGTTGGGCAAGAGACCGTGGGCTTGGGCCTCAATGGCAGTGAGCTGAGACGACGGGTTCTGGATGTTGGGGAAGCCGTTGGACAGAGGGAAGCTGAACGGGTTGCTGCTGCCATCGTTCGAGCCAGAGGCAGTCGACGCCGGAGGGGCGCTGGTGGACCAAGAGCCGCTGCCGCTGGTCGCTGAGGCAGTATAGTAGCCGTTGGCGGGGCCACTGTAGGAGGCAGAAGGCTGGCCACCCTGGTAGTTCTCCAGATGGGGTTTGCGGCCGTCTTGGCTGCTACCAAACCAGATGTCGCGCTTCTCGACTGGGACTGCTGCAGCAAGCGAGGCGATAGCCAAGGAGCCGAGGACTGGTGCAAATTTGGAATACATTATGAATATGTATGTGATGATGTGGTAGTGAGTGTGTATTTAACGAAAAGGAAAGTAAAGATTATTGTGTAGTTGCGATTGTTTGAATGAGCGAAAGGCTGAAAAAGAAGGAAGCTGAGCTGTTAATGTAGTGAAGTAAAGAATGAAGTGATTGTTGTATGAGTGAGACCTAACTTCAAGCGAGAGCCACAGCTGAATATATAGACGACGTGCGTAAGAGAGGATGCCGGTAGGAGCACGGAGTATATCGTGTGGCGAGCTAGCATTGGCCCATTCTGGGGGGCCGAGTTAAGCACCCGTTGAGGCAAAGGCTGAGGTAGGAGCTAAGATTTGCGGCATAGCGCAGAAGGAGATTGCTCAGTTGCTGACCCGACGGCGATGCGGTGATTTGGTGCTTGACTGCTATTCTTCCCCAGCCGTTGGTCCTCACCGCCCACATGGCCTCCGTTTGGGATCGGTCTGTTGTGCGCAGCCAGCTTATACCACAAAGAGCAGGGCGACAAAGCCAGGAGGATTGATCTGGTGCCCAGGCAAATTCCCATTCCCAAGTCATGCGCTAGCTCCAACACATCCTCAATCTCGTTGCGGACAGCGAAACCTTGTGGAAATGGCAAGGACCTACCTGTACTGTCAGCCGCGGGCGTTCGCAGCTCGGCCGCACAGACGTTGCACCAGGGTGCGATCTAGGGGTCCAGCATTACAGAAGGCCGAATCCAGAGGATGCGTGTAACCAACTCGCGAGATTTTGCTGGATGGCTGCCGACGGTCAGCGCTTGCACAGATCGGGCTCTGGCGGTGATTGCGATAGACGTGACAGGATTAGTGCTGATGAACCTAGATCTGAGGGTCATGGTGACAAAGGTTGCGCTCAAAATAGGGAGTTGCCCGCAAAAGATGCTGCGGCTGAGCAAAAGAACAGGCGAGGTGGCCATGGCCAATCAACGATGGGGCCAAGAGAACCCACGCTAAAAAAGGCTTGACCTGTGCAAGGTGGATAAGCCTAAAAGCTTGGTCATTTCAGCCCTTGTGATTGGGCAGATGAACGAGGTGGGATCCACATGCCCTATTTTTAACACCTATTATTAACCACTGCGCACGGCCTCTCTATCCGTTACCTAGTTATTCTCCAGGTTACGACCCTGAGGTCACCAGCCTCGCGGTGTGGCTATACGAGCAAAGCTTCTCGTTCTCCATCCAACTCTCTTATTCTAGGAACCTATTCGTACCTATCCGAGCATGTACCCATACCCGTTCGACCAGCCGAGCCGGCGTGCAGGTCCCGAAGGTTCGAAATTGGGATCATCGTCATCTTGCCTCCTCAGTTGTACTACCTAATAGGTAGGAGTCTCTATCCCATTACCGCAATAGCGGCTGCGTCAAGCTGACGCTGTTATTCCTGCAGGAGACTAGAAAACCACGCAAAAGCTTGATTATTCTTAAGCTTCCTCGGGCGGAGAGCTAAGTCACCTCAAGGCCTTCCATTGCTATAGGGCACAACGGCCTCTCTCAACCGTCTAGCCGATCCTCGTGACGATCTTTCCAGTCTTCTGGTCATACAACCACAGGGCGCATGAACGAGGACCGAGCACTGAGTACGAGGTACAGAACCGGCTTTTGCCATCGGGCTTACTCGTACCTGCGCCATCAGCACCTATTGCTGATTTCATGCATCCAGATCCTCCACACAGTCCCCGTTCGTGCTTAAACTCAACGACTTGCACGCAGGAACCGGTCATACAAACCACGTGTCACATTAGGATGCTCCAAGTGTTAAGCAAAGGTAAAATAATCCTAGGTACTACCAACTTACGGTCACTCTCCGTCCCCAGCCGACTTTGAGTTTTGCTCTTTTGCTCTTTTCCTTTCGAATGGGTTTCGTTGATGGCTGGAGATTTGTTCTCGAAGTCGTCCGTTTGAACACGGGGAGGGCAGTCTCCATGCGGAGGGCCTTGCGCGATCGAGCCCCAGGATTTATTCCCGGAGCCCGACCGTTTGCATGAAAGTCTCTGCCTCAGATCCACGAAATTAATGTCTCGGAGCATCAGCACAGACAACGGAAGACTTGACAAATTATCTAGATGCCGTCGGAAAAGACCTGCAAATCCTTCCTATCCAACTAACTGCCCTCGCGAATTCATCTGCGCTTGAAATACCTTCGCTCACTATCCCTCCAGCCCGGTAGTAATATCGGTGACTAACACGATATCCAGAACAAGTATACGGACAGAGGCCGCTCAAATTCAATTTTGCTCAGAGTTTGGTCACTGGGTGCAATGGTGTTATACTCCGGTGCTGCCAGCGACAAGAGATCGAAGACAACGGAAGGAGCACACTTTTGCGGTAGCCCTGTCTGCTGATTGATCCTTGCCGAATCTCCTGTCCGTATTCGGCCTTTCGCGAGTGAAAGCAGAGAAGCGGGTGGACGAAAAGAGACGTTCTCCGTCCTGTGGTGCCTCAATGGGCGAGAAAAGAAAACATCGGTCCAAAATTTGAGAGCTGGCGAGGTCGGCGCCTTTGTGGTTCTTCTGCGTCGGAGGGTTGCTCCTTTGCCAGAAACCCTTGCGAGGGCTAATGAAGACTTGACCACTTGCAAATATCTCCTGTGACAATGGAGGGACTTCTGACAGATCGATCGCTCTATTCAGCGTGCTCCCCGTGCCCTGGGAGAAGCGTGCCAGTAGTCAAATGCAGAGGTGAGTGGCCCAAGGGCGATTGCTAATTGCCTCCGCAGGAGTCTGCGTGCCTGCCCTCGTGAGCAAAAGTCGAGATGAGCGCGTTCACCCATGTTCTTCGAATCTGGGTGGAATATCTCCCTACGTTCCACAGCAGCCTCCTTTCACATTACATGGTGATTTGAAGGGTTCTAGATTGGGAGGCTCCGCGGCTGCAAGCATCTTCACTGCCAACAGACAAACAAAGTCACTGCTTCCAGTGAGCTCACAGATCATTGAAGAGCGGGCTGGCTACAAAGATTCGGGGTATTACAGCCTGAAGGAACTCCCGGCTGATAAATGGATAGGCCAGTAACCAACTGCTGGTCGAGATTCTTCAATGCCGCAGAATGCACAGTATCACAGTCACAGCATTCAACATTCGGGAACAGTCACTCCATTACTGTCCTATGACCATCGATGCCATCTGCTCCAACTTATATATCTTTAAGGCAGCATGTTTCTACTCCTTCTTGCGGAGTGCTGGGCTTGGGAATGCTGGGGATAGAGAGAACTGAGCAATCTCTTCCCGGCTTGCTACCGAGGCTATTGGCTGATCGTGGATGTTTGCTCCTATCATCACTGCGTCTCATATACTCTATGTAAGCAATTGGAGCAGACGTCCCCAACCATCCATCGCCATAGGCCAATATCAGGTTCGGAGTATCCCTGACCCCGCATTGAGCAACATGAGCAATAATAGGCGTGGATGGCATCATTCATGCCGTTTTGTTTATCTTTGCAAACTTGGGAATACATACTTGATTTGAGGGGGATTTCCTGGGTACCTAGGTACCTACCTTTTTCACACCTCCGACATACATACCTAAGGCAACAAGAAGAAACAAGGGGGTTCTTTGCTTCCAAAATGGCAACCGAGACAATCACGCAACGGCCAGCATTTCTGTCTTTGCCGAAATGGAACCAGGTTCCGGAGACCAAACATGAATGTAAATGCTTTCTCGGCTTTGGCCTGATGATGTCTGAACTGGTAGCAACTAACGGAGGTGCTCGTGGATAGTGGACTGGGCCGATTTGGTAACCCTCGACCTCAGCAAGTTTGATCAGCCTGGTGGCAAACAAGAGTTGGCAGCTCAGCTCTTCGACGCCGTGAATAGAATAGGTGAGTCGCCTCGTTTTGCATCCCCGAGGATTCTATGAAACAGTCCATGCTTTTGAAATCCTGCGGGGGAAACAAAGAAGGAGGATAAGACACAGAGGTTGGGCTCACCTTGTCGCCTGATCTGCGCAGGTTTCTTCTACATTATCAACTTTGGCCTCACGCAAGAAGAGGTCGACCGCCAATTCAGCCTGTGCAAGCAGGTCTTCAACCTCCCCACGGACGAAAAACTCAAGTATCGCGCCGATCTCGAGAATGGCGGGTACAACGGCTACAAGCCCCTGGGCATCCGCGAGATCAAGAACGGCGTCAAGGACAACACGGAGATCTACAACATCCCCAAATTCATCCCCCAGTACGAACGCGCGCACCCGGCCATCATCCAGGAACACTGGGACGAGATCCAGTACTTTGCCAAGCACGTCAACGACCAGATTGTGCGGAAGCTGCTCGTGCTGTTCGCGCTGGTGCTCGAGTTGCCCGAGGATTACTTTTTGAAGATCCATCGCTACGACGAGAAGAGCGATTGTCACTTCCGATACATGAAATATCAGTGCGTTTTCCTTCCCACATTCCTCTGTATCATCTATCGGTGGGGGAGGTCATCAAAACTGACTTTTTCTTTCTTCGCAAACAGCCGTCGGTCACCCGAGGTCAATAAACAGCTCGATAACGTGTGGGTCAAGGGACATACCGACTTTGGAAGTTTGACTCTACTTTTCAGGTAAGTCCAGAGGCTGGAGCAGAATTTCGACTCTCCCCTGCGGAGTAGGGCAGGATGGGCAGAAAGAAAGACGGTCGGCTAACATTCATGTTCCCCAAACAAAGACAACCCGTTGCGGCACTGCAAGTGCGCACGCCCGAGGGCGAGTGGAAATACGTCAAACCCTACCCGGAGAGCATCACGGTCAACATCGCCGACGTGCTGCAGTTCCTGACCAACGGGTTTTTGAAGTCGAGCATCCACCGCGTCGTGGCGCCGCCCGCGGACCAGGCCGACGTCGACCGCCACGGCGTCCTGTACTTTGTCCGGCCCGAGGACGACACCGAGCTGGTCCCCATCAAGGGCAGCCCCGTGCTGGAGAGGCTCGGGTACGACAAGGTCCTGGACCAGGCGACCGTGGGGCTCACTGCCGGAGAGTGGGTGAAGGCGCGGGTGGCCAAGAATGTCAGCCGCGTCGGTAAGGAGGAGGAGAGTATCATTAAGGGCGTCAAGGCGAAGTATTATGACTGAAGAAAGGGGGAGAGAAAGCATCTTTGGGAGGACTGAGCATGTGATAGAAGAACCTGCCAAAACAACCGTAAAACTGCCCTGCTAGACGCGCAGGTGATCGAGGGCATAGTACCTTGACTTCCGTCACATTGAACTCTGCTCGCTTCGCCTCTTCCAGCGGAGAATTTTTCGCTTAGTGAATGGAATGCCCGCACATTTACCAGTACGACGATGGAAGGTTCCGAGAGGAGGCGGAAGATACAACGAAAATAAAAAAAGACTTTGACTTCGGAAAGGTATTTCGCATTCGGTAGTACATCCACCTCGACTTGTGCGATCGCGGATAGACATAATAACATTCCCTTGTCTTTGCCGCCGATTGAGGATCCGCAGGAGGCAAAGCCGGCATCTGACGTGCCATTCATTCCCTCGACTCCACTCTGGCAAAAAAAAAGTCATCTTCTTTTAGTATACTCCCGAAAGAGTAATATTTATCGGAGAGATGCTTTTGGGCCGGGCAATATCGGGCAATAATGCGTGAAAAAAAGGCTCAGGAGGAAATGTACCGAGTAATATTGTTGAGGTCTCTCTGTAATCATTAATTGGAAATCCAGACTTTGCCTTTGCCTCAGCCTCGCTGCGGGTATTTCCTTCTCGGGGCAGTAGAGCTACTGTATCTGCGTAAGACGCGGCAAGACGCGGAATCGGTTGGTTGCACGCTGCGCGGGCTCTCATCAGTCTGATACATTCCCATGCTTCTCATTGTTCCGAAGCATCTTGGAAAGAGCTTGAGAGCCACCGCGTACAAGCTTTCTCTTTGTTACCGGCTGGGTCGTCGGATCAGGTCCGGCTCCGGCTTCGGCGGCATGGGCGTCTTGCTTCTGAGGATGCCCACAGGTGCCGTGTTCATTTACGCAAGGTCGGTCGAGAGCTCCTCTCCTCAGCAATTCCATCGGGAGTGTGGTGGTAAGTACCTGAAGGCAACGGCAATGGACTGAGAGTGAATTCGTAGTGAAACATTGTCACATCCGAGTGCGTGTTATAGCGTGGATTTTGGTAGTCGGACAGCTCAGCATGCTTCTCTTTGCATACAGATGCAAGCGAGAAAAGCTCAGTGGACAAAGTTATAACGCCTTTGCAATGCTCAAGCAGCCATGCAGATCTGCCGAGACCTAGAAAGTCGAGTTAGGCGAATCATATTTCTTGCATCGCATCAGAGTGCTTGTAGCCATAGAGAGTAGCTGTATGGAACGTCGGTGGTTGCACTGTTAGAAAGAAGTCAGAAGTCCTTCTCTTCTGGCTCGCTGAGATCTTGTCATTCTGGAGATCGCAAGGAGATTCGCCCATCCAGCAAGGTCATGGTGATAGCCGTTATGGACTACTGCTGTCGCTTCGATCTCTGCACGCCACGTCACAGACTGAGTCGACCGCGATGAGATTGATGCTCTGCGATGCCGCCTGCACGGCTGACCAAGAATGGCCGACCTCGAGGGCTGGAACCTGATGGTTCTCCTGGATTTTATCTCTTTCTCGAAGCTCGCTGTGATTGCATCATGGGCACGAGGAGCTTACCACCAAGCAAAACATCCAAACAGGAAAGGCAAGTAAGCGTGAAATGTTCCACAAACTGAAGGTACAAGCTTGTAGATATACAAAACAAGCAGCAAGAGACACTTTGCGACGTTTCCCCGCGGTGCTGAAGGTCGTATGAGACGCCCGCATCTTCTGGTTCTCATTGCGTAAAACAACGTCATATGGGAAGAACGACAAGCACAAACTGGCGAAACTCTGAAGTTTTTGACACTGCGCGACTGCCCTTGATCCGAGGTGAACGTGAGCATATTATGTTCCTTGCCCCTCTTCTGCAAGTGTTTTGAAAACGCTATACGAAGCACGTTTTCGTTGTAAGTGCTGCATGTGAGTTTCGGTATGTATATCAGAGTCGAATAAGCCGCTTCATGGACGTCGGAGCAGCCTGAGTGTGAAAGAAGGGGAACACTCTAAAACAAGATTCGAGAAGCATTAAAAGCGATACATTGCTGCATACTCTGCAAGCTCTGTCCCGTACCTCCATTGTCCTTCCCCATTCCTACTCATCCTCTCTCTCTCTCTATATACACAGCCACACCCATCATCATGTCTTGCCAGACACGGAAGCCCGACATAACGCTTTTCTTCCTCGGCGCCTCGCGCGCCATCCGCATCGCCTGGCTCCTGGAAGAGCTCAACCTGCCGTACCAGCTGGTGTCGTCACCGCGGGCACCAAACGGGCTCGCGCCGGAGGAGTTCAAGGCCCAGATCCCGACGAGGATGGGTAAGAGCCCCGTGATCAAGGACGGAGATTTGGTCGTCCAGGAGAGCGCCGCGATTGCTGAGTGAGTAGACGGACTCTCATCAGACGTGTCCCGAACGATGGCCTCCAAGCTCCTATGAACCACCTCCCCCCCACCGTCACAAATCAGCATGGGATATTGGTCCGAATGTTCAAGCGTCGACAGAATAAATGACTGATACGAGACGGGGCCCCCAATCAGATACCTCTGCGAAACATACGACCCTCAAGGCCGTCTGCTCCCCAAAGAGCGCCGAGCTCGGGCAAAAGTCAGGGAATGGATGGCTGCCGCCGAGGGGACGTTCATGATCCACGCTCTCGCGGTATGTTGTTTACTTTTCCTCAATTCCTTCCAAAGTGTCTCTCTCTTCAATCCTCCGCCCGTATCTGCCTTATGAGATGCATAGGCAATAGCCGGCCGACATTGACCACCCCCAGGGGAGCAGATCCTCTACGCGCGCTGGCGCCTCCCCAAACCCGCAGCCCAGTACCTGCCGGAGATGGAGAAGGGGCTGGCTCGCAACGTGCACAACGCCCTGAACTGGCTCGAGGCCGAGCTTGCAGATGGAAGACAGTACCTGGTGATGAGCAGCGGAAGCCGGAGCGACGCCGAAGCCGAAGCCGAAGCCACGCCAGGTCAAAGCGATAATGAGCGCAACGACGGACGTGACGACGTCTCCGCGGCGGATATTCTGATGGGTTTCAGCGTCGACTTCATCTTCGCGAGAAAGCTGGGCACTGAAGGCGCCGACTGGCCCAATGTCAGGAGGTGGCTGCACGGCATTAAGCAACGAGAGGCATATACCAGGGCGGTCAAGAAGACGGGGTACTCTCTCTAGGTAGGGATGAGTTATGAGGATGAGGGAGATCATGGGCCGCCTGCAGGACCCCGTGGGTATCGCACCACGCCCCCCAAAAGGCTTGAGTAAGACGAAAACACCATATTCAACTTATAAGTCAATGTCATTGCAACGAACGACCCGAGGGTATCATAATCAACTCTGCTAAGATTGCACATGCATGCTGATCTAATGCTCGTCGTATCGGAATGCACCACTTGTATAGAAGGCGCTCCGGCAAAACCCAACTTCAGAACTGTCCCTCGCTTGCGATTCCAATGCTATTCATCATCATCACCGTACCTGCCATTTCGGCAGGTTTCCGGACATATTCCAAGGACCCGTCGATCCACCGTCCCAGACCCAAATCATATTCAAAAAGTCTCGCTGATGTCGTACCCTTCCTGTACGTTATTCAGGCCCGTCCCCACCAGGCTGCCATTCAAGCCCATGCTCTGTCGCTTGGGTAATTTCGTGTTCCCGCCAATGCTGGCTCGTTTGGTCGGACTTGGAATTCCGGAACCTATATCACTCGTACGTCCGCGAGCAAAAGTGGCCCTTCTAGGGACTGGCGTGGTCCCAATATCATTTTCATAGTGATTGAGACTGTTCTCGCTCTCTTCGTCCATGGTGCCATCATACCCGCTGCCATAATTACTCAGGCTGCTTTTGGGCCGAACTCGGTCGGTCGATGCGTTGGGCGTGAAATTTGACCCCACGCCACTACCCAGAGGTGCTCGGGGGAAGCCAGAGACACTAGCTCGGCTTCCTGGACGGCTGTGTGACGGTGCAAAAGACGATCGTGCCGATGTAAAGCCGCTTGTCCGCGAAGCTGGCCGAAGAGGCGGGGCGGCCATGTCGCCCCTGGTTGGGGAAGGAGGTTGTTGGTTCAGTGACGGTCGACTAGTCTTTGGTTTGGGTAGCGAAAAGTCCGGTCTTGTGGGAGACGGCTGTTGCTGATTCAATGATGATCGACTTGCTTTCGTTCTGGGTACTGACGGCGTCTCCGTCACCTTCTCCATCAGAGAGTCGTTCCCACTAATTGTACTGCCGCCCGTCCTTTTCCGGCTGCGGACAGTGACAGACGCAGGGATGTGGTTACCCAGTGCCGAACCACTTCGAGGCGAAGACCTGGGTGGGGTGCGTACAGGAGCTGGAAGTTTGGAACGGGCAGTCTGAACTCTTTCTTCCAAGGTCGCAATTTTGCCGCGTAGATTTCTGAGGTGGATGATCGAGGCCGATTGGGGCAGCCCTGACGGCCGTTGCGGAGCGTTTGCGGGCCTTGAAAGGCTCTGGCGAAACGACGACGAAGGTGCCGTTCGTGCTAACGTTGCAATCGAAGGTCCGCGAGCATGACCGACAGGCCTCGCGGCGGTAGATCCTGAAGTAGATGGGCGAGACGTCAGGCCATTGGCAGTCAGAGACTGTCGGGTCCTTGGAATACCAGGCGTGGCAAAACCCTTGGAGACCTGAGTCGACTTCTCCGAGATTGGAGGTGATGGAGGAGTTGGTGTGTCGGATAAGCCTGACGAGGAGCCAGCCTTTGGTGGAGGTGTGTCGAAGGTAGGCGAGGAGGCATTCGTTGTGGTGGGGGATAATTCTGACCGTGGCGAGGCTGATACAGCAATTGGCTGCAACGAAAGGTGCTTTTCTCGCCGGGACAGCTGGTCCACGGCCTTTCGCAGCTTCTCTTTGGTGATGTCGGTCTCGATCTTGAGGTCCGAGAGTTCGTCCCGCAATCTCTGCGCTTCAATCCGCAGTGCCTCCCTTTCTTGCTCTCCAGAACGGACTTCTTCCTCCAGCATCACGCTCCGTTCGATGGTCTGGTTGTATTTCTGTTCCATGTCTTCAAGGGAAGACTCTGTGTTCCGTTGTTTGCGCTCGTAGTCGTCATTGGCGACTTCGGTATCGCGGAGGCGCAGATTTAACTCCCGGTTTGTCTCCCGGAGTTCCCTAATCTCCTTTTGCAGCGTATTTTGCACATTGGACGCTTCGGTCTTGGATTGCTTATATTTGGTCTTCCATTCCTCGACCTCATAGTGGAGATTGGCTGCTCGCTCTTTCAGTTGGCGCTCGCGTTTCTCTGATGCGTCGATATCCCGTTCAAGCTCCGCCTCCAGGTCTTTACTGGAGGCTTGAAAGTCGGCGAGTTCGGCTTCTAGCAGTTCGTATTGTGCTTTGTAGTATTTCAGTGACTCCTCAAGAGAGGAGCTAGGTCCAGGGGGCGAAGAAGGAACGGCGTCTGCGGGTGCCATCTTGGGCGTTGATGGTCGTGGTTCGGCCGTCTGATTGTGGTCGCTGATTGTGGTCGCTGATTGTGGTCGCTGATTGTGGTCGCT